AAAAAAAAAAAAAAAACCTCTGAATTAAGAACATCGCATTAATTTCGTCTATCTATTCCATCCGCAGCGTTCTTCCTTCAGTCACTCTGTATCCCCACGAGTCCTCCCTCACGGGAGGGACTTCCTCCGACGTCACGTTTTGTGTTGTCTTTGCGAAGTAGTCTGAAGGTTGATTTATCGATTGAAAAAAAAAAGAGATTCGTCTCCTTTTTTCCGGTCGTCGTTGCTAGAAGAACAAGGGCCATCATAGTCCGCGTCCGTCTCGTCTTTGTTGGTCACTTCTGTGACTAACATTGTCTCAATTTCTACACGGGCGAGGCTCCAGGAGCACCGACATTTCTTATTATAGTATTTTATAGTATTTTGAATTTACATAATATCATCATTGGTTTTCCACGTGTTAATGTATCAAGTTTTCGTTTCGTCAGAGTGGATTTGTGTCTATGAAATCTCGACGACGTCATTGTGTGCTGTATCCGAAGGAAGGTCCGATCATGAATTCTTAAGACTTCCAAAGATTACTAGACTACAGTCTCTATTACTTCATATTAATTGCTGGTGCTTTGCATCGAATAAATAATCGCCATGTTCAAATTAACGAAACCCTCGTCTTCTCGTGTCTATCGATTCTCGTCATTGCCAATGCGATATCTCACCAATAACTACGCTTCCCAGGCTGGGAAATCACAGTCTACCACTACCAAGACTAAATCCAAGCACAAATATGATAACCTTCCTCTGAGCACGAGCGGTCCTATAAACTGTGCGCTCAGTGGTACATCGCTCTTGAATACGCCGTACTTGAACAAAGGCTCTGCGTTTCCTCCGGATGAGCGCCGCACGTTCAATCTTACGGGCTTACTGCCTCAAGGTGTTCAGACGCTCGATCAGCAGTGCAAGCGTGCCTATGAGCAGTATGCATCTCAACCTGACGATTTGGCCAAGAACACTTTCTTGACTTCACTCAAAGACCAAAATGAGATCCTCTATTACAAGGTAAGCTGCAACAATTGTGTCGTGGGGTTGTAATAACTCTGGTATAGCTACTTCAGCTTCATCTCGAAGAGATGATGAGCATAGTGTATACACCAACGGAAGGCGACGCTATCCAGAACTACTCTAGACTGTTTCGACGCCCGGAGGGCTGTTACCTCAACATTGAAGATCCCGATCATGTAGAGCAGGATCTTGGACAATGGGGCAACGCAGAGGACATTGACTATATTGTTGTATCTGGTCAGTTGTGCGCCACCACGAACTGCAACAAACAACTAACAGACCAACAGATGGAGAAGAAATCCTCGGCATCGGTGACCAAGGCGTCGGCGGCATCCTAATCTCCGTCGCCAAGCTGGTCCTCACAACGCTCTGCGCAGGTGTACATCCTAACAGAACACTTCCTGTAGTTCTAGACTGCGGCACAGATAACAAGGAGCTTCTTGACGATGAGTTGTATCTCGGCTTGAAGAAGAACCGTGTCCGTGGCGAAGAGTATGCCAAGTTTGTCGACAACTTCGTTCAATCTGCCAGGAAGCTCTACCCGAATGCTTACATCCATTTCGAGGACTTTGGCCTTAGCAACGGTAAGTTACACTCACGACTGGAGATAGTGCAGTACTGACTTGCATGTAGCGAGGAAAATTCTGGAACGTTATCGTCCGGATTTTGCTTGCTTTAACGACGATGTCCAAGGAACCGGCTGCGTGACTCTCGCCGCCATCATGTCAGGTCTTCAAGCAAGTGACCAGAAGCTCAAGGATTTGCGCATGTTAGTTTTCGGCTCCGGGAGTGCCGGTCTCGGTATCGCAGATCAAGTTCGCGATGCTATCGCTACAGAAGGAAACATGAGCCACGAGGATGCAGCAAAGCAGATCTGGTAGGACCCTCATCGAAACTCATTTAAAGATAAATACTTACCAGTATTAGGTTGATCGACAAGCCTGGTCTTCTCACCTCGGAAACTGAAGATGTCACTGATTCTCAGAAGATGTACACCAAAGACGTGTCGGAGTGGAAAGACAAGGACACCGATTTACTCTCTGTCGTCAAAGAAGTTCGTCCAAATGTTCTCATCGGCACATCTACCAAGGCCGGAGCCTTTACCGAAGACATCATCCGTGCCATGGCCGAGCACCACGAGCGTCCTATTGTCCTCCCTCTATCCAACCCAACGCGTCTTCACGAGGCCAAGCCCGAAGATATCTTGAAATGGACAGACGGAAAGGCCCTTGTAGCCACCGGCTCACCCTTCCCAGCTGTCAAAGGCCCATGGGGTAAAAACGGCGAAGAAGTAACCATCAACGTCGGCGAGTGCAACAACTCAGTCGTCTTCCCCGGCATCGGTCTCGGCTGCGTCCTCTCCCGGGCCAAGCATCTAACCGATCGCATGCTCGTCGCAGCCGTAGAAGGCGTATCCTCTCTAAGTCCCATTCTTAAAGACTCGACAGCTCCTCTTGTACCAGACGTTAGTTCAGTGCGGGATGTAAGTGTGAGAATTGCACGCAATGTGATACAAGCCGCTGTCAAGGATGGTGAGGCTACACAAGAAGGTATCCCTGACGATGAGGACGATCTGGAAGAGTGGATCAAGGAACAGATGTGGGATCCCGAGTACCGGCCCTTGAAGCAGGTTGATTTGGAGAGTGCCACAAGGGAAGCCAGAGGCGAACTGAAAAAGGCCGGCACGGTACATAGAAGTGGTCACACATAGATCTACTAGCCTAGGATGGTATATAATATAATGGCTAATTGCTTATTGTAGTACAGCTTAGTTAGTCCGCTTCTATAATCTTTTCATGTATCAAAGACAGTTTGATTTCCAATTCAGTCCTAAAACTGCATGATAAGAATACACGTTATTCATATACCTGGACCTTTTTCAAGTCCAGGAGGCACATTTACTAGACGCAAACCCGAACGCCCAACCTACCTTGTGGCATAACACATTTCATATCTTATCGTCTTTATATCATTTAAATGACTCCAGCACGGGCAGCCTCTCCAGCATTGTCTTGCACAAGCTCTTCCATCTTCTTCTTGCCCCTTCCGAGACCGCCTTCGCCAACACCCATGCGACGGGCAACATATCGCTGAGCGACAGTGCCAATAGAGAGGTTTAGAAGCTCCTCGAGCCACTCGGCTACCCACTCTCGGGGATCAACACCGCCACTCTCGATAATGTCCCTGATCTCATCCGGGACGTTAGCATCCAAAGCCTCGCCTTCCTCGCCAGAATGAGGGGTGAGAGGAGCAGGGGTGTCCAGCCACTGAACCCATCGAGCAGGAATAGACTGGCTGACGGTATAAAACTCGATATCATGGATAGGGTCCAAGATGAATACTGCGAAGCAGATAAGCTCCTCGTCGTCGTCCTGGTCCTCGACATCGGATTCCTTCTCCTTCTCTGCAGAAGCAGTGCGAGCAAACAGAGTTTCATCGGAATCCACAGCAATTGCCTGGATGGCTAAGAACAGATCAGATGTTCGAACAGGGTTGGTTTCGCTGACGTCTTCTGTGGCCTTTTGCTTGGCTGCCTCTACACCACCGTTGGCGGAGAAGTATTCGTTCGCATGCGATTCGGCGTTGGCGCGGCAAAGCTTGGTTCCCTCTGGCATTCCATTCACCAAGCCCAACTCGCGAGCAGTGTCGCTTTGTCTCCACCAAGGTCCGTCGTGCCATCCAGCAGAACTATCAGTACTACGTCGAGACTGACTTTCCTGCCCACGCTGGATAACCAAGAGATCACCACCCTCAACCTGAGCCATCACATGGCCAAACACGTTATGAACCAGAGGGTCGAGGGATGGGTAGCCGACAATATCGTGGGTGATGTGAATAATAAGACGCTCGTGGGAGCTAATGGGAGGTGCAAGAGTATGGAGGATGTTGGTAAATGTAGGGAGAGCGCGGTGTCGAAGTTCGTCACCTAAAATCTCGATTAGTCTGGACCCATGATTGCTCTTCATTGGCCATACCGTAGTTTCGCAAGGTGTTGACGTCCAGTCCCCTAATTCCCTTGACCTGCTCCGCCCACTTCTTGGCTTCTTCATTCTGCTGGATCTGGGTGACAGCAGCTTCAGCTTGCTTCATGGCAGCACTGGCCGTGGACAGAATGCCACCCCACCATCCCCCACCAGAGGCCTGGGGAGTAGCATCCTGGACAGGTTCAGCAGTTGGCTTTTTTTCATTCTCAAGAAGCTCTGAGCTCGTCGCGCTCGGTGTGAAGGTAGCTTTCAAACTGCGTGTACTGTCTGTTGATTTGCGGGGGTCACCGGCAGGAGGTGTCGCTGTGGAACGGCGGGTAGCATCCTTGATTCGAGGAGTATGAGGTCGTGAAGGCTGCTCGGCCAGCTCTGATTCGAGATCGGCTAGAATGTCCTGGTCGGCAATTGCCTTGGATGCGGCAGAAGTAGGCTTGGTCTTGGTGGTCTTCTTGGGCTTCTTTTCAAGGTCAAGGCCAGAGAAGAGCTCGTCGACATCGTCGCCAGCGGTGGGCTTGGTCTTTTTTGACGCCATGGTTACAAATTGTATCTACCAAGTTGGACAAAACCGTGTCGATTCGTAAATGGTCCTGGGGCTACTGAAGGTTTTCGTGGTGATGGTTTGTCGAAGGCGGGGGTTGAAAGAAGGTTGTCTGGCGCAAATGGGTGAGGAAATCTAAGGAGATGGTTGGAGCTCCGGGACAGCTGCAAGGGTCCATGGACACCGGGAAGGCAGGAACATCTAACACGTGCGGTTTCCAACAGATAGCCACAGTTACATCACTAGCATACAGGTATGGAGAAATGGGTTACAACACAGGAGCATCTTCAATCAATAAGTGCCTAGTATTAATTTAATAAATTCGGTAACTATAACTACCTATTAATGATATCATTACGTTCCTTGGAAAGCCTCCTATTTCGAGTGTATCAAGATGTAATGACTGATGTACTGAAACATGTACTTTATGGCTACCCACCAAGGACGCATGACACTGCGTGTGGGAAGCCTCACCTGGAGCTCAGCCCAAGTACTCAGAAAGTACAGTCATTGGCTCACCTGCGACTTACACAGCCAAACAGCCACTAACACGCAGTGATTTACAGCAGACGACAATGTCATGCTCATTCCCGAGTTGTACTAGCGTCTTGCAGTTCCGCAGCATCTGTAGTTTCTGATTGGCCTGGGCGAACCCCGGAGAAGGGGTTGCTGGGGATGATACGTACCGGTGGTTTCCCAGGTCCCTGAGCCTTGTGAGAGAGTGGCCTTCAGTGGCCAGGATGCCACTAACAGCAAGGCCCCAGGCGGGTCTGGTCTAGCCTTGGCTGGCTTATTCGGACCACGACACCTCGAGAAAATCGACAGAGACCAACATCAGAGCCAAAAGGAGACTGACTGTCTTCATCACTCACCCGCGACTTCAGTCATATGTTGGCAACTCTTGGTTAAACCATCGCATCGCCACAAGATCAAGGGCAGTAGAAGTTGATTAATTCTGACTACAGTGTTATTAGACGCCCTTGTTTTTCTTTTACATTGGCCTCTTTTCTTGCGCTTTTGCAAATAGGTACTGTACCTGTTGCCGCCAGTTCCCTGTACTTCAAAATTCTTTCTCTGCCCTGGCTTGTTTCTCTTACTCCATCCGACACGCTCATCTCAATCATTCATATCCACGCACTTTGAGCCTCATCCTCCCTTACCCTTTTCACTATCACTAGGTAGTCTTCAATTTCTGCTCATCTTGCAGGTATTTGTTGACCCTTTTAACACTGCGCACTAAGTTGCCTGTGCCTGTGGACTCACTCGCATGACGCCTCTCGCGGGCCCGGCTGGTCGCTACACGTCCTTGCTGTAACATCCCAGCCTCACCTCAGAGCCTGTCCTCTGTTCTGTCTTGTCTTGTTCTGCCTTGACTGACAATGGACCGCTCGCGCCGGATGCCTCAACGTCGCCGCCCTTTAGGAGCTTCTGCTTCTCCTACCTCTACTTCAGAGGCTTCCTTTGACTTTAACCCAATCACGAGCCCTGTTGTCGCTCAGACTAATACCACTCCTGGTGGTCGTCGCTCTACCAAACCCCTTCAACACGCCTTCACTTTCTCACCTCCAAGTAGTAGTCGTAACTCAAATCCCAAGAGGCGATCTACTACTATGGATAATTTCCCAATGCAAGATGAGGGTGAGCATGGCCCAAAAAAGGGCGGACACAGTCTCCGTAAGCGTGCTCGTGTGGATTACACATTTGAGCACATTGACGATGATGTCGTTGTCCCCAACTCGACATCTTCAGCACGCGGTAAGAAGCGAAGGTCAGAAATCAATTTTGACACGGATGACTTTTACAACAACGACTCAAAGAGAAGAGGCGCCTCTATGGGTGCCGATACTCCGTCAAGCCGACGGAGGAATCCGACACGCAAATCCAGTGACCTGAAAGCATTTCATCAGGCTGCTTTGCAGGATGACGATAACGAAGTCCAAGACACCATCGAAGTTGGTGCATACTACTCAGATGTTGACGATTCTGAACTCAGAGATGGTGCTGATTCAAATAACTCATCCCCCCAATCCAAAATGTCACCGAAAACCTCACCCCAGAAATCGCCCCAAAATGAGTCGACAAAAAATGAGCTACCAGCACCGCAATTTCATAACGGGTTTCAGATTGGACCTGCAACAGAAAATGCTGCCTCAAGTTCTGAAGTCAATCAAGTTCTCTCAGAAAAACCTTATCCTGCTGTGGAACATATAAGCAACTCTATCGAGGAACTTGTATCTCAGCCTGCAGAGCCGCAAGCCGAAAACTTCCCTAACGCGGAACCTGAGCCAGCAACTTATAATTACCAACAACCTTCGACTACATTGGAAGCTGATTATCCATTAACTCCTTTGGAAACGGCGGTACCAAGTACAAAACCTGAGCCAGCTGCTAGTGCCACTGCACTGACAGTGCCAGATATCAGCATTAAAGCGGAGGAGGCAGAGCCCGCGGCAGTGTCAGTGTCAGCGCCAGAGTTGGCACCGACAATAGCACAATTGCCTATTACAGCCGATGAGAACAATCAGAGTGAATCTACCCATTCACCTATTGTTCCTGCATCCCAACCAGAGCCTGCAAATATCATTAGCGAACTCCCTCCTGCTGAACCTACTTCACAACTTAATCCAGAACCCGAATCTCTCACCAGCAGCACCACAACTATCATCGAAGAAAAGGAAGCACCTCACCAACCAGTCGTTGAACAAGTTGAACAAGAGCAAATACTGGAACCACCTACTCAGCTACCGGATCAGCACCAAGAAGACAAAATGGACAAGATGGATATAGATCCTCTTCTGGAGGAGAATGTTCCTCAAGATATCGAAATGACTGATGCCGTTGCCATTGATACTCCAGCCGCGCAAGATAAAGTTTCTACGCCTTCACCTGAACCTACATCTACATCAGCACTTGGGCCTGCAGATTTGCCATCACCGTTGCCATCAAATACAATCTCCTCATCACCACCAAAGTCGCCCGCTAAACTACGGTCGCCATCGCCAGCTCAGGAAGACGAACAACTACCTCAGGAAACTACCATTCCCTCTCCAAACGTCAATACTGATGAAATCCGCATGTCTGTGGAGTTGAGTAACGGCCACCAAACTGAGACTGAGAACGTGAACAAAGAGGTTGTTGAGGAGAACAACGAGGACAAAGAACCAGAATCAGTTGAGATGCCAGTCACTGCAGATGAGCCGCAGATCCCAGATTCACCTCAAAATCACATCACTCAAGAGGAACCAGCCATTGTTTCGAGTCCTATCGAACCGAAAGCTCCTACGCCCCCTCCCGCTGAGACCATCGAGACCCCAGCATCTTCTGCGCCTTCAGAGACAAAACCTAGTCCTCAAAAGCCTGTCGCTCCTCGAGTTCCCCTGGAGTTTATGCCACAACCTACTCCGGTCGGGCGCTGGTCTCATCTTAAGCCTTATGTCGAAGGCGAGTTCACGATGTATCCAGAAAAGAAGGGTAATGAAGACGGCAATGATGATGTGACCCCAGAAGGAAAGGATGCCGATCGAGACGCCGACATGGAGCCTATGGTCGATGATCAAGATGATGCAGGACTCGAAGCTCCCACGCCTGCACTTAACACACCTACTCGTGGCTCTCCTGTCCCAGATTCAGCAGATCCAACCGCCCTCAATTCGCCTGCTCCTGCTGGTGAGGATGGTGACGAGGCTGACGAGTCTCAAGAGTTGTCAGAGCGCACCCGATACTACAAATACCGAAAGCTAAGAGACCCCGAGGAGTACGTCTCGGTTCTCGAGAATTATGAAGATATGTCTACTGAAGAACTTTACGAACTTCTCGAAGCCGTCAATGTCTCTATGGTTCAGTGGCAGGACGAGTGGACTGAGCAAGGCGCAATTGTCGACGACTATGAGAACTCTCTTCGTAGACGAGCGGCTGATTCCAAATATGAGGCCCGTACTCGCAACCTTCATCAACATGGTATCAACTACGAGGAGCCTGAATTCGCCGTCAAGGGATACAAGTCTCGTGAAAAGGAAGGCCTTACCGAGACTCGATATCTCCAAGGACAGGATCGCATCATGGCCGCTACTTACGGCTTTGAGTATGATCCTCATCCTTCAAAGATAGGCAAACAAAACCCCGAGACACAACAAGTCGGAGTCATGACTCGCGGTCGATCTTTGCGAAATCAGCCTAGACAAACCGCCAAGGCCACAGAGGGAGAGGAGGTGGTCGGCAAACGCCAACGAAAGCCCGTTCAGCTTTTCGATCCCACGACACAGGATGTCAGCAGGAGCTCGACACCTGTGCCCGCCACTCGAGCCACTGGTCGTCGACGCAAGAATGCCAACGCCGAGGACGAACCGCAGACCAATCTTGCAGTTAGCTTCACCAGCGAGGTTGTCTCGGATGGCGAAGGTCCTAAGACCAGACGCAAGCGTGGCATTCGTAGCAAGAACACTGTGCAAGAGGAGGAGGCTGTGCCAACCCCAGATACCGAGGAAGCAGTTCAAGAATCGCCTCAAAAGCCCACTCGTCGGGGCCGTGCCAGACCTGCTGTCAAGTATGAGGAGGCAGATCCCAACGAGTTTGTCGACGAAGAACCCCAAGAAGAGGAAGAAGAGGTTATGGAGGAGCCAGAAGAGAATGAGAAAGTAAAAGAGGAGAAACCAACAGTCCGACGACATCTCGTTACCCTCAAACTTCCCAGTGGTTACTTTGAGGCCACGCCCGAGATGGAGATTGTCGACAACGGTGACTCGCGCCCGACTACTGCTTGCTCTGAGGAGTCTTCTCAGACTGTCGAATCGTCCTATTCTTTCCGACCTAAAAGACAGAAGCGTTTCCGAGACGATCCTGACGAAACTGAAGAGTCAGGCCAGGCACCACCAAAGAAGAGAGGCAAACGAACAAGCGGCGGTACCACTGCTGCCGAAATCCCATCAACTGCATCGACACCTGCTCCATCTACTGAACAGGCACAGCCCATCAACAGCCGCAAGATTCAGAAGATCAAGGTTGTCAGGTCTGGTCAGGATACCAAGAATGGAGGCACGCCGCAAGCAACGCCGGCACCTCTTCCCCCTCCTCCACCACCTGCCCCAGCTACCCCTACCCCTACCCCTGGTCCGGTCGATGACAACGATGATACCCCCAAGGACTACAAGTCGATGACCAAGTCCGAGAAGATGTCTGCCTCCATGAAGAGTAAGCTATTCAACCGATTACTTTACGCTTTCCACAAACTAACACAATACAGACCGTTGGGCCAACGGCAATATGGCTGGAGCTGTTGAAAAGCGTAAGGCGACCTTGGCGGCTAAGAAGGCTGCCCAAGCGGCAGCCGAGCAAAGAACGGGTGTCGTCGCGCCTAAGCCCAAGGGCAAGACTCCCATGAAGAGAGATTCTACCCTCAAGATGCAGATGGCACCAGAGCAGCCTCAGATGCCACTACAGCAGCAGCAGCAGCAGCCGCCACCTCCACCACACATGATGCATCAACAACCGCCTCCTATGCACCCTCATCAACATCAGCACCATCCTCATCAATACCCGGTTCATCACCAACACCCCCAGCACCATCATCAGCACCCTCCTCCTCCTCCTCCTCCCCACCCAGCTCACATGCAGCAGATGCATCACCCCCAGCATATGCCTCCTCACCCGCCGCCACCACCGCCGCATCAGCCTGGAAACCCACCTCCTCCTTTCATGCATGGCCACGGTCAACATCCCAACCATGGTCACAGCCACGGGATGCCTGGGATGGGATACCACTATTAGAGCTTGCCGTTCACTGCTGATGGCGGTGTAATCATGTCTACAAGAAAACGAAACAATCAACAAAAACACTTATCAAGTCGGTGGCCTTCAACCCACTGACTCGACGTCACCTTCACGAACCCCCAAGAGACAAGCGCGGTCTCTTTCCCAGTACATACAGCCGCTCTGTATACTACGAATATCAAGAGAGGTTTTATTTTGGATTCTGCTTCTCCGTCACGCTGTTTCTCTTGTACACTAGATGCGAACAAAAAAACTCCTTTTTTTCGTTGTGCGGTTTCTCGATTTGTTTTATCTGCTTATTTCTTAATGTTGTTCACCACATATATATGCATCAGGGGAGGCTTTGCATAATCGTTCGGCATCATATAGCGGCGAATGCCTCAGACTTGGGAGGCTAAGCGTGGAAAAGAAAATGGGGGGTAGCGAAGCGTACCTAAAAGACTTAATGTTCACGTTATACATATCAATGCGCCTTTGTTTCTAATACTTTGTGAATGTTTGTGCCGTAATTAATTGTAAGAGTCTGCTATGCTGCATTGGTAGTGACAAAGGACAAAGAACCAATTGCATGTGCTTATTGTGATGGGTACAGCATACGTGAACCTTGATTGTATTGGTGAATTTGAGCTAAGGTCAATCCTGTTGCTACAAACACCAAGTAGATTTACCCAGAACATAGGATAACAAAGACGAGTACCAATGCAAGCAGGCATACAAACGGCTATCTTCTTGACATTAAAAATATCACCGCAAACACCCGCAGTAGTGAAATACACTGCCAACCGTCCTTGTGTACACGAATACCGGTTACTCACCAGAGTAGAGTATTAAGCAGATCCTTACCACAGGGTAGATGCAATCAAACCTAACGGTAGACTCTGTACACTGCTCTAGCGTACCAGGTGTGGATGCAGACGCAAACGCTTACAAAGTAAGATGCATGCACCTACCGGAGTACTTGGCAATCATGCGAACAAATTCACTGACATCACAGTCACAAGGTCAACGGCGGGGAGAGTTGCACATATTTGAACCGAAAAACATCACAAAACGCCTTGGGAGAATCGTTTTGAAGTGACTTTTGTTTTGTCCTTGATGTGAATGCCTGGTATGTGAATCATCCTTACACGCCGCAACCGAAATGCAAAGAGCCTTGTGCCAAATCCAGCGACTTTAAAAGTAGTAGATAAAAAGAACATTCCCCTGTTTTTAACCCTTCCCTTTGACCCAGGGCAGATGAAAAAAGGGAATAGGAGTCTCGGGGAAGGAGGGGATAATGTTTCTTTACCGCGCTCTATCTGATCGCATTCGGGACAGAAACCCAACCACCACGCACCGCACGCCCTTTTATCTTTCCTTGATTGATTTCCTTTCGCAAGCAAGCACCTTACATGACGACACCGGAGTTGGAGGCAATACGCTGGGAATGTGTTAGTGACTGTCATAATGCTGTAGTCGGGAGACAACTTACGGGCCACAACTCAGCAGCCTCCTTACCGACGGGGCCGGTAATGGCGGAGCCCTTCATCTCACCCTTGGGGTTGACGATCTGTAACACATGTTAGTCATCCATCTGCCAATTTTTTTCACATGTGGACCATAACGTACAACACCGGCGTTGTCCTCGAAGTACAGGAAGACACCGTCGAATCGCTTCCAGGGCTTGGACTGTCGGACGATAACGGCGGGGTGGACCTTCTTTCGGAGCTCAGGCTTTCCCTTCTTGACGGTGGCCATGACCATGTCACCGACACCACCAGCGGGCAATCGGTTCAGGCGAGCACCAATACCCTTGACGGCGATGATGTAGAGGTTTCGGGCACCGGAGTTGTCGGCGCAGTTCATGACGGCACCGCTGGAGAGGGAGTCAGTTTGCTGGATCGGATGAGTGATGGGTGGGAGAATTCGTACACAGGGAGACCCAGGGTCATCTTGAGCTTGCCACCAGGGGCACCACGCCTGTGGAAAGCATGTCAGTATTTCTGTTGTATTTGAGATCTTGATCTTGATCTCGCGCTCTCGTTTTCGCTTGGTGTTGAAATTTTCTCTGCCAAAATTTGTCGGGTGGACGAAGGTGTTCGGCGGGCGGATGTGTGCCAAGCTTGCTGACTTCGAAATCGAATGTGAAAAAAATCAAGACATGATGCCTTGAATACCGTCGAGACAGCGATACCGTATCCTCGAAGCTGTAGTCGTTGTTCGTTGTGTGCATCGACACAAAATTCGGTCTCTCAGTTCCCCGCCAAACCACCACCTCATTTATTCCAGCTCTTTTTTGCGCATGATGATCGATCAAAAGTTGGCAGAGACGAGAAGAAATATCCAGAGCGAAAACGAGAGAACGAGATCTATTATCAATCCGCAGAGGAGAGGACTTACGAGATCTTGGCCATTGTGTCTGAAGGGTTAGTGCGGCGTTACTTCGTGAAGATGTCGTGTCGTGCCGGGCTCGAGGATCAAGATCAAACAGTCTTTCGAAATTATTTTGATTTTCGTGGGGAGAAACCCTAGACGAGGAAGGTGGGATCCAATGCACGTGACTCCTGCTCCTGCCGCAAAAGTCAGAATGAGGGTCTAGCAGAAGAGCCAATCAGGGCCCACCTTGAATTACACTGAGAATAATGAAGAAGAAAGAGGTGGAATTCTTAATGAATATGTCAAACTATTGATAGATATTGACAAATCCATTCATTTCAGCTCATTTTATCTGTATACAGAAATTATCATTATTGCTAGGTGCTCAAGGCTGCTGTGTTGTCGACCTGCCAAAATTCAGACTGCCTGACCTCCGACGCTATTCCCGGTGGAACCCTCACGCTGCCCAGCAAGCCCCAGCGAACCACACAACCAGGCCACCCAACCAAGCCCACCAAAACCAGGTTCTACCACACATTCCAAAAAACTCGTGCTACATATTCCTAGTTTTCAACTCGCTGTTCAACAAAAATGGGCTTGATCACCCGGCAAAGCACGCCCGGTTAGCTCAATCGGTAGAGCGTGAGACTCTTACGAGTACGCGATCTCAAGGTTGCGGGTTCGACCCCCGCATCGGGCTGTTCCTATACTATATCATGATTGAGAAGTGCTATCTTTTTTTTGTTCTTTGTTCCAAGGTCTCTTTGTCTGTTTGCCAGTAGTTAAGTTTGTTGCTTGGATACCTGCTGCGCTGTTCCACTATGAGGCTAAGGGGGAAGATACCTTTATTCTTCTTACTGCCTGCTCACAGTAAAGAAAGTATAGGTCAGTTCTGAACTTGTGGGCTGCAATTGTATGGAACAGTTGTGTGCGTATAAGTCTGGAGTTTGTCCAGAATCTACCCTAGAACAAATGATCAATGTTTAGTTCCTGAACCTGGGAACCAGGATAGTACCTAAATATTACTTGAATTCTTAAATTAAATCATAAAAACTACAATGCCTTCTTCTGGTCTTCAGGAGGAATGGCTCTTCATGTAGTACAAACCTATGTTATACCCTGCGGAACCTGCATAGCCGTCCGATAATTCGGCTCCGATCTTCACCCCACCGCATCGTGAAACGGGCCTCGGCTCCCCGTTCCCAACACCTCACATGCCCATTTCAGTTCAAGCCTTACTCCGCATTAATTGGCCATGTCATAGACAACCATCCTTATACCCGGTCCTCAATGTCTCTGTTATTCCGTGCCTTCAGGCGCTCACCTCTTCATAGATGTAATTTCATTTCCAAGCCATATCTGCCCATTATGTATTTCCGAGAAGAGTCAACGTCGGCAAATAAACCTCCGCCTCCAGTACCGCGGCCTAGTTCATCGGTACTGCTTGTTTCACCGTCTAATGAGGTTCTGCTGCTTCATCGCGTGAAGACGTCTTCTTCGTTTGCCTCTGCGCATGTCTTTCCTGGTGGGAACTTAGATCCTTATCATGATGGCGAAATACCCGAGGAGAGCTCGCCGGAGAGGCATCAGGATGGACTGGCGTACAGAGTAGGTGCGATCAGAGAGACGTTTGAAGAGACAGGTATCTTGTTAGCCAGGAAGGACAACGAGCTCATAAATCTGGACGTGAAGGATAGAGATGCTGCGAGGAAGATGATCCATGGAAACCAAGTCAAGTTCTTGGATTGGCTAAAGTCAGTCAGCGCTGAACCAGACTTGGGTAAGATGGACCGTCATGACATAGAGCGAAGTGTTACTGACGAAACGTCTAGATGGTCTCATTCCTTTTACACGTTGGGTAACACCAGCTGCGAACAACAAGCGCTTCACAACACAGATGTATCTATACATGCTCCCACAGTCACGGGATGACATGCCATCCGAGATGCTCATCCCAACACCAGACAATGGCGTCGAACATACAGCCGCGCTCTTCGCATCAGCACAGTCTTTCCTCTCCCGCGCTTCCACCAACAGCATTATTCTCTTCCCACCACAGCACTTCCTCCTCACACTAGTCTCCAAGATCCTCTCAGAAAAGGCAGAACCGCAGCAAGTTACAGAACAACGAGAGAAGCTACTATCTTTCCTGGAGCAGGTACCCACGGCAGAGACGAAGAAAGGCCAGGAGCACAAGACAGCTTTGATCCCCTGGGGCGACAAAGTCATGAGCCCGCATAACCTGTTTATAAGGAAACAGGATAAGAGGATTGTGCTGGGCTTGGATAAGCCAGGGCCGGAGCTTAGAAACTCGGATAGAGGGGGTGACTGGGAACGTGTGGTTCTTGTCAATTTCGGTAAAGGCGGACCGACGAATGTTGAAGTTAGGAGGCGAGAGGATGTATTGGAAGAGGAGAGACAGAGTAAAGCTCAGGAAGAAAGACTATAACGTAGATATAGACAGGGTGGTGCCTTGATGACCAGACAGGGTGGAATGAATATTGAGATAAACAGTTTATAAGTGTTAATCTTTAACGCCAAGGCTCAGTAGATACAAATACATAGCGATTTGAGAAAGAAGATTGTCTAGATTCATCGCCTCACATATCATAATCCAACGGGTATCAATTCATACAAGCTTTTTCACCCCCAATACACTCCATTTATAGTTCTCCAAACTAACAAAAGTCTTGGTTAACCAACCATCTCTTTTTTAGTGGTGGATCATCTATCTACATACCACGAACATTTTGGCTCCAGTGGTGCCAATTAAAGTCCTCCCCCAGCATGTCTATGTCATCCATACCTGCTACTGTAGTCTGATCAAAATTCGAGTTCATGGTCGGGTAACCACCCGTCCAGAGATAAGGCGCTTGATTTTCGTCTTTCGGTAGTTGCATTGTCTGGGGATTGAATTGTTGACCCATGTCTAATGCTTGTGTCTGTGGTATTTGGGCAGCTGTAGTCATAGGCGTCGCTTCAGTATTCATGGCTTTCATTTGGGCTGCACCGACGTCGTTTAGTGGCCAGAAGCCTGTCATGTTGAAGTTGGTGCCTTGTGCCATCATGTCGTTCATAAAGTTCATCGTCGTGTCGGAAAGATCAAAGCTTGCTGGAATATCATTGACTGACGGGGTCCTCGGGCGAGACGGAATTTGTGGTTGTGGTTGTAGCATGTCTGGTAGTGCTACAGGGCTGAGTTCGGCTGGTGTAGAGATCGGGACGTTGCTTCCATCAGAGCGCACCAGATTTCTCCATTTTTCTCTGACCTCGTCCATCTTGTTGACGGTCAAATCAGTCTCCTGTCCGAATCGAACTTGGTATCGTGGGTTTGTCCTTTCCTCGAATTCTAAACGACGGGCTTCTTCAGGATTGCTGCGAAGTCGAACAATTTCTGTAGCACGATGTCTTTGTGCCCTCATATATAGTTTCCTTATAGGCATCACGACAGATGTATTGTCGCCAGATCTCCAAAGCTGGGCTGGATGATCCTCGTAGCAATTGATCGCTTCCCAACCACGCTCCACAAGAGGGGTCCATGGCCGGCGACAACTGGCTATGAGGAAGTAGGCCATGGCAGACCAGTTGGTGTAGGTTTTGAACAACCACCTAAACTGTTTACACCTTGTATCATTGTTCAAGATGTGATTGTATTCGGCAATCTCGATTGCCGCCATGTATGCACGCTCTCTCGCTTCATCTGAAAGTGCACCCTCGCCATCGGAGCCTGGGAAGAGTACTGGCTGGTATATGACCAAAGTCATCTTAGCCATGATAATACGAGCGATCGAGGCAGCCATCCAATATAATGGATCGGTATCAATTGTGACATGCTTCAGAAATTTGTGCTCAACTTTCCGATAGACGTCAATGAGCATGCGTTCTCTTTCTGCAAGAGTAGTATTCTCGAAAGGCATGCCTTTGGGACAGAAAGACATTGATGCAGATGATAGGCGAACAAGACGCCTGCCAAAACCTGCAATCTCAAACCGAACAATCGCCACCGCGCAATCAGAGTGGCCTTCTCTGGGTTCAGGGGCTTCTGTCGAATCAGGTTTAATGTCGGCATCGTTGATGTTGCTTGGCATTTGTGTATCAAAGTTGAAGTCTTGGATAATGAGATCAGTACCCAACTCATCCGCGGATCGGAGATCTAATAAGAGTAGTGACCACCAGAGACGTCTTCGCATCTCTGTTTCAAAGGGACTCAGACCAAAATGTGACCCATCCCGGTGTAGTCCCATGCCCTGAGCGAGATGAGCTATCAGGCCGGTTAAAGACCAACAGAAACGGCTTCCATCGTGGCCTTTAACTACAAGAAGGAAGATGAGCAAAGCTTGCATGATCGGAGTGTCCAGCGAGTTGAGGAAGTTGGCTTTAGCGAGAGCCTGCTCGACCGCGAAACGGTATTGCACAAGGATATCCTCTTTGGTGACACCGAGGTTGGCGCGAACCTGAGTTCAAAAAGTCAGTATTTCTTGTCATCATACACAGGATTTCACGTACCTCGTCAGGATCTAATGACGTGATTGCAGCATAGTATATCGCCCAGACCAGGGCTTCGTTTCCAGGAGAGAGTTGCTTATGGTCCCTTCTAGCATCTCGGAAAACAGGCTCCATGGTCGGGATATGCAGCACTTTAAGCAATGGCTCCACATTCTCCTGGTATACAGACCACAGAAATGGGATGACTGAAGGGACAGGCCAGTACTTGTCCAAATCCACCTCTGTTGAGCGATAGCCAAAGATGAATGCGTTGTGGTTCGCCGATAGCGCAACTGCAGGTGAACTATCCGGAGTTTCTTCCATGTCAGATTCGTCAAAGTCTTCATCAGTGAGCCGTTGCGTCTCTTCTCTTATGGAGTCAAGCTGGTTTACAAGTCAGCCACAAACTTTTACAATTCCAATATAAACCAACCTCATCATTAAGTTTTGCCCAGAGACCGTGGCTGACATATTTTCGACTTCCACTGGTATCGTTGTCGTTCAGGACCAATCGGCCAAACTTCTTATGCATACCCTTGCGCGTGCTCTCGCTCTGGTCACTTGTTGCGTCGCTTCCCCGCGGGCTTCCACCAGTCATTGTCGCATTGCCTTGCTGAGAGGATGCATTTGACAAGTGTCGTTGAGTATTATGCCCTGATGTCTCAAAGGAATTTTGAGCTGAATGTACTTCGGGTGAGCTGGCTGAGGATTGCCCTTTGCCCCCTGACTCAACCTCGATCTGTCCGCTCAATTCTTCTACGATGCCCTCCAACTTTCTCAATCTCTTCATCAACTCTATCTCACGCTGGCTTGAGTTTTTAGGTGGCGCATTGGGATCCTTCCGGCGCGGCTGCCGCGGTGCTCTCCCAGGGGCGGGAAAGACGCATGGAATTTGTGCTCGACGACAGTTGGAACACGGCATCTGCTTGTCGCAACGAACTTTCCGACGGCGACAGGTTACGCATGATCGCGGGTTCAGGGCGGGGGTATTGCTTCCGGGTTGCTGGATCGGGCTCGTGTGGGCTTCGGGCCCTGTCGTCTGATAGACAGTAACGTTGCCTTGGAAAGAATTCGGTTGGACGTGGAAGGAGGAAACATCTTGTTGTGCGTTGGTGTTGGATGCAGGCGACGTTGTGGACTGTTGCGCAGAGTCAAGCCCCTCAGACATGACTCCGTTATTGAAGCCGAACCCGAGGGATAGACCATCCATATAGTTGGACATATTTGTGTTACGTTGACCGAACGTTTTGGCGCGCGATAATGACGATAATCTGCGTTACGGCTGCAAGAATGCAATGCGTGGGGTCGGTCAGACGGTAGACCAGACCAGACCAAAGGATGGACAGAGGAATTCTTTTGCGGACTCGGTGGGCTAGATTGCTCTGGAATGAAGAGAATGCGGGCGTGGCGAGGCCATCAACGACCAGGTGCGGTAACGCAGACGAAACCTCGACTGTCAGGACTGGCTGTCGCGAAGCCAGAAGAGGCTGAGAAGGCTGTAGCTGTGAAACATAAGACGTTGGCTGGAGGAGAGGAAAGACTGGACTCTGGGTCTGGGTCTGGGTCTGGGTCCTGGGTCTGTGTCTGCCACTGTCTGGGTACCTGAGGAGTCGACGAATGCGTTGCTTGACAGCCAGAATGATTGGGAGAATGGAGTTAGTTGGTGGGGAGTTGTTAGTACAGTCTAGGTTGTAACTGTAACGTAGGTCGTATTGACGATCCCCGGGGTGCCTTCCCTGCCTTGGCACCAGCGCCAGTCAATAAACGACCCGAGCTGACAGACAAATATCGTGGTAGTACAGTAGGGTCACTAAAATACCGGGGACTTTTTTGTCGTCTATCGTAGGGCCATAGGGCGGAATACCTGTAAAGTGACGCTAACGGTCAAATCTGTCTCAGGGCCTGCAGAACCTGCCAGAGGCTGGGGTTCCTATTTGATGGCTTCACTCTTATGATTATTCATTCAAATCGGCCGTCAGCACTAACTCCGTGTTCGGTATTAGCACCAGAGACCAGAATCGATTGTTGTCGTCATCAAAGAATCACGTTTTGGTCTGGATAATGCCCGTGCTGCAGTGCAGAACTTGTGCTACAGTACAGTAATTCGTACAACTAACAATTCTTCAATGCTATCGCTAACTATAAACTATAAACTTATGGTTAATTCCGGGATGATAGACCGTAAAATAGTCGTGAAATCATCATCCGTGTCGGACTCCCGAAGTTTCCGCTTTCTATATCAGTTGCCATTGCCTCCGCTGCCGACCTAGTATTCATCCGGAGAGGGGTTCTATGAGGTTGTCATAACATCTGTGAAGAGTGCAGAATTAATGATCTCACTATTGGTCCAGAACAACCAATAGTCAAAACGGAGACCGATAATATCACCGAGCTCAAATTTCAGACATGGATGGCCGTTGTTTTATGGAAGGTCGACACTTTAGACCTTCCCTTCAGGCTCTTAAGCAACTTGGTCTGCATATTAGTGTGGTTTGACGCAGATATGTAAGCATGGAAGTTAGAGATGTCACTGATCTTCACATGCAAGCGGAGTATAGGTCGACAATGACGTCTAATCGCGGTTCATTTAAACCCTGAATGTCTAGGCTCATCTAGGCTCTCACGGTATGACAGACCAAACTTATCAATATCACAGCCCATAGGTACGGCACTTGGCCTCGTGATTGTAAACGGGAACGGCATTTCGTTCCATTAGATCGCGCTCGACATGAAAGCCTTACGAAGGATGGGGGTTTGTGACATATCACAAGTCAATTGCCTTACATTGATCGGCTCCCAAGAAGTGAGATCGACTTCCACACGTTATGATAGTGGGATTGAAGGTTTAAGGCAACCCAAGTAATTGGTATCACTTGACACATCCCGCTAAGTTAGACGAGATGCAACGCCAATTGAAGGTTGCGATTGGTAGCCTTCAATGCCGTGAATATGCGGCTTTCTCCTTGACAGCGGAATTGAACACATTGAAACTCGTTTGGTTGGTGATAACTGCGATGTATCTCCGGAATTCCTTATCTCTCTGGATTAGAGATTGTGTCCTCTCTGGCAGCTGACCACTTGGTGGTGGCATACAACTCAATGAGAATGGCACTCATCTGCATGAAACAATCCATTGCCTTCTTAGATGTCCTGGATGCCAACATGCCAAGTGATTGCTGAACTGATCGATCTAGGATATTCAGACCCCGATATCATTAAGCGGTACGGCCCCACTAATACCGGAGCGGAAACACGAATCAGGCCGGATATACCCAACCCAAATAGCCGCATCGGAGCCGGTGAATCTACAGCAACAGGTATGTGGCTCCTTTTCTCGACGATTTCTTTGTTGGCACTATAATATTGGCTCGGATCATGGCCACAATCTGGTCGCTTTAGCTCCAAGAGCTAACGCACCTACGCAACCCTCTACGTGATACCCGCCAGCATTCCCACCTAACATGAGCTTCAATATTTCTGCCACTTTCCCTTCTGCAGTCCAGATCCTCGCTTAATGGCGTGGCGCTGGGGTCCAATGCAGTATGGGATCATTGCTCAGCTGCCCTACTTGAATTCAACATCCCACCAGTAAGGGACCGACAAGTAAGAGTCTTATGGCGAGCATGTATGGTAAATAACGGTCTGAGATACTGCTTTCGGTGAAGTTGTGGGCGCCAATTCGGGGGAGATTCGAAGCAGAGCCTCATTATTGCCACGGCCAGTAGACGTGATCAAGGTCGCCTATACAGAATGCCAGTTTGGGATACCGGACTGTAGCATTGCCAAGTAAATAATCCCAGCTGATTCGTTGGCTTAAATGAGGGCCGGTTATTAGTGTGGTGCGTTTTATGCATGTCATGGATGTATGTAAAGGGTTCCCAAGGCTAGCCGGGCCGCTGGCGGGGTTCAAGCACCGAAGCTTGTGTTGAATTGGAAGCATGACCATCGATAAAGACAGCAAGACGCAGGTAAGTTCTCTGGTTTCGATGTGGCTCCCCCACAGATTGAGAGAACGAAATCAGATCCAGCGAACGGAATTGAGAGGATAGACCCGTGAACGATGTTTCACCGGTCCATTGTGCCCCACGAGAGACCCCAGAAGCCAGGGAAGTTAGCTGCAGTACTCAAGATGCTTGATGAGCTGTCATGATCTGCTAGAGACATGGACAGTCAATCTTTCCAAGATGTCTGCAACCATTACCCAAGTTAGCAGTAAGGACGCAGATGTACCAACCGCATCCCTTCCCCCGATAAGGGACCCCAGCTGCTATGCGCAGACAACGCAGCCATCTTATGTATCTCATGTGCTCCAGATTGGCTTCGCAGCGGCGCAAGCAAGGCTCGCGAGTCGTCATTGGCGCATCATCTGCACCATCAGATGCATCGCGGGTAGACCGATGAGAGAGCTACACCCACGTCGCGGCAGTAGACAAGAAATGCAACATATTCTTTCCTTGATGGTGTAGCTTGAATTCCTCCAGTGGAGAAGAAGGGCAAGAGCAGAGCCGCAAAAAGATGTGTAGTGATATCATTGGTGTCTGGCGGTATAGCTCGTGATCGAATGTCGAGGTCGGGTCCTCTTGTTGTGTTGTAGCGAGCGGATATATTCTGGTGTTGAGTGCCACAACCTTGAGATATAAATTGCCGTGTCTGTCGCTCGATATCCTCGGAGCTTTTCTCATCAATCAAGTTGTTCTCATGATTCCTTCCACAAGCACTCAAACACTGCCAACATTTACACTCAATCGTTCTTCACACAGCATGCCTGATCAGCCTTCGTGAGATCTCCCAGGTCGTTTTGCTTCACAGCTAACAGCAGCAGCACTGTCAAAACCTGGCTGGATGAGCCGCCCAATCTGTCCGATATTTGGGCAAAACAGGGGTCAACCAACCAGAAATCTGACCCGAAGAACAATAAACCTGAGAAGAAGAAGAATTAGGTCGCAATGAAGGATATGAATTGATACCCGCGCCGGCGCACTTGAATTTGAAGGAACCAGAATGTGTATATGGGATGACACCTCAGAGAGGCTCTGTCGTTCATAACTGTATTCATTATTATCTTCGTATAAACATGAAGCTCGTCTTTATCTATATGCATAGTGAGTTGACTCATCCAAGTTTTCGCCAGACTCGCCAAAAGCTTTGGCAGGGTATTGAACGCCATGTGAATGTGGATAGAAATACCAATATAACAAGTGCCATAGAAGAACGCCGTAGTCGCCATCTGATGATATCAGAACCGCTTTCGCTCCTTGCCGCGGTGGCTTACTCGCGCCACACAGCACACACTTTTGGACTCGCACCATTTCTTGAGATCGACGGGATTTACCTCTCCGTCAAAACCGACACGACTGAGCTCGCCAGTATTTAGCCACATTGCAAGATCTTCCAGTACGAGGGGTTCGTAGAGAAGTATCTTTTCGTTCCATGATGGTTCTTGTGGGTTCGTAGTCCGTGGAGCTGACTTGACAGCATTGGTGATATGCTCAAACAGGGCCGCTTCTGCATCGGTGGGTGTTGCTGTGAGGTCGTCCGACTCTATGTCTTGACTGGTTGTGAGAGACATGTCCAACGGAATCTCAGAAGAGAATGTCGGTTCAAGATTGGTCTGCGGAGAAGATGCGAAATTGCTAGCATCATCTTCAGAGTCAGGTATTTCTATGACGGACTTTTGTGAAGCTTTGCCACGACGAGGTGATGTGCTTCGCTTTGTTGGCGAGGCTGATTTGCGCTTGGGGGGAGAGGGAGTTCCTGGCAAAGAGTCCAGGCTATCCTTTCGTGGCCGACCAGGGCCTCGTTTGGATGGAGAAGCAGTATCGGACAAAGAATCGAAGCTGTCTTTTCGTGGCCGGCCACCACGTCGCTTGGGAGTAACGGGGGGTTGTGCAGAAGGAGGTGGTTCTTGAGGCTCCGAGGCACTGGGGCTTTTCCTTTGTGTTGATTTTGTAACCTTCTTGGGACTGCGTGTGGCTTTCGGGGAGGTCTTTGGTTTGGCAGTCTTGGGGGTCTTGGACTTGGCGGAAGGTGACTTAGCTGGGGTATGAGCTGTAGTATGAAAGCTTGCCTGTCCCATACGAGCCTTGCTCTGCCAGCATTGATCAAGCAAGGAAATCATCGCGCTTCTTCGCTTGATAGGTTTGAAGCCAAATTTCTTGATTTCCCTTGCAAGGCGGAGGTCTGTAAAGCCCTCGTAATTAGGTCGTGGTAGCTGCGGTGGAAGCTCAGGTAGTTTCTCAGTCTCCTCAACCCCTACGGTCAGATTCTCATCGGTGATCTTGTCCTGTTCAGGCACTGATGGGCCGATATTCGTGCTGACTGAAAGATCGCTGTCGGAAAAGTAGGGCGAGTCACCCTCAGAAGCAGACATGGCCCTTTCACCAGGCAATGCTGCAGCTTCCGGTAGCTTAACACTGTGATCGGGGTCACTGAGGACGTGACTCTCTTCAATCGTAATAACGCTCTGGTCGGCTCCCATATTATAACCAAAGGGGTTTGCATCAGCGCCGTCCTCTTGTAGTAGTGTTGTATCCTCTATCAAGTTTATAACCTCCACATCGAAGAGGTCTCCTTCAGCATCACGAGCGGCGGCGTTCCAAAGGTTGGTTCGTTGCTGCTGTGGTTCGATGCCATCGCTATGGATAGGCATAGCAAAGTCTATGTCATCGTTCTGGTTTGACTGTCTCAAAGCAGCTTGAAGATCTCTCAAGACTGTTGGAGATTCTTCCCTTGCTAGCTGACTGGAAGTCCCGAAAAGGAAATCTTGATTGGCAACTTGTGCCAAGGCAGTGCTTGGCGATAGCAGAACCGGTTTAGGGGGCACCTTCTTCTTGGTGGCCTTCGTGGTTTTCCGTCGTGTTTTTGCTTTGCCTTTGGCATTGTCTGGTTGCGCATCAGCTGCGGATCCAGTGTCATTCTTTGTAGTCGAGAAGTGATCCAGTATAGAAGCGCTGGGTTCAGGGTCAGGCACCCTGTACGCAGCGGTGGCAAGTTCTGTGATAGTCCTAGGCTTCTTCTTCTTTGGTGGCTTTTTCGTGGGCGACTTCTCGGGCTCTGCCACTGAAAAGTCTGCACCCTTTGTCGCTAACAGTTCAATACGTTTTCGTTTCTTGAGAAAACTCGAATCTTCGTCAGAAGGAGGGGCAGAATGAGATGCTGATTCCGACGGGTCTTCTATACGAGCAAAGCCCCCAACAAGATTCTTGAAAATGGGAAGTGGTTGGCCTGCCTCAGACGAGCCCAGCGTCTTGAATGCGGATGAATCTGAGTCAACATTTACAACGGTCTTCTGAGCGGGAGGAGTCCAATCCAATCTCCGCGCAGGTGCTTGTTCCAGATGAAGGGGTTCATTCACATCGATCTGATCAAGTTTCTCGAGGACGTCAGGTTCATTTGCTGGTGGGAAATGGTTACTCATAGTATCCGTCTTCTTCTTTGCCTTCGTTGCCTTGGACTTCACTTTTGTATCATCGGCATCCTTTCCGTCATCATTGTCTTTTGAAGACCCAGCCTTAGCCGATGCTTTGGGTTTGGCTCGTTTCGGAGCAGCTGGCTTTGATACTTTCGGTTGTCGAGGCTTCCTGGTCCCCTTTCCGGTGATTTTCACTACTACAATATCATCTTCGGGTTGTTCGAAAGGGGCAGGGTCCCCAGCTATGAATCCACCGTCGTCCGGAGGTTCATCCGCCGGGCCTGCATGGATATTTGAGTTGACAGCAGTGAGGGGTGATTCGACCAAAGGCATCGCATTGGCTTTCGTTGTCGATTCTGTAGAAGAATACAGATTGCGTGCAGAAATGAAGCCAGATGTCTGACTGCGAGTCTGATGCTGACTTGAACCTCTTGCTGCTAGAACGTCCTGTAGCGGTGGAAGGTCAGGAGAAGAATTCACATGAAGTCGTTGGCAATTTCTATCGCTGAGTGGCGATAACCTCAAGGGATCAGGGGATGCCATAGCGCTCAGGATTATGGACCGAGAGCGCAGAGCGCATCTCAGGCCCTTTATTCGTAACAGAATGATGTCGAGGTTGAAAAGGCGTTGAAAATGAGTAACGGCGGGGTCATAATATGAAAACGTATTATTTTGCCTTATTTAAAGTCTTGGGGTCATGAGATGGTTCGCCTTGAGGCAAGCAAGGGGTCGCCAAAAAAAAGACCCACGCTAGGAATTGAACGCTTGCCTTCGCGAATACTTTACGCGCTGTCACATGAGGAACAAGCACGTGACAGAAGGCGTGACCTGCTCCACCGGGAAAGAGCGACCAACGCAGTAGGGCAGGAAATTATGACCCACACCACAGACTGGTTGCCAAAAGCACCAAAATTGAAATTGCTCTTCCTCCCACTTTGCGACGACTCGACTTCACCTCCCGCCGACACAACCACTCAAAACCCCAAAACCACCCCCCCTCAAACCAGCCAAAATGGAGAACGACCGCGGCGAGATTGTGGACCTGTAAGACATCACTTTGGAACATTGGAATAGGATGCGCGATGGGAGAATCATGATACTGATGCAGCATCACCAGTTACGTCCCCCGCAAGTGCAGCGCCACCAACCGCATCATCAAGGCCAAGGATCACGGCTCTGTCCAGATCTCCGTCGCCAAGGTTGACGAGAACGGCCGTGCCATCCAGGGCGAGAACCACGTCTACGCCCTCTGCGGCTTCATCCGAGCTATGGGCGAGAGCGACGACTCCTTCAACCGACTGGCCCAGCGTGACGGCCTCCTCAAGAACGTCTGGAGCGGACAGCGATAAATCAATCAAATTGTTGGGAAAAAGTTGATCGACATCTGGTTCTGAGAATCCTCGACAAAAGGAATTCTGATACGAATGAACCACAGGGTTTTGGGTTCGGGCACGAAGGCAATGGGTGAAAGAAACTAGGGTTGGCTGCATCTAGCAAATCCACTTCGAGGCGTTCGGCTCGATTTTGAGACAACATTACGATATCCCGAATCCGTGTTTGAAGATGTGATGAACTGGTTATAATGCACCCGATACGGCTGGCGAAGTCTCCTCGGACAGACTTCACAAGTCAACTTTACTCCGAGGATTCTGGGGCTACTCTGATGGTCTCCATGCCGCAGATTAACTAGGCTCTGAAAAAGCCGTAGCGCTCAAGTCGTTTGCTATGGTACAGATACGGGTCTAACATGAATTTTCAATTATGTGACTATCTTAAGCATGTGCAGCTGTTTTTTATTTTTTTTATTTGATATGATCCTTAAGCCATCCATACTGTCACAACGTAGACGCCAGTCCAACGCCCGCGATCCCCAGCCAATGTCAACTTTTGGTCGTTCTGATAACGATGTATGGCATTTCGAATGGCGGGGCGCTCAATTTCGATTATGTCTCAGCTACCTCAGCTTAGCTTTCTTTCTTCCGATACAAGTTACGGCAATTAGTCCTTGCTCGCATCCCCAGGAAGCTCAGACAATGCGAACCCAGATGGCAGAACGTCAGCGTAAGACCCGTATGTCATCTACCCCCACCAATGATCTTGATAAACACTCCTCAGGGTATCCCAAAGCATAAGAAACGAAATGATTTGGTCACTTTATGCTAGCTTAGACTAGCATTGAGGACAATCCTCCTGTTACCCGTCTGACACTCCTCACTCGTCGACTGCAAGTCCCTCTTTATAAACAGCAAGTGCTCGTTCCCGGCAGTCCTTGTGTGTGACAATAGGTTGAGGATAACCATTCTTCTTGGCTTTGGGTCCAGCACCTCGACTGTAAGGTTCATGGATCGCTTTACCCTCAACGTCCTTCAACTCGGGAACCCACTTGCGGATGTAATCACCCTCAGGGTCGAACTTCTCACTCTGTAATAAGGGATTAAAAATGCGGAAGTACGGTTGAGGATCGACACCAACACTGGCACTGAAACCCCAGCCGCCATTGTTCGAGGCAAAATCACCATCGACAAGATGCTCCATGAAGTACCTTTCACCCTTTCGCCTGGTTACAAGTTAATAGGGCAACACAAGAAAGGGGCACAATGTAGGAGTAACTTACCAATCCAACAAAAGGTCCTTTGCCAGAAACGAAGCGACAATCATGCGGCATCGGTTGTGCATGTAGCCCATGGTATTCAGCTGTCGCATGGCTGCGTCAACGATTGGGAAACCTGTCCGGCCCTCGCACCATGCGGCGAAATGGTCATTGTCGTATGACCAAGAAATGTTTGAGTATTCCGGTTTGAAAGGCTTATTCATGCTGCTTATGTCAGTGGCAGAACTAGTATCTGACGGAGTTTACTTACCAAACATATGGCCACTGAACCAGAACATGCTTATAAAAGTCGCGCCAGGCAACTTCACTGATCCAAGTCTGAATACCGTCGTTACCTCCATTCAGTTTCTTGGTTTTGTTTCTGTCGCGCGCAGTTCGCACGCATGTCCTCGCGCTGATAGTTCCGGCGGCCAGATGTACTGATATGGAAGAAGTAGCTGCCTCAGCCGGTATATTCCTCTTCTCTTGATAGTTTGAGATCCTCTCTTCACAGAACTTGTCCAGGCGCTTCTTTGCCTCATGCTCTCCGCACGGCCACAGTGAGCGTAGACGCTCTTTCTCTTCGTCGCCGAGTCGCTTGCTCTTGGGAGCTTCAGGAATTTCAACATCGAACAACTTCTTGTAGTCTTTGCGCGCACTGCTTGGGTTTTTCTCGGGTTGTTCGTACAGCTCCAGCAGATCGAGGTTCTCGTGGATATGGGCGACCCATGTCTTGAACCAAGGGCTATACACTGCGTATTGTTTTCCAGCACCAGTATGAAGCTCTCCAGGAGGGACGACACAAGTATCGTGGACAACTTCAAATGCTTTACCATTCTCAGCAAAGTCTTTGATCATGGCAGCTTCTCGCCTCAATTCATCCACCTCGTATTCCATGTTGGCATACAGATGACTGGCGCCCCATTCATCCATGAGTTCCAGTATTCGATCTGGAAGATGCTTCCTCTTCTCAACTGTCTCCACATAGAGTGGGATGTCGAGCTTTGCAAGGTCTTCTTTGATGACTGAGAGTGTCCGCAACATAAAATCGATTCGCACGGGAGATCGTAGATGAGCTTCGTAGTCTTGAGGGCTGATGATGTACATGGCGATCAGGGGGACGCCCGCTTCCTTCGCCTTGTCACTAGCCAAAGCCAAAGCTCTGTTGTCGGATATCCTCAAGTCCATCTTGAACCAATGGACTACCGCTTTGTTGACATCGATACTTTTGCGCTCCTTTGCCGTGACCTCGAGGGCGTCGATCAGAAGCTCAATTGGGCGAGGGATCTGATTATCATTGTAGGCGCGAGCTCGCGCATTGCTCATTTCCGGTGGGTAGAACTTGCGAATCGCAATTCCGTTCTCCTCTGCTTCATTGGCCTTGTGATGGGGTCGGCGCAAAGCATCCGATGAACCGTTTGTCTTGGACGTCTTTGCCTTCTTGGCAGTACTTGCTGAAGGAGACGAAGACTCGCGCTTGAGTCGCTTGGAAGGCATTGTTGCGAATCTCACAGAGGACGAAAATATGCTATTTCGGTGTGGTTGACGTTTCAGTATGAAGGATGATCGGGAATTCACCAAAGGCAATAAGCGTATATGCGATGCAAATCGCGACATGGAAAAGCGTGTACGGTTTGTAGTTTTGGTCGCATGCGCAGAGGTGATTGATTAAGAAAAGGAGAGAATGCGACAAACTTTCATTATGTAAATTACTCTTTGCTTTGCCTACTATAACCCGGTAACGAGTACTAAACAACACTCGTGGCTGGTTCCTAATAAGGTAGAAAGCGTGGAGCTTCGATTTGAAATACGTCATGACGTCCCTGGCGATCGAGGCTGCCGCAGAACAGATCTGAGATTCATAGATCCCTAGGGGTTTAGTGACAGATTTATTCCTCTGATTGGTTCATAATGGTCTGTAATCGTCTGGACGGGCCCGTGCTGTCGAGATTGGTATGGGTCCAACTGATGGATAATAGGTGACAGAAGAATTGTCCTCTAAGGCCTAGGCTGCTGAAATAAGGTGGTCTAAGTCTCCTACTAAGCTGCCATAAGGTAATCAAATCATTTCGTCTCTTAGGCTTCCGGTGGGCAGATTGCTAAGTTGTACAGTGAATTTATATGGGACAAGCCGTTTCAAGAGCTTTCAAAACGTGGTGACATCATCTCATGTTTGTTCTCTCTAGGGTATCTAAATGCCATTGTCTTGAAGTCAGAGCATGGAAATGATAATGATCAACGCCACTACCTAGTACTTATTAATAAAACTTGAAGAGACCCATGCCTTCTCTCCGATTCTATTGACCCAATGTTGAATCCGCTGCTTCCTTAATCGGAATCAGGCACGGCAGTTGCGATTCACCTTCTGTACCTACCTATCGACATTAGAGCTTTGTGATTGGTTGAAATCCGCTCACAGGCAGGAGCGGCAGATCCTCTGATGCCTGCGCGCCTCATCTCACGCGTTTTTATTATCACCATTTCATCACATTACATACTACAATATTCCTACAACAGTAGTTCTAATTGAACAACACACTGCCGTAAACGTCCCTTGGCTCGATCAATCATGCCCCAGACCAAGTCATGGCGGCCACTGCCGCTTCAATCGTCTCCCGATTTGCCTGTGCTCTTAGTGTCTTTCCACACAGAAGCATCTTCCTACACTATTCACATAACCGACATGGCAAATATGTGGGCTGAGACACTTGAACGCAAGGCAATCTGCATGAGAGGCTGGAATGAGAATACCAGCATCGACCCAAGTGATACTCCAGAGAACATGGCGAAATTCCTGGCAAGTATCAGTACCGCTTTGGACTCTTCTCGGCCAGGACATGATGAAACGAGTCTTCGTCTAGACCGTGATACCAGGCCGGAAACAGCAGGCGAGCACGATCTTGCCCTCAACATTACTTGTGAAATTCCTGGACTCCAGCCACTCAAGTGGCCAATGTTTCTGAAGAAGTTGCCTGCTATCAACATAGCCACTAACCTGGTACTTCCACTGCTTCAAGCACACCATACAAAAAATCTCGAAATTGAGTCTCTAGTTCGGAGCCTGGGGAAGAAAGATGCGATTCTTACTAAACTTTTGGACAAACTGGAAGCCATGGGCACAGGCATGGAACATGTATTCAACGCCTTTTCTGGCAAGAAAAAGGTTTCAAGGGCAATAGCAGCCGAAAAGGTGCCTGGTCTCGCGCCTTTCGACCGCCGACAATGGAAGAAGGATCTCGAACACAAACAAGAGAGTCCAGATAACCCGCAATCCTTAGTGGAAAGTGTTTTTGAACAAGGAGGACTGGAATTCGAGCCGATGTCAAACAGCACCGAGTCACCTTTGCTGGATCAATGGTGGAAAGACTTTCAGGGTGTTTCATCTGCCGGTCGTCAGAAAAAGCCCAAGGCAGCTGTCGTAGACAGTTCATCGATGGTGAATGACAAGGAGAGGTCTGCCTTCGAGGATGGAGATGATGACTTCCAAGTTCAATCCACACCTCCACATCTTGCCTCTAAGAGGAAGTCGACCGATGTAAAAGGAACACTGGCCACGGACGATGGCTCTACAGAGGGAGAATCAGCAGGCAGTGTATCACCCGTTCGAAATGCAGGAAGGGTGGACAAGCCAGCCCGCCGTCTGGGTGCACTGGGTCGAAAGAAGCAGTCGACTCCACCTCGAGCCCCTGATCCTGTACCATCTCAGAGCGCGTCACTTCCAGTGCCTCAGCAGAAAGACGATTCGGAGACAGCATCCGAAGGGGAGGAGGAGGACACAGCGGTATCACCTCCAGCGAAAGACCCAACACCGCCCCCTGTTTCCCCAGCGCGGCCTGCGGCAAAGAAGAGCGGCCTTGGACGTATCGGAGGTAGCAAGTCAAAACAGTCGGCTGGAACAAACGCTGCACTTATTGACCTGGAGGCGACTGAACCCACGGAACCCAGCACAGCGGCAGTCTCCCGTCGCCCTGCCAGGAAGTTGGGTGCTATTGGGAGACAGAAGGCCGATGTGGAAGATCCAGCGTCAAATTCTAACGAAGACGTTCAAAGAGGCCGATCTGCTGCAAAGGATGCCATCCCGGAGCCCACAGTAAGAGAGACTTCGCAGGAGAGGGCTGATAGACGACGAGAGGAACTCAAAAAGGAACTGGAAAAGAAGGCGGCAGCTGGTCCCGCGAAGAAGAAACGAAGATTTTAACTTCAATCATATCCTCATCAACAACCTCACGTCTTAGAATTGTTATGGTCTTCCAAACGAGAGGCAAGGGTCACAAGGTTAGTCCCTTTGACATAAGCGATACTGAAAAGGACAAATGAAGGAGTATCTCGAGTTCAGATCGATGAATATATCCAGGTCGACGGTTCTCATGACTCCGCTAACCACATTGCCACAACCTCGAAGCCATGTGCTTTCGTTACGGAGGCTACGTGGAAGCAATCAGCGACTGCTTTACCCATTCTCACAAAACAAGCGCAGTGTACCTAAGCCAGCTATCAATATTTTGCATTTTCAACTTCAATCATTGTTCAAGCGGCTTTGGTCGAAAGGCATCATTCGTTTCATATGTGTACACAATGGAAAGGCGCAGTATCTATCCGCCGGTGCAGAACGCCATCAATGCACCCACATGTGTTCATGCTGTGAAAGCCGAGCAGCATCAGACTCGTGGAACCCCATTCAATGTACAAATTTCGACATTTGCGATTATACATCAAGCCTTGATTAGCTCGGCGGAACCTTTCAATATATGCACACCAGCACCACTGTTCGCCTATACATTAACGGCAATTGCACCGGTATCTGAAGAGTCGATGCCAAAGTGGCACACGCTCCTCCGGCAACAAGGTCCGCCGCTCGTCCGGCTTCTGTCCTGAGAATCTTCCTCTGTATTGGTGACCTACCCAAAGCCTCAGTTCCAAGCAGATTTCAATGAGCCTAATCTGCACACTGATGTCCGATGCCTGCCGGAAGCCCGACACAACAATATCATTACATGCCAGCCAAAACCAGAGCTATCCCCGATGGACCGCACTATTGACAGCTTGTCCGGTTGAAGATCTAGAGTCTACCGAGTTTCGTGTCTTATGTTCATGTAAGAAAACGGAGATCCTGTACACAAAATTGCTACTAATCGTCCACTTGGTCTCAGAAACGACACTTTTCATTATTAGCCCTGGAATACACTTCCCTTTACGGATTGAAGTGGTTCTGGGCAAGTGCTACAGTATTTACATCAATAGGATTGCGCTTACCCACAAGATAACAAGGCTCAATGACCAACATTACAACAATCGTACGATTGAGGCTTGATGAGGCGTTCCATAGCGTACGGCTGGACAGGCGCTGAAGACACTTCTGCAATTTCCAGGACACCACAATATATAAAGAACTGCCAGACTCGGTCATGTCGCATCACAGTGATCTACTCCCATTGGATAGACTCTAAAGCATTGTGTTCTAATTGAGGGGCTATCTTGGACGTTGCGACCAGTAGCTACTGGGCCTACATAGCCCTCATACACCATCTGTCACGCGGCAGTCGCAAATATAACGGCAATGCATCAAACAGACGAGATGGTGGCACACGCAGCGGGTGGTTTCTCGTACTCGAAGGGTGGTGGATCCATGTCAGAATGGCTTAGCGCAAGTTGCCAAGAAACGCCGTCAGGCGTGTGCATAGACGCGACCAGTGAAGATGCGTCCAGGACCTGGAGAAGTCCGAAGACCATATCAGTGTGGCATTACAGAGTCCCCTACAACAAGGGTCTTCTTGCAGGGATTGAGAAATGTGCACACAATAACAATAAGACCTAACGGGCCCGAAGCTGGCCCTGGTGACGAGAGTTGCTGCAAAGAGACGAAGGAGAAAAGGGAAAGAAACGTTGGATGAGGCACAGCAATTCGGACGATTGATGGATCGCACCAGGCTGGCTGTAATATCGACAGGGCTGATATGGAGGGTTGGTATTCCGGACCAACTCTTAAAAGATCACGTCCACACCTTATCTCGCATACCATCTTCCTTTTGCTTGGCTTAAGTGTTTTGGTGGACCAGCTGGCTCAGAAGGATGCTCTCAGACACAGACGGGTCGGCGAACTTTCGAGTCAGAACGGCCTATGATCAAAATGAGCAATGAATCTGATTATCACCATTACTGTACCTCAAAGGGTGGCTTGAAGATCATTGCAATTGACAAATCATTCGTCGTCTTGGAGGCTCAATTGGACCCATGGGTGGGTCAGATGTTGGTTCAGCTCTGTTAAGATCTCAACAAGCCTAGTTGTTGTCGCGATCTGGTAGCGGAATCTGTCCAGATCGTGATTATATCTCGATAGTGGATCAAGTGGCTGCCAATGTCCATTAGATCGTACCAGGTACCGGGTTACGGAATATGAGTCCGACCGCCAACGTCGTTTGATCAATGAGACGGGACAAAACAACAGGGAACCATGATCGACGATTAGCCGGTTAGCATCACCCTGGTTGCGCCAGGACAAGTCACGAGTTGCAGTACCTTGTTGGCGCTTCATTTGCCTGCTTATCGCGCAATGCTGAGATCTTTTTACGTACTGTCCTCCTGGCCATTCTGAACCTGCGCAAATGATGTGGTAGTGTCAGTCATGGTTGATGATTCGCAACTATCCCGTACCACGCAATCAATAGTAGATCAGGGGCCAAAAGTCTGCCAAATTAGAAGTCGTGCATATCAAGCTACTTCAATTTCGAGTAGCTGGCATATGCCATGTTGGTGACATCAACTAACTGGCCAAAGATAGATTCAATGAATGCCTCTGAGACAGGCGATCACCACCACCTCGCAACACGAAATTGCATGTTTTGTTGGTGGGAGCATGGCCGAGAATAGGTCACCGTGGCTTCCTAGGGCGCGAAATGATCGGGCATTGCTCATTTTGCATGAGATATCGAGATGCTGCGCCGCAGCATTATATGAGAGATCGGGATTCCATCTCACGCTGCAGGGTTGCATCGATACTACTTGTTGCTGACCTTCTACGTAATTTCTCGATGTCAGCAGGGATGATCTTGGACACTCTTCTCCGACCATGAATACTGTGTATTGCGACGCTGGTCGTCTACAATAGACTCGCGAACTCCGAAGCCTTGCTTGGATGTTGAACCTTCAGCTTTGAAAGTTGATTGAAGGTACATCATCGGTAACGTCAACTGTACAGCTGCAGCAGGCTTTAATCTGCAGATTAAACTGTTTCGGGAATCAAGGGAAACCATTCCATGCTACGACAATGACATGAAGAAGCGTAAATGGTCGACAGCTTCAAAAGGATCCACTCATACATCCTGGAGGTTAATCATGCCCCGCTCTCGATGCTCTTGTTTCAACACACCGTTGGTGGGATCAGCCAGGAAATGCCATGCGGTCATCCTTTTCTTGGCTTCTTATTCCCTAGTCGTCGAGCTGCAGAAGACACTAGACAGGCAGACAAGCGCTAGAGTACGTGCTGAACTCGCAGCGCCGCTAACGGTTGATCACAAGCCATGGTTGGTGCAGAACGCCTTCTTCCTATTGTCATTGTTGGCTTCGAAGCTAATCTTGAGAAAGTGCCCCCATTTTCTAAACGGTGAAGCATATCGGAGCACACACCAAAAGCAGAGGCGCTTTGCTTTTTCTGCCTATTCGAGAATCATCCTATCAAGCTGGGTATGCAGAAGAGCTAAGGCTCGGAGGTGTTACGAAGAAAGGGACAGCGGGACTTGGTCTGAGTCTAGAGAAGTTACACCCAAGCAAGATGGTCATTACCCGGCCCGTTCCTGGCTGAGTTTAAGGTACTGTAATTGACCTGTCAAAGTGTCAAACGCCCACTGACGATGAGTAGTGCAAAACCAGCGGCCGCTACTTTGAAGTCTAATTCGAAAAAGAAAGATGGAGATGCTATTCTATTCTATGTCGATCCCACCTACACATCGGACATATCCACATCTCCATCAATCATACCTTTTACTTTTCTCGTCTGTTTCATCATTAATTCCTGTCGTCTCTTCTCTTCACAACACACTCGGCACACCGCACAGTGCATATGCATACTCCAGTATTGGATTAATCTTGTGTCACAATAGTGACCATATTCTCGGAACCTGTTGGCTCTTCATGACTGACATCTGAGCCCGCAATTGACAAAACGTCTCAGCAAAGACAACATCTTGTTTATTGATAGGCATGCTGGACAGCCCCACACCACCAGCTCCATATCGTGGACTGGGCAGGCAAGGGATGGGCTGAAGCAGTGACTGCAGTACTTGGTTGGCAGCAGGACATACAGGGAAAAGAGGCAAAGCGCCTTTGTTCATAAAAACGCTGCCTACAGGGATGCTGAAGAAAAAAGGAAATTGAAAAGAGACTCGGACCCGGAAACAACCCTGTGAGACACATGATGAGGCTTGACTGCACCGGGAATACACTTCGGGGTCTGTTTCCACTTAGTCGTTGCTGTATCCGTACAGCACTACAAAGACTGGGGTTTGACAGGCGTGGACATGCAGGCAAGGTGTGTCCTATTCTATTGAGAGCCTAACCGAGCTTCTAATAATACAACGCTCGGCAGACGTTGTGCTGTATGTACTGTATGTGTTTCTACAGTACAGGACAGTGCTTGTTACTATGGATCCTTGGAAGGTGGAATGCCCGCAGCACAGCAGATGGCCTCGACTGCAATGCCCTGCTCCCTTGCGGTTGCGGTTGCGGTTGCGGTTACGGTCTAAACGGGCCCTGGAACCGATAAGCAATTGTGTTTATGATCCTGGCATCCATATCTGCGGCTCGATCCTTCTCTGCTGATCTTATTAGCAGGTGGAGGATCGGGGAACATCGGTATCCCGCTCTCAGATTTGAAATGTCTGTGTGTTCAGGTTCAGGTCTAGCCTAGCCTTTAGAGTTAAGTTATCTCCTCTTCATTTCCATTGATTCTCAACGATTGCCTGTTCAAGAAAGGACCCTTTTCTCAGCGACGCCAATGTCTGAGCTCCTGGCGATCATACCAAGCCATCATATAACCTTCCTAGCTAGCCTCACTTGACCTTGGCCTTTCACTTCTCGTGGCATTCCTCTCCCCACTTTAAGAGTACATACTGTCTGTCGTTCAGGTTCAGCACGATAAAGTCGCATGGCCTACAGGGGTCAAGGATGTCATGAACGAGGGGCCCGGATCATTTCCCGTTGGCTCAGCTGTCCTGACCCGACAGATTGGTAACCAATTGTAGTCTTGCGTCTCTCAACAATGGCCTCATGAACCCAGCATTTTCCCCACTCGCATCTGCGGAATTTGAGCGATCAATAACAGGGTTAAGTGGGGGGAAGCAAGACATGGCCTTCTAGACTCGATGGTACTGTAACCGTACGAGAGAGGACAGAGATAATTTACAAGTCGTAGTATGTGTCTAGATTACTGATCACCAAGTGGTATAGAAGAGTTTAGAGTTACTGTATTGTATTTTTGTTGGTCTAACAATGCTATGTATCCTTCTATCGGACTGACTGTGTTTATCCCATTGGCGATTTACCATATCCGGCTGTCTTCAGCGTTTTCGGACGAGGTTAGAACAATAAACGGGCGCAAATATCAACAATACAACTCAAAAGAGGCCTGATATTCATGTTGGTGGTAAACAAAGGGCGGTGATGATGTATACTCTTGGTATTGGTACCGTACCGCAAGCGGCATGGATAAATGCACTGGGGGTGGGAAGAAGCGCTTCTTGTGTTGAGGTCATGGATACAAGAGACGGGGGAAGGGGGGGAATAACAAGCCATTTATGATGGTGATAGATAACAAACAATAACTAGATGGAAAAGACATTAACAGCACGCTTTGTGCAGACGTTTTCGCTCAGGCAATGGCCAACCAATAACAATGATGCCTCTTTGTTACTCCTCGGGGAGCGAAAGATGAAGCGGCATCGTCTAGACAAGTTTCCATGAAGCCACCCATAAACAGAGAGAGACAAGGAAATGAAAGGAGAAGGGGTAAAAAGCGTAACGGTAATGAAGATGACGACAATGATGCCCGACCAGAAGCCCAAGTCTTTTGTGTCAATAATATGGACACAAGGTCCGCGTTCCAGGAAGCTGGGAATATGACAGGTATCGTATGAGGAGGAACCAACATATGACAGGAGTGTCCGCCTCTCGGACTCGCCTTCGCCTTGCCGTTCCCTCGATATGCCCATGACATTGCCAAGCCCGAGACCGATTTAGTTTAGCTGCACAGCAACTGTAATTCCTAAAGTCATCGGTACTGGTGCTGGTGCTGGTACTGTATGAACATCAGACTCAGGCTCAGCCAGCCTCGGCGCTTCGCGCCCAACCCATGACCGCGAGTCCCAAGTCTCAATCAATCCTGGGTCCTGGGTTCGGATGATCTGTGTTCCATGGTGCTTCTACCTATTCTTGAGTAGGTAGGTAGTTGGTTGCTGTGAGTTGAGATTGAGAGAACCCCTGTCGTGTCCAAACTGCCACCATCTTCATAATCTTACGCCGTTGTGAGAGTGAGTGAGAGAAAGTCGATTTGCTTTTTCTTCCAGAACCAGTAATGCTCAGTCTCAGCCCCTCTTTTCGCCTTTTCTCACGCACGCGTCTCCCGCGGTAATTTTTGCTTCGTGGACTCGGGAATTTGACTCTTTCTCAATGTTTTTCTTTTTTTGCTATTTTGTATTTTTCTTTTCCAATGTCTTCTCTTGTCTCTCTCTTGTGATACACATGAATATGTTGGCCATATCAATGACCATGCATTGTGCCAAGGTGGAGAGAGAGAGAGGCTAAGAAGAAGGCATTCGGAGGGTTTCAAACCGCACTAACGTTCGGAGGATCTCTAAGGATTCAGACTCTCAGAGTCCCTGGCAGTTCCAGTTGTAGGTAGGGCCAATACCCATGAGGCGTTCGTTGACTCCGACGCTAGGAGTATTGTGTCCTGGACCGCTGCCTTGATAGACGCCTGTGACGTCTGCCATACTGTACGGATATTCGCACGGAGATGAGCCAAGGCACTGAGTGTGAGGATGGGCGCCACCAGGAGGGATCGCATACGCGGTAGTGCCATGGGTGTGGTTGGTCGCGCTAGGGCTGGAATTGGCTGCATGCGCGTGTATTAGGCTCGGCTCTGGCAGCATGAAACCAAACGCATTCGAGTCGGGTGTCATTGGAGAGTACTCCTGTTTGACGTTTGACACCGTTTGTGGCATCCTCTCGATCCGTGGCATCATTACGTCTTCGTAGCCCTGTTGATGCGACTGTGATTGATACATTCCCGCCGGCATCGTTGCTTGTCGGATGTGATGAGCTTGAGGATGAGCCATCATGTGGTGGGACGTTGGTGGCATGTTCCCGTTCATCTCATGGGGGTAATGATTAGGACCAGGACGTCCGCGTAGACTAAACTTGTTCATCGACGGGTCGAGGGCAAGAGTTCCCTTTCGACTAGACGACATGGACATTTTGGCTGTGGGACTGCCGTATTGGAGTCGGTGATCGTACGGGTGATGATGGAGTCTAGTTGTCACAGTTCGCCGTGGCTGCTCCTTGTTCTTGCGATATTTCGTCGTACTCTCAACCCCATTCTTGACAGCCCAATCCTCAAGCATCCATTCTGTTGGCTTTTTAGGTTCACCGGGCTTGGCAGTGTACAAGTCTGCTGCTCCTCCGTTTGACGACGGCTCTGACGACTGCTCGTGCTGTTTGAGCTTCTGTTCTCGTTGCTCCTTGTGTTCTCGTTTGATGAAAGCCTACATCAGGATCCACTGTCAGCCTTAAAGCACTAAAAAAGAATTGGCCCGTGTGTGTGGGCTTATGCTTATGCCGCAGGCTATACCTGGAATTCGGCAGGGAGAGTGGAGTGTGTTGAAGCGAGATCCGAGGGCGGGAAACTATGGAGAGTGCAGATTGTGACATACCTCGTTCATGCTTAGGTTATGACGGATGCTGTTCTGCCATCCTTCGGCGTTCTTGCCTGGCCGCCTTTCTGAATGGTCCTTCTTGATGTCCTTATCAGTGTTCTCACGGAACCACTGGTAGATCTCTTGAAGAGTCATGGCATGGTCTGGAGTGCTCATTAGAGCCCGCCAAAGAAGCTTAGCGTACGGTTCATCGGTCTTGGCGTTCGCTGCAGCACCTTGAGGTTCCGCTTCGCCGTTCACCTCTGGGCTGGCACGATACCCTGCTTGGCCTGCTGGAGATTCTGGTCGAGCCTTCATATGCACAGGAGTTCCGAGAAGTTGCTCGTGTGGGGAACTAGTGCAGGACAACGCTCCAGTTGAGGGGCTGGCGATTGTTGCTGGAGAGTAGATTCGTGGCAGACCGTCATGCTCATTCTCGAAACCCGGGCCCATGTAGCCGCTCGTGAGAGGCGTCAGGACCCGAGGGCCTCTGACTGGATATCCGTCAGTTGATGTGGGAGTGCAGACTCGGAGGTTCTTGAATGAGTTCTGCTGGCTTTGAAGGGTCTCCGGCTGAGGCAGAGGAAACTCTGGGGAAGACCACGTTCTTGGTGAGATAGGTGAAGGGTTGTAGCAGCTCATTGGGGCACTGCCGCTGCTTGGAGAGCTCTGGTATGAACAGTTGTCATAATCGTCAGGTCCTGGTGGAGGTGAAGGCCAAGCCTGGTAATGGCTTCGAGGCGGATAGTGAAAACCTGAAGTCAGGGAGGCGTACGGGTTTGCATCATGACCCGGATGTGACCGCTGTTGGTTCTCTTGGTGTTGTGACAGGGTCGAGCCCAGAGGGAGAGCACCAGTTGATGAAAGATGAGATGGTTCATCTTGAGGACCCGAAGAAAGGGAATAGTATGACTCCATACCGGTGAGCTCTGGCGCGCAAGGTGAGTGTTGCCCGTGACCGGGGAGATTACTCGTGTAGCTGGGCTGTTGTCCTTCGCCAGGAAACGGTGAATCCATGGCGGTTGAAGTCAAAGTCAAGGACCACTGTTTGGAAGGAAGTACAATAAGGTCTCGTGGTCGTTTGATAAATGTTCTCGGGAGACAAAGTAGATTTCCAAGTAGTGGGAAGCGAGGGAAAAGAAACTTAGACAAGAATAAGATGGATGATGAGGCGGAGTATGAAGAGGAGGAAAACGGGGAGATAGCAAAACGTTACAATAGACACAATAGGACAAGGCAAGGACGGGGGGAAGAGTGCAGAGATGGCGATATATGATGCCGAAGCAAAGACCTTTGTGCCTCCAGTCCGTTCTCGTTTGGGGTAGGGCGTAGATTTGCAAGTTGCAGGGCTGATTCCATGGGCAACGGCTTCGTTTAGATGGCGATCCGTCTGATAAACAACTGCCCGTAGACAGATTCAGAAAGTCTTAGCTTTTTCAGATCGCTCCTACACCTCCTCCCATCAAAAGCTAAGCTATGGACATGGACCCCAAGATCGTAGTCAGGACCGGACGGAGTGAGTATACTGTATGGGTGTGGGTCGAGACAGAGACAGGACGACCAACAGGCGCCCAGAAAAGCCATTTTCAACTAGGTCTGGGGTCAGTTGCATACAAGGGAAAACGGGCAGGGACACCAATATCTCAGACACGCCCCCCGGGGGGTGTATTGTGTGTAGTGTATAGTGTAGCTCATACATATGGAGCTCCATCACGGCAAGCCAACCTCCACTCCATACTAACATGCATTTGTATTTGTGTATGTGTGCGCTTGTACTTTTGTGTGCTGTGCTTTGCTGTGTGCGGCCATCAGATACTCATACAGAAACCAAAACTGAAAGACGTTAGACTAGGACGCGCAAACGAGTTCCCACTGTCGATTCTCTCTATCTTCTCTGACTGAAGTGAGTTATAGGGTTTGCATCTGCTCAACTGGCACTGTCCACGCCAGGAGGTACATGCATATGTATACCCTGGTCTTCTGAAAAGCTGCCTCATCGATTGTATGTATATACACAATACAGTCTTGTGGAGTAACCTGACCTAACCTTGCAAGGGTGGACAGGACAACAATTATCGTAATTAACTGCGCCCTCAGTAAGGAAAGGTCCCAAGGTCCTCCTCCACGGTCCAGAACTAAACGTGCAACCCTGTAGATACTAACAAGAAATGTGCCGATGCTCGTTGGACCGGTCCGGAATGACTTATGTTGCATGCCCCCTTTGCGTATCGTCAAATCTGCCTTTCTCTCCTGTCAAAACGTCCCGGGACTCATCTTGGAAGTTCTGGGTATCGGGACCGCACCCTCCCATACCATAGCACATGTTACCAAGACGGCATCAAGTCACTTGACGGTAGCTCAGCCGGCTTGTACACTGGTCAACGGGGCTATCGCGGGACCTATACGTCTCAAACGGCACCTTGCATTTCAAACGACACCAATCGGGACACCAATCTGAATACCAATGACAACACCAATCAAATCGTCGGTCGATGCCCGTCCCGTTTGAATCTCCGTTTTCAATCTCTTCCTGTTGTGGAGCAATATGGAAGCAGCCGGAGAAGCCGCTACAAGATTGTTGGAGCATATAATCATCTCATCACTGCACTGCGGACCGATGCATCAAAGAATACATATAGAACAATCTTTCGAAGCTTCATCTTGAAGACTATGGGTCAAGGGAATCATGCTTGGGTTTGAGGCAGCTGTTCCGACTGGTGGACTGCACCGAGCCTTTTTCGTTGTATTTTCTGATTGCTCACGATCCGCGCAGATTCCCCCTTCAAACACATCAATATTAAGTTGCCCACGAGGTTTGGTGCTATCTGTTCTACACGCGGTCCGTGAACGCTTTGCGACTGACAGCCTTCGAGAAGACTTCGCGTGCATATCGCCCCAATGACTCCAGTTTGCCTGCCATATCCGTCCAGGTGCGGCAGTCGAAACACTGCTGCTGCATGTTTTGAAGCTCTGCTATCTCGTATTATTGTGTTGATGCTGCAGGAACAATGCAACTCCTTCGCTGGTTCGCTTGTCCTCATGCCACACTGATGAGATAAAACCGCAGATATGAGGACAAAGCAGGAAACACTTGCTCCTCGCTGTGCCTCATTCTGGTCACCTGCTGAATCGTCGACTGCCTATCTCTGCCCAACACCAGCCCTACACTAGTCCCGGCTTGAGGTCCCGAACGAGAATGCTATGAATAGGTAGTACAGGAATAAGAATCAACATGAGTCGGATAAGCCACACATGCAGGAATCTATTAACAGCCATGGTGATGCAATCATTATGGAACGAGCGGTCTGTCCAAACCCGTCTGAAAACTTGTTTTGCTTTGCTATCCAACTTTCAACCATGATGATGATGAGAATGCAAAAACCGAATTGTCACTTTTTGCAGCTATTGATAGCCGGGGTTTGCACGAATAGGCGAGGTCCGGAGCAAATCCTTTGCAAGAGAGCGATGGGTAGCATACCCGTGTCTATTTCCTGTAATAGATCTAGAATCGTGTGTCAGTATGATAGATCGAGCAGGACCAACATATGTATGTTTTTAGAGTCACATACCTTCTTGAACTGAAAATGTAGCTGCAGGATACCCTATTGAGTGAGGCTGGTTAGTTTCGCGTGTTCCTGAGGGTGTAGTGGAGGACATGGCGCTTGCAGGTACGGTGCTTAAAACGGCTGTCATAAACGTGGACCGTTCTAGGTTGCATAAAGTGCATCTCAACCAACGGGCCAAGAACGTTACCACAGTATGAGCTCGCAAGGGCCAGCGCATGGCCAGCCCACCCACGTGAAGCGCAGCAAGAAGGGACGAACATACCTTGTCAAAAGAGCTCTTGAAGCCTCGATCTTTCTTGGCGCTGTAATCCCATTCTCGATCGACAATACGAAACGCAATATCCTCGTATGGGGGGCCTGCAATGAACCTGATCAGGCACGTGTCCTCCTCGCCAGCAGCAGCAAACGATTCTCCACGTCTACGGCCGTGTTCCCGGATAATCTTGAAAGTTGGTGCTTTTGTCTTGTCGATGAGTTCTGGATAGAAAATATTGAATTTGTAGCCCTGGACAACCTTGGGCGGTGGGTTATCGTGATCATAATGGGTCTGGTTGTACTTGTTCCAGTCGTAGCCCATTTGCACTCGGTTAAAATAACGCGGTTTTCGGGGTTTGTACTTGTCTGCCCACTGCGGTTTGGAAGTGGTCACCGCTTCTTCGCTTGTGAATATCTCCTCGTTCTCGTCGACCCCTCTAGCAACCTCGCGATCATACAGTGCTTTGGTAGCCTGCGAGAAGTCCTCATTGTCGGCCTGAGAAAAGCGTTCGGTGCCAGGAGGTGCAGATTTTCCTGCATGGCTTGAGGATGAAACATATGCCGGCGTCGCCGTTGGATCTGGGGAAGCTGACGCTGCGGCTCCTGGCTGCGCGCCGAATGTCACCTTGGGGGCAGAAGTCGCCTGGCCCAACGCTTTTGCCTTGGCCGGGTCACTCTCCTTGAGCTGCTTGACGCGGATCTCCTTGATTGTCTCGTATACCTGGCTTAGCTTGGCACGAGCTTTCCACACTCTCAGGCTTTTGAGCAGCTGTTCCCAATAATCCGTATCGATGTCTTCGTTCGATTGTAATTTGTTCTTGATCTGCTTTTCCAAGGCCTCCAACTGGTCGTGCGTCTTGGGGGCGAGAATCTTATCAATGTCGTCTGAAACACTGCTCACAACCCTTCTCTCATGTCCGTGCGGGTCTAATTTTGCCTTCCTGTCTGCGCAGATGGTCTGGAGCGCCCTCCAATATTCGCGGTTGGTAGGATTGGTCTCGAGTACATGATAAGAGGCGATATCAGAGTCTAGCTCGGCGATCTGCTCGCTATCCAACTGCGCGATAACATCTCCGGGTGCAGGGATGTCGATCGCAACATCGGTCTCGTCGTCGTCGAATACGTCGCGATCGGTATCGATGTATCGCAAGTTGAAGGCAAGATAGTCGATAGGTTTGGCGCGACCTTCGCGGATGCGAATATCTGCCTTCTTCTTGGACTGCTTCAGTACGAATTTGTCCTCGTCGGCGACAAATTGGCGCGACTGCTCGTCTTGGGTCAAGTACTTGGGGTTGACCTTTGAAGCAGTTGGCTTTGTTGGTTTGGAAATTCTGTTGGTAGGGTCATGTCGGGGGGATGTAACGTCTCGACGGTTGGGGGATCTTCGTCCCGCTAGCATTGCCTTGCGCCCAGGATCCATAATGACGATGATGATAGATGATTGATGCTGTGATGGAAGGGAGTCAGGAACCAAATATTGAAGCTGAAGCGCAAAGGCAGCCTCAATCTTATCGATAAAAAGTGGATATCAGAGAAATCTTATCAGAAGCGATCTTGCACGTGACGTCACTCCATCAGTAGCAGGTCCATTCCCAAAATGGGCCGAAGTGATAGCAGCAATTAACTAAACGTTTATACGAGACTATTTAGATGTTAGTTTTGCATTGAAGTTTCGGCCGTTTTTCTATTCTTTTCGATGGTGTGTTAGTTTGCGATACTCAACGGTTTCTAACGCCAACATTCCATACAGCAACTTCACTTACACGACAGCCTCTCAAGAAAACATCATTTATAAACATTCATCACACACAATGCAGTCAAATTGTTCTCGATACCATTTGAGATAGCGAATGATATACCGGAATCGATGAATTGACCGACAATAACTAAGAATCAATTCAGCTGAGAGATAGTTTGACTATGTCGATTGACACCCAGCTTACCCTGCATCGTTCCTCGCAACACCAAGCGAAGTAATTGGACAGCAGGGTCCAGAACAACATACCGCCACTCGCGCCAGCCATTAAGCATATCGAATAAAGCTCATCGTATGAGAATTGGAATGAGCTAATTCCCCGGAGTTGTCTACGCGACGGCGTTCCAGCCGCCTTCCCAACAGGGATCGTTGCGTTTATTTGAGCAAGTTTATTATCGTCTCAAACTCGCTCTCATCCCCGCATAAGCTCAACCCGTTTTGGGACAACTGTGAAGCCATGTACGTGAGAACTTTGAAACTTATTCCGAGTGAAGTCTATGTAGATAGTTCATTTCGTGTTGTATACGAACATACAAAGCTCCATATAATAAAGTATTAAACGGCGGACAAGTGGGCTGTATAGTGGTATCCACGAGCCCATAGAAACGACTCCGGGGCAGACCCGTCTTCAACCGGGCACCCACCTTGTCCATATTCACACCCACCTCCGAATCTCCGGGGGCGGGGCCGGAATGCCTCTTTGATGAAGATGCTAGTGACACCGCAGGAAGTCCTCGCTGAAAACTGCCTCACGCCAAGCCAATAACTGCATGGTCCTGAGCAGCTTCTAGATCTAGAGTCAATCCAAGGGAGCTAAACTTTAGTTGGACCCTGGAAAAAAAGAAATGTAGATGCATATAAAGCCAATTGGTGCTCCTGTAATATTCACTTCTGTTGTTCCTCATCCACTCACCTGCGTTGATCACCATCCCAATCTTCCACAATGTTCGCCTCCAAGACCCTCCTCGGCCTGGCTACCGTCCAGGCTGTCTCTGCCCACTTCGGTCTTGTCTTCCCTACATGGCGAGATGATACACTCAGCGAGAAGAACGAGGAAAAGTACAGCCAGTGGACTTATCCTTGTACGTAACTCCACGTCCTGACATTGCATTGATTCTTACTAACGTATATTAGGCGCTGGTGTCGACTACAACGAGAAGAACGTCACTGACTGGCCCCTCGAGGGTGGTTCTCTTACACTCGACCTCCACCACGACTGGACCTACGTCTTCGTCAACCTCGGTCTTGGCGAGAACACAACCAACTTCAACATCTCCCTTACTCCCGAGTTCCTCAACGCCACCAACCCCGGCACTCTCTTCATTGAGGAGCTCGCCCTGCCCTCAAGCGTCAAGGTCTCGGATGGCGATCTCGCCAGTATCCAGGTCGTGACTGTCGGCGACAGCGGCAGCGCCCTCTACAACTGTGCGGACATCCGCTTCAAGGAGAACGCAAAGGGACCCAGCAACAAGACCGGTGATGTTGACTACGTGATGATCAAGCAGCAGGATGGCAATGGCACTGATAGCGCTTCCAACTCTTCATCTTCAGGAGAGGAGGGCGGTGACAATGGTAGTGGAGCAGGTATTTTGGGTGTGAACACGATGGCTTTGACCTCTGTTGTAGGTTTCGCCGCCGCTTTTGCAATGGGATTCAGCCTATAGATAGTATACCCGAAGCGCAGATACATATGTAATGAAGCATGATAAACAGCCATGAAAGAGGCTTCCAAAACAACCTAAATTACATCCAAACAAGTACAACTAGCCATTCGTATAATGTGCTGAAATAAAGTAACAGATATATAACGTATAAAATCATCAACTGGGTATATCCAATCTTGAGTTGGTCAGTATGGTCCTCTGTAGATATGGGTGTGTATATAGACTTACCCTCCTACTCATATAAATCCAGCACGTAACACTGAAACATGCGTAAAACCAAACTCCAGTCCTGTAAATCAAAACGAAAACGTAATTATTTCTGTAAAATCATTTGTAACGGATAATGAACTGCTGCTCCAGCTCGGGCCTCATCCCGCAGCAATAGCAACTTGGTCGGCAGCCAACTCTTGCAACACCTTAGCCATGGTGATACGTTGGTTGGGATTGGGGTATAACATCTCCATAACGATACGCTCGAGACGATCCTTGGAGTTGAGTTTCTCTCTAGCCTCGAATATCTCTTGGAGCCAGTCTCGCATCTGTTTAATGGCTGGCTGGCCATTTCCATGCTGCTTGTGGGGGGTGTTGGGACTGTTCACACCAGCGATTAACCAGTACAGAGGCCGGGGATGTCTTTGACGAGCACGAGAGTCGGGAAAGGAGATTTTGCGCAACACGTAGAGCATGGTGACACCAAGTGCCCAGATGTCAGACGCAGGTCCGCGCTGCTTTCGCCCAATGAATTCGGGAGGAATGTAGTACGGTGTTCCGCCAGTAGTCGGTGAATTAGCGGCCAGTGTTGAGAGTCCAAAGTCGCAGAGTACAGCGCCCCTCTCTGGCGAATAGAGGATGTTGGCTGGCTTGATGTCGTTGTGTACCAGCTTGCGGCCGTGGATGTAGTTGAGGGCGCCGGCGATATCTCCGAGAATCCTGATAGCATCGTTCCTGTCACCCATAAACTCGTCGTTGGACTTGTTCCTCCAACGAGGTGCTGCAGTAAGATCCTTGGCGTCGATGTGCTCCATGTAAAGGGACAGAAAGCGCGCATCACCGCCGTAGTATCGAACGATAGACTTGTGCTGCAGGTCTTCCTGACTCCTGCACTCACGAAGCCACATGTCGGCCTGGCGGATAACGGTCCGCTCGTGTAGTAGTGATTTGTCATTCGAGTTGGCGACGCGTGTCTTTAGCACCTTGACTGTAACAATGTTGTCTGGTACATGGGAGTGTGTTGCGGTGTACACAGCAGATAACGATGTCGATGCGATGGGCTCCCGCTTGGTAAGCTGGTATTCGTCGAGTTCACAGACACCTGGAATCGCAACGGTGTCGCCTTTCTCGCCGTCCAACAAAGCATGTCCGTTCACAGTGGAGAGCTCCTTGCTTTCACGGCCATTCGGTAGAGAGAAAACCAAGGGATCTGCAGAAGGTCGCAAGAACATAACCACACCATCATCGCCGGGTGTATCCGGGTCTGAGACACGACGTTTCACTCTCTTCTCGTCATACTCCGGAGACAGTGCCCGCTTCCCACTCGAGTTAAGGGGGGTAGTGGCGGTGGTTGAGGTTGGTGGAACATCCTCGGGAATTGTAGGTTGCTTCGGTTGATATAGCGTCACTGGGCGCTTTTCGAGTACTCGAAAGTCAATAACATCAATGTCTCTAACGGTGATGCGCCATGTTCCAGGCTTCAAAGCCTTGGCTGATCCGGGGTTGATGATGTGAGTAGCGCTGACGGGAGGACTCGACAACGGCGTCGGCGACACACTTGACAGAGAAATCGGCACGTCTGACTTATTCAAGAAGATGACCTTGTCACTGGCAGGATCATAGTATAGCTCACACCATAGAGGAGGTCTTGGAGAGGCATCCTGAGTCTCACCGGGTATACGGACGGAGAATTTGATATCCTTGGAGGTCTGAGTCACAGCTAGCACTTTGTGCTCGGGCTGCTCTGGTGAGGCAACCTCGGCGCGGAGAGCGAGCCACTGGCAACTGTCACTGCCAGGACTCACAGACCGCGAGTTAGGGAAGCTTGCTAGAGGGCGGAAGAGGATACGGATGCCTTGTCTGTGGTGGTGATCCTCAACGTGAAGCTCGTCTAATGAAACAGCTGAAGATATGGACGTAGGGACCGGCTCCTCAACGCGGACACCCTTGAAGCGAGCGTCAATCTCGGACTGTGAAAACGGCTCGGTGCGCTCCTCCGAGATGGCCTCAGAGAGCCCGAGCCTTGGTTCAGCCATGAGTTTGGCTATCTCTGTTCGCCATTTGATGTTGGTAAGCAACCTGAGCGTAAGATGTAGGAGCCTGGAAGGCGAGGCCAGGAATAAGGAAATGAAATAAAAAAAAAGTAATTGAGTACCTGCTATAGATTATGAACCAACCAAACGCTTACGAATGGCAGGCTCAACAAAATGTTCTAAAATAAATTGAGTTTGTGCGGTTGCTTCGTGAACGATGAAGCCGCCTGTATGAAGTGCGATGTTGCGCCAGGCTGAAAATTATAAAAGTCGTTGAAAGTATGAGTAAGAGGGGCTGAGACAGCAATGCAATGGATTGCTATCGGACAAACTAGGTGCGCTTGTGAGGCGATGCACTCTAAAGGCACAGTACAGTACAACACAAGGCGGACCTGGGCGTAAGGCGAGGGGTTGTGGAAGGGTTTAATAGCAGTTGGGGAAGTGGGCTGTGGCTAAGTAATAGTGATAGTAATAGGTATGTACTAGATAGATGCAGTAATACCCTGCTCGGTGAGAAGAGAGATGGATGGATGCGAGATAAATAGGTTTGTTAATTAGAGATGCAGATGCAGGAACAGAGACAGCACAGCGTTGGACTTTTACAGGACAGGTTCATAGTATGAACGGGGCATATCAGAAGGACAGGACACGCTGGGGGGTTTCTCCTCTAGGAGGGTTGAAAGGACTTTCAGCCCAGGTCAGGTCCAGGACAAGAAGACAGACAGGCCTGCTGATAGCGTCTCAGACTCCACGAGGAACAAGACAGAATCGGGGTCGAGTCATACAGCGAATGTCGACTAGAGACTTGATCCGATGAGCCAAGAATGGAGAAAGATGGTCGTTTCAACTAATAAAAAGCAATGAGATAGAATTAGAAAGAAAGCGGGAGCGGGACGAACGGTACGAAGCGAAGCCAACGGGCAGAGACCAACTTGTGGTGGCAGCCTGGAAAGTCCCCTCTCTCTGGAACCTCTCCTCTGGGACGGGGAGGGAGCTTTTTTGGAGTGTGGGTTTCTAGGACTCCATTAAGCGGGTAGGGCTGGACAAGACGAGACAAGGCAGATTCCCAGTAAAGAGGACACGAATGTCATAGCCACAACCTCCTCAAGAGTGTGGCTGTGGAGAGATCCCATCTCACCTAAGAATAGATGCAATGTATAGATACTCACAAATTGTGAATGCAGATACATTTGAGAATCAACATCCCATGGCATTTTTGGTAACAAGCAGGATTGATCATCTTTTAACGTCAGTAAGCCCTTTGACTGCACATTGTCAATCGAAAGGCGAGCACAGTAAGAACCACCTGGAAGACGGCAGTTTTACCGGGCATGAACTACTCTTACACTGCTCAGGCGGATCTACCATGACGACACTGAAGCAACTGAAGAGAGGAACAACCCCAGCATGACTGAACTGTTATCGAGATCCGGTGGAAGAACAGGTTATATACAGCAGAGCGGCGATGTTATATAGTAACGTGAGATTGTCACGGTAGTTAGCGGCAAGACATTAATTTACTAGGTCAGTCATTGTCTCATCGTGAGTTTGGATGAGTGATGGTGATTCTGTGGATTTTCGCCTCTCTAGATCCCTTGTGACCCAACTGAACAGGCAACGAGTGGAGATGTTCTGTCATGCGGAGAGTTTGTTGTCAGAATGAGTCGATAAGAGTGATGAAGAATATCCCGTAATTCAATGAATTTGTTCTCGATTCTCGTTGTGACAGATTCACTAACTAACAAGCGTATTACTTGGTGTTGCCCTTCACCAGATTTTGTGTGTGAATGACATGTTTGACAGCCGTTTGTGATGGAATCTCTTGGAACGCCGACGCCGGCTGAGCCCAAACAAATCTGCCGCAAATTTCACAAAGGAACACCACTGAAGGCATCAAAGGTGTGCTGGGCTTCGATCTTAGTGGACGCCATCATGCAGCTAGTCCAAGAGATTGCATAAGCTCGTCCCACTTGCCGCTTTAAAATTCCATTGATTGGCCACTAGTTATGCACGCAAGTCTTGTGTTTCCGGCTTTTCGGGGCTGACGACCAATAGCACCTCATATCGTCTTCTGCCTCAGGCATCTTGGGCTGCACCCGTGGCCTTTAGGTTGCTGGGGGCCGAGCGCACCCTGAGATATGGGTATGGCTCTTGCCCCCCCAGAACCTGCTGAATTCTGTTTCTCGTCAAGCCCCGACTCCCAAATACACGATCTTCACCAAAAAACCAAAAAAACAACAACCTAAAATCCCCCAGAAGAGCCCTATAAGCCAGTTTTGCTACTGCTTTCTTTCAGTGTCATACCTTCTTGATCACTGAAAAATCTTTTGAGGAATTTGTCGCGATGGCTATGATATAGATTCTGCAGCTCCCACGAGCTTTCGACGCGTTACAACCCGGGCACTCTTACTGGACACTCTCTTCTCTAACACGAATACAATCCTCGAACCACCATAATCCATTCATTACTTCATACCGTGACCTCGACATGGACGACCCAGGCTGGGCTTGGCCTGCCTGGAAATTCGGCATGAAGAGGGATGACCTCTTTACCAACCTTCACGACCAATACAACACCTTTACCTTTAACCTCCAAGACCCCGAAGCCTTCCATCATGACGTTTACGAAATTTCCCGCGATGCCGATACTGTCGACGAGTTTCACCGCTTGATGGCTGAGCGAAAACAACAACGGATCTACGAGTTGCACGAATCTCTTGAATCTCTTGCCGTTGAGATTATCGCCAACCCCAAGTTAATGGACTCGGAGCATTGGCAGTATGCTCTTCAACTTTTCCGCACTAAATCTTTTGATTCGATCGTCCGTTATTTTTCAAGCTACCTACCCGCCAACTATATCGATCGTCATGATCGAGAACGTGATCACGACGCTATTTCTATTGCTTCATCCTCCTTCTCCGAGACCAACAGCGTCAAGACCGATAGCACCACGGCCAGCAGTGTCGATGATGCCAACTTCTTTGACGATGAGCTTGTCATGACCAAGACCCCCTTGTCGGTTCATACCGATATTGATATTAGATCAGGGTCCATCGTGCAGGCGCCTCCCTCGCCGCCCCACTCTGAGATTGCTCACTCAGATGAGTCTTCGGCTTCTTCCCCAGCCAGTCTGGAGTCGCACCGATACGCCTCTAACCCCCCATCTCGTTCCATGTCGTTTTCAGGGTCCGAGTCCGGGCCTTTCCGTCCCGACTTACCTCGATCACTCGTTCACGACGACGATGAGACCTCACAGTCTGACGATAATGATAATGCTATCATTTCGGACGAGGATTGTGTAGAGAGCCAGTCGTCACTGGACACCATGGACGAAGGGGAGCAACCTCACGAGTATGGATGTGAGGACGATCTGGAGGAGGAGGACGAATTTCCTACTGCTCAATTTCCTGAAGATGCTAGCGACGCTTTCGATTTCTGTAACGATACCCCAGAGTCCGATGACACACCAACTCCTCGACAGGAGACTATCGCGTCCTGCTATATTGAGTACAAGTCCATTGCGGCATGGAGAATCCCGTCTCCTCGTCGTTCACCTTCCCCCTCGCCAAAAAGCCACAACACCTACCGCCGAGACGGCTTTGTCCAGAAGGACATACGCCGGAGTCCTGAAGAATCTTTGAGTAAGATTCAGAAACCTATGCACGACAGTCAAAGGAAGCGACCGGTAATTAGGAGAAAGCTGGAATAGCGTTTGGGGAGGCAGGGTGCTTTGTATATACTTGAAGCAAGCGATAGATACCTGTATCTTATGACTTTCTAACTGTTTTTCTAAATCATTTCTTGCCAACTTTTTCACAGGCGACATGATCACTTTGCTATATATATGACCATGATAGAGAGGCTCTGGTGGTCATTTTCAGGTGAAAATGCCCTGCTTTTAGCACACTGACTGAGTACGTTTCCGCGCCTGATGTACCTGCAGCATTTGACGTGACCGTTACATATATCACGGCACGTGGTCATGTGGTTTTGGTGTTGACATGCGACGGCGCAACATCACGAGGTACATACCAGCACTAGGTACAGTATTTCCACGTGGATTAATGACGTATTCCGAACTTTCTTTCGATATGATTCTTGATGATTGTTGATCAAGATGGAAGGGTACCTTGCATGGTGTTCCTGGCGGCGGCTGTCAGGGACGCCACGAAGTTTGCTACGACGACATTGTAAGTTTGTGTTGGGTAGTATTGTACGATAGTGTAAGGTTAAGGCTGTCTGTGAGGCTGTTCAGTAATGAGTTAATGAGAAATGTAAGTTTTAGAGGGCCTGATATCTTTTTTCGTCGTGAATATCTTTGAAGACCAGTCACACGAAGTGGATGAGGATCAACCTTGGACTTGTGTATGATATCTGGTGTATAGATTCACGATAAACATGAGCAATGAAATAGGCTTTACAATACTTTGAGATCCTGTGATCCTTAGTCACCCATTATCGCTTTATTCAGATTTTACTCAAAGCAGATATCAACAGACGTGCAAGGCTTGTGTCGCCTCATTTATTCGGAGTATTGCTATCAGAGTACACAGGCCCCTCAATAAAGGGCAATAAGCGGGCATCATAAGTCTTACGTCCATTTTTCAGGTCTCCATTTGGAAGGCCGGTATTTCACATAGGTTAGTGAAATATTTCATTCCCAGGATTATGAACGATGAGATATTTATGAACGTAAGCACCCGAATGGGTTGACATATTATTTCTTTAATGATGCAGTTCGTGTTGTTCGGCTCTTCACCCCGCATTTGTGACTCGACCTCACCTTACCAACTACAACTACAACTACAACTACAGTCATGCCGTCTAAAAAGATAGCTCCTTACGGGGATTGGGAGTCACCCATCTCAGTAGATTCTATCGTATCTAAGACCAGAAGCCTCTCTGCACCAAGAGCTAATGTACTATTTCTAATTATCTTTGGCAATGGCAGCTACTAACAGACGCAGCTCAAATCGGGAAGAGCTTTCTACACTGAAAGTCGTGAGAACGGAAGCACCACTATCGTCGAGATTCTCAAAGATGGCAGGAGAGAAATTCTTCCTTCTGAATACAGCGCCAAGAATACTGTTTATGAGTATGGAGGCTCGCCTTACGCTGTTCTACCGGATGATCGTATCATCTTTTCCAACAAGGGTGACACCGTTCACATCGTCAATCCTGACACCAAGGAAGTTTCCAAGTTAACTGGCGATCCGAAACTGCGATACTCTAACTTTGAGGCCAATTTGAAGAGTACCTGGGTGCTGGCTACTCAAGAAGATCATGAGCATGATACTCCTGATGGCGTGCGCAATTACATCGTTGCGATCAATACCAAGACTGCAGAGGTGAAGAGGATTCTTGATACAGCTGACTTCTACTACGAACCCTCATTCAGTCCTGACGGTTCTAAACTTGCGTGGCTGGAGTGGAACCATCCCGAGTTGCCCTTTGACGCAGCGAGACTGTATACTGCGACATGGAACGACGAAGGTTCAATCTCAGACATCCGTCTGGTAGCCGGCAAGGACCGTGAAGGCGTAGCGGAGCCCAGATGGGGACCTGATGGATCGCTCTTCTTTGGTAAAGAGATCGGTGAATATCGTCGTTTATTCCGCATTCTTCCTGGCAGCGATGAGCAGCACGAAGTGAAGGTGGATGGCCTTGACAATGCCGAATTTGGCGGATTGCGATGGTTCCAAGGATGGTGAGGGACCCAAACTTTACAACTTGAGGATTATACTGATGGCCGCTAGTCACACCTACGCACCTTTGTCTGATCGACTCCTTGTCGCAGCGCCAGTTATCCTTGGACAAAGTAGAGTCATTGTTATTGACATGGAGTCCAACTCTTGGAAGGACATCGGAGACGCTGAAAGCTTGTCAGAAGTAACACTGGATGCAGTAGCTCGCCTGAGTGACACCTCAGTTCTTATCATTGGAGCAGGCGAGACGTCTGGTAAGGCTTTGTATAGAATCGACGTCGAAGGCAAAAGCCAGATCACTCAATTGCGAGGTTCTACAGACGATGGCTTTCCTACAGACTTCTGCTCGAAGCCTATCTTGAAATCCATCCGCTCAAAGGGACAACCTCAGCGAGAAATCCATGGCTTCCTCTGGCTGCCGCACAATCCTAACTTTCTGGCACCGGAAGGAGATCTTCCTCCTCTCATCATGACCAGCCACGGCGGACCAACATCTTACACTGGCCCTGGTCTGAACCCCCGAACTCAATACTTTACTTCACGAGGCTACGCTGTTCTCGCCTTCAACTACAAAGGCTCTTGTGCCCATGGCCAAGCATATCGCAATGCTCTATGGGGAAATTGGGGACTGGTTGATTCAGATGATGCTGCTGAATTCGCAGATAACTTGACGGAAAGTGGCCAGATCAAAACTGGAGGAGTTGGTATCACTGGTGTCAGTGCAGGAGGATACAACACCCTTCAAAGTCTGACTCGCCATGCAAAGACATTCGCTGGCGGTGTATGTCTCTCCGGCGTAAGCGACATCAAGCGCCTAGACGACTCTACACACAAGCTAGAATCAGATTACACCGACCATCTGGTTCTAGCACCAGGTGTAGACAAGAGTGAGAAGGACAAGATCTGCCGTGAAAGAAGTCCTCTGTTCGAAGCCGAGAAGATCACTGCTCCATTGCTGCTCTTGCACGGTGGTTCAGACAAGATCACGCCGCTGGACCAAGCTGAAGAGATGGCCACTGCGATCAAGAAGGCAGGTGGTAATGTTGAGCTTATAGTCGTTCCTGAAGAAGGTCATGGATTTTCACAGCCGAAGAATGTGAGGCTTTGGCTGGAGGAGGAAGAGAAGTGGTGGAGAAAGACGTTGCTATAACGATGCGGAGGAGACTCGGTAGATACGGACCGGGTTCGGGATTGAGAGATAACGTTTCCGGGGTGTAAGAGCTACTAAAGGTTCAAAGGTCTCGAGGGTTAGTATTTTAATCAATTCAGTTTAGTCAATCGTAGCTCACCTTGAATCTTATTCTGACTTATTCCCTGGGCTGTTGTTGATGATTCATCAAGTTGGCGTCTGACTACCGAGCGAGGAAACAAGAACCAAGCTCCAAATCCGACACAAAAACAACTAATTGAAACTAAACATAATAAATCGAACACAATGGCTTCATGTAATAAGACCGGCACTCACTCCAAACACTCACCACAAGTTATAGTCGTCGGCGCCAGCCTCAGCGGTCTTCAAGCTGCCCATGACCTCCAACAAGCAGGCATTTCATGCATTGTACTTGAAGCTCGCAATAGAGTCGGAGGCAGCTTCAACAATGGTCTTAGATCTGCACAGTATCCAAGGGTCTGGGTTGACCCTGCTCAACATCCGCGTACATGGAATCTAGTGAACAATCTGGGGCTTGAGATGGTCCCGGAAACGCCCGGCAAAAGTATAATGCATGGCTTTAAGGACCATGATGACGACAATGATTCTGCAAGTCTTATTTCCAGGGATGCTGATATTTGATCTAATGGGTCCTCCAGGTGGATGAAGCCGACCATCAATCCAGCGTAACTGCTTGTATGCGGATCAAAAGACCGCAAGGGCTACGAGAAGCTCTTGCACGGCGTCTGAGTCCTGGTTCTGTCCTATTTTCGAAGAATGTTTATCATGTTGATCAGACGTCTGGTTTCAAGCGTGTCTTGACTACAACTGATGGGGATACATTTGAGTGCTCAAGAGTCATCATGGCTGTCCCATCCCCTAATGAACATATCGACTTTAGCCCTGTCCTTGGAGAACCTGGGCAGTGGAGTCAGGATCATGAGTCCCCAGACTTCTGCGTCAAAACAGTATTGACATACGACCAGCCCTGGTGGAGGACGAAAGGACTTAGTGGATATTCCCAGAGCATGCAAGGCCCAATCTGGCAAACACACGATACTTCGAACGATGAAGACGGAGTGTATGCCCTTACATGTATCGTTGCAGGCGAGTCAGGCCGTGAACTGTGGAAGAAGAACCAGCTTGAGCGGAGAGAAGCGATATTGGCACATCTGAGAGATGTATTTTCCATGTTTACAGCGATCCCGGATCCCATTTTAAGAATTGAGCCAAAGGATACACCGAAAACTAGGTGGGCTTCAGACATCGCGGGACTTTTGTATGCTGGTGGCCAGGAGGCGAACGGTAGGGTTCACTTTGCAGGTTTCGAGGCGGATGATTTGTTGAAATCTCATTTGGAAGTGGCTTTATCATCTGGAAGTAGAGCTGCAGGCGATGTCTTGACTGCTATGGTCCCCAAGGAAGAGTTGATACTTGCTAAGCTTTGAATAATGCCCCTTGAATGGTTTATATAAACGTTGGTATAGATAAAACAACGAGAGAATGAGTGACTACGGAAGATGTGCATATGCTCCGGCTTTATTGGTGTTAGTTCCTGAGCTATTGAACCCTCCCCTTAGTCAAGTCCAGATCTAAGCTCTCCATTAGACTTCCAAACTTCATACTCAAAATCAGGCTGAAACTCCGTATACAATGTTACCTATTCACAAGTCAGCAAACTTTACTCACTTTCAACAAAATAACTCACCGGATCAGCATTATATCGATAAGTATACTCAGCCGCCTCATCACCAATAACATTCCTCTCCAACTTCGCACTCTCAACCAAAAGCTGAATCTCACACGTCCTCTCCATAAGCGAAAACAAATACGCAGCCTCATCAACAGTTCCACCAGCCGTCAACAGTCCATGGTTTTGTAGAATTACCGATCGGTTTTTGGGACCTAGAGCTTTAGCTATACGAGCGCCCTCATCATCTTCAAACACGACGCCTCCAAAGTCAGAGTATACGCTGTGGTCTTTGTAGAAGATACAAGCATCTTGGCTAATCATGTCGAGAGGCTTGCCGAATGTTGACCATGCTTTGCCGAATTTGGAGTGTGCGTGGCACGCAGCGTCGACGTCAGGTCTGGCCTTATGGACAGCTGCGTGAATTGTGAAACCGGCTGCGTTGACAGCGACACGGTTACCGCCGATTACCTGGCCGTCTTCGTTGATGTGGACCATGTCACTTGCTTTAAGCATACCAAAGTGAACTCCCATTCTACCATATATCAGTATACTAACCCAGCTCAGGACGAGACGTGTACTAACGGGTTGATCCAGAATGTGTCACGATCAACAGGATCTCTCACACTGATATGTCCCGCCGCACCTTCAGTAAATCCCATGCGGGCAAACACTCGAAAGGCTCCCGCCATGTGCTCAAGTTGCCATTGGCGCTTCTTGTACGGATCCTCGATCTTGGGAATACCGCAGTAGGGGATTCCGCCTGTTGCTACTGCTGCGAAGTTCTGGTTCTCTGCTTCGGCACTTGTTGCGAAGGAGGCTGACTGAATAGATGTCTTGAAACTTGGGAGAGATTTTGTGGTCAGTTGTGTCGAGGCGGTGACGAGGCGAGATTTGCTCGGAGAAGTGCTGAATGAGTGAGAGACTTGTTTCGAAACGAGTCGTCGAAGCGCTCTATTTCGCAAAGGTGTTGATAAGAGCATGATTGGATATGTATAAATGACAGTCTTGGATATAAGAAGAGAAGGAATATTGTCGTTCAATCAGTTACACAGAAACAAGTCTATCTTCATTTATATGAGCCGGTGTCCGAAAGCCGGGACGGAGACTGATAGAGCACCCAGAATGGTAACTGGACCGGCCCGGTCTTCAAGATCGGCAAACTATAAGGGTATTTCCCCGCGGGGAGATAAGACCAAGCTAGTCTTGGCTACTTCGTGATTCTTTTAGTAAAACGCTTGCAAACTTCATTGGTGTAAATCTCGGAAGCAGACAGGCAATGTAATGAAACACCTAACAGTCTCTAGTTAGATACGATGTGGTAACGAATGTCTCAGGTTATAGGACAAGATCTCTGATACGATCGGAGGTAGTTAATGTCCTTAATTGGGAGATGGGTTTGCGGGGTGCATCGAGCTAATACTGTTGATCAGCAGTCGAACATCGCGTTGCATATCACTTTAATGAATACAGTGGCCATGAACTTCGAATACAAAGCAGAATATGATATTCTTATACACTCCGTGTCCCGTATTACCTAGTATAAACAAGTTATCGCTATATCCAGTGTTATCTAATCAGTGTATTGTCCTCCGTCAGCACTTTTAGGCTTGGAGCGCTCAATACGTCCAAGGTTCTGTCCGTCAGTCCAGCCCTTTGGCCTCCTGCTCAACTTCCACCTAACTACCATGCATAGCGCACCAAAAGTCTTGATTCCAAAGGCCACCCAGAGCAGAATCTCCGAGGCCAGCCGTCTCCTTCCGTGCATGTTGATGCCATCTGGCAATCGCTCTTCAAAGTACGCCAGGTATCGAACAAACATTACCGAGTTAAGGCATGTGTGTCCGGCAGCGATTCCGAAAAAGAGGGCCGAGACAGCCCAGTAATATAGGCGAACCTTGTCCCAGACATAATCGTCGAACTGCTCGATCTCCTCCTTGCTACCCTTGGGAAGAGGGCACCATCGCTTACCGATAAAGCAGCGACACTTTATCCAATGAGGTCTGTTGGGAATAATCCACTCACGGAAGATATCCGCAGTTCCCAGGTAAAGAGCCCAGACAATGGTAAACCAGACATACCAGCTACGGATGGGGAGTCCGCCGCTAGCCATAAAGCTTCGCCAGGCCTCGAAGAAGATATTCCCGCATGGGTCTTCATATGGGCCGGGTCGTGGGCAGTTAACTGAGTCTTCAGGTAGTCGAAGAATTGAAGCGATCTCATGGAGATCGTTGACGATAGTGGAGTGATATCGTAGTCCAGACGAGGTGATTCCAGCTTTGGGGAGACCTCTGGGGGCTGTGGGATGTTCCCATCCGAAAGAACTGGCATACCAGTTTAACTTGACCAAGAAGCGCGAGGTGTCATTGTTAGGGATAATACCCTCAAACTGATGATTTGTTAGCTATTGGAAGAGAGGTATAAAGTTATAAGAAAGAGAAACATACCGACACCAAAGCCAATGGCTTCCATAAAAGATGATCAGGATCGCCACGGATGATTGTGGTTCCAGCGATAAAGACGATAAAGACCAGTATGATTGATATGACACTGCCAATCACAGCCAAAATGAGTAAAGCATCAGAGATGCCCTTCCTCGTGACCTTGGAGATATATCTGTTGAGATTCATGGTTGATGAGTGAGTGAAAATATGAATGTGAGAGCTATTGAGAGCTCCAGCTCAAAGTCAAACCAAGGCAGTGGAGGTTTCTGTTATGCTGACAGGCGATGACGTTACGGCGCTAAGATTCAATGGAGGTTTATGCTTTAGTCAGAACACGGAATATGAGAGAGATGGGATGAGTTGAGAAAAATAGAGGCACAATCAGATTTTGAAGCTGATGATTTTCTGGCCCCCTATTCAAATTAATCGTGTATTGGGTAAATCGGAGTCAGCCTCGCTCTTCTCATCACGATATTACTAGGCAGAACGATAAACAACGCGAGGAGGGGAGGGGGGGCAAGCGAAAAGACCGAACTGGGCCTAGCGGTTACGATTCAGGCGGGAGGCTTCAGGGGGTTCTTCAGCGCACGTGAGACCCTGAATCAACTGAACTGAACTGAGAAAAATGGTTCTATTAATCGCTAACCGCAGCCATCCCAATAATACTAACTGCAAGAGATAGTACTATTAAGAATATCCTCTCGTTTAAGACTAATTATAGACCCAAAACCAATCTCGCGGAATAGACGGAAAAGCCAAGCTTCTATTACTTCTATTTTTCTATTCCGGATCTTTATTAAACCCCGAAGCGAGTGTAGCCGCGGTCGAGACCCCCTTGGAGGATATTCAATAACTCCATTTCCCAATTTCCATTCTCGAATCGAATGTTCAATAATAACTGCCTTCTGCCCCTGACCATCTCTGAGGCCTCCGTCTTGCTCTTCACTCTTATCAATCAGTAAACAAAAGAAGAATCAACAAACGGCCTCTCGCATGGTAGGCGGATACTTAGGATGTCTCTGACCCCCGGGGATGTTTGCTTCTTTCTTCGGGAATTTCTACTGCAGAATCGCCCGTCATTGGCTGTTTCTTACAAGACCTTCACGAATCAGACACAAAACATCCAGGAGTGAAACGTCAAACCCAGACTCATGATATTAATTGCAGTTGCTCAGGATTGCTGTGCCGCTTACATAGAAACACGCGTATACGCCAAGACGGAAGCAACGGACCATCCATCGTACCGACCACAATAGCCTGAATCACAAGTCTTGGGTGAAGTCGCATAGAGCTTAACCAGCTCATTTGTTCCAGTATGAGTTCAACATCAGGGAAGCGATGCCTTCTTGATGATTTAGTAAGAGAATACATCTTCAAACCATCGCCAGCAAGAAGCCCTATCTACTGGGTAACAGAGAAATTGTCCTCGAGGCTTTAGGGGCCTAGATGCTAGTTTAAGCTAGCATAAAGTGACGGGACCTAGATATTTCGTTCTTCATCCTCTCGGCAGTCGCGGAACCTAACCTTTCTGGCCTTCCTTAGACCGTCTCATAATGAGATTGCTTTCGTATAAGAATGACAGTACATCAAGATAGGTCTAGGATTCCGGTGAGGAATAGCGATAGCTCTCGTGTTATTCCCTCTCAACGAGATGAGCGCTTCCAACATCAGCTCATCTGAGCATCCTCATTTTGAGAGGAAATTGTTCTGGTATCTCCGACTATTACTATAACATCTGCTTGAATGAAGACAGAGGTTTCACCCTTGACTTTCGTTTCATCATATGGGTGATCCTTACTCAAGTTCAACTGCAAGTAGTCTATGAGAACCCCTGTCTGTGGTCTCTCTTTCTAATCGTTTCACGCTGTTATAGAGGATCTCAACATTGATCTTGTGAAAGATTCGCCTGCTGGCACTGCCCAGGTTGATCAAAAGCAAGCTAGCTTATTATAAAAGTGTGGGTTTGCGATGCGCTTCCAAGAATGTGAGGACGGATTCGTGGTATAGAATGAGAATCGACTAATCGGCTCCAGTCGTGGAGGAGAGTTAAGCTACTACAGGGCGTAAATACTCCCAGAACGGCCTTTGAGACGATCATGTTGTTTTATAAAAGAGAAGCACTTCTTTACGATAAAGCGAACCTTGAATACTGGCGCTGATTGTGCAGTATTTCCTTGTGTAACTGAGTAGGATATTGTCAACATTTTTCTACCTGTGTAAGCTATAGTCACCATGGATTCCTATAGACAGGTGTTTCACCCTTATAACCTGAAGTTACCCTGATTCCTTTCTATTCTGGCTCATAACGTTATTGCTTAGAGGAAGGGAAAATTTAGCTCCTGTCAGTTAACCGCCTGTTTTTTTTACCCTTGTATGTTTGCAGCTATTCCTTCATTTATCTTTTCTCATGAATGATACCTGTAAATATATGTATGACGATGTCTGTCTGAGATGTCGCACCTACATGGATCATCGTCATAGCAATATATCTCATTTGAACAAAACAACTTCATCCAAATCATAAGAAGATAGATATCGCGTGAGGACCCCTCTTGAAAATCTCCTATCAAAGATAAAAGATTTTCGTTTCGACAATTAAGCCGAATGCAGTGACTGATTTTTTGCAATCATCTCGGCGGTTTTCTTGGTCCTTAGCGCAAGTGGGTATACACGTCGCTGGGCTCGGCTGGCGTCATAAGGGTCTTTAGCACCAAAGCTTTCTTTGAACCTCACGTCTTCTCCTCTCCATCCATCAATCTTCTTCATAGCCTCCAATTGCGACGTAGAGACCTTCCTGCCCCACATAGAGTGATCGAAATGGTTCTGACAACAGGCACCGGTGCTGAAAGCACTGTCGCAAGAGATGAGGAAACACCGTTGCTGGGCAATGTGCCTGTAAAGAGAAGCTCTTGGATGCGTCAAATGCGAAAGGATGTAACCATTTCGTGGTCAGACGCTGTGTTGCTTACCTGTTATGCCGTTACTGGACTCCTTGATAGTTCCTCTATCCAAGTCTGGGGAACCTTTGTTTCTATGCAGACTGGTCAGTAAACGTCTTAGCAACCTCTCAAAACATGCTAATAAGCAACAGGAAACACCGTCTATGTCGGTCTCGGCCTCGCAAGCTTCATGACATCGACTCCCGGTCCTCGTCTGTACAAATCTGCACTCTCTATCGCATCCTTCTGTATCGGATCTTCACTCTTCGCCGCCTTCCACCGTCTCTTCTCACCGAGACGTCGTTGGGTTCTCTGTGCCTCATTCACCCTTCAAGCCCTTCTCACTAGCGCAGCCGCACTCATCGTCACGTTCAGTCCACCTGGTCGAAACACAGATGAACTTGCGTGGAATGTCTTGGTGCCCATAATACTCATGGCTTTCCAGAGCTGTGGACAGGGTGTTGCGAGTCGAGCTCTGAAGCAGAACGCCCTTACCAGTCTTGTCCTGACAAGTGTGTACTGTGACTTGTTCTCGGACAGAGACCTATTTGCATTGGATAACGTCAAGAGGAACCAACGTTTAGCTGCGCCTTTGCTGCTTCTTTCCGGTGTTTTTGTAGGTGGTCTGTTTGCGCAGAGCTCGGCCGGCATTACGGGAGCCTTGTGGATTGCTGCTGGTTTAAAGATGTGCATGGTCCTCGCGTGGTTCGTCTGGCCGTCAGAGGAGGAGGATGGTGAGACAGAAGAGGATTAGGTCGGGTGTACGGGATTAACGCAAATTTTATTAGTTTGTTTCCTGCTTTCACGTCATTGTGCAGTGGTCAAGTGACTCGAAGTTGAATTGACTGATACCACGGTGACAGACACGTTGATCATGTCGATATCAGGAATCTCGTTCGGAGTTTATTGAACTTTTGCCGACATGATGTATCATCGCATGGATAGACTACAGTACAGTACATACATATTCCTGCAGTCTAGTATAGTATAGCTGAGATGTCAATTACTTGATTGATCAGCTGAACACTCGACATGGTCGGACCCGAAGTCGGACATCCAGTTTGGAAGGTTCGTGATGGTTTAATTGAAGATAGAGGACGTGCCATGGGGGTGGGTAACACTAATGCAACAGGGAAGACTCAATTCGTGACCTTGTTTCTCTTCGGGATTCCTAACTAGGACACTGCAAGTTTTCAACTGGTTGACAGACTTGACACTGATTTGTAAATGGGCAAATGATCTTCATCCAGCAGTTCCGGCACCGGACCCCCCACTCCGGGAGTCCGGAGCCGAAGAATCTGCCTTTTCAAGATTTTGTCTCGGAGGTTGAAGTTGTATAACGAGCAGAAAGGACCGTAAAGCGAGAGCAGAGAATTCATAAGGAGATTAGCAAGATGAAAAACCCTTGAGAAAAAACCGTTTAATATAAGGTAATCGGGCCATTACGGTTGAAACCGTTCACGCATTGGGCACCTCTTTTTCATATTCCCTGTCTTATGCCCCCGCTTGGTTTGGTTTGGAATGGCGTTTTTGTGTCACAGTTTACTGTAGGATTGGTGAAGCGGAGCTTCCGCTTGTGATGAATGAGATTTTTCTTTCTTTTAGACTCTTTCAAGTCTAATTAGCCCTGCGAATGAACATTCGAATTGGTTCAAAATTTTACCTTGTTGGGCCGTCTTGCGTGTGCTCGGATATACGAGTGAAGATCATGGATCATGGATCATGCATGGGGGTCAATGACAAGAAGATCGTGTAAATGATTTTTGAGAGTGCCGCGGGAAGAGTTGCTTGCATCACAACCACAGTTACATTGAGTTGACAATAGGTAGTGAGTTGGTGTAACTGGTTCTGAAACGAGAGAGACAACATACCGTGGATATTAAACGAGAGTCGTATTGCTGCTGACTGAGAATGATGAGTTGTCAAACCGGGAAATGTCCAGCTTACTTTGAGTGACTGATACGATATGAGTGAGTACAGCACTGCATTGAGCTTGAGCGGTGATAACGGTCAACGGGAATACAAGATTTGATAACAACTTGAGGAAAAGAGTCAAGTGAGACCCTATGGAAGGCGCCACTGCGAGTCATTTGAAGCAATGCCGAACTGGATGGAACCAAGGGAACCAAGCCAAGCGGTGATCTGATCGGCAGTGGAGTCGTCTTTGCCGAGCGAGGGAAGTGGAAGAGGCAATGCGAGGCGAGAGACATCAAGACAAAAGAAAGAAGCTTGTTCTTGTTGCAGTAAAAAAGGCCGGTGACTCCCCCCGCATTTTTACCTTACCTTCGTTTCCAAGACTCTGGATGTCTTGTGCCTGTGCTTGTGTTTGTCCTTGCCTGATCTTCATTCGACATTCATATCGTGGAGCCCCCCCGGGTCCCCAAAAAGAGGCAAGAGCCAAACGCCCAGAAAAATAAACTCATCCGCTGGCACCCTCTTTAAACAGACGGGACCTTCTATACCCATACATACCCACCCTCTCCTTCCCTCTTTCCCGCTCTTGCAAGACCTGACTCTCTCTTTCTTGGTCTGGTCTTTCAGGGTCTGAATCTGGATCTCTTACTTATATACATTGGATAACCCACTCTTCTTCATTCTTGGCGTTTGTTTCTCATCTTACAATTCTCCGGTTTTACTTCTTTTAATTTCGTATCTTATCGCTTATCATCCCGACAAGGAAGCATACTAGCTAGCTGTACTGCACGGTATCACAAGACAGAAACGACCGACCATCTTTTTGCCCCCTCCTGCCGATCTCGACTACAACATTCTGCCATCAACAGGACCGAAACCACCACCCTTTTCATCGCGGCCCTCGGCTGCTAAACAAACGGCCGGATGCAGGACTCTGAGATGGGGAAGGTTCACATCCCGGTGCCTTTCCCTCCTCCGGCCGCTGTTGACGATGTCGATTCAACCTTCGGAAAGGACGAAGTATATACCCACCTCTCCCTATGCCTTGCGCTACATGCGCGCAAACGAGATAGAGTCTTGTGTCTAACAATCTTTCTTTCAGGGTGTCCCTGTTCATTATGACGAAGTCGTGAGCCAGCTCGAAAAGGACCTTCTATGGAAACAAGACATGCGCATTATCCCGTTATCCGCCGCGATTTACTTCCTCTCCTTTCTCGACCGAACGAATATCGGAAACGCCATGATTCTCAATTCTTCGACCAACGACGACATGCAGCGCGAGACCAATATGAGTGATCACCAGTTCGTCATTTCCCTCATGGTCTTCCTTGTCTCATACGCCGTTTTCGAAGTCCCAAGCAATATGCTCCTCAAGAAGCTACGACCTAGCCGATGGCTCGCCTTTCTCATGTTTTGCTGGGGTGCAATGACGATATTGACGGCTGCGACGAACAGTTTCGGTAGCGTTACGGCTGTGCGCTTCTTGCTGGGTGTTTTTGAGGCTGGATTGTTCCCTGGACTGGTGTTTTACTTGACTTTCTGGTACAAGCATGACGAGCGTAGTGTTCGGTGAGTCTTGCCATGCGCGGTGCTTGCTAGTCTCTGGGCTGGCGCATTATGCATAGTTTGCATGCTAACTGTGAAATCATAGTGTTGCTTTCATTCTTGCTTCTGCAACTCTTGCCGGCGCAGTAAGTTTGACTGTTTTGTTTATTTGATGTATTACTGACCGCAATCTAGTTCGGCGGCGCTATTGCATACGGCATCGGACATATGAACGGTGTTTCTGGCCTTTCAGGCTGGCGCTGGCTCTTTATCATCGAAGGCATCCCGTCTTGTCTCGCAGCGGTTCTGGTCCTCTTCTTCTTGCCCGATTATCCGGAACGGGCAAAGTGGTTGTCAGAGGCTGAGAAAGACATGGCGATTCATCGGTTGTACTATGAGGGCTCTAAGGAATCACACCCGACTATGAATTGGGCTGAAGCCAAGGAAACTTTGATGGACTGGAGGTTGTATGCGCATTACGCTATTTACTTCGCATCTGGACCTGCGTTTGCGAGTTTGAGCTTGTTTGCACCTTCAATCACTGTTGGTTTGGGATATTTCGATTTGAAAGCGCAGCTAATGACTGTCCCCCCGTGGGCCATCGCTTACAGTAAGTCATTCACGAACAGCATTGGAATTGTCAGGGTTCTAACTTTGTACTACAGTATGTCAAGTGTTGGTGGCTTGGTCGGCGGATCGCTTCAACGCCCGAGGCGTTCATACGGCGATGTCTGCAACTGTTGGCGCCGTTGGTTTCATTGTGTCAGCCGCCCTTCCCGCTGATTCGTATACAGCCCGGTACGGAGGCCTGATCATGGCAACCGCCGGCTCGTTTGCGTGTATGCCACCTATGCTTGGATGGCTTAGTTCCAACGTGTTCACAACGGCCTCGACGGGTCTTGCCATTGCTCTCAACGTCAGTATCGGTGGTGGACTTGGACAGATCCCCGGTGTCTGGATTTACCAAACATCAGAGCGACAAGGAGGTTTTACAACAGGGCACTGGGTCAATGCGGCTCTTCTACTGTTTGTAGCTGTGGTGTCTTTGGGCCTGAGGCTTTTCTACGGTTGGAAGAACCGGCAGTTGAGAGAATATGCCGAGGCACATGGAGTGCCTTATCGTTGTTACAAACTGTAAGGTGCGAACGTTTGCGTGTTTTATTTATTGCGATGATTTTTCGATGAGTATGAATTCATGGAAACTAGCGCTATATAACTCAGTGCTTCACAAAGCTATATTTCAGACATACATGCTGCGCGGATATCATCACTGCTAATTAAAGTCGTATGAATCATGTCTTTGAACAAAGTGAAAAATGATGTCTCAGAAACCCGTTATTCCGGTTCGGTGGTAACAAGAAGATTCGCGGACCCGGACTGCAGTTCAAACTCGCTCGCTTGCAAGTGCCGAGATCTGAGCTGCAGATAACTGGCGAGCTGCCAGGAATAGTGCCCAACCAACAAGCATAATTCAAGGTTTACTGTAGCAGTCAACTAAAAACCCCGGTAAATCTAATCCAGACACTGTGTGAGGTTAATGGATGATATCAATGAGGTTACTAGCCGCGTCATGACATGATCTGAGGACGGGGGAATCAGGCTTCTTTTAAATGGGAGAATCTACAACCGCATCACGGCGCTTATCAGAGATAGAGACACACTTTCGGGTACGCCATCGGTGTAAGAGTGCTGCGATTTACTATCGGTCGACTTATGGTCTAGACCCTCGCACAGAGCTCCTCGCTTCCAGCATGGGCTGTGTTGAGGATGGAGAACTGACCAAGGCCGGACGAAAACCCACGACTGGCATTGTCCAAGGTACAGTTTCAAATCGTCAAGAGGCCTTTTTTGCTTTTAAATACGGAGCACATGTTCCCGTATACAACATGTGAGCAATTGCAACCTGGGTATCTAGCCCAATGAACGCGGCGTATTATCAACCTTGGCTTTGTCTTGCATGCAGGCAGGGTTTGAAAGAAAGATCCAGACCGGGCTCAGCATGCACCAAGTAATTGTAGTTTCTCTATGTTATCCCGAGCCGTTTCTTATTGAGTAAGCCAAAGGTCCAGCTGGTCTCAGAAAGCCGGTTTTGGACCATGCTGCATCTGTCCTCTTATTTGAGGGAAATAAACTGATGGGATAATAATAGCAAATTGGGGTTGGACAGTAATCAGGTGCAGCATCGTCATGATCAGCATTCAGGGGTTCAACATTTTCCATTCTTGTCAACAAATGAAGCAAACAGAAAAGATTTGTCTGTTAAGATATTGGGTGATACAGGTGGCCATCCATGACTCGCTGGGGAACGGATCTGCTTTGAATAGAGTAATACGACGGATATGAGAGGTAAAAAGTGATGTTACCTTGAAAGTGGTCGTAGTGGAGGTTTGAAAGTTATCAATCGATCAAAGCTCCAGAAATAAAGAGGCTCAAAAATATGAGGCGGCACCTTATCATGAGAAACTCTTTCTGAGGTCCATTTCCCGTATGGAGTGGAAAAAGATTCCGGGCCGGGGGACCTTGGGAGTAGCAGGCTCATGGGCTGTACTGTAATTGAGATTGAGGCTGCTGGTGATTTCATCCTCTAGCAACCAACCCACTGGAACAGCCGCCACCGACAGCCAAGACATCACAGGGCTTATGAGCCACTATAATTGGGTGGATTCATCTGCCAGATATCCACTATGAGAGAGTGTGATGTCGTCACCGGCGTCATAGGTCGGAGATCTCGCCAAAAGCACCATTTATGTGCAATCGCAATAACATCAACAATGCAAGGGTTCTGTCATGTTCGGGTTGTTTGCATTCTTAGTTACCGTGGTGAAGACGTTGAAAAAGAAACGACGGATGTAGGTATGAGGTATTAGCTTCTGGACTATGTGCAAATGAAAAGATAAAACGATGATGCCACTAGGGATCAAGCACGCGCATGCATGCATGGCACCGCACCCTAGCAGTAGCAGCAGCCATGGCATGTGGGAATAGGAATACATAGAGGTGATGCCATCATTATCATCATCATCATCGCTGCGTCCTCGTGGGTGTGACACCGTCGAAGACGGCCTGGACCCCTTCCTGCGTTGTGTCATGTTCCCGCTAGAGTGCTAAGGAGGGACGGATACTGGCAGTCTGGAACTGTAGTGCTTTGTAGTACAGTACTTACTGTGACTGCGGCTGTTGTGACGATATCGCGGGGCGTTTTGGTACTGATTGTCAGTTCCAGTGACTTCATCGTGTCTGTCAATCATCATCTCTGACAGTTTTGGGATTCGGGATGGCTGACTCTTAATAAGTGATTCTCTGTTTGAGGGGAGAGAGGCTCTGCTCTTTTAATAATGATTTTCTATCCAGTTCCATTGCATCGTAAATTTAGACATCCACCTAGAACAGCTTGCTTTGCTTTGTCAACGTCACGATAAAGTCTCACCATTGGATATACCCCGCTATCACCACTATTTACCTCGTCCTCTCTAGCTTTAGCATCTATCGTCATTCACCGGGACTGACTCGATTGTTACTGTTTCGGTCGGATATCCCCAGGAACCACAAACATCAAGCATTCAGGGCATCCATCATTAATCATACTCCCCGCGGAGATCAATTCGGTTCAGCTCTGTCTTTCATCCCAGTGACCTCACTACGTCGAGGTCGCAGATTCCCATTCGTGGCCGGGTATCTGTCTTTTACAGTAAGGTACAGTATTCAGGCCTGTCAGGCAGTAAAAGCCAGGGCCCTGTGCTTCCAGGTTTCCCGCTGGGAACGCCCCCATCTCCACCCCGATTCGCCTGGCGTTGGTCTAGAATCCTGCTAAAATCTGGGCTGCCACTCAAAGTGGGTTGCCCACCTTTTCCCTTCCGTCACCTCTCAAATCTCGGTCCTCCCCCCGTCAAAAAGAACCGGGCTCTGCTTGTCACCACCAGCACCAGCGCAAGGCAGTTTTTATCCCAATTTCCCTTTTCCTGTTTCTTCCCTCTACAAACGGAAACGACTTCTCTTTTCTTTCTTCCCTTCCCATTCTCTCCCCCATTCGTGTCACCTTTTGAATCATAAACAAAAGCAAGACCGAATCCCACCCATCTCTTCTCTTCTCTTTATCACGACCCTGTACGACGCCATCACAAACAAGAAACGCCGCCATACACAGCACAGAATCGCTCCCGTCCGCTAGAGTAGAGCTGCTAAACCCCGCATCGTCCACAGTACAGTCCAGTCCACCAGCCCTGTTCTGTCAAGACATTCAGTTTCGTCTTCCATTTATAATAATATTGCCCGCGCTTTGCGATACGCCACACCAATAAAGCGCACGTTTACGATCACGACTCGCTACGATTTGAAGACGGAATAGCTCTAGACTAGCTCTCCGAGATCCGTTTTTGGCTCTATCGCCCATTAAAACCAGCATACCACGCCTCTAAAGACGTCTGATCCACCAATCCTTGCCACCAAAGTTGGCTCAAGAATTCTTTACATCTTCTTTTTAAAGGCGAATTGTCGCGCCTAAGCGACACTCTTCACAGCCATGTCTACCATTCAGCAACTTAAGAACTTCATTCGGCACGGTATGTTTTATGAGACGCTATTTTCAGCCTTCTTGGCGTGGTTTGTAATCAGGCACTAATATCTACTGCTCAGGCAAGCAAGCTCGTAATGCCCCCGAAGAGGCTCCACGAAAGACCGAACAGCAGGCGCCTGCAGTCCAGCACAAGAATGCTTCAGACCCTAACACTTACTCAAGCTCACGACAACCCGCCAACAACGAATATGGTGATGACGAGTACTCACGCAGTAAGAGCAAGAAGCGCATTGACGATGAGAGGCTCGCCAAGCTGATTGCCGAGGAGAATGCCTCTAAGAGCAAATTCCCTCGCTACCCTGGCCTCGAGCGTTGGGAGCTTGTCGACAAGATGGGTGATGGTGCTTTCAGCAATGTTTACCGCGCCCGCGACACAACAGGTGAACAAGGCGAAGTTGCTATCAAGGTTGTACGCAAGTACGAGATGAACAGCATGCAGGTAAGCATACCCGGGCTTTCCGTATCTGGCGGCCTTTCTCCTTGTGTTTGATGATTTTCATGCGTTTTGTTGTTATAATTATTCTTTTCCTCTTGTGATCCCCATTTACCAACACGGGGTTGTCCCCTTATAGGGAAACAAACATTTACATCCAGACTTCAAGAAAGTCCCGAAGGCAGCAGAGGTGCGAGAAGCTTTTTTTTTCTATTTCTTTTTTACAAGGCCTGTTGCTATCCCGTCTAGAGTCAGTTTGTGCTGTCTTGTCGATGGAGATGGCCAGCCTTTAGACTCGCGGATATGCCTGGCAGAATACTAACTTATGATCAGCGATCAAATATCCTCAAGGAGGTCCAAATTATGCGTCAACTTGACCACCCCAACATTATCAAGCTCGTCGAATTCTCCGAATCCCGACAATACTACTACATTGTTCTCGAACTTGCGCCTGGTGGCGAGCTTTTCCACCAGATCGTTCGTTTGACATACTTCAGCGAGGAGCTGTCCCGACACGTAATTGTTCAAGTGGCCCAGGCTCTAGAATATCTCCACGAGGAGAAGGGTGTTGTTCATCGGTACGTCGATGCTGCTTGATGTCAGAGGTGGTGATGCCCCTCCTGACGTCATTCGCCCCTGCACGGCCTTGGAAATATAGCTAACATCCCTACCAGTGACATCAAGCCTGAGAACATTCTGTTCGAGCCCATTCCTATGGTGCCCTCAAAGCACCCTAAGCCCAAGCAGCCCGGCGATGAGGACAAGGTCGACGAGGGTGAATTCATTCCCGGCCAGGGTGCCGGTGGTATTGGCCGTATTAAGATCGCCGACTTTGGCCTATCCAAGATTGTCTGGGACAACCAGACTATGACGCCTTGTGGAACTGTTGGTTACACAGCACCTGAGATCGTCAAGGATGAGCGCTACTCAAAGTCGGTCGATATGTGGGCTCTGGGTTGTGTGCTGTACACTCTCCTTTGCGGTTTCCCTCCATTCTACGATGAGAGCATTGAGGTGCTTACTGAGAAGGTTGCCAAGGGCCAGTTTACTTTCTTGTCTCCCTGGTGGGACGAGATCTCCAAGTCTGCCCAAGATCTTATTAGCCATCTGTTGACCGTGGATCCCGAGAAGCGATTCACAATCACCGAGTTCTTGGCCCACCCCTGGATTGCTGGAAACGGACCTACTCCTCGGGATGAGATCAAGAAGTCGGATGGTATGCTGAAGGCCTTTGATGCTACCAAGTTTGAGGAGGCCGGCCGACGATACGACTTCCGATCTCCAGGTGCTGTTAACTTGCGTGAGGTCTTCGATGTCGGCTACGCCGTGCATCGTCAGGAGGAAGAGGGCAAGCGAAGGGCGCAGATCGGACCCAAGGGCACACCCGCACGATTCCTTGGTGGCCTCAACGAAGAGGAAGAGGATGAGGATGTCATGCAGATCGACGGCCAAGAGAACGATGGTGCGAAGCCTAACGCGGCGACCCAAGCTCTTGAGCAGAGCATGCGAAAGACCAACATCCGAGACCAAGAGCAACAGCAGCAGCAACAACAGTCTAGGGGCCGTGAGCGAGAGCGAGCTGAGAAGGGCTACGGTCAGCACTCAGCAACCGTCGCTGCGGCTGCTCGACAGCAGGTTCGTGATCGCAACCGCCAGCGTGGAGCATTCGAGCTCAACTTGGACAACGCAACCTTGTTGGGCAAGCGAGGCAAGAAGGTTCCTGTCATGGGAGTATAGAAAGCTCATGAAGCGAACTCACCTAATGCTTCAGCGACGACTTCGAGGAGCTTGAGCCTCGATAGTGCAGCGTCACCTAAGCCAACGACTTTTCGACCGCATTCTACGGACCAACCATCTGCGTCTGAAGATCATGACTGAAAGATGACGGCTCTGGGTTACGACTGTTACACATTTAACATATTGGAAACATGCTTAGTGATGCAAGAACAAGTGTCGCTAAACACACGCAGCACATGTTGACAGGGGAGGAAAGAATATTGGAGTGCATTCAGGCGCACGGAGTACCGGGTCATTGACGAAACCCTGATTCATTTGGGAACTCAAGACTATTTCGCAACGTTTTATGACATGTAATATCTGTCAGGAGTCAGGGGCTTATGCATGAAATAATCAGAGCTCTTGTCTTTTGGTATTTATTTATATCTCTTGTTTGTTGGTGTCGGCGGAGAGGTTCTGGCGTCGAACAGCAATTATCTTTCCGTTGGGCAACATCATCCATAGGCTGGGAGTTTTTGGAATCTCTTTTACCTTGATTGAAATGAAATGGTTTTAAGACTAGATGCACTTGTACAACTGATATTTGAAGCATGTTATTTCGTTGATCAATACACTGAACCATCTCTACTTAAGTTTCCTTGAGGCAAATCCTTTAAAGCGTGACTGACAAAAGAGCATATTGAAAAACACTGAACTGAATTATCCCACTCATCCTCCACGTCCTTAGCGATGTGAACCAGCATTCTTCTTCATCTGGCTACCCGCTGGAACATTACCACCTCGTTGCGACCGCCCTGGATCAGCCATGTGTTTTCCGGCGGTGCATCCCTTTGAACCACCCAGCTCGTTACAGCAATCCCAGATGAAGCCATCAGGACACTCCTCACGCATGTCGTCGGTATCTATCTCGCCGTGACAATTCTCATCATGATCAGCCCAGAAGTCGCCCTCATCATCTACCTCAAGTTCGCCTATCCTCACATCAGCATATAGTCAATTTTATGTCTTCAGATAGTCAGCTTACCTGGGTGATAACGACAAGGCTCCTCAGTATTAACCTCGTTCGTGAACGCCTCGTCACATTGCACGCAGACAAACAAATCGTTATAAGCCTTGCGCTTAAGTCCCGTGGTAGGATTGTCAGCCGCTTTGAGCGCGCGGTAGTGGTTCAGTGCGCGTTTGAGAACAGTTGGGTCATCGCAGAGGGCGAGGAGGATGGCGCGTAGCTGATGCTCAGGCGCTAGGTGCACCATTTCCTTGTCTAGTGTGAGCGACATTTTTGATGATGTGTAGATGCAATATCTTGTTTCTGAAGCCTTTAATTCCTAGTCAAAAACCTAAATAGAAGGAAAGCGTTTAGGAGACGAGTTTTGGGTTTCTCTAAGACTTGGGCTTTTAGTGCCCTACAGGGATATTTATACTGACGAAATTACTTGCTTCTTCTCGAAGTCTCGATGAGACACAATGCCCTTGTCTAGGAATTTGACCATGCCTGCTTTATTCTCATAAGACGTTTCATTGACAATAGCTCTGCCTCATAAGAATGCCAATTGCTACAGCTCGATTCGAACCTGAAATGCCTAGTAAATGAGATAATGATACCACGAATTTCACTTCTTGTTTGCGCTGAGAAACACAGGTTCTTCGTCGTCTTCATCTTCCTCATCTTCATCCTCATCAAGATCATCCTCGTCGTCATCGTCATCAACATCACTCGGCTCACGACCGCTTTCCCTTCTGGACTTTCTAGGGTCCGCCTCGTGAAAACCGCGGGCGCATCCATCTTCAGTGTAATTCTTATCGCAACAAGTCCACACAAAACCTTCCGGGCAGTCTTTACGATTATCCTTCGTGTCTATCGGCCCATGGGATCCCTCATCATGATCCGCCCAGTAGTTAGACTCGTAGTCAGGCTCACACTCTCCTATACAACTCCTGTAAGTCCTGTCTGTAGAGACAGAGTCAATCACTTACCCCAGTGATATTCACACGACGTCTTGTCATTTCCATTCTTATAAAATGAACAATCGCATTGGACGCAGATGAGAATCTCGTCGTCTGCCTTACGCTTCGTAGTAGTCGTAGCATCAGGGCCAAAGACTCCCGAATCCGATCCGTATAAGATCTTCAAACTGTCGAGGTAGTCCAGTGCACTGTTCCGAACCTGTGTATCCTGGCAGAGGGCGCGCAGTATTACCCGGATCTGAGCTTCTGGCGCATGCAGTAATTCATCGAGAGTCGACTTGGGCATCGCGAAAGCAAATACGATGCAATTTTTGGTTTGTGTGTGAATGAGGGGGAAAGTGAGTTTGCCATCCCGCCACGCCTGTACGGCTGAGGCAATATAGTTGCTTTTCCCCCGTGTTTGAAGCGCCAAATATTGAGACACGGCCCAATCGGCTACAAACATGGTCAGTAAATGAGAGGAATCGGAGTGCTTGAGCCAAACAGTGCAAGTCTGTACGGAGATGGGACATTGGTCTGGCTCTATATCTATATTTGTCGTTTGCCTGTGGCACAAAAGCCTTGACTGTGTGCCATCATCTCATATAGAAGACGATGTTCTATCAGTTGAGGCTGTTTGCAATGCACGAGGACCGCATGGGACATGGTCATGGCTGGTGTTGTGAACCCAAGCTTGTTTGTTGTCTTCCGTCTTGGTCTGTTCTCTTCGATTGCTCTCTTTACAAGCAAGTGTCTTTCAGGATAAACTGTAATCCTGCATCTCAGACCTGCAGTCATCGCCCTTCTAATAGTACACCTTCGTCGATTGTTCTGTTTCCCTCCGAAGCCCGACTTGTAAGCAAGCCTTCTCGAGTTTTGTACGGAAACCTTTGTTCGTTTCTAACATACATTACAGATCTGAACAGCATGCTCTTTATCCTCAGATACCTCATACTATTCGCGGCTCTTGTTGCTGCTAAAGGATGCAATCTTACCGATAACTCTACTTGTCCCTCAGGAGCCCATATCATCGTGGCCCGAGGCAGCCTCGAGCCTCAAGGATCCGGCCTCATGGGAGCTGTCGCCCAGCAGATCAATGCCAGGATTCCTAACTCCGATATAAGTCCTCTCAAGTATCCGGCTATCTATGAACCTTATAAGCCCTCGCAGACCGAGGGCGTCAGGAGTCTTGCTAAGGTGGTCAGAGACTATGCTGCACGCTGTCCCGAGACGAAGATGATTCTACTCGGATACTCTCAGGTAGTTCAGAAAACCCTCCAGTGGAGAATCTAAGACGTTTGAAGCATGATTGTAATGTTGACTTGGGGAAACAGGGGGCTCATGTCGTTGCCGACGTCATGTGCGGTGCAAGTTCGATCGGATTCCCAACTACGAAGCCACTCCCTCTCAACATCAGCAGCAAGAGTCAGTCCAAGAAATCCACGCCGATTTTTTCATCCTTGTTTGCTAATAGTTGGAGCCTAGTTGCCGCCGTTGTCCTGATGGGCGATCCGAGTACTACGAAAGGACAAGACTTCCACGTTGGGACCAGCCAAGGTGATGGAGTACGTCAACACATGCCCTTAAATCGTGATTGGAATCGCTGACCCGGTTCCCAGGTACTTCCTCGTCAGAATCCAGATGGCTGCCGGTGTGTCTTCAGAAAGACGATCTCATTTTGTGACGCAGGGGACCCCTTCTGCGAGGCGGGAGGCCACGACTTGAGAACTCATATGAGATATGTATCGGCATATGGACAAATGGCTTCCGATTTTGCTGTTTCCATGTTCCACCTTTCCTAGGAGTGCCTCTAGAATCGACGCTATCAGATATCTGTTCGTGGCTTGGGAACAATGACTTGGCTCTCCGGCACTTGAACACATTAAGCTCTAATTCCTTGTTCTTGTCCTTGACTCCGCAACTACAATATAGTGACTCGTCTTTTACAGTATCAGGTATGCATTTCGCTAAAGCTTGCATCCCACTAGTAGTAGCCTATCGCATCTCTTGCTCTTTAGACTTGACCGTTGAGTAGTATAATGGGGTCAGGGTTCAATTCAAGTGGACTTTCACTAAGACGTACATTAGTCTAGCTTCCGTTGGATAAGTCTACCTTGGATCGGAAGGACAGTTATCCCCGAGAATACTTCCGCACTTGGGTTGTTCAGAACGCACGGTGATTGTTAGTTTCTATTGTGTTCAGAATTGTTTCGATGTTGGGTCATAAGAGTCCAAGCTATTGCTCTGTGCATGCGGGTAAATAGATGAAAATGAAACCACACAAAAGGAAGCAAGAAAAGCAAATACTGATTTCCAGTCGATTACCGGGCTTTGTGGTTGCAGACCTACATATGCATGGCAAGTTTGCATGCAGTAGTAAGGAGTCTATGCTTCAGATTGCCAAGGGCAAACTAATAAAGCCACGGCCAAGCTTTAATCCAACCGAGGTCTTTGAAACGTTTGTTCAGTTCAGAAGAATTAACCGATCTACCGCAGCTCGGAAAGAGTATTTAATAACCCGTAATTACTCTCACCTGATTTCGCAAGAAAAGACCAAAGTGGAAGGACTTTCAATCTTAATTCCAATCTTCGTCATCTAATCTTATATATATAAATCGAGAACCCTTTCCTCTATCCTTATCCCAGGCATCTTTCGAACATGGGGGCCCTTTTATATAATAAACAACGCAAGGTAATGGGTCAAGTTACGCAGAAGGACATTGCCCGATGCAGTAACAAGTCCGTCGACTGGCCTAAGTAGACTACCCCAGATCAGAACCATGTCCTTGTTGTTTCCCGCCCTACGATCAGAGCTCAGGTGCAAGTTCGCAAGATTTGACGAACATGTACTAGACCCGTTGAGCTTTCTTTGCTTTTTCGATACCGAATTTCTGTTTTTGTGGGGCTGTCACTGCTACGCTCCTGGCAGCTAGCGACGGTTATCGTGAGATTGGAATTGCATGGTGTTGGCACTGGCAGCGACACTGGTATCGGCTCTGGCACGGCTGTGAGCAGTGGGATCGCAGCAGTGCCAGAGAGGTCTATATAATCATCGATCTGCTCTACGTTCATCTCTTCTCTTCTTCTCTTCTTCACCTCACTCGAGATTCAACATACCATCCCAGCTCTTGAACATCAACTCAACAAGTAAGCTAATCTCCCTCAACCATACCACAACAAACACAATTTCTAACTTCTTTTCAGAAGCTTTCATCAACACGACAACGCAACCATGAAGACTTTCACTGTTCTCCTTAGCTGCCTTGCTGGTCTCGCGGTCGCAGAGACTAACACTACCTGCGCCAAGGGAGCTCACATCATCGTGGCTCGTGGCAGTCTTGAGCCTCAGGGCCCTGGTGCCATCGGCGAACTCGCCGAGCGTATGCTCAAGCTTATCCCTGGCTCTGACATGGAGGCTCTCGTCTATCCTGCTCTGTACGATGAGTACCTCGAGTCCCAGCCTAAGGGCGTCCGCGTCTTGACCTCCGTCGTCAACAACTATGTCAAGAACTGCCCTGACACCGACATCATCCTGATGGGATACTCTCAGGTAAGATCCAACATACAGTCCGGTAGTTTGATATGCTCACACTTTGACAGGGCGCTCATGTCATCATGGATACCATGTGTGGTACCAGCTCAACTGGTTTCCCTGGCACCCTTCCCCAGCCCGCCTACATCACCGACAATGGTAAGTCAAAGCCCAACCTCAAGATAACTATCAGGTAACTAACCTTCAATAGTCGCTTCTATCCTTCTCCTCGGTGACCCAAGTCTTACTGAAGGTCAGACTTTCCATGTCGGCACCAGCGTTGGCAACGGAGTAAGTCATCATCAAGAACAACACTTGTCAGCATTGGCTAACCTTTCTCCAGATGTTCCCCCGAAACCTCCCCGCCGGCTGCGATCTCATCGCCGACAAGACCGTCTCCGTCTGCGACAAGGGCGACCCCTTCTGCGAGAAGGGTGGAAAGGATCTGCCTGTTCACCTTGGCTACATCCCCGTCTGGGGTGACTACCTCGTCAAGGAGGGTGTCAAGATGACTAAGGCTCGCCAGTAAATACTCTTTGACGAACTTTCATGATCTGGGATGAGGAGTATTGGCGTTATTATTCCCACGCACGCACGCATCAAAAGTAATTGAGAGGCTATTGGTTTCAGGGCATGAAGGACCCTTTGGACTTGACTTGGATTGGGCTCAGAGCAGAAAGACTTGAGAGCATGGTATATATTATAATCCAGTATTAGTCAAGAATACAGCCCACATTGCGTTGCGATCTCATCAGACCATATCTGACTTGTTGATACATCAAATACTCACCTTGTTCTTGATAGCTAACCCAGCAGTTGGATGCTGGGAGGTCATACGTTGTCTACCTAGATGATGATCTGAACGTACTAAGTAAGGTGAGTTAGGTATAAGATTGGGTTTCGCTTACTTGCTGGGATTTTGTTAGTTAAAGACCCTGGACTAGTCCTCATAAGCGCCGGTAGATACACATTCAAAGCAGGGGTGTTTATTGCTCATTTTCGGGTTTTGTCAGAATTCCCAGTAGTGGTATTTGCTCGTGGAATCATCCATAGGGGACGAGCCGCTCATTCTAATCCGAAACAATAGCCTAAGCTCGTAGATCTTCTATCTCTCTAGTTACATTCTTCATTATCGTTGTCCGTCCAGTCGCTCGTTAAATCAAATTCTAGGGTATCATGCATCTCCCGTAACCGTGACCAAATCTCAAAGTGCCATCCGTCCATTGCCGTTCCCATTTCCCAAAACTCCAAAACAATTTCGTGTCGCGCGTTCCAAATTTCCTTTCCTTCTCATTAAGGTCCTTCTCATCCGGACCAGCCCTCGATAGGGATTCTCCATCCAGCTTTCGCAAATAAAGGCACCACCTCCGGATAGGCGAGAGAGAATGGCAGCCAGAAGCGTTCGTTGATGAGATGAGGTATCCTCTCAGGCTTGAGCCTATGTTCAGGCATTTTAACCTGAATGATCCTGTTGAGAATCCACACCATCTCCCTTGCCAGATTCTCCTGACGGTCCTGGTCTGAGTGCTTGAGCTCGTTCACGTACGTTCTCGCCAGCTCATCAGCCAGCCCCGCTAGTGAGAGCATCGAGACCCCGGAGCTGCCTACTCTTAGAGTGTGCATTTGCTCGAAATCGTAAGGAAATCTGACGCGGATCTGACGTAGCATGCCGTCGCGCGTTGCGACACCCCAGATATCTTGTCTCTTGGGCATCTGGAGCATGCCCAGCGCTTTCGCCCAGCATTTCTGGTTCTCGCGCGTGTGCTCTGGGCATATTATGCTCACTTTATATGGCCTCGCGTCGTAGCCGTAGTAAACCATGGCAGCCAGGCCGCTTACCGCGTAGGGAATGTGGCTGAAGCGTAGGGCTATCATGTCGACTACCTCACTTACGGCCTCGTAGTTCATTGAGCGGTCTTCCAAAATGATGATGGCTTCTGTGCTCCCTGATCTATCCGTAAGTGGGCGAAGAAATTCATCTGATGCAGATGCAAGTTGTTGGGCTTGAGCATGACTAGTATTGCGATTGCGCTTCTGCAGGGGTGATAGTGCCCGGTATGGAGACTTCTGTTGTGGGGGACATTGACGTGGAACCACAGGCAGAGGCTTCGCAAGGTCAGGCCTATTAACTGGGCTCTCTCTCTTTTGACCGCCTGACGTGTGATCATCCTCCTGACTTTGGCTCCGACTCCAACTGTGAGCCTGACTCTTATAATAATAGGGTCCCTCCCGTGGCGATCGCGCACGATCCGAATAGCTTCGTGAAGTTCGTATCTTGCTAAAACATTTTTCGAGAGATCGTCTTCTTCTTGTCGAAGGCTTTTTCTGTTTCTCATAATCAGAATCCATCTTGGCATAAGGTAAACACTCTCTGAAGAGCCAGCGCAGAACCACACGGAAACCCATTTTACAATAGCTTCTCTAGAACGGTTCTGCGAGTGTTTTAATGATGTGAGGATAACTTACCGGTCGTTTATAGATTTTGCGTTCTATCTTGAGATAGTTCGCCTTGGTTAAATCTGTAGAATATCGGTGACGGCGAAGTGCTTCTTGTCGGCGTTGTGTCTTTGTTGGTGTATTGATGTTGATATGCGACTATGCGTGGGAATCAAAGAATATCGTATGCGATAAGTTATTTGTTAGACACAAAATTGACAATGGAAAGAAAAAAACAAAGCCAACTAAAACCGCATGCCATTCTTGTCTTTTATATAGACAAGGCGCTCTTGTTCGTGCATGTTGAACATAGGAAATGTGACCTGTTCACGATGTTGAACAATCAAGGCTATTACATAGTACTCCATAGGACAGCACCCATGATCTGACAGCACAACAGTCTCAAGCACACTAACGGGAACAAACAGGGAACATATGCAGAATTAATGTCATGCATGATAATACGATGCTAAACCTTGTGTGCAATAATTCGTGACATGGCTAGGTCTATATCGTCCGTCCCGACCGCCAACGCCAATTAATCTTACAAGTCCATCCCGTGGTCTCGTTATCCCTGTTCAACTAGATACCCGCTTCCGCTTCTGCTTCCGCTCGCTCATAACTCCTCCTCCACGTCCATCTGCTCACCATTCACTTGGCCCTTTGACCCTGCTGGCGCATCTCTTTTGGGCATGGTCGCCTCCTTGTCGATCATTTGTCTCGACACGGAAACAATGTTGTCCTCAATGAGCTCCTGGCCAACATCCTCGAGATGCTTCTTGGGATCCAACTTGCCAACGTATCGAGTCTTAAGCTGATCTTTGGTCAATTCGGTCTCCTCCTTCACCCGCTTCTCGTAGCCATCCGCCAATGAGACAAGCTGTTGCAGTCGGTCCTTGTTCTTGCAACCCTCATGTCGGAAATCATCCATCTCCAGAGCCTCGGTCCACACGTGCTTGTGCAGGTTCATGAGCATGTTCTCCTCGAGAGCGGTCTTGCGGTAGTCGATACCAATCGAGTAATAGTGTCGGTTCAAGCCGTGAATAAGAGCCTGGATTGATGGTTTGTTCAGGTGACCCAGGTTACTTGTGCTTTGGCGAGGTTCTTGGCCAAGCATCAAGAGCTGGGGGTTGATGAGTCGGAAAGCGTCAATAACGACTTTGCCCTTGACGGACTGAATGGGGTCGATGACGACAGCAACGGCACGGGGGTTCAGTTGCTCAAATGATTGTTGAGTGTTGATATCGACCGACGAAAGCCAGCAACCGAAACCAGGATGCGAGTGGTACCATCCAACGACTGACTCGGGTCTGTTGAGTAGTTAGCTAATGAACAATTGATAATTGACGGAATCAACGTACCGTCCTGTCTGCCTAAGCATGTCCATCATCTTGGTCTGGAAAACAGGGTCGACAGCCTCGACACTGACACCGGTACCGCTCTGTGGCATAGCAAACACATCCATAACCTTGACAGTAAAGTCGTCCACGAACTCGCCCAGCATCAGACCCATGACTTCCATGGGAACACCTGCGCGGCCGTGTCGAAGCATCTTGAGGAGGGCTAGGGAGGAGATGTAAACCGTTTCCGAGTTATCGATGAGGTTGGTGTTATCCTGTGATCGAATGGATTAGCCCATGCCCCGAGAAGCAAGCACTCGCTATGCGGGAGCTTCAATCAGCAATGTCGTAGCTTACAGTTCCATGGGCAGCTCCTCCCAGGCCGCCCATACCGCCGCCACCAAGCAAACTCCTGAAGCGCTCCATATTATTGACGAGGTTTTATGAGTAAGTGAGATGCGCGTAAGATTGAAGTTCGTCAAAAAAGCGTTCAGATGTGGGTGGAAATGTGATTGTTGGCGGTGATGGAGGGTGTTGCTATGATCGGAGCTTGGTAGAATGCTATTGACGTTGACGCCAGCCCGGCAGCCTGGGAGCCACAGCTGGAAGCTTAGTCAAGTCACGTGTTGATAGCTTGCCTAGCCACAGCCTCATGCGAGGGGCTCCAGTTGTGGCGCTAGGTGCCGTCAATTTAACAAGGAGCGGCCTAACGTTAATCCTTGTAAACGGCAATCTGATGGAGCTCCGACATGGGCTTCTCAGTGTGTCGCTGCCATGTACTTACTACTAAACTTATATCCAAGGCTGTTTCTAGAAAATACCGTTTCCGCGCCCACCTTTCCGTCCAAGTCTCGATCGAACATGCTGAACTCTCTCTGAGCCATTCCAGCTTCTTAATTTATAACCATATATACACAATTCTGCAAACCTCCGACTTAACCCTTTTCTTCTTACCAATTTCCCGAGAGTCGCGACACACCGGCAGCCGCAATCATGGGCGACGACATTCGTGTTGAGCTTGGCTCAGTCGCGCTCAATGGCTCATCGCCCAAGAAGGTCGCTTACTTTTACGATTCCGATATTGGTAACTATGCCTACGTTACTGGACATCCTATGAAGCCCCATCGCATCAGACTGGCGCATAGCTTGATCATGCAGTACAACCTCTACCAGAAGATGGAGATCTATGTAAGTCTACTCTTGATTATCACCCGATTTGTCCCAGATCACTGTCTCGAGCTTTTGCTAACATTTTTGAAGCGCGCGAAACCTGCGACCCGAGGCGAAATGACCCAATTTCACACGGACGACTACATCGATTTCCTGCAAAAGGTCACGCCAGACAATATGGATAGTTTCATGAGGGAGCAAGGAAAATACAACGTCGGAGATGATTGTCCTGTATTCGATGGCCTCTTCGAGTTTTGCGGTATCAGTGCGGGTGGTAGTATGGAGGGTGCTGCGCGACTCAACCGACAGAAGTGCGACATCGCCATCAATTGGGCTGGTGGCCTTCATCACGCCAAGAAATGTGAAGCCAGTGGTTTCTGCTATGTCAACGGTATGTTTTATCATAATCACGAAAGTGCACTATCTAACGATTCCCAGATATTGTCCTCGGTATCCTCGAACTCCTTCGATTCAAGAAGCGGGTCCTCTACATCGATATTGACGTCCATCACGGTGATGGTGTCGAGGAGGCCTTTTACACCACCGACCGTGTCATGACCGTTTCATTCCACAAGTATGGCGAGTACTTTCCCGGAACTGGCGAGCTTAGAGATACCGGTATTGGGCAGGGCAAGAACTACGCTGTAAACTTCCCCCTGAGGGATGGTATTACTGATGTGTCTTACCGCTCAATCTTCCAACCTGTCATTGAGAATGTCATGAAGTACTACCAGCCTGAGGCTGTTGTTCTACAGTGTGGTGGTGATAGTCTTTCAGGTGATCGATTGGGTTGTTTCAACTTGAGTATGGATGGACACGCCAACTGCGTGAACTTCGTCAAAAGCTTTAACCTCCCTACCCTTGTTCTCGGTGGCGGTGGCTACACAATGCGAAACGTCGCGCGAACATGGGCATTCGAGACTGGTGTTCTTGTCGGTAAGGAGATGGAACGAACATTGCCTTACAATGAATACTACGAAGTAAGTTGGATGAAATTGGTTTAATGAGTGCCTACTAACACGGGATAGTACTATGCTCCTGACTTTGAGCTGAACGTTCGATCCTCTAACATGGAGAACTCCAACAGCCGAGAATACCTTGAGAAGATCACTTCCTCAGTCATTGACAATCTCCGACAAACTGGTCCTGCACCTTCCGTGCAGCTGCAGGACGTCCCGCGAAAGCCTTTCGGTGGTATGACCGATGAGGAGGAGGCTGAATTGGATGACCTTGACGAGGATGAGAACAAGGATGTCCGTATGACCGAACACCGCTGGGATAAGCACGTCGAACATGACAACGAGTTCGAGGCTAGTGACGACGATGAGATGGCTCGCGCGAACGGAGCTACACGCCAAAATGGCAACAAGCGCAGCTTTAACGATTACCGCAAGGGAGAGATGGATGTCGACACCGCTGATGCCCCTCCTGCCAAAGCCCCTAATGGCGCATCGAATGATGGACCCTCTGAGGAACACACTGGTGAAGAAGGGCACGATGTGAACGACGATACTATCGACGACATTTCGGCTCCAGACCAGCCCGAAAAGGATCAGGCAGAGAAGACTACTGAAAACCCTGCCGAAAGTGAGAAGGAAACCAAGTCAACAAATGTTGATGGAGACGGCGACGTTGGCATGGAGGACTCGACGGTTACAGAAACACCGATCAAGAAGGAAGATGTTGAGCCCGAAGCCCCCACTGAGCCTCCGGCGCCAACAGAAAAGCCAACTCAGGATGAGCCGGCTGTTGAGGTGGTCTCCGAAACTGCTAATAAAGAAAATGCTTCAGAGCCTACCCCCGCCGAAAAGGTCGAAGAGAAGCCTGCAGAGGAAACCAAGGAAGCTCAAAGCGAACAACCTGCCGATGCTATGGACGTCGATACGGAGAAGGATAAGCCAGAGCAACCTGAGGAGAAGAGTAAAAGCCCAGCAAACTAGAGGTTGGATGAGAAGCAACGCATCTGGTTTCTATAGACGTTTTCATGTTAAAGCAAAAGCTCACGCCACATTCCTTGTCGCCTACCCACAACTGCACCTTCAGTATCAGAACGAATGGGCACGTGGTACCGAGCGACGATAGAATGTGGCTTGCAGTTCAGGCGTTCTGGGCGTAGGATTACATGTGGCACGAAGGAAGAGAGACATCAGAATGCACGGGCGACTGGTAACCTTGGCTAGACGGGCTGTGTATGTGAGGAATGTCATCTTGATTACGAGTTTTCATGTTTTTAGGTTGAGATCATAGCGAAAAGAACTAATTTATACCACGGTAATGCTACATGAGGCTGCGGGTGTTATAATTCTCATTGTATTTGGGTGTTTTGAGTTTTGATAAGCGGTATGGACTAACTCCCTGTTCACAGACGCCCAGTCTTATCCTTTGCAGTGTCCACCATTCAGCTTCAGATACAGGCCATATCGCTGGGTTGAATCAAGCCGGCCATTGTTATCGACACATCAACATCCAGTCATAGCCTTGGTTCGCTTTTGCGAACGCTCAGTGCTGGGCTGCTCGGTGGGTGTGATCTCATCTCGTTCGCGCTTAGCTGGTGGTTTTTTGGATTGAGCATCAGTCGTAGGTAGTAGCCCGTTGGCATGAGGCAAAAAGTAGGCCTGGTTGGGACTGGCCTCTGTTTGGTTCCAGGGGCTGTACATGTATAGCAAGTTGTAGCGCGCGAACTCGGCGGCGTGTGAAGCGAGATCGAGGTTCAAGAGGGCGTAGGTGGCTGCTGTCTCATCTGTAGCCATCATATTTCCAAGATCTAAGGTAGTTGACTGTTCTTGTGAAGTTCCAACAACCTCGGTGTCTTCTGTTGGTGGCTTTCCAAAGTCGTAACCGTTAAAGAGATCGGTCACTGTCTGCTGAATAGCTTCTTGTTCGGCGGTGGTGGGCATCCTGAATATAGTTGAGTTGATCATATGAGAAGGTACATAGAGAAGAGTAAAACTGCAGATAGCCTCTTAGGATAGTGCTTTTTCGTTGCTTCGCAAAAGTGGTGGTATGCTTTCTTTGGGACGGAAGGGTAGAACGAGGGGGGCAAGATCACAGATGGTATTTCAGTCATGGTATTGACTCTAAGAAAGCTACCCGTTGAGTCACTGCCTGAAATTGGAAGTGTGAGTTTTAAAATTCAGCCATGTGCATTCAATTGGTTCTGAACGGGCGCATCATGTTAATTTTGATGATGCTTCACCTAAACTCCAATACTAGCATATGTTTTGCCTGTGACGCTGGGTATGATACTACCGATCTCGGAGAACTTGAGGAACTGGAAGAGTTTCGATTAGGACTTTAGTGGTTGTATCCTTTTTTATGTTAACATTGAGCTTCAACAATGTGAGTAACCAGCTTTACAGCTTGTGTTGGCTAGTCAATATCAAACATACAATAAACAATGACACAAAGGTGAAGAGAATATCTAATCTCTCGATCAATAATCAATAATACCAAACTCCAGAAGTAACTATAGTAAGAAGTACTACTAACTCAGGGAACTCCGCCCTGGTGCAAAATACTAGGGATAATCAATAATCTGATAACTCGATCTCAGGTCTAGGGTGAGGATATCGTGATGGTGGGGGACCGAGACACTGATAAGATCCCCCACTTTCCGTCTCATTCCGCCCGGCTCTTGCAGGCAGGCACGAATGAATAGCAGGGAAGGGGACGAGGTACATACAATTTAGCGTCGACTGCGGGGAGCCGAAAAATAATTATTTCCAACCCAACCCAACCGCCTACTCGAAAAAAGAAGTCTATCCCACCATCGTCATATTTATACTCTCAAGATCGCCTTTCTCGCCACCCACTCGCTATATCATGTCAATGTAGCATCGAATATCAACAGTTACCCAACTATATATTCCTAGTTTCTAGATTCTAGGCTTTCCTATCTTCCCTATAGACGACCGCATTCACTCGCTTGACTCACCATGCCGACCCCCGCGCCCGCCGAGGGCGACGCCGCGACGGCCAAGCTCGGTGTCTGGAAAGAGGCGCTTTACGACCGATGTCGCGAATCTGGAACAGATATGTTCTCCCAGGATGACCTTATGCGCCTCGATGTCATCCCCAAAGGCGACTTGATGCTGCTTGCCCGCGTCGTCCAGTCCCTTACTGATGACAAGCTTTTCATCACCATGCGCGAGGCCTCTGGCCAAGTGCTATGGAAATGGCGCGATTCTCAGGAGGCTCACAAGTACGAAAATACAACCCTCTGACCTTGGTGAAGTGCATGGCTGATAATTGATTCCTAGGTACAAGCAGTGCTCTACCGACGAGCAGGTCATGGTCTACTCTCTTATCGACGATTCGGGCGGCGACGGTATCTGGTCCCAGACGCTCCAGAAGCGCCTCAATATGCACGATTCAGTTCTCAAAAATGCACTCAAGCAACTACAAGCCAAGGGACTCATCGCACCCTTCAAGAATGTCGAGCACCCCAACAAGAAGATGTTCATCAAGGCCTCCATACGGCCCAGCGATCGCGCCACGGGTGGCCCATGGTACACCGACCAGAATCTCGACGAGGCTTTTATCGATGAACTACAGCGCGTTGTGTTTGATTTCATAAAGCGCCAGAGTAGCTACCACAGCACACATGGAGGTGGCGCTGCGCGAACGCAGGTCCCCAAGAAAGGAGTCGTTAAAGGTGGTGTGGACAAGGGCAAGAAGCGAGATGCTAGTCACATGGACGAACCCCCTGCCAAAACACCCAAGACATCTCCAACGACTACGGTCAAGAAAGACGCAATGCTTCCTCTACCTGCTGGTTATACAGGCTATCCGACCGTCCGCGACATTGCACGTCTTCTATCGGCGAGTGGCATTACTCATAACACCATTTTGTCTGAACACGACGTGCAGAAGCTCGTGGATGTGTTGGTTTGGGATAACCTCATCGAGTCAGTCAAGGTGGCTGGAAAGATAGGTTATCGCGTTTCTCGGATCGCCAAGCAGTCCTTAGAAAGCTGGGCTGGCAGGGATGATCCCACTGGCCGCGAAGGCGGTCCGGAATCCTTCGTGAGTGCTTTCACGGAAGCCCCCTGTGGGCGTTGCCCAGTGTTTGAGATCTGCGAAGAAGGCGGCCCTGTAGGCCCCAACAATTGCGAGTACTTCAAGAGATGGCTGGGCGCTGAATAGAGCATGAGAATTAATTTTGCATCTGGAACGATAAGGGAAACCGATATCTTATTGATTCGAGAAACGGAGTTATGGTCTGGAAGTGGGCATTTTTGTTTTTAGGGAAAAGATAGCAACGGCGTAGTCGGACAAGCGATGGCTGTGGAGTATTCAGCCGGACGCAGCGATTGTCAACTGTCTTTTGACAGACCAGCACCTGTATACAAGCGATGCTTGAGAATAAAATCATTTACATCCAGGTCACAAGTTTTTTTCATGGCAGTGCATTTGGGTTTATTGGTTAACATTGATCAACAAGCTACAACTTATACTAGCTTGTGAGTATCTAGCTCCATTTTGCTACCCCTCGTTGAGAGTTGATGCGTTCCCAAATCCCCAATTCATCACGTCATGTAGTTTGAGCTATTTACAGCTCACCACAGTCAACGATGGTGGCCTTGTTGTTGGGAGCGACGGCACCGCTGCCGGAGCCAGTCTTCTCAAGGGCCCTGACAACCTTCATGGACTCCTCGTCAGCGACCTCGCCGAAGACGACGTGGCGACCGTTGAGCCAAGAGGTGACGACGGTGGTGATGAAGAACTGAGAGCCGTTGCTATAATAATTGTCAGTCAACGAAAGCCAATCAGGAATCAAATGGGAGCTTACGTGTTGGGGCCGGCGTTAGCCATGGAGAGCAGACCAGGGCGGTCGTGCGTCAACTTGAAGTTCTCATCGGCGAACTTCTCACCGTAGATAGACTTACCACCGGTACCCTGGGCTATGTCAGCATTTGTCAAACACTTCAAATGAAAATCAAACACGTACGTTACCGCGGGTGAAGTCACCACCCTGGAGCATGAAGTCAGGGATGATACGGTGGAAAGAAGAGCCCTTGTAGCCGAAACCCTTCTCGCCGGTGCAGAGAGCGCGGAAGTTCTCGGCGGTCTTGGGGACCTTGTCATCGTAGAGGTTGAAGTTGATGCGGCCCTTGTCTATAGGAGAATAGATGTCAGCTTTGATGGGAAAGCCATGGTGGTAGACGGGTGAATAAAGATGAGAGATATGCAAGAGCATGAGGAGTGTCGGGACTGCAAAGACCACGACCGCTGCGGAAATCCGAAACCCGGTACCCGACGCATGCATTGAGAGGAAGCAGCCGCAGCTCATCGATAAGGATGGATGCAAATAGACGATCGTGAGGAAGTCAAAACTTACTGCCGGCCCATTCGATGTCGAAGAAACTGTTCAACGATTAGAGACGTTCAATGAATACAGTGCTCAGCGAAAGGAAACTTACACCTTGTTACCCATGTTTGCGGTTGAAGCTGAGAAAAATCTAACAGTTCTGATTGTGTTGGAGAGTTGAGGAAGAGAAGAAGAAGTTCTTGCGGCAGAGAAGCAGGTATGGCGGGGTAGGAGGGGCTTGATGAGGGAGGGTCTCATTTTGAGCAAGCTAGAGGGGCAAAACGTTAGCGCGGGGCCGCCGGAACCAATGGAAGCACGTAGAAGAGGGGATGATCAGAATGCGATCACGTGAAGGGACCCGGGTAGCTTGCACCCTCTGCTTTGCCTGCTGGGCAACGCCCCCAGCTAGCGACGTTTTCCATGAGGTCACCGTGGCTATGGCGTGTGGGGCAGGGGAGCTTCGTAGCTGTCTCTGGTAAACGATGATGAATTCAAAAGAGCAGGCAAGCAAGCAAGCAAGTACTGATCCCTGGCATCCATCATCCTGACCGCCATTGCTAGCAGTGGCGCATTGAGCAGAACATGATCGAAACCACATTGGCGACTGGCACCAGTAATTGGGTTGGGTTGTGGACTCAATGGCTGGTTCTCCCCCCATCAAAGCTTCAATGGGGCTACCAATTGAGCTGATGGAGGTTGCCTGGGCCACGTCCTGAACTCTCTGGTCTGTTTGCAGACCATCATCCAAAAACAGTGAGCCGGTGCGACGAGTCAGTGGCCCGATGTCCGAAGTGCAGCAGATTTTTGCTCAAGGATCAAGCCCATTGGAGGGAGCAAGGGGCGTCAGTGGATTTCATGACATTGCATGGGCCCTTCCCACCTCGAGTCTCGTCCAGTGCATCAACCCGTGGGCAGCAGTGACCATTGTAAACAGCCGGGGCAGTAAGCTGCCCGCCTCCACAGACCGAAAGGACAGGGGAAAGCAAAGCTGGAGGGATAAAGGCGAGAAGAAACCGACAACACCGGCGTTGGTCCGGTCAGACGGCTTTTCCAAGATCCCAATTGGGGTCTCAATAGTTCGATATTGGCCCAGCAAGTGCACGAATATCCAATGTTTGCTTGGAAGGCGTCTTGCTTCTCTTTTGCAACTTGATCAAAGTCCAGCTTGAGTGTAGCAGAGAGTCTCTTGGTGACAAAATAAAGGCAAAGGCGGCAGTGAAAAAGAACCGAGCTTGTACATACCTTAAACTCATACACTTGGAAGAAGGTAGGGTTGAATAAAATCGAGAGTTTAGACAGATACAATTACAACGAGCAGAGGTTGGCCTTTTAGACTGATCTGATCTCGAGAAAGGGAAGGTAAAAGTTTGGGCCAGCTTGACGTCTGGTATTCTAGCTCCCTGTTCGGGCCTGAAGTCTAAGGTTGTATAGCGGGTCAGACGCTTAAAGGCTTAAAGTGCTTTGGCATGACGACCAATGTTTGATCCAATGATGGTCGACAAGTCACAGAACGGATGAGAATACACATAGGAAGCTATCTATTGATGAGTAGATGGTCAATGCATTGTAATTCAAAACAAAGGCAAGCTCTATACCTACTCGAAGCCAGTGTTTGACCTCTTTGTGTCTTGCTCTGAATCACGTGATCAGCCATGATCCATGCTGACGTTGGGCTTTGGGAAATGTCCAGGTGTCCACCATGGCCGTAGTGTAGCAAGGGGCGCATCTTAAACTCAAGATATCCTTCTGTTCCATTGCAATTCCTTGAGAGCATCATCTCGAAGTTCTGCGCCATTCAAACCAATCTTCTTCTTTATCTGCTGGCTTCTTCTTGGACTAATTCAATATGGATATGAATGATTTGAAGAACACGGTCTCCAACCTGACCTTGTATGACCTCAAGGCAGGCTTCAGGAAGGCCCAGAATGGTACTTCCCTTGACGGCCTTCTTTGATGCGCCTGATGGTTACTGACGAAATAATCAGCTGTCATGAACTTTACCGAGATGGAGTCCAAGGTTGGTTAAGCTCTGCGCGACAACTGTGGTTGGGACACAGTCAACTCACCCGTGTCTAGGTGCGCGAGGCCACGAACAACGAGCCATGGGGCGCTTCGTCAACCCTCATGCAAGAAATCGCAAACGGAACATTTAACTAGTACGGCTTATCAAACTATATCAAAGTCCAGCTACTGACTACGAACCAGCCAAACCCTCAACGAGATCATGCCCATGATCTACCGTCGCTTCACCGAAAAGGCCGCTGAGGAATGGCGCCAAATCTACAAGGCCCTCCAACTGCTCGAGTTTCTCATCAAGCACGGCTCCGAGCGTGTGATTGATGATGCCAGAGGACACATCTCTCTTCTAAAGATGCTTCGCCAATTCCACTTTATCGATCAGAACGGAAAGGACCAGGGTCTTAACGTGCGCAACCGAGCCAAGGAGCTGGCAGACCTTCTTAGCGATGTGGATCGTATCCGAACCGAGCGCAAGAAAGCGCGTGCGACCAAGAACAAATATACTGGTGTTGAGGGCGGCTCAACCTTTGGTGGTGGCTTCTCGAGCGGCAGCTCTGGTCGTTATGGCGGTTTTGGCAGCGAGAGCGCTGGTTATGGTGGAGGCAGCAGCAGCGGACCTGCCAACTTTGGCGGATACTCTGGTGGTGTCTACGGAGATGGTGGTGGTTTCGGTGGCCAGACTGATGACTGGCGACAAGACGGCAATGCCAGCAGATCTGAACGATTTGAGGAATATGATGAGTTTGACGAGGGCGAGCGACCATCTGCCAGCTCATCCAGAGCTGCTGCCAAGCGACCAGAGCGTGCCCCTGCCAAGAAGGCTGCCGCCGAACCACCCAAGAAGAAGGAGCCTGAAGTTGATCTCTTCTCCTTCGATGACCCTGCGCCAGCATCTTCTGCAGCTCCTTCGGCATCCAACAACTCTGGCTTTGCTGCGCTGGCCCCTACTAGTGCTGCCCCAGCGCAAGCCGACGACGACGACGAGTTCGATGACTTCCAGTCAGCTACACCTGCTCAGGCCGCACCATCCAACAACTTTATGCAAAGCCCTCCTGTGACATCGGCAGCCTCTTCCACTGCTCAGTTCGCCGCTCCTCAGCCTCAGTCGGCCCCTCAGCAGGCCGACATTAGCCAGATGGTTAGCATGGCATCAATTTCACCTGCACCAAGCGCATCAGGCACTCCAGGACCAAACTACTCTGCTTTCAGCATCCCTGCTGCTCCTGCGGCACAGGCTCCCAAGCCTGCCGGCTTCCAGCAATCCGGTCCCAACTACTTTAGTCCCGTCCAGGCACAAGCTTCCAAGCCCCCCACAACATCTGCCTTCTCGGGCATGGGAAGCACATCCAACGCTGCTCCCAGCACCCCCACTACTATGGGTAACATGAAGCCTGTTACCAGCTCCTCAGCCAGGCCAGCGCCTGCCGCTGGTGGAGATGCCTTCGGCGCCCTCTGGGGCAAGGCAAGCGGTGGTGTCAAGAAGCCTGAGACGCCCAAGGCTGGACCCGCACTGGGACAGCTCGCCAAGGAGAAGAGCAGTGCTGGAATCTGGGGTGCTCCATCGGCAACTGGACCTTCCAGCGGCAGTGCTCCTCCCAAGACTGGCGGCTCTGCTATGGACGATCTTTTGGGTTAAATCAGCCCACGCACTGGGTATCTTTGAACAGGTGGATCAAAACATGGGATCGGATAACAGTTGGTGCATTGAGTCATGTTTAGTTGATGGCATTGAGAATGTAGTATAATCAGCAACGGAGCAGCATGTTTGTTTTCATGATAGGATCCTAGATAGGCGTCTGGCGCAACAAAATGAACTGACATATCATGTCGTTCTATTTTCAACTGATTGACCATTCGATCGGCTCTCTTAGAGGTCGCACGTAAGCTGTATCAGGTGAAAACTAACCAACAATGGTTCCACGACGATCATTGAACTACAAAGATCTGATCAGAAGCTAGTGTACATGGTTCCTGGACCGGATCACTCCCCGTTGCAGTAGGACAAGAATCCTAGAATAACCTGCAACGCTGGACTCACTGTAGCTTCACCCAAGCAATCTCGCCTTATATGCGACCGCATGCCAAACAAAGAGAGCCTCATCCGGACCAACGAACCGCTCTTCCCCAAGGATGCCTCCCATCCAATCGTGACCTTGTCAAAATATCTTGAAACACCAGCTGCGCGGCTATAGAAAAGGACCCCTGCACCTTTAAGCGCCGCCACGACATTGAGCTTCTGAAGCCTCATTGGTCAAACAACAAGACGCCCAGGACTTGGAAAAGAAATTCTGTATCATGCCTAGGTAATTGTCAGGGTTGACTTGGTCGTCTATGGGATAGTGAGAAGCGCGATGGTACGCGGCTGGCAGTCGGCGGCTGCTGTAATTGGAAAAGTTGACTAGACAAGGTTATTGACTTCATGGTTACTTTGTATGTTTATTCTTGTATCCTAGGAGAGTTTTTGTTGACAATGAGATATCTATAAAGGCACTGGGTTTCAGGCGTTTGGGTTCACTTCTTTCTCTTCATCAAACAACTTACACAACAAACACTACAATCTCTTTTTCCTTTTTTTCCTTGTCTCTTATTTCCTTATTTCCTTTGTCCTCTACCTTGTTTGGTCTTGGGTTATTATTTCTGCATCTCCTTATCAACGAACAGACGATTTCACTATAACGAATCTCTTTTCCATCTCTCTCTCTCTTTACTTATAAACACAAAAAGTCTCTCGCCTCTTTGTAAGGGCGGGCATATACTTGGACAAAATATCTTCCCCATCCCCCTCTATTCCTTTCTACTCCAAGCATCTGCCTCTGCGCACAGCCGGCTCGTTGCGCCCTCGTCTTTCTCTAAACACTCAAGCAAACTCCGCCAAGATGCAGCCTGCTCTCGGAGCCCTCGGGCACACCTGGACTGCCATGCGAGCCATGGAGTTTATCTCGCTCATTACCATTATTGGTTTGACCTCCAACTTCATTAGTGAGATGGTCGGTGCTGATTATGCGGCGCCTTCTGCTCTGATCGGAACACTCGTTGTTGTAAGTCATCTCATGTGTAACTTGTTCTGATCGTCAATTGACTTACAATCCATAGGCTATTATCTCAACTCTGTACATTGCCATCTCTTACATCCTCTACTGGGATGGCATGCTGCCTCTCCTCCTTGCTACAGGTGCCGACATTATGCTCCTTGTTGCTTGCATCGTTGTCGCCTGCACCGTTGGCAAGCCTGTCAGCTACTTGGCCTGCCCCAAGTTCCCCTCTGATGGCAACACAGCCAACTTCATCAACTCCCTTTTCCGCAACGTCTACCACCGTGGAAACGTCTATGCTTGGGTCGACCCCGACAAAATGTCATGCTACCAGCTCAAGTCTGTCTGGGGCCTCAGCATTGCCCTTTGTGTCCTCTTTTCCTTCTCTGCCATCACTTCAGGATGTCTGTGGAAGCGAACAAAGGGTGTCTCTCGCCCCGCCCCCAAGGACATCGAGGGTTGAAGGTGCGGCCGTGAGGGGCAGGTCAACAATGCCCTGGGCATCAGCCAAGGACCGCCTATGATGTCCCAGGACCGAAGTCTGGGCACCATGGCTATAGCGAAGCGGTTCGATAGCGACTCTTCTGATGCCGAGAGCGTACGCCAGCCGTGGTGTCCCCCGCCCCCCACGGCGCCTGTCCGAGTCAAGAGGAAAGAGGTTGCGAAGCCTGTGCTACAACTTCCTCCTTTGCCTCCTGTTCCCGTATCACCGGGACTCATGAACGACAATGGTCCCAAGAGCCCTCTCGAAAGAATCTGGTCGAAACGCAAGACCATTCTGGGCTGGTGGGATCTTGATCTGCTCGAGAAGAGACAGACACTCTTCGGAGGAAAAAGGGTCTAAATGGTAATCGTGCTTGTTGGAAATAATAGATTGGACGCTTTGCTTTGAGATCGAGGAAACAATGTGTTGGCATACACATCAGTAATGTCTACTGGTTAGATCGGCTTCATAAAAATGAATAAAAAAGGGACCGGGGTTTGAACATCGATTGTTCACCGTTAAACAACTGTCTTTCAAAGCTTTGTGATAAGTGACATTTTGGCCAATCAACCGAGCAGGATTGACCCAAAGGGGAAACCGGCAACACAGCATCGAGGGGGTGGCTCGTGTAAAGAAGACTGGATTTTATCCCGTGCATCGGCACATGCAGGGAACACTCGGCCAAGACAAAGGGTATAAGTCTCATCAAGCCATCCCACTCGTTCACTCGATAGGTATTGTGTACGACCCAAAAGATCTCGTTCGTGTTGACAATAAGCAATGGTATTCATATTCGCTTCTAGTTCGTTGGACAATCCAATCTCAGGGGTATTAAATCAGCAGAACTCCATGTCCAAGAATATTCATGCACTTAGCCACATCCCAACTCTCATCGATCTGATCTCGTCTAGACCACACCTTCTCCATGATCTGTAGTGCTTCCCTGGCCGTGCCAAATACACTCACAGGTCCCATATTATCGACCATAGCGCGATACAACCCCTCATCCTCTGGAGGCGAGAGGCATCCTGCGATACAAAATGGGAAGACCATGGTTCTAAGACAGGTGTTGGATGGGAGGGTAGTTAAGAGGTGCGTCATGTGCTTAACGGAGCATCCAATTTCGGGACAAGAGGGCTGCCAACCGGAGATGACGACCTGGAGGTATGTGAGTGCGGCGTAGAGCCAGATCATATTGTTGGCCGCAAGGGCAGGGGCTTGCTTAGTGTTGATATCATGGTTGTGCATTGGGCTGGCGACTACACTCATAAGGGGATCGTATAAGGGGCCGGGCATCTGAGCTTGTGCCTCAACAACAGCCAAGCCTCCCCTAATAGCACCCTCGAGTACTTTGCCCCGCTGAACCAGTTCGTTGATCGACAGAGAGTTGACCTTCTTCTGCTCCTTCTTCCAGGCGTCGAGGGAAGCAATGTCGCCGATGATCTGAATGACCCAATTGTGAAGGCCGACGTATTCTTCCATGAATAGAGATCCCGAGATGCGGACTTCTTGTGGTGCAACATGAGCCTTGCAACTGGGCATGACCGTTTCCTGGTACTTTTGAAGGCGCGGTGCCTGCTCGAGGGTGATGCTGGACATGACGTCGATGTAGAGAACGTTGGCTGTGAAGAAGCGGAGCGCGGCTTGGTTCGTGCTGAAAGGTCGACGTACACCCATCTCAGGGGGTGGCCATTTGTAGCTGTAAAGAGCTTCTAACGTCTCTTTCCAATGCTCGGGTTTGGGAAGGATTTGCTGGAACATGGTGATAGCGGCATCGAGATGCATCTTCCAATGATCTTTGTTACTGGTCGATACCTCAAAGATGAGCATTTGCAGAATAGCCTGGAGGACAAGAAGTCTGTCTCGAGCCCCTGCGCATGAAACTTTGTGGTTGACCGCCGTCATCTCACGCTGCAGCTCTCTTAGACCCATCTCCAGCTGAGACTGTAACTGATGAACCATGCGGTTTGTGCACTCTGTGTGCTCGATCTCGCCGTTGGCCATGACGATACTGAAGAAGTATGAAGTAAGTGAGATGGCCGTATGCCAGACGGACTTGTTGCTCTGCATAACGTCCAATACCCAGCCACGGCCGCCAGCAAGGATAGGAGGACGATAGAAAGGGAATAGATGAGGGAAGACATAGTCGAGGTAGATCATGACGAAATGGACCTCTGTACTTGCGCCAGTTGAGCTGCTAGGGTCCTCGGTAGGAGCTGAGAAGTGACTGTGCCAGGGCATTTCGGGAGGAGAGGCGCCACTGGTATTGCTAGACTCTGGAGTTGTTCCGAACTCATGACCCGAAGCAGGGTCTGTGTCGGATGCACCGGCCATGGCAGGATCGTGAGTTTGCTGTTGGTGTTGAGGGTCTTTTGACTGGAGAGTAACATCGCGAGTGCCAACCTCAAGCAGCTCCATATACTTGCGATCGCGACGCTGGCTTGCTTGTTTCTTGACCTGAGCCTTGATCTTCTCAGCCATGGCCTTCTGCTGTGATCCGCCATCCATCCATTCTGGCTTCTCATCGCTGAAGTAACATGTGATCTCTAGAGCCCCGCAGGAATCGCAAACTGGACGTTTTTCGTCGCATTTCTTGCGACGGAGACGACACGTCCAGCAGCCTGCATTAGAGCGCACCTTGGAGCTCATAAGATGGCGAAACATGGTGGGCTAACAAAGGGAAGCTTCCCTCGCGCCAGTTGAGTGTATATGATACAGGAATGAAGAAGGGAGTACTGTAGATGATGGAGATCGTGGGAATAAGTTGAGATAACCGGCGATAAATTAGTTGATGAGAGATGAGAGAGTTGGGGCGGCGTAGGGGGTCTTTCGACTAGTTTGGGTTAGTAGCGCTCCCCCATGCTTTTGATCGACAGTCGAGGCCAATCGAAATTGGGGAACTTCAAGGGGTCTGCCAAGCAATTTGTCAGCCTCTTCCGTAGCCTTCATGGAACTTGGACAACTCTAGACTCTGTACAGAGGTACTAAATAGGTGACTGAATGGCGGAGAATTATGTCTTCTGTAATCAGGATGTCTATGTCGTGCTTGTGATAACGATTGATACTGGGTGGTCTCATCGGCAGTCGCCACTGACATCCACAGAAGCATCGACCATATACTGGTCAGTCTCTGGTGGTTGATCTGCGCTTACCCGTTCTTTGGTGGATTCATCTGTAAGCATACATATTTCCCCAGGTGAGTGACAGAAGAATTGTCTTCTAAGACTTAGGCTACAATAATAAAGTAGCCTAAATGCTAATCTAAGCCGGCATAAAGTGACCAAATAGTTTCATCTCTTATGCTTCTAGGGGCCAATTCTTCTGATACCCTGAGGTTCCCATAGTCCTATGGCGAAGTGTTGCACCAATTGGCCAGACGGTGTAGGAGGAGCTCTGAAGGTGTCTACCTTGTACCGCCAGCTTGGACACGGAAAAACTTGGTACAGTCTAGATTGGCGAGTTAATACGGTCGTTTCGCTGTTTGTTAGTTGCAGACAACTTGATAGACGACACAGTACATTTCAAAGAAAGGCCTGGCAGTGAAAGCAGACCTATCGTCTGTTACTCTAACTGCCTGTGCTCAGTAACACAATTAAAGATTGGTATAACGAAGTAGAAGTAAAACTACAATAAGCATAACGATAACCTTGTACGACCCTAGTCTCCCAAGACATCCCTGGATCTGACTAACCGTCTCAAAACTGAATACTTGAAGAGAAACCAAACATCCTTCGCCCCTTATTGTTAACCACAGCAAACAGTAGCCTCCTTGGCAGCACTGGTATTGCCAGCAGGACTCAAAGTCTCCCAATGAAAGACAAAAGCGCCCAAGTAGGCCCCAATGAAGATACAAATGATAAAGTACCCATTGTAGTACATAGCCAACAGCATGACAAAGTAAGCCACAGCAAACTGCATCATGTGCAGAAGAGCCCGAATAGCCTGCTGCCAGACATTGGGTCGGAAAGGAGGCATAGGGGTGCCACAGCTGACAACGGCGGCGTTGCCTTCCTTGCCATTGTCGGAGCCGGGAGCAGGGTTGGCAGAGGAGTCGGCGAACTTGGCGGCGTGTTGACGGAGGAGGTAACGATCCCACTCTTTGACGGAGCGACGGAGTGCTTCGAGGGCCATGACGAGGAGGATGACGCCAATGCAGGAGCCGGCGAACATACCCTTGGATGTTATGCGCCAAGTTTCAGCGATGAAGCAGGAGTCGACCGTGTTCCAGTTCCAGAGCATCTGTAGGAAGCTTGTGTTAGCTATGACTAGTTACGACTGGATAGTAGAGTCAACGTACAGAGATCTTGCATCCGCCCATCATGTCCCCGTGGTCCATTGCCGCAGAGCCAGAGGCCGCCGGCATGTCCATAGTCATGGTGGTAGTTTCTGATATGCCAGTCATATGCATATCGTGATCCATGGTCGAGGTAGGAATGTCGTAGATGTGTCACTAGCAGACCCCGAGTAGATAGATGGTTTTCGATTATTGAGACTTGGTAAGGAGGTTTGGTTGTGGTCTTGTGGATGTGGGTGGAAGGAAGAGGAGAAAAGCCGGGTCGAAGCAAAGAAGGTATTTATGCTGTGCCTAAACCTTGCATATAGAGTAGGGTAAAAAAAGGTTATGTGTAGGCAAAGGTGTAAATATCTTCAAAAACCTTATCTGATCGAGACTCGGTAGATAGAACGATGGAAGAACAAAAGTCTGGATAGAAGAATCTGGGCTCTGGACAACCCGTTAGCTGTGCCAAAGTCTAATAGCTTTCACGCCGGGAAGAAAGGTGAAGGGGAGCAACAGCCGTATTTCTACCTTTTCACACGTGTCTAAAGTTTCTCCGTTATCCTAGAAACAGACGCAAGTGAGTTGATTTTCGTATGTAAATATCAGGTGAGTTGCGTATATTTGAGCAAGTTTCCATGGGCTGAGGATTTAGTGCAGGGATGGTGATAGTGCTCCGATCTTGTTGGTCGTTTCAGCTGGAGGCGTTGTCTTTTGAAAATTGGGTCAAGGACATGGGTATGAACGATCTAGAGCAGTGACATGTCTTAGTGATTACTTTATTCCAACGTTGATCACTTTCTTTGCGTGGAGGGATTGTGCTACGTCCATACTATTGGATGTTGCTGGCCCACCAGATAATCATCTAACCTCATACCAATCTGAGAGCATCACTTCAGAGGACAATGAACTGCTGGGACTTCTCGATGATCCTATGTATTATGATTCAGGCTACTGGCACTCTTGACTGGTATTCAAACACAATAGATACATATCTAGCAGGGCACAGAACTCGTGACATCTTGAGCAACTGACCTCCAGCGGATGAAGGAACAGTCTCCTGATGATAAGGAGGGAAATTACGTCAAGAGGAATAAATCTGCCTAGGCTGGCCGGCTGCCAAACGATCTGATTTGAACCGACCCCCTGGTCCCCCGCAGCCCTCCGATTTCCATGACCCTCCGTCACTCTTCCACGATATTCCACACAACCATTGTAGCCCCTGGTAACGTAGCAGACAGAGGGGGTAGCCTAAAGTACTCGGTGATTGTTTTGATTTATTGATGTAGCTGCTCTGGATCCGACAATGACTGAGTTTGTGCCTGGAGATTGGTCTTTGTGCCCTACCCGCCCACACCTGTCACTATTGAATAAAACAAAATGGAATTCATGTCCCACACGTCGAGTACAACATAGAAGGAGATTTGATTACTGTAGTATGGACAAAAAAGTGTCTTCAAGTGGATTTGGCTGCCAAAAGTGCTACTCGCTAGCTGTACTGTACCCGTGTGTCCAGGGGACCAGCAGTCAAGACACTGCCAGTTTTCCACCGCTGTGAAGCCGTATTTCGCCATTTTTGCATCTAGAAATGTTGTCTGAGGTCGAAATATCATGGTTACTTGGGAAATTAAACAGTCACGTCAAAGATGCTCAAGTTTGTGCAGAGTGTTGTATTAGTCTACTGCACTAGTGTCCCATCCCGTTGTCGCTAAAACCACCGCTTGCTTGCTTTACAGGAAAAACCACCGAGGGATCTCCATCCCAACCCAACATTCCCAAACCCCTAAGAGCCGTTGTTGTTGTTTGTGGTAGAAAAAAAAGTAAGCTGATAGGTAGCCCGCCATCGACTAGATGAGGTTGGCTGCGGCGGCAATGTTGCCGCCGCCAGCATCCTGCTTCTCGGCGGCCACGTTGGTTTCCTTACCCTTGGAGACAGGCGCCTCGGAGGCAGAAGAAGGGCCATCGCCGGGAACACCAGCAGGATGAGGGCCGGCAGCAAATTGACCACCAACGAAAACACTGATAGGACGAGAGCCACCACGAGCAGGACCGGCAGCAGAACCACCGCCGAAAGCACCAGCAGGAGCAGGACCGGCACCGGCACCGGAAGCACCACCAGCAGATGAGGGAGGGGTCAGGACATCCATCGGGATAGCCTGGCCATAGAGGTTAGCAGGAGGAGCCAGGAGGGATGCAATGCGTGGAGTATCACCACCTACCTCTTCGCGGTGGTGGAGAATCGACCCCTGGATGGGTCGGCCCTGGTTATCGATTGGGTGACCCTCGTCGTCGATGAGAACTCGGTTGCGGCTATTTCAAGGTCAGCTACTTCTATATGAAGACGTAAGAGGTGATTAGTGTAAACTTACCGATGCTCGACATTGTTCTCATCAACAGCCTGGCGGATGGGATCAGGCTCCTCGGTTTTCTTCTTGAAGACGTTGAAGGGGTTAGGCAAACCACAGCAGAAGGTGCCCTCAGAATCAGTGTCGCCAGCCATCGTGAGCGAGTTGGAAGTAGCGAGAGGTTATTTGCGTTGGTGAAGTGAAGTGTAGTGTAGTGTAGTGAATCTTGAGGCATCGTAAGATACCGCAGACTCACAAAGGAAAATAAAACAACATGATGAAAACAACTTACCGTCGTCGATAATATAGACCGGAGTTGCAAAGCAAGTTTGAACTCGAGTCAAGTGGGTGAATCGAAAGTTTGTGCGGATCGATGGAGATCAAACGCTGTAACGATGATGAAAGGAAGATCTGCTGGGAGGAGAGAAAATGTGGGAATTTATAGACGTCCAGGCAGCGGGAGTTATTGCAAAGGCTGTGGGCTTTGGAAAACAATAGGCAGTGTTATTTAATGCCTGGCTGAGCGGTGCTGCTGGTGAATCCCAATATCTCGGAGGAAGAGTATGGGAAGCCTCCCTCGGCTGATACTGATCCTCGGGACCACAACCAGCTGTTACTCTCGAAAAAAAGATATGTATCAAGTCACTATCAGGGGATACTTCGATACGATTTTCAAGTTTACGAAAAATATGTAGCGTTGAAGAAATTCAAACAACTGTGTTGTAGTTCCATACTCGAAATTTCCCTATCTGACCGAACTAGCGCACACTCTTCTATTAGATTCGCTGGCCGGGGCCAACAGGAAGAGTGGGACTGGGGGTCGGAGCTGTAGCCCCCCCAGTAGCCGCCTGTAGGTCTGCTAATCGATTTGGTATGGGAGCCAGTATGAATGGATCGAGTATTGTCGAGTGTTGTCTTGACTAGGTATTTCGATCTTGAAGTCCCTCGACCAGTCGATTAGTTCCTCAGAACCGGTTCCCCTTCAGCACATTCCGTCTCCTCACGAACGAACCGATCGACAGCAGTTTGAGCCTCTTCCTCGCCGTCCAGAACATCCATCCAGTGCCCCTTGACGTGCTCCTGCTCCAACACCAGAGCCATAGCCCTCGCCGTTGACGCTCGAGTCGTCATACCCCTGGCCTGCTTCGTCTGTCCCAAGAGGACGCCGCCCTCGTCTTTGTCAGTTAGACCGCCAGGGCGAACGGAAACAGCAGTCAGACTGTCTCTCTTCTTGCCTTCAGTCACGAGAGCCTCGTCGGCGGCAGTCTTGGGCTCATAGTAGGGACCCAGGAAAGTAGAGTTGATCTTCTTCCAGCCCTCCCAGTCCTCAGGAGTCCACCAGGGCGCTTGCTCACGACGAGCGCCAAGATAGGAAACCTGCACATGATGGCTGATAGCCTTGTTGTCAACTGAAGCTTGGATAAAGAAGATGGCGGCATCACGATCGATTCGGATTATCTAGGAGCGCATCAGCTAAACACAGTCTCAAGCATCCTCTAAGTCAGTAAATACCGTGTCTTGATCAGTTCCTCTTCCGGGGCCTGTTGCTAATCAGCTTCTACTCGTCTACAGACACTCAATCCTCTCTCAACTCACCGGCGCTGAACACAACCGAGTCAGGCTTCACTTCATCGATGACGGCGGCGGCCTTGTCCTTGCTAGTTACGGTAATCAGATCATGGACTATGATCTTGTGATCTCCCGGCAAACCCTCAGAGAGCTTCTTCAAGTCTTCGATCTGGTCTGGGTTACGAATCAGACTCGTGACAGTCCACGACTTCTTCAACAGCATGACTGTTAGAAGGCGGCTAATCTTGCCATTGCCGCCGAGAATGAGAACATGACGATTGGAAGCCATTGTGTTGCGTGTAAGTGATAGAATTGGGAACTGGAAGTTGCAAGTTCTAAAAGGCGCAGCAGAAGACATATAAGTTCACGACCCTTGTCCATTGGGCTTCTTGGTTGACCAACCACGACACAGACTATGGACCTCGGGACTTGTCCATGACGCGAGCATCTCCACTTGTCTTGGTTTAGTTGGGGAAGGTACGATCCTTGTACCTGGGCAGGTACGGAGACGACACTACGAGACGTTGAAATCTGAGGCTAATTCATATTATAGACAACTACTAGTTAAAGACTATCGAAAACTATCGAAGACCCGCCGAAACTCCGAAACTACAGTTCGCTATTCTCTATGGCGCCTCCTAGGAGTCGGCCTCCTCTCCCAACCTCGCGGCGTGAGCAAGACAACTATGCCGAAGTTAATATGCATCTCGAATCTATATCTTCATACCTACTATTTTGTTCCTCCTGGCGCGATGAGCGGTGGTGGCCATGAGAGCGGGAATTGGAATGGGAGTTCCTATCACGATGCCGATGTCTAGGTTTAGACCTTCCCTCAGGTGCGCTCATACATCCACCCATTGTGGTAATCAATTCAATTGAGTTTATAAGTGCTTTCTTTACAAACGAGTTGTTAGAAAACGAGTTGTTAGACTATACGGTGTAAGTGGGAGAATGGTAAGTTGTGGAGTAATCAATCGACTGCAATCTTCTTGAGCCTCTGAAGGCCAAAATTGAGCGCCGTCAACCAACAACTACTCAATTGGATAGCAAAGTATGATAATCAGATACTAATAACTTCTATGGATAGAACGAGACTCGTTAAATCGAACAATACGACTCCGGGACCTCTGAGTATTCAATCGCGCTTCAGAGCGACCGCGCTCCTGAACCACCGCCTCATTAGCCACCGCTTCCAGCAAAGCGGCCAAAACCCTAGCATCTACAGGACTCGGTTCTCTACCTTCGTCTGTGCTGTTTCTATGCACAAACCACCGTGAGCTGCGGTGGTTGGGGTATGGAGAGGGACGACGCCGTCTCGGTTCTGGCTCAGCTACGCTGAAACAGTTACCCATTCTGGAGACTAAGTTGACGGGATGAAAACTAGTAAGTAGGCGGTAAAGTGTCTTTTGGAACAGTTCGATGATATTTGATTGTGAAAGCCGAGCCATTGGACAGGATGGCTGAACGTCTTATATACCAGACTCAAGGCACTTTCAGACCGTGAGCCACTCTAAACTTAGAGCGCTGAAGAACTGTCTCGGACAGCTTCATCTTAAACAGTTATGGTCCTTGTGGCCTTCTCAGAGTATAGTTTGACAGTGAAGGCTTATATCGAGTTTACAGATACAGTGTCGTCGGAAATCTTTAATCACCGCCTTTGAAACTCACGCAAGTAATTTGAGACGAAACGCACTTTTGTCTTTCCAATTAATTGGCCAATGGTCTCTATTATCTTCCCAAGAATTCATAACGAAATCAAGGTCGAGTTGCGGCTATGGCGAGTTGGGACATATAAGTCAAGTAACCGAGTTCTGAATGTTTTAAGGCTAACCAAAATACAATATTCAATTTGTTAGGAACGCCGAGCCCGACCTATCTATGCGCGAAGTCTATCTTTCGAAGCCAAAGCCAAAATTAGAAAGCGAACAAACAAAAAGAAACAAAACGATAAAACGAGATCCTTTCCCCGAACCTTAGATCGAACCGAACCTGAAACATTCCGTATCAAAACTCATACCGCAATACATAGCAATAGCTCTAAATCTCGAAGAATCGGGTCGAATAGACCGCTAGACTACACCGTCAGCAGTGTAGGCCGCCTACAACCGATGCAGTGTCACTAGAATGTCTGACGACAACTCAGCTTAGCTGTCCACCTAGTCCGCCAACACTTAGGCTGAAAGAGGCGGAGTCTTGATCGACAGGCGGCTCCTTCGATGTAAGATTGCTGACCAACTTCGCCGAAGCACTGCTATTCCCGATCGACCGTTTCCTGCATCTTCAGGGTTGGGTCCTGGGACAGACGGAGAATCGGTTTGCTGGTCCGAACCAAGCGACTGGCCAGTCATAGGAGTAAAGACGGGGCTTGTTTGGCTGCTTGTCGGGGTGCTGTGTTGAAGGTTTGTTGAGAGAGACTACGGTGTGTTAGTATATGTTGGTTATTCGCCAACTTTGGATTATGTTGCTGATGGAAATTCTGACTTACAGCACGGGCTCTAGCATATATCCAACTATCAACCAAGTCAGTATTCGAACATGAAGCCTGGATCACCATTTCGAAACTTACTCAGTATACTCAGCATCGAACGAATGAGTGCAGTTGCCATGGTCACGACACTCGCGGTCATGCCACATCACCCAAAGCTTCTCTTCAAAAGAAGTTCTCGGAGGAGACGGCTGTGCGTTCGGCGAAGGGGGAACAACCTCGCGGAGTTCCTCTCCATTGTCCCCATACCCAGTGTAGATATGGACTATGGTATTAGTGATATCGCGGTCCCATGCACTATTACCAGCCCGTAGTGGAGCGCACAGAAATGGGTCAAAGATGGAACGAGCTGGCTGGCGGTAGGGGGGTGTTGGTGGGATGTTGTCCCGATTGCCCATGCACCTTTCCAGGGCTTGGTACATAGATTGAACGGCTCCCATACTGATTTCCGTTGGGTTGTTTGAGGTTTTTAAGTTTGATGGGAATGTTTGTTTTGACGTTCGCTAATCGCAGTGTAGTCGAGTAGGAGTTGAAGACAATTATCGAGATTGGAAGACAAACACCATCGGGCAAACATCAACCTTTATAGTCGTCATGAAGCCAGGCGAACGATCGAGCGGTTACTACAAAGAAATCATTTTCAACAACGATACCCCGGCAGCCTTGCGCGATATGCTTCAAAGGCTTTGTCTTATCCCTTGGCCCCTTCAGCATTTGTCTAGCCAGACAACGACAGCAAGACATGGCGGCAGCTACCTGAAAGAGATCACCGCCTTTCTTCTCTTTCACCTAAAGATTCAGGCGGAAGACGCTTGTCATGAGTCAATTGATAAGAGTCTCTCTGAAAGAACGATTGAAGCCATTGGCCCTACTGACTTGTCATATCTCAATTTTATATTAACAAAGCATAGCCCCCACCCATCAACGCCAGGAATAGACCAAATCCCTTATCGAACGAACGAACATTCGCCATGCTGAAATCATTCCTTCAGACCCCGAAGAGCGTAGAGCTCTTGGGGCTTGCCCTGAGAGTCACAGCTCGCAAACTTCCACCACTTTCCATACCATGAACCCGCGATGTTCGTCAGACCCCATGAGACGGGAGCAGGCATGGGAGGCCAGTTAGCCCACATACCCTCCTCCGCGGTTCTATCCAAGTTGAGAAGGAAGAATGGGACCACATCGAGCATGCCGGCCTTGGTGACTGTCTTCTTTCCCCAGGTCTTGAAGGTCAAGCTGGCGGCAACGCCCTCGGGGCTGTCTTCCTTGGGGGCCTTGGGGTGGTTTGAGAGAGCGGCAATGGTGGTGATCTCGCTGTGGAAGTGGTGCTCGAAGTCGGTCTTGAAGGCGTCCATGAGCTTGATGACCTGAGCGCCGTCCAGATCGGTGGGCGAGGCAAGGTTAGAGAGGTAAGTGTTAAACTCGGCGAGAGGAGCGAGGAAAGACTCTATCAATTGGGTTAAAGACAAGTTACTGATAATGAGCAGGCCGCTTACCATGTTCATGATGCGTCTCCTCCCAGACGGGCTCTTCGCCAAGCAGTTCCTGGACCTTGGGGAAGAGGTTGTCCTCCTCATCGTCATGGTGCGACTTTACAAACTTGAACCATGTTTGGGAATAACCGATAAAGTCAGCCTTATCGGCGTCCTTAACATGAGGGGCCTGGAGGTAAATGGAGTTGAAGCCTCGAATGATGGCATTGTGCAAAAGCGCCATGTGGGTGGCACCCGTGGTGAAAAGGTCGGTCTACAATGACAGAAGGTAAGTATTGGCAACGACATACAATTGCAATTGCTAACCTTTTTCGTCTCATATTGAGGCGTTGTTACCAACTTCATAGGTCCATCAGCCCAAGGGTGCTTAGTCGGCGCGACAGACATATTGAGATACGGCGAATGGGCAAGAAACAGAGCAAGTCCAGCAAAGAGAACCTGAGCAACGATCAACCCGACGAGACGAAGGCCAGCCATGATGAAAGATATAAGAAAGAGTGTGAGGGAATGATGCAAGCGAAATACTACACAATGATCGCGTCTGTCCGACTTGAACAACCACTCAACAGTCAGCTTCTGGGCTCACTTTCTGGTGGTTCGATTATTGTTGTGTTAGCTTGCTAGCTTGTCATGTCATGAAGCTCATGCAGGTGTGGGTGGGAACTGCAGGTGCTGATTAAAAGGGGCTTTGCAATTGGACACGACGCAGAGCGTTACAGGATGCTCTGGGGCACAGGAACAAAGCCGAGGCTTGACGGACCAACTTGAAGACCGGACCCTGGGCATCGGACAATTCATGTGGGGCCGGCCGGGGTCGTTCATGCAAATCCTCCGAGATCACCATCACCATCATGAACATGAGGAACTGATTATATTGTAAACACTAGCTGTAATAAAAAGGATGAGGCTCTTAAAGTCTACATAGCCTCTCATAGCGATAACTCCGCTTTTAACCTGCCAACGCCACTGATACTGAACACAAATACAATCTATGCATACACGAGCTCTTTAGGCAAAGGCACCAACGGCAGCCATCAAGACCGCACCACCGCAGACAGCCATGTAAGCCTGCAGTCTCTTCGTACCCTTCAATATCTTGTAGCTCTTTTCTGTCAGGAAGTCCTCTGCGAGTAGTTGTACAAGACCAGCATACAACAGGAGGCCAGACGACACAGCATTCATGAAGCCAACAACGAGAAGGCCTCCGGCGCTCTTGGGGTCGTACATGCGGTGCACAACAAGCCCGATTGCTTGTCCGATGGGTGTCGTGGCTCCGTAGGCTAGAACCATAAGCCACGGCCGAATAGATTTGCGTGGAAATTGAATCGCGGCGATGCGACTGCCGAGGGCGAGTCCTTCGAATGTCTGATGGAAGCTGATAGCGACCAGGAAAACAACAAAGGCAGGTCCTGTAGCGACGGAGATGGCCATGCCGATGAAAATACTGTGGAAAAGAATTCCAGCTTCAAGTAAGATACATTGCAGCATCTTGCGCTGCTGCTCCTCTGGTGATTGTGGACCTGGAGACATAGGTGTCATTGGTGTCAAAGGCTCCTCGTCGGCTGCTTCGGGTTTGAGAGAGTTGTAAGCTCCACTGCGACGTCTCATGCTGCTTGGTCCAGAAGGATCGAGTTCGTCCATATCGAGGTCGAGATCCGAATCCGCGTCATTGAAGTCATCGCTTAGTTTCTTAGACTCATGACCGACCATAGGCGACGATCCCGGCAGAGGTGAGACACCAGCAACAAGTCCTTGGCTCTCCATAGCTTCAAGATGGATATCCGGTGGTCGCGATCCGTTTCTCCTGTCAGACATTCCAGTTGTATCCATCATTGGCAGTTCGCTCTCGTGTTCGTCGTCGGAGTCAAAGTAACCGTGGTTATGAGAGTGAGAGTGACCAGCTCCTCGCGCAGTCAAGTACGATTCGATACCGACAACAATGATCGCAGACACCATAGCCACAAGGCCAGGGAAAGGTGTATATCCTTTGCTGAAGAAATCAGGGAGACATGGATCGGTCATTGACTCGAAAGCGGTAGGGAGGAGGTGAACAAAGGCCGTTGCCAGTAGGACGCCGGTTCCAATATGCTGGCAGTAGAATATGATAGATTTTTGTTTTCGGCCGCGCATCGTTCGTCGTGACAATAGAGGGAAACCGCATGCTGTATCATATTAGTCGCGTGTCAGTTGTCGCAATTGAAGGGGACTTACCCAGTGTGCTCAGCACCAAGATAAGAGCCAATGCAAACACATGCGCCGACGTATCATAAGATCCCTTTGACCTTGAACCACACGCCGGTTTCTCGCCATCTTCCTGTCGTCGCCTCAATTCCGCGAGAATCGTGTCCGTCGAGATCGAAGCCCATGACTCCCCTGCGCAATGTCAGTAAAAGGGGGTGTTGAGCAAGTACACGGGGAATTATACCTCGGGGAACATCTGAGTGATCGCTCATGATTACTACAGGGATTTCCTGTTTGTTTCCTTCTATGATAAGAGTGTTGTAGACAATTTCATGGCGGAGAGGACACGATTACAGGTCATTGGGTGTCTGGGGAATTTTTTGTTGCGTCACTGCTAAGAAGCCAAAAGCACCACCTATGTTTTGAGTTTGTCTGGGAGGCTTGAGACGCATAATCCTCGGCATATAGTTTCAAGGGGCATCATGGATGTTTACGTGTTTCGCCAAGGGATACGAGGATATTTATAGGAATGTTGATACAGTCGAGTATCATAGTAGCTATTGATCGAGTGTTTAGAATCATTTTATATTTCAGACTTACAACACTTTATGAGTGCAAATCTCCCATAACGCGATGCACATGTAACTGGCGCCATTCCTTTTAGTGCTCCAACTCTGCAGATGTCAATGGCGATCCTTCAGGGGCCCCGGAAGAAGGACACCAGCCCGGACGGGGGTTCTCCACTGGACCTGTCCACTTGTCACTCACTCACTCACTGTATTTACCCGGCGAGATCATCAAACTTGACTCGTTGTATAGCTTAAATATAAGCCATTCTTGATTATTAACAGTTATTTAATTCATAACGACAATGAATATGAAATTATTTGGATCACATCAAAGACACGTACGCAAACTCGGCTGTGTTGAGACTTACAGAGATATTGATGGCAAAGCTCCGTTGAAACATCGGAATAGCTTCGGGTCAGACCCGACTAGCATCGTTAAACTCACCACTAAGCCCCGTATCAATCAAGGAACCAGCGTCTTTGTGATCCAATAGCACAACACCGCATACAAGACAGATGCACCTAAAGCGGGTACTCAATGGCACATGAGTACTATCTTCGGTTGAAATGCGGATGAGTCGGGTGAATTGAATGCATCGAGGTATGGCTGGGGAACTCGTCATGGGCTAGAGGGGTTGTGCAGTTCTTCTATTAAAGAAGCTCATCCTCCTCATTCCATCATGGCTGTTTCTCTCTTCTCTATAGTCAATTGGCTTCATCTCTATCAACATGTCTTCTGTTGATATTCAGTCCATCCTCTCTTCCCTCACTCTTGAGGAGAAGGTATGTTTCACTTATACGCCGTCATTGTTTCTTAAGTCAACTTACCAATTGAACTATAGATCTCACTTCTCGCCGGAAAGGACCTCTGGGAAACCGTCCCCATTCCTTCAAAGGGTGTTCCTAACGTCAAGACTTCAGATGGTCCCAATGGCGCCCGAGGAGGTGCCTTTGCTGGAGGCACACGCGCTGCTTGCTTCCCTGCCGCATGTCTAATGGCATCCACCTTCGATGTAGACCTGGCTAAGAGGATCGGTACTGCTCTTGCCGAAGAGACTCACTCCAAGGGGGCTCGATGTCTTCTTGCTCCCACCATGTGTCTACACCGTCATCCTCTAGGCGGTCGTAACTTCGAGTCATTCTCAGAGGATCCTTTTCTGACTGGCAAGATGGCCGCCAGAGTCGTCGAGGGCCTCCAGGACCAGGGTGTTTCAGCTACCATCAAGCACTTTGCTGCGAACGAACAGGAGACTGAGCGTCTGACTGTTGACGAGACCATTAGCGAGAGAGCCCTTCGGGAACTCTACCTCCGTCCCTTTGAGATCGCCATCAAGGAAGCCAACCCTTGGGCCGTCATGACTTCTTACAACATGGTCAACGGACACCATGCAGACTCCAACGAATTCTTGCTAAAGAAGGTTCTCCGTGGCGATTGGGGATGGGACGGTCTTGTTATGAGTGACTGGGGTGGTGTTAACTCTACTGCCGAATCGCTCGAGGCTGGTCTGGATCTTGAGATGCCCGGCCCTACCCGCTGGAGGAGCACCGAGGATGTTATCGCTGCCATCAAGGCTGGTACGACTTCTGAAGAGACTATCAATGAGCGCGCAACTCGTGTGCTCAAGTTCCTTGAGCGCCTCAACTGCTTCAAGGACCCCAAGATCCCTGACGAGAGAGCTATCAACGACCCCAAGCACCAAGCTCTGATTCGAGAGGCTGGATCCAAGGGTATGGTTCTTTTGAAGAACAAGGACAACGTTCTTCCTCTATCGAAGGATAAGGTTAAGGGCAGGAAGATTGCTCTTCTTGGACATGCCAAAACTGGTATGGCCCATGGTGGTGGCAGTGCATCTGTCAACGCCCACTACAAGGTCACTCCTTGGGATGCTCTTCACAAGGCTCTCGGTGATAGTGTTGAGTTTTCTTATGCTAAGGGTAAGTCATTTCAGGAACCAAGCACCTTGAGTTGTAATCGCTAACAGTTTGATAGGAGCTCACACTTTCCGCATGCTTCCCCCTATTGCTGACAATGTCGTCGATTTGGACGGCAACCCCGGCTTCACCTTCAAGATCTTCGAGCCCGGCAACCCCAATCCCATTGAGGTTCGACCTGGACATGCCAACTCCGAAGTGTCTGTCCTCAGCGGCTTTGGCTTTAGCAACAAGGACGTGACCCTCGAGGGTACCTTTACTGCCCAGGAGACCGCCAAGTACTACTTCACTTGTTCCGGACTAGGTCCCAGCAAGTTCCTTATCGACGACAAGGTCGTTTTCGAGCAGAAGAAGAGCTGCAAGGATGCGATGGGTTTCCTTTTCGGTGGTGATAACCCTCCTGAGTTCAAGCTCTCGTTGGAGGCAGGACGCAAGTACAAGCTGGCCATGTACACATCGCCTCCAGCACCAGAGGAAGGAAAGGATATCGGTATATTGGAGGGACGATGCGGTCTTCGAGTAGGATACATGTCCGAGGCTGAGCACGACCGCGACCTCCTCTCAGAGGCTGTTGATGTTGCCAAGGATGCCGATTACGCTATCGTCTTCACCGGCCACGAGCCATTCTGGGAGACCGAGGGTCAGGACCAGGTCAGCTTCAACCTGCCCAAGGACGGCAGCCAAGATCGTCTTATTTCCAAGGTTGCCGCGGTGAACCCCAACACCATTGTCGTCAACTCTACTGGTGTTGCTATTGCTATGCCCTGGTTGGACGATATCCAGGGTCTTGTCCAGTCTTGGTTCGCTGGTCAGGAGTGTGGTAACTCGATCGCGGATGTGCTCACTGGTGCCCAAACTCCTGAAGGTCATCTGACCTGCACGTTCCCCAAGAGAATCGAAGACTGTCCCGCATACGGCAACTTCCCTGGCGAGCATGTTGACGGAAGACTAAAGGTCACTTACTCCGAGGGTGTCTTCATCGGCTACCGTTACTTCGACTGTCTCTCCGCAGACAAGGTCAACTTCCCCTTCGGCTTCGGTCTCTCATACACCACATTCGATTACTCCGACCTACAAGTCAAGGAGTCAGGTGACGACTACGTTGCCAGCGTAAAGGTGTCCAACACGGGTAAGGTCAAGGGCGCCGTCGCTGTCCAAGTCTACGTCGGCGCTGCTCAGACCCAAAAGGGAGATCCTCTGAAGCAACTGGCTGCCTTTGCCAAGGTTACACTGAAGCCTGGAGAGACCACAAAGGTGGATGTACCTGTCCGTAGCCGCGACTTTGCCTTCTTTGATGAAGCGGCACAGAAGTGGGTTGTTAAGGGTGGAGAGTATAAGTTTATGATTGGAAGATCGGCTGGTGACATTGCTTTGGAGTCGACGGTTACTGTTGAGGATAAGTCTTTCAAGCCTTAAGCGCAGTTAGTGTGTTGTTAAAAGTATTGATAGCGTTGTCAAATTCAATCATTCGAGCGCCACCCTCTGGAAGTACTCATTCATAGAGTTATTTGTGACTAAAGTAGATGTTGTCATGACTTGATGCAATAAACGTGCCACGAGTGCAGCCACGGCGTTTGCATGCTGACAGGACATACACAGAGTTTCATACTGATTTCTTCAAACGGGTTTCTATCCCGTTGGTGTCTGATAACAACCGGTATAAAGTGGGATTTTGACTCTGCAGTAGACTTTTAGTTGCCTCTCTTCGCAATCATGGTGTTGAACCAGCATACTCTGCACTTATTACGTGCGCAATTTATCAAAGACTGTGCCTTTTAATTAATTACATCGTAAATTCCAATGCCTTGAATAATTGTAGTTATTATCATATCAAGTAAGGCAACCAGTATGCTGATCAGCAAAGAACCTTCTGGATATATTATTTCCTTGTTGGTGTTACCCTGAAGGCTCAGCCCAACTTGACCTCAAGGGTCCTCCCGGCACCTTTGACGCCTAGACGCCGCTGCGGGGCGAGGCTCTAGTGGTGTAAGCGAGCTCCATCCAATAGGGAGCTCCCTCCCATAGACTTGCATCGAATGAGCTAGAAGTCATCGCTGGCCCTCACTTCCCCACCAAAGATCGTCTGGGGCGACGCTCATATTTCATCGCAACTCTTGACCTTGAATATCACCATCGCGACCCCTCAGAAACTGTAAGACATAAATCAGATTCTGTCAATAATCACACAATATGGCTTCCGCGGACGAGCTTAAGGCTCTGGGTAACAAGGCTATCGCCGACAAGAACTTTGACGAGGCTGTGTAGGTTACTATACTACCGCCGTTAAAACGACACAACAGGTTGCTAACTGCGGGACAGCGCCAAGTTCACCGAGGCTATTGCCATCCAGCCCGATAACCACATTCTATACAGCAACCGATCTGCTGCTTACGCTTCCAAGAAGGATTGGGAACATGCTCTGCAGGACGCAGACAAGACCACCCAGATCAAGCCTGACTGGGCTAAGGGTTGGGGACGCAAGGGTGCTGCCCTCCACGGACAAGGTGACCTTTTGGGTGCCAATGATGCGTACGAGGAGGGATTGAAGCTCGATGCGAACAACGCCCAGCTCAAGAGTGGTCTGGCTTCAGTCAAGAAGGCCATGGACGCCGAAGTTGGTAAGTGGTATATCTCGACACATGAAGACTCAGCTCTAACTATCATACAGGCGGTGGTCAAGACCCTGGCGCCGGTCTCGGTCAGATGTTCAACGATCCTCAGCTCATCCAGAAGCTGGCTTCTAACCCCAAGACCAGCAGCTTCCTCTCCGACCCTTCATTCATGGCCAAGCTACAATCGATCCAGCAAAACCCCAGCAACGCTGCCGATATGTTCAGCGACCCTCGCCTTCTGACTGTTATGGGAGTTCTGATGGGCGTCGATCTGGAGATGCGCGAGCGTGAGGTTGACCCCAACGCTCAGGACTCTCAAGATTCTCCTATGCCCGATGCGCCACCAGCCCCCAAGCAGCAGCCCGCACCCAAGAAGGCCCCCACGCCCGAGCCTGAGCCCGAGGATGAGGAGGCTCTCGAGAAGAAGAAAAAGAAGGAGGAGGCCGACAAGTTGAAGGCACAGGGTACCGAGAACTACAAGAAGCGCAACTTCGACGAGGCCATCGAGCTCTACACCAAGGCCTGGGACACCTACAAGGATATCACCTACCTGAACAACCTGGGAGCCGCTTACTTCGAGAAGGGCGACTACGACAAGGCTATTGAGGCTTGCACCAAGGCCGTTGAGGAGGGACGTGAGATTTACGCCGACTTCAAGCTCATCGCCAAGAGTTACGCTCGTATTGGTACATCTTATGAGCGCAAGGGAGAGTTGGAGAAGGCCGTCGAGAACTACAACCGATCTCTAACTGAGCACCGAACCCCTGATGTCCTCAACAAGCTTCGTGCTGCTGAGCGTGCCAAGACTGAGGCTGGCAAGAAGGCCTACATCGACCCTGCCAAGGCCGAGGAGGCTCGTGAGGAGGGTAACAAGAAGTTCAAGGAGATGGACTTCCCTGGTGCTGTCGCCGCCTACACTGAGATGACCAAGCGAGCTCCCGATGACCCTCGAGGTTACAGCAACCGTGCTGCCGCTTTCGTCAAGCTCTTCGAGTTCCCCAGTGCTCTCGAGGACTGCGACATGGCCATCAAGAAGGACCCTACCTTCATCCGCGCTTACATCCGCAAGGCTCAGGCTTACTTCGGTATGCGAAAGTACTCTGAGTGTGTCGATGCCTGCACAGAGGCCCAGCAAATCGACGCTGAGCACCACAAGGGCGCCAACGCTCGCGAGATCGAGCAGCAGCAACAGAAGGCTTTCTCGGCCATGTACTCTGCCCGTGATAACGAGACGGAAGAGCAGACCCGAGAGCGTCTGCAGAAGGATCCTGAGGTAAGAACCTTTATAACTGAAATACTACTGAAACTGTTACTAACATCGTGTAGATCATGGGACTTATGCAGGACCCCGTCATGCAGTCTATCCTTCAGCAGGCTCAGTCAGACCCTCAGGCTCTTCACGAGCACATGAGAAACCCTGGCGTGAAGTCCAAGATCCAGAAGCTGATCGCTGCTGGTGTCATTCGCGTGGGCAGGTAAACAAAAAATATAGGCGGAAATCAATGCAGGTTACAATGACGAAGGTTTGCCTTCCCAAGGTCTTGTCAGCACAATGACCAGGCCACGAGGAGGCGGGGACTCAGAGCGTGTGTGATTATGAATTGACAAAGGACTTTTTGACTTGTACATAATAATATGGCGTGCCGGTATCTTGGCTGGTATTGGTAGTCCTAATGAGAAATGAAACTTGAAGCAAACTGACATGTTCTTTCTGGGCTATCATTTGTGAGACATGGCGTATCAATTTACAAAGAAGTAAGATGCGATAGGCTATTGATCTGCCTCGACTCTCGGTTAATGACATGGCTGGTCGTCGGAGTCGCAACACCGTTGACCGGAAACATTAATCCCGAACTATTGTATTCATTTGCCGTTATTCGTAGCCGATAGGATTTAAGTTCATTTTTCGTAACAGCCTGAAGTTTTGTAGCAGGATCAGCGCCACACCGTTTATTGTTTGATAGTGTCTAGTTGTCTTCCACCAACAGCCCTCCATGACTCGAGCCAGCTGAACAGAAAGATGGTGTCCAGCGTATTGTAACGTGGAGACCATTTACACGTGGAGGACACGAGGAGATGCAAGGGCGGAATAAAACGTGGACGATGAGGTATGATCGTCGTGAGCAAACTCAAAAAAGACATGTTTCACGAGGATGCAGTGGGGAGACGTCCCGAGGCCATCCGTACATAAACTAGAGACGGTTGGAAGAAGCAAATGCAACACTAACACTGCATCAGAGACATGGTGAAGAAGAGTAACGGCCGCCACAACGCAGGATAGATTAGAAGTCGCGTGAGGATACATGCATGCTTGATACAAGCAAGGCTGGGCCTTGAGCCAAGAACAAGAAACAAACATTTATAGAATGCAATACCAGGATATGTTTTACTCGTTAGAAGGTTCGCCTATGGACAGGGTGAGCCTTGGAAGGGTCTCTATGATCGACGTTGTCTCCACGATGCTAAGACATACGCCTGTCTCTTACTCATTGTCCTCTGACCTAGAACGTATTCATAGGAACTTTACAGACGAATCTCAATATTGCATTTGGCTTATTACTTTATTTGAAACTAGGGGAGCTCTTCCATCCATCCGTAAAAGCAATACTTTATAAGTGAAGCTATCACAAAACGACATGTCTCATACCAAGGGCTTATTTCGCCTCTTATTAGCCACCCTCTCCGGAAGCCGAGAAAAAAGCAACAGTATTCTCTTTTTAAACCTAAAGTCGTTTTAATAATACGCCACGTTTTGTAATTATTATTTCCTTGTTTCCCGGTCCGCATGGCACTAAGGAAAGGAACCTGAGCTACTGCGGCCGAGAAATGACGACCGAACCGGACCCGTGGTTTTTTGTTCACTTTTTCCGTTCTATGTGTGTTAGTTAAAAATCCTTCAATATTATGTCCTTGAAGGGGTAAGGCCAAGTGTGATAATGCTTGAGGTTGGCCTGGTGCATGAAGAAGAGTCAAAGCAAATTCTGTGAAGAGAATGCCATGGTCTCGTCTATTCGGCCGACATTAAGATCCGGAAGTATACGTATCTACTCAAAGAGGGCTGAGACAAATGGGTCAAAGAGTACGGATAGTCTGCTCCTAGTTCCGGGCATCGTCGATTCACAACAAAGGGTCGTTACGTAGTAGGGGCCATTGATGCCCAGGGTCTTTAGGAGAAGCACAATTTGATACGTCCTATACTCAAGCGATGAGCTGCTGGGTTTCCTACGCGAGTGTAACTATGCCATGAGATCAACATGAAAGAGAAAGATCATGCAGAAGCGAGGAATCTAGTATTGTGATAAGTCGCAACTGAAAAGAGAGCTGATTATTGCATGTACGTCCAGGAACAACCGCTACAAAATACAACGGTGAGAAAAAGTAAAAATAATAAGAGAACGAATCAGACTTAGAGCAAGAATTGATGGTGCTGCCACTTGAAAAGGTTTGCTGCAATATGATATGATCTAACAAGATATCATTGGTGAGGGAAAAGTTTGCTTCGACATCTCAACGGCTGCTATTTCCACCGTGGCTTGTTTGCTAACTGCAAGTTAACTCTCTAGACTCTTCAAGTGACGTCCTTTCACATGAGGAGGCTCTTCACGTCTTTGTCCTTGTTCGGCTGTGCAAAAGTTTGTGGCAGCAGGGGTTCGTCACTTGCAAGGGTTCTACACACCCCGGACGCCGCCGTCGTACGGTATATACCCCAGCCCAGGGTATATCACAAATGCGAGCCGGTAAGGGGATCAGGATCCGCAGGGTGTTGCCGCAGTTTCGACTGCAATTAAGGTCCGAATCTACAGTATCTTCCACATTCATTGTAACTCGGCCGTTGAAGAAACTCCGGTTTTGACGAGAGATAGACTTTTTTACGTAGTACGGGGAAGGTTACATGATAGGGCGTTGTGTAGGAGTATCAGCGGAGTATACATTTCCAAAGCTTATTGTATGCCAAGACATTGGAACGCCGATTGACCGTTGAAAAGATTTTCTCTCTTTCGTTTAATATCGCAGATCTGACTGGTTGGTCATAGAGCACTCGGATAGGGATACGATGGGTTGGGCTGAGATTTTAATAAGCAAGTGATGGACTAACAGAGGCAGTAAATGACAGGTCATGATATTCCGTGGGCGGAAGAGTAACCGTCCATCTCGGTCATCTCGCTACGGAGCCGGTATTAGCGGGAGGAAGAGCTTCGTGACTCGTGAGAGTTGAGTAAGTTGGGCTTAGTTCATCTGGGTTGTGATATCAATCAAGTAATAGTCTAGATTAGGACGGTTCCTGGATCTTGGCTGTTGGGGGTCTTGGGTGATGCAGGTACAAATAGTTATGCTATGTAATGTAATGTAATCCTTCAGCTTGGTCTGGATGCCATGTGTATTCCGATCCTACGGGTGCACGTGGAATTGTTGGTTATATCTGACATAACTGCACACACCTTTGATCATTTCTCTTTTTTACTTTACAATTCCCATAAGATTTCACTTTCATTGGAGTCTGAAAACAAATGCGTCATCGCTGTTGCGGACAGAGCCGATATGGCGTGTTACTGCAAGAGACCCAACCTACGTGCTAAACAAACCAACCAATCTGCAGGGGTCAGTCACTAACTAATGCCAGTCTAAAGAAAATCACCTTTTTTCTGTCTCTCTCGGAAGGACCCTGAACCAACCAGAGATGCGTTTACGCAAGTAACTTGTCTCATAATGGCAGTGAATAAGATATGTCATTTGGAAGTACAGCACTAGATAATGATCCGACACTCCCGACTTTGGCCGATCTTTTAGCTCTCCTGTCAAATAACGGGTATTAATAAACAGGAAAACGGACATAATTAATTTGAGCACGGTCCGGAGAATCTACAACGTTGAAACCGTCGGGAACTAGGAGTGGCTGGTGCGGATCTTGAAGAACTGAAAAGTCCACTAAAAGGCATTGAGCAGGATCGCAAACACGGACCTTTCTTGGGGACCTCTGCAGTAGATTAGATTAACAGCTGAAAGAGAAGCCTCGGATCCGTGTCTAAAGACTTTGTAGTCGGCGTTGACCGGAAGACTCATTTCTGCTTCGTCGCGTGGTTTCGGGTGGTTTCGCTCCCAGACACGAGACAATGGATCTCCGTAATAGAACATTGAATCGTCTTCTGGAAGCATAAGCAAGAGGTAGGGAACCATGTCTTGTCATGATATGGAATCCTGCACCAATAGAACTGGCGTTGTCTAAACCCGAATTCCAACAACTGTCGACAACTCAAACTTTGTATGTTTCTGTTTCTGCTTCTAGACATGAATCTGCTGATCTATCGAGATCTCTTCAATGGCGGAAACCTCGGTCTTTGTTTCCAGCTGTCATGAGCATTGTAGTGTAATTTACCCCAACGCTAATTAGAGGCTGTGTAGATTGATCGCGTGAGGTACGACAATCCACCAACCCAGACCCTGAACCTAGATCTTTGATAACCAACTGCAATCATTAATGAACGAAGCCTCTCGCGCTCGCCTTGATCAGCCAGTTGTCAGCATCTCTGAAATCGAGGGATCCCTGCCTTCCTATTGTTTGTTCAACTCACATATCTGCCAGCCATGGACCTGGGATCAAGCCACCTTCTGCAAGTCGTGCCACCCATCATGTGCAAGTTTCACAGTGGCTGTTTGGAAAGACTCGGTCCAGGTACCGACGCGGCTGGCAGTTGAGCTTGGGAGGAATGTGGGAGACAGGGAGCTAGATCTTGCAAGGGTCTAGTCTGAGAAGCCTATTCTTTAGGTTTGTAGACGCCATGATGCTATTCCCGAGGACAATGTTAACCAACAGCGCTTATTGGGCTCAGCTATTAGTTGTGCATGAGGTAGACGATGTAATGATTGTGTTATATCTGCAGAATTACTTTTCAACGTTTTGAATATATCTACAAGCCTACCTATGATATCTGCTATCAGGAACATCACAATTGCAAAGGTACATACATGACCTGTCGCATTTAGTGCTTTTTCTTTCTGTTACAGCACATTGTTCAAATGGGCTGAAATAGCTATAATAGGCCTGTTTGCTCCTTTATGCAGATATCTTTGCTTGTTTGTGTGATACCATCACCCTGTTTGCCTTTATCTGCTGTTCTGTATGGCTGGTTTAACTGCATTGTCTAGAATGTGCGCCTCTTGTAATTCTGGACCTACTTCGCCTTTTGTTGGTTCATCACCTCTCACGTTCCATTCCTCCTCAAACATGGTTGCCATGCGTTAATGATGCATCTGTTTTCTCGCGTGGCTAACACATGGCTAAGACTATAGCTGACGAACTAGTTGATCCTTCAACAATGGTGTTCAGTTTAAGCTGAGGTCGAGAGCTGGACCGGCGCTACGGAGACGGAAACGGGAGGCGACTTCGGAGCTAAATTAGTTCCACGAGGAGCCGACCGAGTTTTATTGTTTCTTATTTTGTTGTCCAGTAATCCTTGAGTCAAGTTAGTTTTGGTAGCTGTCTTTACTGACTTGGTAGCTTAAGGCCTAGACAGACTAGATTGAGTGCTCGACATTGCCACATGCCATATCCGTAGACTATAAGTTATTGATGAGTAAAGAACAGTTACTTGTGATTTAATTACTGGATCCAGATCAGCCTCGATCCTCGCTTCATTGTGAACCTCGGACGACTCAAGACCGTCATGTAATGCCAAGACACCAGCTTTACAGTGAGAGGCCGCAATAAGGAGAGCACTGAGCTAAAGCGGGAGCTGGCGGACCTCCACTGGACATACGGATACAGGGCTGTGGACCCCACTAACAGCCTTCAACTTCAACTAAACGTTAGTGGTTTAGCTTAGCACCCAGCAGGACCAGGACCTTCATCATCCCAGCTTCTTCATCGTACGACTTCCTGAGCTTGCCTCAACCTAGATCCATCACCCATACCATACCATACACCCTCTGTCTCTAGGGTGTATGTCAAGCCACGAGGAATCGACGGCTTGTGGAGAAAACTTCAAAGTTTTCTCGCTTTCTTTGCTTTTTTATCGCAATGTGATTATCTCTCTGCTCTGCTCATTACCATGGGCGTATACGTCCAGGGGTATGGATAGTTGACTCCCATGGATGTTGACTCCATCCGATACCCTCACCTCAGCCCATGACCCAGACTGATGCATGAAGATATAATATCTGGGGACGACCCTCGTAAACTCTGGTTTCCACTGATGGATTTTGCTTTATTATTCTGATTCATTCCTTTTCCTGACCTGTTGACATATACAGCAGTAACCCTCGACATCTCGCGAATCTCTATCTATTCTTCAAGGAGATCTTTCAAGGTCCTCATCTACTACTACTTAACTGTAGTAATACTATCCTCTAACCTCAAATACCGTCACAATGGCTCTGTCCTATCAACAGACCAAGCTCATCCGGGGCACCATCCCTGCCCTGACTGACCACGGAGAGCGCATCACAACCATCTTCTACCGCAACATGCTTCGTGATCACCCCGAGCTCAACGACTACTTCAACACAGTCAACCAGGCCAACGGTCGCCAGCCCCGTGCCCTTACTGCTGTCATCCTCAGCTATGCCAACAACATCAACCACATCACAGAGCTCATCCCCAAGATGGAGCGCATGTGCCACAAGCACTGCTCCTTGGGCATCAAGCCAGAGCATTACGCCATCGTCGAAAAGTATCTCATCTCTGCCTTTGCAGAGGTCCTTGGTCCCGTCATGACCCCACAGATCAGAGAGGCTTGGACAAAGGCCTACTGGATGCTGGCAAAGATGCTCATCGGTCGTGAGGCTCAGCTTTACCGTGACTTTGGTAAGTGGCAGGGCTACCGCAAGTTCCGTATCGAGAAGAAGATTGAAGAGTCAGACGACATCTACTCTTTCTATCTTGTTCCCGTTGACGGAAAGCGTCTTCCTCCCTTCCAGCCTGGTCAATACGTCTCTGTCATGATTCCCATCGCCGACAAGGGCTACGTCCAGTCTCGCCAATATTCCCTGAGCGAGGCCCCTCGACCTGATTACTACCGCGTTACTATCAAGAGAGATGAGGGCATTCATATGACCCGCAGCGGCCGCTATCTCGGTGGCGATGCCCTCAACCCCGGTGTCGTTTCCAACCTTCTCATCGACATGAAGGACGAGGGCGACGTCGTTGAGCTGACTCACCCAGCCGGCGAGTTCTACCTCGACATGTCCAACACCTCCAACGTCCCCATCGTCCTCATCTCAGCCGGAGTGGGTGTCACGCCCATGATGTCCATCCTCAACACCGTCTCCGAACGCCAACCCAACCGACCCGTCTCCTGGATTCACGGCTCTCGACGATCGGTTCCCTTCTACGACCAGGTCCGCCGCATTGCCCGCAACCATCCCAACTTCCGCACCAACATCTTCAAGACTCACCTCGCCGAATCCGATGTCTACGGTGTCACATACGACCACGACTTCCGCATGGATCTGGCAAGAGTCTCCAAGGAAGATCTCTACCTGTGCCACAGCTCTACTGAATACTACATCTGCGGTCCTGAGCAGTTTATGCTCGAGATGGCCGAGTACCTCAAGGTCCAAAAGGTCGATGCGAGCCGCATGCATTTTGAGCTCTTCAGCACTGGTGACATGGAGTTCAAGGTTGATAATCTGAGCATTGCTTCTGCCTCCAAGTGCCCCTCAGTCGCTAGTACTGAGCAAAGATGTCCCAGCTCAGGAGCCATCTCTGCCAACGGGGCTACCTGCCCGTTCTCGGCGGTCTAAAACAAGGATAAGGCTATTCATGATGGAACTTCTAGTGATCAGGCATACGATCACAAGGAATGACGAGGCGTTAGGGGGCACGGCATATTCGTTTCAGGTCGTTATTGTATCTCGTTAAAAGATTCCCTTTTGATGATGATTTACATCTATTTTCTATGTTGAGCCTTTTTATCTAATACGTTCTATGGTGCCTTCTTTCAATGATGGGGAGGCGGCAGTGCGTTTAAATGAATGATTGGGAGGGAAAAGTATGGGCTGGTCTTGGGATAGATTAAAAGAAACGAAAGAGAATTGAACGGCGTCTTATTGTTTCCATGACACAGACAGAATATTGGATGAATTGCAAGGTGATCGATGTACAGTAATTCCCAAGTGACTGACTATCCGTATGTGCCGGTAGCGAGTTCCCAACCCCGTGTTCGCCTAAAGAAGAAACAGGGGAAATACCACCCTTCCTCACATCCCAGCATCAAAGCAGCGAAAGTTGGTAAAGTTTGAATAAAACAAGATACGGAACAAACAAAGGAAAACTCTGCGCTCCCTCGTAGGAGACAGGGGACCAAGAAGATCGACGTTGCTTTCAGTTCCCGGGTTACTCATACCCATGGAACTTCTTCCAATGCTTAAGCAAATTATCCTTCCGCGTAAACTTGGAAGCACACCCTTCAAAGCCACAGGGCGTTTCTTCCGTCAAGATCCCCTTGCTGGCTGCGTAAGCCTTATGCGAAGTGCGGTAGTGACGATCCATGTCACGCTGCTCTGCTTTTGTGACGTTGCAGTTGGGATCGGCTTCGCATTTGACGGGTCTGTTGTGTATCTTCATGTGTTTGCTGCAGTATTACCTTGTCAGCTTTGAAACGCTCGTTGTTTTCGGCTAAGAGCTTACTTGAAGTCTCGGTTTCCTGAAAAGGAGCGGTCACATTCTGTGCAGTAGTATTGGCTGGAGGGCTGGGTAGTGGAAGACGAGGCTTCTGGTTCGTTCGTTGCTTGTACGTGTTAGTGATACTGGCTACTGAATGGCAGAAAGGCTGTCTTCGAATGCATTAAGAGCCAAAATAATGTAACTTCAACGCTTGTCTGGGGCATGAGGGGCCTGGATCATTTTGTCTCCCAAGCTCTCTGAACATACCATAGACGGTAGTTTGGTAAACAGAACTGGGAACAATCTGCGATGCATTGCCAAAGCTCGAGTTGAGTAAGACCTCATTGGGATTGACTGTCGTAGGTTGTTGCTGTATCATGTAATGTGCCATTTGGCTTGTGTCCTGACTCTCTGGCGCACTCGAGCCGTGGAAAGAGAGTTGTAAATCAGTGCTCTATTGGATCTGATTTGGGCCAGCCAAGGCGTAGACCTGAGTCTCAGAGTACTCGGGGTACTGAGGTTCAGCTGTCAGGTTTGGGTCGATGGGTATGTCTTCCTGTTGAGTTCTGCTGGAGCGGCTGCGCCTGTGAGGACGATCGCTTCGTCGCGACATACCTGACGGCTTGGGAGTGTTGATGTGGTCTGGTATGTAAAGGATACCGATATCAAGAAACAGACACAAGGGTGATAGTAGAATATACTATTGAAGATGTTAATGAGATGTTTCCTTGTCATGAACAGGTATATATATATTTGCCCTTCGACTGCTCTATCGACCATCATCATTTGGGAGGCCCACCGGGGGCCGACTGCATCTTCCCATAACAGTGTGCATTTTCTCAATTGAGTCAACCCAGGCCACTGCGAGTAACCGATATTCGAAGATTGTAGAAATATGTCGAAGGCCAAGTTCAAGGAAAATCCGCAAAGATGGAACTCTCAACGGCGTGAGGCAACTCGCGATATCACAACTCTGCCTCAGGGCCGCGACCCAGCCAGATGTCAAATCCGGTAAGAAAGCCCAGATTGATTCGAGATTTCGTGCGAATGATGGATGGAATAAGGCAATTGAATCTGTGGGAGGCCGGCCGTTGGTAGTCCAAATCACCCCGCATGATGTGATAAGCCTCCCAAGCCGGCCCCCAGCATTGGCCTCGGCCATGACAAGGCAGAAATCATGAGTTGATCGCAAATGTGTAAAAATTCGACCAACATTGAATCTATTTAAGACCCATAGACACACCTGCCAGAGTCAATTGCTATCTAGACTTCTACCCATCCAGCTCTTTGGCTCCCTCATTGCATAGCGACTGTAACGATGGCGTCGAGTAAGTCAACACCTCTTCACAATCAGTCGTATTCACTAATGCGGTGTATCAGATAACTATGTAGCGCTCAAGGGCAAACAGAAGCGTCGTCTGTACGAGCCTATCGTCTTATACAAAGCTCTGACTGAAATCACCCACGAGGAACGTGCTCTCAGCCAAGCAGAAGTCCCCAACAACCCACTTACAGAAGAGCAAGAGTACCATAGGTTTCTTCACAGTCTCGCAAGTGTTTGCGATAGAGAAAAGGGAGGCAGGACTGTTACTTCGGTTGCGATTCTTGATGGAGAGGACAAGTTCACATACATCTTTGCTTGCAATCTGGTATTTGACAGTGACTTGGATGACACTAGGGACTTTCTTGCTACTTTGATTGGGAGATTGTCCGGCTTCCATTTGCTTGAGAATATTGCAAAAGGGCCTGCTCGGGATGGTATTCTCGAGATGATACTTGCGTTCGACTCTCCCAGGATTGGCTGTTACCTGGGTGCATTAAGAAAGAACATTGCCGAATGTTTGCTATTCTGTCAGCAAGCACGAGGCCAAAAAGGTAACGTTGGCAAGTATCCGCCATGTCGAGCTTCACTGTTAACAGCATGATGCAGCTAAAATCGGTAAGGGGTTGGAGGTTTTGAGTGGCGCTATCGAACGAATTACCTTCTCGGAAACGGATGGTGGCCTATGTTAGTATTACAGTAAAACGCAAACACTGCTTCAGCTAACAATCGGTTGGTATAGGCTTGTCACATTTCAACAGCCTTCTCCAAGCTCTCAAGTCCTTTCTGACACTACGAACGACAGATTACATACAAAGCAATGCCACGGCTGGCCGGTTCAGAGATGGCAGAAGCTTCGAGTGCTGGTCAGAGCTACGACACACCATCTCCCGTCTAAAAGGCTACGAAAGGATCGTACAGCACTTGATTAACTCAGAAAAAGCTTGGCCAGAGCTCTTTCAAGAGTTTGTTGTCGTCCCTATCAACTCGACCAAACCGGAATCAAACCCTCTAGGACGAAAGAGCGAAAGTGCTGAGGCCATCATTGGTCGAATGTGCAGCAATCATGCTACAAAGGAACGGTATCTCGCCCATGCTAGAAGCTTGGAGTGGGTAAACTTGGATGATCGGGTCAAGTCCCAGTGCACTAGGCCCAAATTCACGCCATACGTACACGCAGAGGTTCTGGTTCTTGAATGGATAATGGCACAGTCAAATGTGGTGTTCTTTAGCGATTGGAGATACATAGGTAGCAGCAAAGGCGCCTGCCAGCTCTGCCGCTACTACTTTGAAGCCTCAGGCCAGCATGGTAACATCAAAACGAGGCCGAGTCATGGAAATCTCTACGTCAACTGGCGCTTCCCAGACCTCCCAGAGCTCGAAGACTCTTTCGGCAGAACACGACGACAAACGATACTCAATTCTATGATGACTAAGATCCGCGAGGATGCTTTCAAAATCTTGGTTGAAAAAAGCTCCAAAGGCAAGAGACACGACTCCAGCACCCATCCTCTTACCTCGGTGTTGTATGCAAGTACCGATGTTCGGACTGATGGGGGTACTCGCGATCTACCTGATATCGATGAATTGGGTGAGAGCTTTGCTAATGCACTAAGTCTGAGGTCGAGGGTTAATAGTGTGGGATCTGATACGGATGATGAAGATGGGGGAATATTGCTTGGATGAAGTAGGCACATAAGGACAAGTTGGCGAGGAAGGGTGCATGGGGGATCTCTTTATTGTTGTCTTGTTTTCAGTTTCTATAGGATTCCTTGACATTTAATCTTGATTCCGTAATCTAGTGGTCGTTTCTCTTGTGCCAAGGGGCAGTAGCCTCAAGGAGGTCCTTGTGAAGCTGAGCGTCGCCGCTGATCTTGTACACCTCGTCAATGACCTGGTTACGCTGCATAAAGATGAGGAAACCGCCCCAAACGAAATCAGCATAACTGGGAGTCTTTCCTAGGAAGAAAGGACCATCAGAGTTCTCCTTAAGAAGAGCCTCAACCTCCTGCACATGAGGCTTCGCCTTATCCCAAGCTGACTGGCCGCCCTCCTTCTGGTAAAGCTCATCAAGAGGCTGTCCGGCCATCTCAGTTCGTGTCTCGTACCAGTAAGGCTGGCTCTTCTCGCTCAGGATACGTCCAGGCACGTGGGTGAAGTAGATAGGTCGGAGAGCACCCATGATGTTGGGCATGATGGCGAACAGCTTTGAAAGAACGGGTGAGTCTGCGTGGACAGACGGTTCGGGGTAGTCCTTCTCAATTCGCTCGAGGATCTTGGCTGAGTCCATGATGTAAGTTCCGTCGGGGAACTTGACGGTTGGGATAGTCCATGTTCCTGTTGATGGGTTGGCGGGAACGCTGTAATTTGTGAGTCATGTGTATATGATGGGCGAGAGGATAACTTACTGAGGCTCAAGGGTGGCCTTGATGTCAGGGTACTCGAGCTGGTAATTGTTCAGTAACACACTCCATCATTTTGGACAATTGACATACCCATTCGGTCTTGTAGTCAATACCCTTAAAGTTCAAGAGGAATCGAGCTATTGCATGATGAGCGGTGATATCATGGAGGGGCAGTTAAGATAGGGTAACTCACTCTTCCATGGGTTAAGAGACCAAGCACCGTTAGGCTCACGGCTGGGAAGATCGAATAGGACGAGCTGCTCAGAAGACATCTTGAACGAATTGCTTGCTTGCTAATGTTGGAAGTTGAAGAATTGAACGGGAGTTAAGGTATGAGCTAATGTTGAGCTCTGGAAGCTCATGACCTGAGGGCGAGGGAGGGGCAATAGTGGGGAGCTGTTATGGATGGAGACGTTGACTGCCGAGGTCAGTACCTTATCAAATCGGATGAATTAGTCAATCGGGTCTATTTGACTCATTGACGTACAGTATCACAATAGTCTCTATGTTTAGAAAGGAGATTGTAGGTTGCCAATTATGTTACTCTGAAGAGCTTGCATTGCTGATTGTTCAGCGATCCATCTTTTGTCTCAACCCAACCCAATCTTCAAAGTGTACAGTTTGCATGAGAAGGCAAAGAACAACGGTTTCCTTTCACTATTAGTTCGGGTCCCTTTTTCGTATACTTGAGAGTCATTCTCGCATTGAACTGCCGAGACCAACTTCCTATTTGATCAATATGCTGTACTCTTGGTGTAAGCCGGCAGGTGCGAAGGACTACAAGTACCTTCTATTTGTACACTGGTAGCTTCCTGCCCGGCTTCCAAGTTCCTTCCAAAGTTGTCGCCTGTCAAACCAACATCGGATACTTAAATCGGACACTTTTTAACGGAAATATACGGCCATGAATCCACTTCAGAAGACACTCCAAACCAGCTGGGATCTGCCTGCGATAAGTTCAACGTGACGTTAGTCGTTACCAGTTTCACACCCTTAGTGCTTCTACTCTTATATTTTCGCCCCCAACTAATGGCAATCCCTTGAAGGCGACTCTCAAACAACAAGAAACTTAGAATCCTCAAGCCACCCATCTTCAACAACATGAGTCCAAACGCAGCGCCCCGTTCAGCCTTATCGAGACGAATTAAGCATTGTAGCGGAATTCCGCCACTTGCAGCGGCCGATTGGCGGGGCATACGAGCGATCTGCCCCTACAGCCCATCGCCAGATCCCTGTCTTGATGCAACGGTAGTGAGCCCAAGGAAGGATGGACAACCCAGACCGAATCCTTCGACGTCACAGACCTTCAAATCGTTGGCTGATTCCTGGGCTGAGACTCAGCCACTGGCCCTTGCTTAATAGGCACAGTAGGCTGTGAATACTGGTGTTACAGATGATCCTTCGGCTGAGAGCTTAGCTCTTAGCCTGAGGTGAGGTGAATAAAGGACCCTTAATCCCCCACTCTAAACTGGTTTCTTGGCTATCTTACACCTGTTGCTCAAATCTAGCAATAATGGCGACAATACAGAACACCACCCCTACGATTCTACTCGAAAAGCCAGTGCATGAAGTTCCACCGCGATCTCGTCCGAACTCGGCGTAAGTTCGAATCAAAAGCTCATTCCGATGGTTTCTGACATGAAGTAGAGTTATTCGCAGTGTGATCAATGATGAGGGCCTTCCAGAAGTCGTGCACCCCGATCAAAACGTGGGACAAAACGTATACTACGACGCCCCCATACCGGTAGATTCGGAAACAGACAAACGATTTCATGAAGCACCTATCCCAATAGGAACATTAGACGAACCTGCGCCTCCATTACCAGCACGAAAATCCACACCTCAATATCCTTACAGTCCAGATTCTTTCGCGCCCCAACAACCGCCTCATAGCCAACCGCTTTACAGCCAACCGCCTCACAGTCCAGGTAGTTACGCTCACCAGGGACCTCCACAGTATCACAACAACGGCGGATATGCCCAGCGACCACCATCTTACAGCGGCAACCAAGTGATTACATATGTGACGCCACTACACGAACTCGGAGATCACCCAAAATTCGTCGATTGTCCCTTCTGCCAACGCCGAGCTGAAACACGAGTAAAGAAAACATCTTCAAAGTTCACACAGTAAGAACCTCTTCAAGCTTTACCAGCCAATCTTCTAACAACAACCAGTGCCTCTGCAACAGCCCTAGGTTTCACAACCATTGTCGGTGCCGCTGTTCCATACGCTGGGAACTGGGCATGCCACACAACTCATTACTGCACCAACTGTGAACACAAAGTGGCCATGCGAAAATGGGGATCGAGAGAGATGAAGGCGTTTGGAACTCCAGATCATATGAGAGAAGTTTCACGATACCCGTCTGCGAGTTCACAAACGATGTCCAACGGTTCAAGGATGGGTTAGTCGTGAATTGGCGGAATGATTACGAGAGAGGGAGATATTGATACCAACAACGGGGAGCAGGTGCACGAGAACGAATGGCTGATACCATGTTATCAGCAGTAAGATTCACATTTTTCTTAAGAGGCTTGCTGAAGTCTTTCTTTATGGCTATTCCATATTATTGTATAGACTACATGTATACAAGTATCTGTTTCTGTTTGCCGAGCGTCATTTTCAAAGCTGTTTGCTGAACTCAATCCATCACCCGGGTTAAAGGGAAACAAGGTTTTTCTCAGCAAAGTTACACATTGAAGGCATCATGACTCCGGACTCACCACAAGCCAACAAACTAATGCTTGTCTCGCGTTTCGCTGGCTTACCCACACCGCGTCGCCCCTCATTCAGGGTCTTCGCGGGGTGTTAGCAGACAGCTTCTTATTGGTCCACAAGGAGGACTCACTAAGCTGAAGGGAGTTCTTTTTGAAAAATTTCGAGCTTCTCTTTGCTTACCGCTCTGGGTATTGTAATCCAAAGTACCGTACTGGGACCAGTCTAACATCAATCCCTCGTTCGTCATGGAACAAGAAGCTATCAATGCCGGCAGGCGCATCTACCTAGGTATGACCTCCCCCAGCCTTAGCTCCTAGACGAGGGCTAACATTTGATTCTTGATAGGCAACCTCCCTTACGAGGCAAAGCCCTTCGAAGTTGAAGAAGCTCTAGCTCAAAACGGCTTCGATACTCTGGACAAGATTCACATTTCCATCGATCCCGTCAGTGCTCGAAACCCCGGATATTGCTTCGTCGACTTCCACGACCGCGAAACTGCCGAGAGAGCTCTTTCAACTCTACCCTCGAAAGTATATATATACGGAAGATCTTTGAAAGTTGGACCTTGCGAACCCAAGAAACCTCGTGAGCAACGTGGCTTTCGAAACGAAGAATCGACTTCTCGACGATGGGGAGACTGGAATACGAGATCGAGCACAAGCAATAACTACAACGACGGCAAAGGCGAAAAGAAGGGACCTTATTGGGCTATCGACCATTTCGAGGATGTAGTGAGGGATCATGGTGGACGAAGACTATATGTTGGTGGCTTAGACAAAATGATTGATCAAGCACAGCATCAGGAGGAACTTGCACAGATCTTTGCTGACTTCAAGCCGTGAGTGAAACACTCCAGTTATAAGAGCTATGAGCTAACTAGGATTTCAGAGCTGCGGTTGGGAAGCGAATTACACCTCATGAGAGCAAGAAGTCATTTGGAAACAACCACTACTGCTTTGTTGATTTCGAAACCAAAGAAGAAGCTAGCGCAGCAGTACAGGCTCTCAACGGCAAGGAGATCGCAGGAGGACAGCTGAAGGTTTCAGTATCTGAGAGGATTCCTCAGAAGCTTGTGGGTCGTCAACAAGATATTGAAGAGGGTCGTCGACGCTTCAACAACAACAATAACAACCGTCCCAATAAGCCTGAAACGAATAATGCTATGGTATCCAACAACTGGCGCAGAAAGGATTAGAGGGAAGGGTTAGTAACGAGAAACGGTCTAAGATAACTTGGAAAGAATTACACTTGGGTACTGGGAGCTATCATGGGTGTTTGGGGCTATCATGATATCGAGGAAGATTTTTAGATGAGTATCATGATCATGGAATAGATAAAACTAAGAATATCATTGAATGGGCCCTAACTCTTCATCTCGATTCATATGTCCTTAGACACAAATGAAGGTACAAGAAAATCAAAACCAGGTGTAAGCGTTGGTTACTAGGTAGTTAGTGCTAGGAAACGATACACCTATGAGTCGAAGGACAACAGAGGTCATTACCTTATCAAGCATAGCCATTCTAACAGTGATATAGTTATCCAGAACCAATCTCTGCAATAATTATCATAGTGAATTATAAGCGTGGGTGTATCAGAAGTATTTATATGCCACGTTAAAAACGACACAAGTTGCGGACAATGGCTAGTTTCCAACCAATTATCGTGTGCCAGGATTAGAAGCTTGGTCTTGAGGTACCAGGGGCGATCTACCGCTGAGTGGGCCGGGGTAAGATCCTTAATTCTGCTGTTTGCTTGGCATCTGCAGAATCCCTTGTTACTTGATACGACTATCGATAAATTATACGTATCGGTAGCGAAATAAGAGGTTTCAATTTTTGTATAGTTCATCTAAAAGCGAGACAGCGTCTTGGAGAGGCTATGAAGCCAATTGCGGATGAACGGAGGGTTCAATAATGAATCTTCTGTTGGGGATGACTATTTACTGCAAGTCAGCATTCTCGCATAAGTTACTGTCGACAGAGTAAACCATTATTGCTTCCAATTGGATATACCTACATTATCGAAGTACTTAATTCCGTGGCGTCATAGGAAATGTGGGTGGAACTAGCGGTAGGCCGGGACTTGATGTACCTTGTCTTGTCTTGGAAATTTCCCAATGTAAATTCAGCTTAAGCTTCTCAACAAACTTCAACCTCGACATCGCAAACCTCTGTCGAAATGGGCGACACAATCGAACACCACGATATTATAATCTTGGGCGCTGGTCTATCCGGTATCAATGCAGCCCATGTCCTCAACGAGAAACTCCCTAAGCGCTCCTACACGATCCTCGAGGCTCGAGAAGCCATTGGCGGAACATGGCGCTTCTTTCGATATCCAGGCTTCCGATCCGACTCTTTCATGACCTCATTCGGTCTACCATGGCATCCTTGGAAACACGAACACAAGATGGCGCAGGCTGGAGAGATCGTTGAGTATCTTGAGGAGGCTGTTGATGCTGCTGGTATAAGAGACAAGATTCGGTTCAATCATAAGATGGTGGCATGTGAATGGCGGACCGATAAACAGAATTGGAGGCTAGATGTTGATGCTGATGGGCAGCGCAAGACGATGATCGCGAACTTTGTCATTAGCTGTGTGGGCTACTATTCGTACGACAAGGCCCTCCAGACCACAATTCCTGGTATCGAGAATTTTGGAGGCCAGGTGGTTCATCCTCAATGGTGGCCTGAAGACCTTGACTACTCGGACAAGCGTGTCGTTGTCATCGGATCAGGAGCCACGGCAATCACAATCGTTCCATCACTCGCCGAAAAGGCAAGTATGGTGACACAGCTTCAGCGCAGTCCATCCTTCGTCATTTCTCGACCTACGACCTCCAATCTCGACTTCTTCCTACGCACGATCCTTCCCTGGTCATGGGCATACTGGCTCATATACTGGAAAGATGTATTGATGGAACTCGCCGCCACCCAATTGCTCTTGAAGTTCCCCAATTTCGGCCGCAGGATTCTGATGGGAGAAATGCGGAAGGAATTGCCAAAAGACGTTGATGTCAACGTTCACTTCAATCCCAGCTACAACCCTTTCGAACAGAGACTATGTATGTGTCCCGAAGGAGACTTCTTCAAGGCGTTGCATAAGGACAACTGTGAGATTGTGACAGACACTATCCAAACAGTCACGAAGGATGGCATCCTTCTTAAGTCTGGTCGCAAGCTCGAAACCGACATCATCGTCACAGCAACAGGTTTACACTTCCAGCTCTTTGGTGGTATTGTCCCATCAGTAGATGGAAAGTCTATCGAAGTCGGCTCACACTATACCTGGCGCGGCTGCATGGTCGATTCCCTTCCTAACATGGGCTTCGTGATGGGTTACGTGACTACCTCGTGGACACCCGGTGCTGTTCTCATGGCTAAGATGTTGACAAGCGTCATCAAGGAGATGGAGAAGAAGGGAGCAACAAGTGTGATGCCTGTACTTGATGACAATGACAGACTTAAGCCGAAGAAGTTGCCTGTTAATGCCACGAGTAACTACTTTGTCAAGGCTGCTGAACGAATGCCTAAGGTTACTAACGAAGGCCCTTGGTACGGACGTGTGAACTTGGCTAAAGATTGGTTTGCGTATATGAGTGGGGATGTGACCAGTGGACTTCTCTATGGCGGGGGAGGAAAGAAGAAGGATATTTAAACTGATGCGAAATCATGAGAGGAAACAATGGCGCCATAGGGTAACCTTTAGAAGCTTCTTGGCTTATGGCGATGGCAATTTTAGAAACGATTTATGAATGATGAACTATAAGACTGTATCTTTCAGAGTCTCTTCCTTGCGCCACATACTGCAAAGTATAAGAGACAATAATGTGACAAGTACAAGACCTTGACAGGTGGGTGTCAGAAGAGTTGTCCTCCAAGGCTTAGGGTATAGAAATAAAGTAGCCTAAATGCTGGCCTAAGCTGGCATAAGGTGATCAAATTATTTCGTCTCATGCTCCAGGGGCCAATTCTTATGACACCCTGAGGCTTGATACCAAACTACGCCATGGCTTTTACTAAAGACAATCCAAAGCCACCCGCGAAGCCCAGCTTCTAGAACAATAACGATTGGAAATACCACCCGTAAAAGTGGAACGCTCCAAACTGTTCCCGTCTGCTTCTCTCGGCTGCGTTAAAGCATCTTAATCGGCGGTTCTCCGATTCGTTCCCTTTGTTCCCTCACGATCTTGAAATGTCAAGAAGAAGTCGGAGCTAGTCGAAGCATGTCTTATTCAGACCTTGGAAGGCTTGGTCACTTACCGCATTGAGCGAATGAATGTAGGTCGTTTAGCTCAACCTTGCTTCGACAACCCTGCTTACAGTTCTCGAACGATGGACTGATCTGGGCATCCGAATCATTGGGAATCTAATCCTAATCCTGCGCTGCCCCAGCCAGTTCTCGGCTTGCAGCTGCCTATCTTGGCCAAATTCAAGGCCCTCGCTGTTTTGCGGATCAATTGAGATGAAGTCACATCACTTTGACCCGTAGGTTGCGATTCCACAACTACAGGGAGCAATAATACTTTCTGCTGCCATTTGAATATGGTGTTCTTGGCCGATCAATCGTTGATGGAGACCTGTTTCCAAGTGATCGTCATCTTATTTGTTGTTCAAGCCATACGTCTCGTGCAGCGCTGGCATCGTCTGCGCCATATTCCCGGTCCTAAGGGTACAGGGTGGACATCGTGGTGGCAGCTTCGTAGAGCGCTCAGCGGACGCTATCATGAACATTTAAAGAACGCCTCAGATCAATTCGGTAAAAGACAATTAAGCCGGTTAATAACCAGAATAACTAACAAGGTGAATTCAGGTCCTCTTGTCCGTATAGGTCCCAATGAGCTTCTCTCCACAGACCCCATTGTGTTACGGAGCATGTCTGCCGTTAGAAGTACTTACACAAAAGGAGACTTTTACACCAGCGGACGAATAGTTCCCAATGTCGATAACGTTGTCTCTGAAAGAGATGAGGTTAAGCATAAAGCCATGCGAGCAAAGATGGCACCAGGCGTAAGTAACTCACTCAACCATGGCGGTTTACAAGTACTGATAACCTGCAGTATGCTATTAAAGAGAACGAGGGATATGGTTTCGAAGCTGGCATAGATCGTCAGCTTCTCAACTTCATATCACTCATTGATCGCAAGTACTTATCGTCCACCAGCAAATCGACACCCCTCGACTTTGCAGAGAAAACGCAATTCTTTGCTCTCGATGTCATCGGTGATGTATCCTTCGGAGAACCATTTGGATATCTTTCCCAAGACGAAGATCTCTATCAGTATAACGAGATCAACGAAAGTTCTCTTCCTGTCATGAATATTGTATCTGTGTATCCTTGGCTAGGAAGGATTGTTCACCGATGGCCCTTGAGTTTACTCTTGCCTCGTGAAGAAGATCAGGTCGGATTTGGACGACTGATGGGGTAAGTGCTTGAGTATAGGCGTGGGTTCAAGGCTGATTGTTTGAGCAGGTTTGCAACTCAGCTTGTTCGTAGAAGACTTGCTGATGGCGCTGCTACGACGAAGGATATGATGCAAGCTCACATCAACAGCGGCATGAATGAGGAGGAACTCATCCAACAAGCTTTCATCTCTATGTATGTATTCCAGAGCCCCGAAGGAGTATGGTATTGACAAGCCCCAGTATTGCCGGCTCTAACACTACAGCCCATGCCTTACGCATGATCATCCTCGCCCTAATCGCAAATCCAACAGCATATACGTCTTTGATCACTGAAATCCGCCAATATTCTTCTCCCATCAACACACCCATCTCCTGGAAGCAAACACAGAAGATGCCATATCTCCAAGCCGTCGTACGCGAAGGTCTGCGCATGTGGCCTCCCGTCGCTGGCCTCGGTTTCAAGCAAGTCCCTCCACAAGGTGACACCATCAACGGCTTTTTCGTCCCTGGCGGAACTCAAGTTGGCCAAGGTTTCTACGCAGTTGGACGATCGAAGCTGGTCTGGGGCGAGGACGCAGATGTCTTTCGTCCTGAGCGGTGGCTACTTGCCGGACAGGAAAGATTGAGAGAGATGATAGCTGCATTGGACTTGCACTTTGGACATGGCAAGTATTCATGCTTGGGAAAGCCGATTGCACTTATGGAAATCCACAAGGCTGTTTTCGAGGTATGTCGACTATTGATGTGTAGTTGAATTGTTTCACTAACCATTTACAGTTGATGAAACGATACAATTTTGCTATATTGAATCCTGAAAGACCGATCAAGACTCAGACGTCAGTCTTCATGTCTGCTTCAGACTTTTGGGTCACGATCACCAGGCGAGATGAAGGAGGCATGCAATAGTGCGAGCAGGGGAAATAATTGTACTGAATCTTGATACACCCTATCTAATCTAATTCGTGTGATCGTCCAGGTGGGCAACAGAAGAAATGTCCTCTAAGGCTTAGATTACCAAATAAAGTAGCCTAATACTGGTCTAAGCTAGCATAAAGTGACCAAATTATTTCGTCTCTTATGCCTCTAGGGCCAATTCTTCTGACACCCTGAGGTCGTCTCAAATAGACCAACGAACAAGGCAATATGTTGGTAGCGCATCTGAGTCGGTTTATGGCCAAGTAGACTCGATGAAACAAGCTGTAACGACCTGTATAACTCCTATGATATTCCCTTTTGCCCCGGAAAGTAATCGTCGCACTGGGAGCCAGGTTCCTTTAGATGGTATGGTAACTCGAGGTTCTTGTCCCAGAACGTCTGATATAAACAATGATGTATTCGTGCTCAAGGCTCTCGCCTGATTGCTTTAAGTAGAAAGCAGACCGCCCCTTCCTTTCTATTAAGTCTCCTCTTCCTCAGGTTTTCTCGACGGCGTACCCAACGTCTCCAACCCTCTAGCCCCTACCATCTCCACAGGTGCATTCGCCGGAACGTCAGCCTTCCCCTCAACCACCTTCCCTTGTGCCATGACCTCTTGGTATTTCTTCCCTGTCTCATCCAACAAACTCTGCACCTCCCCTTCTCTTTTCACAATCTCCTCACGCTCCTGCTTAAGCTTCTCCACTCGGTTCTGTTTACCCTTCATCTCCTCTTCCATCCCCTTCAGCGTAGTCTGTAGACGTGCTAAGCATTCCGTCAAACTAGGGAGAGGTGATATCTTTGGTGGTGCTTGTAGGAGATCCTGGCCAGGATCTTTACGGGGTTTCTTTAGACCGTCCATGCCTGCGCGTGTCTGTGCAGTTTCGTATGCAATTCGTCGCTCGGCATCGCTGTCGGATGATGAATCAGATGTGTGGCCTTCGGCTGCTGTGATGAGCTCTTCCATCATCTTTCGATCTTGTTTGCGTCTTTCTTTTTCGGCACGCTTTCCGAGTGAAAGGCCTCCGTCTTCAACATAGTTATCGAAGCCCTCCCCAAGATCCTCGTCTTCTGCTATTAAACGTGTATCATCCTTCTTTTTGCGCGCGAATGGATCGTCGTCGTCTTCAACTGATAGAAAGTCCTTCTCCAAGGCTAGTCGTTGTCGCCGTTCCTTCTTTTCGCGAATCTCGGCCTCGGAAAGAATGGCTGTAGGGTGTGGTTGGCTCAGCTCTGAGGACTCAACAACAAGTGCACCCTCTAGCTCTGAAGCATCCAGGTCCATCATATCGGTATCGTCGGGAGGTAACGTGGAGGTTTTTGCCGGAGTATTTGGTGTGGATGATTGGAGCTCTTCGAGGTACTCTTTGCTGTATTTGGGTCGGTCGTCATCGTCACCAATTGATCTCATAGGAAGCCCTTTCGTTCCAAGTCCTCTTTTTATAGCGCTGTTCTCCAATGCGCGACCTAAGGGTAGCTTCTTCGGGGTGAACACCTCGGTCGGCTCGTCGTCGCCTGCAGTATTATCATCTCCGTCAAATGATAACCGCGAAGCCTTGGACTTCTTCTTTCCCTTCGTTGAGCCTGATCGACTGATAGCTGGTCGAACAACTACTGGTCCGTCGTCCTCATCGTCATTGGTGGCTGGTGCATCCCCAAGGCCCTCGCTGTCTACTGGATTAAAGCTCTTTCTCAAGCCCGACTGTCTAAATGGTTTTCGACCAGATTTTGCGCCGAATAGTGGTTTAGCAGGTTCTGTAATTGCAAGGGTCAGCCTTGATCTCATCAGCAAGAGTCGCAAGTCCAAAATCTGGGAATACTCACCATCGCTGGTCCCGTTATCGCCGCTGGGCGCCGTGGTGTTTTCACTTGGATCATCCTCATCAGCGACCTTGATGACCTTGGCTTTTCTTTTCGTAGAGAAACTCATGATGCGATTGTCCTCTTTTTTCTATTACTGGCGCATTAAAAAAAGGTAGAGTTTCGCGACGCTACGCGCCTAATTAAAGTGACGTGCATTTCTGACTTTTGGGATCTTATCTCCACGTGACGTCGAATTTCCCATCCAGCTGTGAAAGGCGGTAGCTCCAGGCCGCGATCGCGTCGCATGAAACAGTATCCAAGCTATTTTATATTGACAGCTCAAGATGGCACCCGCGCAACCTGAGCTCAAGAAGGTCAGTATCAGTCTTTTCTGTGTCGCACAGCTGTCAGATTACTCCCCAGCTTCTGATCGGCCTAAAGCCTTGCGACCTGCTGCCTAAGATTCATTGCTAACTTTTCTGCAGTACCTCGACAAGAGACTGTTCGTCCAGTTGAACGGCAGCCGAAAGGTCATTGGCGTCCTCCGCGGCTACGATGTATGGAACACCCTTGCGACTCTATTGAAACATTACTAACAGGGATAGGTCTTCCTAAACATTGTTCTCGACGAGGCGGTGGAGGAGAAGGACAACGGCGAGAAGGTTCGAATTGGCATGATCGTACGTTCTCCCACATTTCCCTGCTTTGCACTAAAGAAAAAATTGCTAACATGTCGATAGGTCATTCGCGGTAACTCAGTGGTGATGCTCGAAGCGTTGGAACGAATCGGCGGAGACGACCGACGAGGAGGAGGCGACCGATGATCCCCCTACTGAAAGCAGTGGAAGTACGGAAAGAGAAGATGGAAATTATGTGATCATTATTGGCGTTAAGGTCGAAAATTGAGACACCGTCCTTGTGGACACTTTGCTTGGGACATGTCTTTAATAGACAACAAGAGAGGATGCCCTCAACTGTTGATACTGTGCTCTCCCTACTCCTTCTTTTCCCAGGCCTTTTCGTCGTAAAAGTCCATCAGCTGGCCAGCGTACGCCTTCTGCCACCCCTTGATACCTCCGACCAGAATCTCGGCCTTGATCTCAGTCTCCTCAACTTCATCGAGGTAGTCCTGCATCCACCCAGCACATCGTGGACCTCTGCTACCACAGCTCCCTGAGCATAATTAGTCAACGGTTGCAGTAGTTTCTCTGAGAATCAAGTACTTACCACAATAAAAGATAATTCTCTTTATGCCTGCCTGTTTGACCAGTTGATAGACCTGAGGACGGGTCTGATAGAACGTGTGAGCGGGGAGGTTGATAGATGTAGCAATGGTGCCGCCCTCCCAGTCTGTTCTTCGAACGTCGACCAAGAGAAAATCTCTCTTGGCGTTCTTTCCAAGAGCCGCATTCACTTCGATGAGTTTTGAGATAATGGCTGGATCGGTTCGAGGGCATTCGGCTTTAGGCTCAGGGAAAGCCTCCCACCACTCCTGCTGCGGGGCATCTTGCGGGGCGCCGTCTCCCATGATGTGAGTTTATAAATGTGGTGTTGAAGTAAGTTACTGATTCAAGTCTGATGTTGTTGTTTGTAAAGGAAGGGTGACTCAGTGAAGATATATCCAGGATGCGAAACGGAAGTCTGACGTGGGTATAGTAGGTTGATGACGGTGTAGGTAGTGCAGCCCGGAACGTTTATCCCGAGCCATGATTTAACAGGACGATTCAGGCAGTCGCTCCCGATCTATCAGCAACATTTTCGATGGTCTTCTTGATATCGCAGATAAGATGTTTTCGTATGATCAGATACAGGTTTGGAGATAGATGATATGTATTATTGCTACCCTATCATGTTTAAACGACTGGTCGTTGATTGAGTTGCCTCTCATCAGTCTTACACAGTAGTAGAAGACTTGTCCTGATGCTTCACGAACGTACTATATCACTGCAGAAAGTTTTATATTTTGACTGTTTAGTAAAATCCCTCATCCTTGAGTTCTATGTTTCTGAAACTCTCCATCGCATAAGTAATGAACTTATAAATTTGCAGAAACATAATAGATGAACAACTGCAATACAGAAACCACAGATCAGTCTGGATAGATACGCCCGATGACACACCAGCACAAAAGACGAAAGACGACCATATATCCATACGAACTTTCTCCGGAGCGCTATCATGACTGCTGGCATCCGAGGACGCGTGAGAAAGATTGAACATACCACACTGAAGATTGGTCGTTCAAGTGAAAATACATGTTAGTAACGCCAGCATCCCCCAAACATGCAAGTATTGCAGCCTGCAACAAAGAAGAGATAGAGTACTGCCAAACACCATATCAACTAACTAAGGCGGCAAGCAGCGTTACTGACTCCAAGGAGTAACGCCTAAAAGCTTCAGTGCGTTATTGAACACTTGCCTTGCGTTCTCAAAGAGTGCAAGCCTTGCTTCACCAGCAGATTCCTGTCCAGTCCAATCTTTTTCATCGTCGTCATCAAGCGTAGTTATCAGTTGATCGACTAGTCGTAGTAAGTACACGACTATGAATGAGGGCTCGAGGGTTCTGAAAGAACCATGTGCTGCGTCTGGGTATTGCAACAATATGCGAAGAAGTTCAGCATAGTCTTCCGATTCCAGGGATGTATAATCCAAACTGGTATAATTGAAATTGGTTGGCTCCGACCCAATCTTCTCCGAAAGTCTCGCATAGCAGTTCTGAATAGCTGCCCCTGTCTCTCCTTCTAGGGGCACCATCCTTTTTGCATCGCTGGTGTAAGTCGTATTGCGCTTGTGATATTGGTCCTGGATAAAGAGTCCGGCAAGCCCAAGTAGGTCCACTGACCTCTCCGAGTTGTCAACATGAGACACTTCCTCTTCTTCCTCTCCAAGGTCGGCTTGTACCATAGACCGACAGCCGTCAAGGTAATCACTCAGCAATGCTGCACCCTTCAACTCTTCTGGAAGCCCGTTGATCTTAGCGAAGGATGTATGTTGGAGTCGATCTGCTAGGTCTTGCCTTCCCATGAGCTTGAGGGTCTTGATTACTCGGTTGAAGTGCATCTCTTGCTCCATCGCCGCAACATAGATCATTTTGTCGAACGCGTGTGTCTTGAATCGGTCAAGCACTGCAGCAACGTCGCGAAGAAGGTATGATGTAGTTCCATTTCTGTAACGTAATACCGCCACAGACAACCCCTTTGCCTCGTGTTTCGAGAAGTCGATTTGCCAGGAATTTTCGTGCTCTTCGTAGACGCCGTTCTCTTTCAAAGCTTTTTCTACCTCCTCGATGGATTCTGGGGTAACCTGTGACTCCCCAGAGTACTCGTCAAAGGTTACTCCGAGTTGTGCATACGAGTCCGTTAAGTCCTTGACGGTCGCGTCTCGAAAGCGTTGCCACAATGAAATAGCTTCTGGCTCTCTGTCCTCCATCTTCTTGAAGAAGTCATCGCGTTCACCATACAAACCTGATGATTCAAGCTCCGTAACATCTTCCTCCTTTGCTTTCATGGCCTTACAATTCTCCACTTCTGGCTTGAAAAGCTCTTCGATTTTGTGGTTGACTTGGAGTAGGTGACGAAGGGGCTGATTCGCAAACTCTTCTTCAGAGCCAAACCTTTGCCAGCCTGCAGCGAGAAGGCCAATCTGCTTGCCCCAGTCGCCCAGATAATTCATCCTGACGACATCCCAGCCCATACTGGCGTGTATATTTGCGATATAAGTGCCTAGTAATGTGCTGCGCAAGTGAGATACCTGGAACTCACTTGCCATGTTTGGGGATGAGTATTCCACGATGACCTTCTTCTTTCGGCTATCAGACGCCGCAGGATCAACAAGTCCCAGGGATGTATCATAGCCGTAAGAGACATTTCTGTCGCTGATATAGGATAGTAGAAGTCGAGACAACGTATTTGGTGAGAAGAAGACTTGAAGACGAATGCCGTCCCGAATAGGGCACCCGAAGGGGGGATCTCTTGGTAGCTAAACCACATGCCATGTCAGTATTCTTTCCTTTTCTTAGATAGCCTCAGTTTATCGTACCCTTTGAAGAAGGTCCTTGGCAAGCTCCTCATGATTGGTGTTTTGGATCCTCAGCCTCGGAGCAACAACTACGAGGTCCCCCATCCCCGTAACGTTGGAAGTTTGTATAGCATCATAGGCAATCTGCCTATCGCAATCAGTGAGCTTCTGGATGGTGTCGGCGAGGTAGACTCGGAAGATGTCTTGAGGGTTGTGCACGATATCGGCACCGGGGTATTCCGGTATGGGCGTGTGCAGTCCTGCTTTATCGAGCAGGTTCTCAATTCCGCTAACGGAGCAAGTAGTCACTGCCATAGCCACGATGTTTTGTGATGGTGTTGAGGAAAGAAGGAAGTGAGTCAGATGGTTGTTGCCTCGTTGAAATAGCCTGTTGAATTAGAAGGAAGGAGCGGCCAACACCATATGAAGTACAATCATGGGAGCAGTCGGGCATTAAGGCATATGACTCTACAGCCTCATAAATAAATTTCGCTCTATGATTTGCTTATAGTGATCAATGCCATGGAGATGCGAGATGAGTTGTCACCCACCCAGAATCTCTCCCAGCTGAGGCTGTCAGCGAGCAATTGGCTATAACTCACCAGTTGGAGTGAAGGTGGTGTAGGACACACCCCGCGATGGAGGCAGGCAGCTTTCAGGCTGCATTCAAGAATCACTCCAGCAGCGCGCCATTGACGTCGCAAGACGTGTCATATTTCGTATATGATCATCTCCAGAGTTGATGCCCAAATTCCAGAAACTCGGTCCTTCCGAATGTTTCGATGCATGTGATGAAGAACAAAAAGGCAACCAGAAGTGAGTTACAGAGCCTCGTTGGCATGCGTTTTGAGGCCTTCATGCAACCCTCAGACCCCCGTCAGATTCTCGAAAGGGCTTCTGTTCCGCAACTCGTAGTTGCCTCTTTTTCAAGATGGAATGACCACATTCAATGAAGATCAAATGATGAACAACACTCTAATGCTGGTGGCCCAATAGTTACACAGGCTTCTGTTAGGTAGCAACTCGCGATCACTATCCCTTCAGTGTTTCCCTCGGTTTCCTTTCAGGCCTGTGACAAACTCTCGCAAAGCCTTAGACTTGTCTTCTAAGGAAGCTTGTAAGCGCTCTCTTGTGTAGTCTGCCTTCAGTGACTGTGATTGGATCATCTTCATAGCATAGGTAAGAAGCTCGTTGCAGTTGAGTATAGAACCTATTATCGTCACTTTAGCTACCAAGTTATGCAATTGGCCTTTGAGGAGCGGAAGGTAGAGCTTATGCACAGAAAGTCAAGATATCTTCAAATTAATCGACTGTAAGGTCCCTTCAGCCCTTATCTAGGTAGTACTGGTTCGTCTCTTCTCCGACGCCTTTTCAAAATCCGAAACAAAAACATGAGTCCGGAGTACCAGACATGACAAGCAAACTGTATCAACCTGACAACCACTTGGCTATGTCGTAGAGCTGATCTCTTGGTCTTGATAAATCCTTTTGCCTTCTCCATAGATTGAGCAATATGTAGTCGCAGCAGATACAGGATACCTGCTATACATATGAACGAGAACGATGCCACAAGAAAGATATATCCAGGCCATGATGCTTCGTCTCCTTTCTGTGGCTTACCGCTGTATACTTCCGCAACGAGGGTCAGAACAGCAAATACCTGTTATAGATTAGTTTTGCCTTTGTCTAGGGGCCAAGGGGGCGAACTTGCAACCGTAGCGACGACGAGCTCCTTTGCTCTTTCGTCCCTGGTTCTCTGTTGATCTGCACAGTCGAGCTGTCTCTGTAGACTGGTGTCAATTATAGTGAACAGATAAATGGGTTTCAATAGGGCTGTAGAGGATAACTCACCTCATGCCTGAGTCCTTTGAATGATCTTTGGATTTCTTCCAGTTTATCACCAACACGTTTCAGCTTTTTCAAATTCTTCGTGATTGCACGCAGAGCCTTTAGAGCTTGAATATCGCTGCGTAAACTCCGCCAGAGCATCCCTTGAGGTACACCAGCTTGATCCAACTGAATACCTTCATCCAGAAAGCTTTCAACCTCTTTGATGTTCTTATTATTGTAGGATATCACCCTGCTCAGTAAATCAGGGTATATTTTCAAGGCTTGTTCGTTCGAGTGGTTGAGAGTTCTGTTGGAGTTGTCTCTGATACTGCGTGTCTGCTTTCATGTTAGTCAAACATAAGTTAATTGTTTCTCGACAAATGGACGGGACCCAAGCCTAATATATGTGTTGCACAGATGACTTACATAGGAATCCAGACTATGTCTGAAGACTTCGTGGACAAGGGTATGATGCCCATGTACCTTATCGATCCGTTTGGCTAAAGCAACAAGAGAATACTGCCTTGGACGCCACTGGCTCGCCGTATCTCTCACATCGACCTCGACCATAATAGGGTCAACACACTCTTCTGGGCTTTGGGTTTCTTCCTCGTCCCCCAAGATTCGTGGTTCACTTTCAAAGAATTCGTCATCAAAGCAATATGCCGTCCAATGCTCTTCAGTCACCCCAGTCGCCGAGAACGAATACACTCCTTGGTGTAGAAGTAGTTTTTCTTCTGGTGCCAAGTCTTCCGTGTCGGTTAGGATCGAACGCAGTTCCTCTTTGCTAAAGGACTCCAAGTCAAAGTGTGTGCGGAACAGCTTCTTGCCATGAAGAGTGCGCTTGTCTTCTCTTCCACTAAGACCAATTGCGTAGAAAGGTAATGTAAAGCTGATAACATAACTTGTATTCCACAGGTCCTGAGTGTATCAAAGCTTTATTAGCGTTCTGGAATTTGGTGTGGGCTGTCTTTTCTCGGTAACTTACAGAGACTTCCAGCGAAATGCTTGGGTTTGGGTCAGTTGTTATGTAATTAGCAAGAAGATCCTGAAGAGCAGCAACTTGGAATGCGTTTGCAGTTTTCAAAATTGCCAGTACACTCGCACCATCAGGATTGCTAACAAACCTTTCAAAATATCTGTTAGAATTAAGGTATATCAATATCCATTTTAGGCAGCTTACAGATGTCGAATGGGCCCAACCATCTCTCCTGATGGACTCTCACGATATCGCTATGATGTGTTAGATGTAGGTATCCTCTGCCGATAGAAGAGATAGTACACACCTCTTTTCGCAGGACATTGTAGAGATCAATGCGCCCTAATACATTCCCATATCGAGAGGTCTCTGCTGGGTCATCTTTAAGAAGCCAGTAGTTTCGATCCGACACCCACGCTCTAGGTTCCTCAACATTCACCGGCTGTTGGTCCCGGGTTGGAACCTCAAGGCCAAGGAGCTGACCAGCACCCTGACAGAACGCTTCAACACGCTGTGTTTCAAATTCTCCGCGAGGCGATGAACGCTGATCCATAAAATTTGAGATTTCTTCATCTTGACAGTTGCACCCACTCCTCTCCCCCAGAATTTTGATGAAGGGTTTGTTGTGTTCTGAGGCTGAGTACTTGACCATCTTCCATTCTTTTTTCCATTCGTCTCGTTCAGTGAATATGACAGAACTTGCTGTGGTCATCCATTCAAGACATGATGCGACACGAGAAGGGCCATTGTGCACCGGTAAGGTTGGCGGTGGTGCTGTGTTCCGTCTAAGAAATGGCATGGCTTGATGGGGGCTTCAGACTTGTGAGTTGCCACACTGGAAGCTGGTTCAGTCAGTTCTTTCCTCGAATGTGACTATATGATGAGTCCTTCGTTTCATAAGGAAGGAACAAGTTAGATCCATGACAATGGGGGAGATAGATAGATAGGTAGGTAGGTAGCTTTGTAGGTCATTACATATGAGGAATCTGGCAACCATCTTGTCCAGTCCTTCCTTCCTCGTCTTCTTCTTCTCCCGTAACAATCCCAACCAAGATCTTACCTGCAGGCAGACGAAGTTGCAGAGCCAGTGGTAGATCAGCCTTCGTTTCGAAGTGTTGTTGGTGGGAGCGTGTGTTGATGCGCCGAGTATCGCAGTTGGGACACCGAGGACTGCAACAATTTGGGCATGGGTCAACTGACACTTTCATACCCCCGTAACCACACACACACTATGAAACTGTCAGAAGCTGCCTTATATGTCATCAGAGGTGTGTGCTATTTCACCACGACTCGGAACTTTTAGCCGAGTCTTGGGTCTCGAATGTGCACTTTTGCCCTCTATTTCTTTCTTCCTCTTTACTTACACAAACCCAGACCCAAACGACCTTCCGTCGCCCCGGTGGTGTCTCGATTATTGGAAGTCCAGGATATAAGAGAGGCGTAGCAACTTTGAAACCATCAGTTCTTTGGCGTATAGGATACCCAAGAGTAGTCGCCGGGAAAAGGCGTACCGCGAGAGCTTGATGCTCTGGATGGCCTCAGAGGTGTCACCCGATGATGGTTCTCAGGACAATTGTGATTGTTTGCACAATTGTCTGCCTTTTCTTCCGCCGCAATTGCTTCAACAAAATTGTCGTCTGTTGCCTTTTGGCATTTCGGTCAGCCTCGATAACATCCCTCCGCTGTAGGGTGGTCTGATGACCGTGACCAAGTTCAGCTCGGCAGCCCATACCTGCAATTGAGTTGCCGTGGATGATCTCATTGTCGCTGTTCTCTTCTTTTTCGCTCTTTCCCGTATTTTTCTTGTGTGGTTCGCCAGCCTCAATGGTTGGATGAGGGACGGTAAGGCAACTTAATAAGGTACCAACTCATCGATCGTCATCTTCCCTCTTGGTTGGCTATATGCCGGCAGATGCATGGCAGCCATGGCTTGGATATTAGGTTGTAGCCCAGCAATCAACTGACTTGACTCACACAATAATTTAAAAAAAAAATGTTCTGGATACTTCATTTGTCTCGCGATGTCCTAGTGCTAGTTTGAGTTAGCATGTTACAAGATAGTAGTGTCACTTTCAAGTCACCCTGTCGCAGGTCGACCATTCACTCACCAGCGCAGCCACAGGCCTCATGCAGTAATGGGTAGCCACTCTCGGCGAGCGGTGAGGGTGATACACATTTTCTAGATCCGCCGAGGTTCTCACATTATCGACTAGTCTAAGAAGCTCACATGGTTCATTAACATCTTTGCCGATTACAAGGCCAACAGTCAGTCGTGAAGTTGAGTGCTGTGTTACCGTGTTGTGGTAGTGTACCTGCAGATATCTCATGGATAAGATAGTAAACGGCGGCAGTTTCGTGTCACCTGGGCCTGGGGTCGACCCTAGTCTTGTTCTACAGATACTACACATATATGATGTAATTTCATAGCAAGGTAGTATATTGGAGAAACAGCGTCCAAGTGCTACGTTGTGGAAGATGAGAATTACAAAAGGGCAACTCACTGCAGTCAACCGAGCCGGTGCGTCATGGCCTGTCAGTTTCAAAACGACTAGGCCCAAATGATAACCATTGAAACTCTCTATAGGCTAATGTGGATGTTTGTTCTACGTCAACAACGCCTCTCGGTGGCCTATGCAGGCACACGCTCCTGCGGCAGTTGTGCTGCAAGTCCGACTATGGCGACCAGCCTTATAACCTTTGCATCAACGGGACGGTGCTTAGATTCCTCGCGGACGTTCTTCGCGGACAACATATCTATTTATTCGTCACTCAACGTTCCCCATAGAGCTCATAACGGCTCCCCAGTCCAAATAGCCATCAAACCATATCGAAGGGTCAACCCCCTGAAGCATCTCTGGACTCCATGGTATCTCATTCCACTCGGGCACTCCAAATCCATCCATCTGCATGTCGTTACCAGCTGGCGCTACAGGCCTTGCGATATCGCTTGTACTGCAGTCCTCCATCTCTGTGTCTCTCCGATCGGCACCTTGAATCTTGACCGCCTCGGTTCCAGATGAGACAATCTCTACCCATCGTTCCAGCTTCGCTCTTGTGATCCTGACTTTGATAGCACTCATACTCCAGAGATTGTGGTCTGAGCTACCAGGCTCAGCTGACGACGCTTGGAACGATGCGTTGGCCTTTTCGAACTTGGAGTATATGCCTGATAATATCCCCGTGACATCTAAGTAGAGTCCAGGCTGGGTCTGTATCTGAGACCGTAAGGCAGCCACTGCAGAGGGTAACCTTGGGTCTGTACCCTCCCGAAGAAAGATGGGGCTGGCTCCTTGAGAGTTGGCCCCATGTGCACTGGGCGTCGTGACTGAAGGTGTTGCATGTGCGGAGCTGACACTCGCCGCGTAGTCCGAGTCTGCTTGGTACAATTCCACATTTGGATTTGGTGCGCTGGTATCTTCAGGCATTGGCATTGGAGGTCTCGTTAATGGAATCTGGGCTGTGAACTTAGTCCAACGCCCCAGCATCGTCATGCCGTAGATCAGCTGGGCAGCGATGGGTGTGGTCTGGCGGTGGTACTCCGAAATCGGTATCGATAGCCAATGATCAAAGAACTGCTTCAAAGCGTTTCTTGATTGGTAGAAGATGTCAAGTGCGGATGCGGATCCTAATGCGGGAGAAGTTAAGGACTCTGACATCTGAATTATACGAGCAGTGTCAAGTAAAGGGGGCTCATATAAACGGAGCATAGCTGTGTTAAGAAAGACCTTTATTACATCTGAGTAAACCACATTAGTAAGGTAGTGGTAGGGATCTAGCTGATAGAGCACTTACTATCATTTTGAAGATCGTGAGGTAGACTGAGCCGTATCCTGTCAAGCTCGGTGTGAAACGCAGAAACATAGGCTGACATGGGTGCCGTTGGAAGACCGAGAACTTCCTCGGTGGGATCATCGGGGGCATTGAGTTGTGAGATACGCTCTGTCAAGTGTTGGATTCGAACGAGTGCAACAAGCCGCGTATCTGTCTCATATTCTCTTTCTTGTTCTAGCACTGATAGACATGTTTGGATGTACTTGGTATAACGCATAGACTCGAATCGCTGAAACCCGAGTGCCATCCTAGAAACAAGTTAGCTACGGTTCTTGACAGATGACAGCGTGAAACTCACGATGATGATAAGTACCACACTCCCAGCAACGCTCTCCTCTCTTCGTTCGTGCGTGCTTTGGGCTGGAACGGTATCACGACCATCAAGCTGGTTCGCTCAAGAACGGTCGGACTGCGGTTCAAACCCAGCTCTCCCACAAGCGTGGTGGCCAAGGCAATCAGATTGTGAAGTTGGGCATGCATGAAGCAGTGATACTGATACCACGCAACTATAACAATGATTCCCAATAGTAGGTCCAGTGACCGCTCCGATCGGATGAGCATGTGATCTGCGACATGCTTCATCAGATGATACATCTGAGCTCTCATCGACCTCAGACTGCGAAGCGATGCGACCATGCGGATCGAGGCCATGAGAAACGGTCGGGTCTCTCGAAGCTTTGCTGCCGTGACACCGTTTGGTACGATGACGAAGGGGTTCAAAGTCTGTAACTCCTTTCGGTAGATGTTGAGAAGCTCTTGGTCTGAAGCAGGAGGAGGGGGAGCATCTCCACTGGTCTGCCTGCAGATACATTGCGGAGGGGCATAAGAGTTGTAGGTATCAGGAATTGACCACCCTTCAGTGCTGGATGGAAAAGAAGGCTGGCTTTCCTTTGAGGAAGGCTTTTCTTGGTCAACAACATGAGGGTCTACCTCGGTCGGGATGCAGGTGGTATCTGTTGCTAGGTCGGCACTGGTCAAGCCACCTGCTTTCAGAAGATTAACCAATCCATTGAGTCTTTCTTCTATTTGAGCAGTTCGACTAATTGGGTTGTGTTAGTGATAGTCTATTGTGATGCAGTATACTATAAGTTGTTGACAGTGGGTACTGGGGCGACTTACGAGGGTTTGACTGTTCTCTTTTTCCTCGGTCGATGGACCTGTTCAGTACAATTCTTGACCAATCTTTCACATCTATGCAATGCATGTGTCAGTCCCATTTATGCCATAGCCCCGGATAATTATGGAGAGCTTCCGGTTTGAGCCCCGGCGGACCCGGCGAATGGACCTCCGGATATTCGGTCTCCTCGGGACTCCGTGAAACGAAAGAACCACGCCACCAGAAAATAAGAAAGTAAAAAGGGTTGAGTTGAAATACCTATCGCATTTGGCTCCAGGAGAAGTGTTTGAGCGTATACACTTGGCTTTTGCCGTAGAACACTGCGCACAAGCAGCACCCCATTTAGCCGTCGCGGGTTTGGGTCTGTGAGTGTGATTCTCAACACTCGACATGATAGATCGATCGAGATAAGATCTGCGGTTGCATAAAGAGCGTGCAGCAAAAAGAAAGAGCGGTGGACCTTGCAAAAACAGGTGAACAAGTCCGGCGGACTTTTTGGAGATCTTATAAAAAGAGGTCCGGCTTCGTTAAATAGGGTATGCGGTATGCGCAGAGAGATAACTAAGCTGGGCTATTTTTATGAAACGACGTCAAATCAGGAGAACTGCGCGGAAAGTCCGATTTGGGTGGGTCTAAAGGGGGTCGGGGCATGGGTCGGGCCTTTTACTATACGCCGTCCTTACTGGTAACCAATCGACCTATGATAACCAGTTCAGGTTCAGCTATTCGTGATTGTCTTGTTTATAGTCGACAACCATAGTATATCATTCTCAGAGTAGTCAATCATGTTCAACAAATCAGAAGCTGTTTCGCATTGCAAGACGACGTATGTAAGCAGACTCTATCAACGCCAATCATTCACAAAACATATATCATCCAACCTAGCAACCAGCACCATAAATCCTGTTACAGGTATGGGTTTGACGAAGGCGAAGTGAAAGAAGTTATTAGATGTTTTCCCCGAAACCCGGGACACTTGGTACAGGCTGTCATAGACCTGACATTCTTCATAATGATATCAGAGGAAACAATCACAGGTTGGAACAAAAAAACAATCGTAAGTTGAATGACTGCATGCTCTGCTACTTAGTGACTGCCCAGAAAAGATTGAAACGCATTCTAACAAAAGAAGCCCCTTATCGAGGCACCTGATACAAGCTCCTAGCCTTTGTACGCCCGTATGTCAAATACACCATATGATGATACATGCCGTCCTGGAGTCATTACGTTGTGAAAACTCCCTCGGTCGGCTTACACAACTCCAGAAGCCCGACAGTTCCCATAATTCCTTCTGTATTTCTTCTCAATGTCTTACTTGGATCTCGAAACACCAGCACCAATGACTCCAGGCAGCTTCTCCTCGCCAACGCTGAAGAGCATGCCAATGGCCAGGTACAAGATGGTAAGGAGAGAGATGGTAAAGCCGGCAAAGAGCCAGAACTGAACACTAATGTCCTGCTTGGAGCAAGCACCGCCAGCCCAGTGCGTGACGCTGCCGCTCTTGGACTTGGTGCTAAGGCAGTGGCAAGAGAAGCAAGCATCATCGCCCTTACCGTACCTGCTTTGACAGTTGCCATGGCCTGAGCAGTTGCCAGTTCTCTTGTTGCACTCAGACTCAGACTTGAAGCACATGGAGGCAGGGACCTTGGAGAACCGGGGAACCTCGGGGGCGGATGAGGTCTCGGCAGCGGCAGGCGCTTCGTGAACCTCCTCGATGGAAGAGATGACGGTCTCGGCCTGTCGGCGTCGAAGGTCGTGATCCTCAGCGGAGTCGGATGACAGAGGAAGGAAGACCAAAGTGGTATCCATCTCGCCTGATTCAGCGAGCTTCTGGAGCTTAGGAAGCTCGTTCAGGAGGGTAGTGGGGTGATCGCCGTCCTTGTCAGAATGTTAGATAAGCAGTATAAATAGCAAGATGAACAGTTGAAATACCTGAGATCTTTTGTATGTCGCAAAAGCAGCATTGCCACGGAAACAGCTGCCGTCCATAGCGGCGATTCGGTTCAGGGGACAATCGGGCATCTTCATGATGCTCTGGAAAACTTCAGGATGGTCTCCATTCTCCTTGCTCCTATCCATAGTAAAGTCGGGCTGCGTGTTCTGAAGCCAGCCGAAGAACGATTCATATTCGAACGTGGGCATGCCATCGATGTTGATAACCAACTGGCGCGGTGTCGCGGTCTTGTCATCGGAAAACAATGACGCGGGCTTCTTGCCATATTTGTTCATTAAAGAGATGATTCTCTCCTCATCATCGGAGTCGGTGAAATCGCGGAATGATGGTCCCTCTCCATCGGAGGCGAGACGCTGGTGAATGATGAGGCGTGCTTCGCTCGGAGTGAGAGTCGTCGTGGGCTCGATATGGTGGGATCCTCGTAGGATATAAACTTTGGCGAGGTCGGAAGCAGAAGCAAAGCCTGCAAGGGCTGCGCTGAGCCCAATGGTGAGCTTCATTTTGATGTGGATTGATGAAGCTTGTTGTCTGGGTCCAGCTGAGATAGCTTGGAGTCGCAAGCTTGGTAGGCAACGCGAATCGGGGATGATGCACGTGTCGGGTTTGCGGCCTGGAGTTGTTCCGTCATACAGTGCATAGAGTGCTGTTGTCTCAGCCAAGAATTTCAACTATCAAGTTCCAAGCATCAATTACTGAAACAATACAGGCGTTAGAGCCAAATTTGATTTCTCACAGTCATTAGTATGTATTTTAATTATAATAAATATTTCAAGGTTAAGCTTTGCGCTCAAACCTCTGTTTCTCATTCTCTTCGTACCTAGGGGCAGGTGCAGCAGAGCACAGTGCTTCCATGACGCACACTGTCGGTAGCAGATAGTGGGCTCCTAACCGCGGGACAGTCATGGCTTCTAACTCTGCCGTTGTGATCACTTCTTTCACTATCGTCATGATGCGTATCATTCGTTGACTTCATTACTTATAGCGATAAGCTTCGCATTCTTCTTCTTTACAATAAGGCACTCCCCTTTCTTTGATCGCCTTCGGGCAAAGGCAAAGGCGATATGTTGGCTCGCCAAGCTGTTCTGCGACGAGTAACTCTCGCCCAGCCAACTCAACGAATCCTCCTCGCAAACCAAATTCGACCTCTAAACCGAACGATATCTTTTCTACCATGGCGTAAAAAGAAACCCGAGCCTCAAACTATACCGGTATACTTTGCGAACCCCAATACTCCCAACCATGGCGAATTCAGTCATATGAGTCCGGCGGAGGAGAAGAAACTTTGGAGGAAACTAAAATGGAGTATTCGCCATACTCGCTTCCGGTATGTTGCTTGAAACTCACGTAGCGCAACTGATAACGCTGGTGCTAACACTTTGTTAAGTCGTTTCGCGTCTACTGTTATCATACTGTACATGTGCTGGCAAATCTTCTGCATTATTGTATTCGATCCCCTATTCGATTGGGCTGATGCCGAATGGGAGGCTTTGTCTGATAAGGAAAAGGAGGAAGCCGAGGCTAACCACGATCCCGATGAGCCGTTGGTGTTCCTTCCCTTTCCCTTCACGACGGAGGAAGTTAAACAACCACCCTATCGTGGTTCAGACCCAGAATGGCAAACATTTGTAAAGGTCAGCCAGGACAAGAAACTCTTACAAGAGATTAAGAATGGTCTGGCAAATGAGATCAAGCGTGGTGTTGAGAGAAACCCGGCCTTTAACAAACTCCTTGGAGGGGAAGTGGCTGTAAGGAAATTTTGGCTTGACATCATATTCCCACCCGCCCCTCCACCGATACACTACGTCTCTGGAATTTTGATTGACGAAGAGGGCATCTTTTGGGGTGACCGACCCATTGATTCGACCGCCGCCAGCACCCTCGCTAAAGCTCTCTACCCCAAGGCTCTTGCAATGGGTTGCTGGACTTTTGTGAGCTTTCTGGCAAAACAGATCGCGCAGGATGTTGGAAAAGGTATTGGTTTAATCGAACAAGATCCTCCTGAATCTGCGTGGCAACATGTGCCAGTCGGTAGCCTGCCTGGCACTATGCCACAGCAAACCCCTAGAGTGGTGGTCAAGCACGATCCCAAAGCGCATACATCAACACTCCCACCCGCTTTCAATGAAATCTTGGGTGCTGCATTTGGACCTGATGCGAAACTAGACCCACGTCTCCAAGCTGCCAGCATAGCTGGCGCGTTCGCCTTTTTGCGATATTGGAAACCTACAAGGACTGTGCCCTCGAGAGGGTGCATCAAGGTCGACGGTATTGTCGAGCTGAAGGGAAAGACAGCTGTCATGGCCGTTTTAGTTGCAGGCTACTACGATCCGAAAACACGCCAGTATGTTGCTGTGCAAACTCGACTCAAACATTTAATGCAGTTGAGACAGCGACCAGCGCCTGGTTAAACTAGATCTCCACTACATAATTTTACATGAAAAACAGCGAAGAATTGAGCATGGCTATGGGCGGCGCCTGGAGGGACTTGATTAAAGATACCATAGGAGTCTGGAATATCAATGTCTGATATTGGATTGATTCAACTAGATCGTGCAACAAGTGCCGTATCGAAAACATTTATATGCGCCCTATAACCCTGTATCCTTGGGTTTCTTCCGCGAATGAAGTAAAATATGCATCCATATACCCGCAACACCAATGCCAATCCATTCCGTACCCTACTCATAAAAACTACTACCGAAGGCCTGCCCCATATGCATTCAACATCCAAGCTGGACTCGAAGGAACAGGACGAGGGGGTGGGGGTGGTGCCATGGCCACACCTGTACCTGTAATCAACAACATTCTATCATACCCCGGCAAACGCATGTGAGACACCTAGTTCCGCAGCACGTTGGCGGTGATGGTGAACACTTCAAGCTCAACCTCTGGACCTCCTGGGACCCGCTCCTCCCGAGGAATAGCGGCAATGAGATGTGTCTCAATGGTATTGATTCCCTGATGCAGCATGGCCTCAAATGCGCGCTCGTGGGGCTGCTGGCCAGGAGCTTGATGGTGGATGGGCTTGAGAGGTTGCTTGTTCACTAATGTCCACAAGCTGTACTGTCTGTTTTGCAAGTGGTTGGGTATCGCGGTAACGACAAGGATTCGTGTGAGATGGGACGCTAGGTTGACAGTAGCAAACTGTTCCATCTCCTTGGGGTTTGGCTTGACCGTCGCTAGTATAGGGCTGTGGGACTGAAGGGTTGGGTGAACTTGCATCTTGACGGTTTCGATGAGAGCATCATCAACACCTGAATTCGTTAGCGAAGGCCACATAGAAGTAGGCAGCGACAACTTACCTTTACCGGGTCGACGAGGGTGTTTCTGGTCCATATAACCGTTAACCAAGGGATTGGTTATTGGCTGAGGTGGCGCGATAGGAATGGGAGCAAAAACGGGACCGGTTGCGGCTGTAGGAACCATAGTTGTAGCCTGGCCTGCTTGTTGAGGGTTCTGTGGTTGTGGCACGACGGCCGGCGATGCGACAGGGGCGGATTCTTCTTTCGTGGCTGCTTGTGTAGATGGGCTTGGAGATGGAGCAGCAGAGAGGACAGAAGCACTTCTGGCCTTTTCCAGCTGGGGGTTGACAGCCAGAGCCGGTGTAGAAGTGCGCGTTGTACCGTTTACGTTGAGACCGTTTGCCATGTCTTTTTGCTGAGCAGGCGCTGGCGAATCTGCAGAATCCCGCTGGCCTCCAACATGGATGGTAATTTTCTTGGGGCCCGGTGTCGGGGTATCACTGGTTCCGCCTACCTTGAGTTTAATCTTTGGTTGCGCGGGTTCAGGGACGTCAGCCCGTGCTTGTTTGAATTGTTCGTAAAAGAACTCCTGTTAAACGAGTTAGCGATGTCACTGCGCATGACTTCAATTACAAACCTCAAGTTCTTGTGCGACAGTGTAGATTTCGCTACCCTCCTCGTTGAAAAAGTAGGCATTGGTCCAAAGCAGTTTTGCTCTCTCCTCAAAAGCAGCCCAGGACTTGAAATCGCTGATACCTGTGCTACCACCTCGACCATGCATGCCCCTTGTTGCCCGCTGCAACTTTCTGAGTGACATGGGGTCGCTGATGACTTTATAGTATTCCTTCAGGGTGCGAGGCGGTAGATTAACAAAAGCTTCGAAGTAAGGACCATCATATCTGAAATAAGTTAGCAATCGTCCAGACAACTCTCGACCGGGTACGTACCCTGGGTCTTCACGACGTATAAGCTCTTCAACGAGCTTCTCCTGTGCTTGCTGGAAAGACAAGCCCTTGTAGGGCACATTTTCGTACTGGTGGTCGGGCTTTGCCGCGGGCGCTGCTGGCTTTGGCGTCTCTTTACCTCTTGTTGAGGCTCTTCTGGCTGGCGTACGGTCGGGGCCCTTTCGCTTGAGGGTGATGGTGGTTCGTCTGCGAGATGGCCGCTCTTCTTCCTCTTCTTCTTCCTCATCGTCTTCGTCGTCTTCTTTTTCTTCGTCATCTTCAGGCTCGTCTTCATTGTCTTCATCCTCATCGTCCTCCTCGGCCTCGCCATCATCCTCACCACCTTCCTCACCATCTTCATCAGGGAACGGAGTCGGCAAGGCCTGGTAACCACGAACTTCATATGCTGGGTTCGTTTTGGTCATGTAATTGCTGACGGCCTTTCTGATTCGTTCCGCATCTTCGAATTCTGGAGTGTTTCGAGAATAGAATTCCTTCGCGTTGCTGATCATACGTTTGAAGTAACCCTCTAGCTCGGAGAGATCTTTGAATTCGCCGTTGTTTAGTTTGGTCTCGATCATCGATAACGAGATGGGCATGCGCGTCTTTTCGTAATATTCATCGTTTTCATCGCGGGGAGGTAGCTCTTCGAAGTTGGTTGCGACTAGACGGCCACTGTTGATTAGGTTAGTACAGCTAAACAAGGCTGTCCGATGTGCTCAAATACCTTTTGTCGGCAGTTTTCCGAAGGTGTTCCAGAAAAGACAACCCAAAAGCTGTTGTAGACTCTGCGGTCTCGCCTTTGGAAAGATCAAAATCGTTCTAGCTAGTGTTAGTCTCTGTAATATGAACATTGCATCGTTGCGCATCAAGTCGTTTTTGAATTGAGTTCTGCGACGCATGCGCGCATACGATGCTTTGCGAAAGGATACCCGAACTTACAGTAAGTCTACGACGCTTAGAGCTTCTGTCATCGTTCTCAGCCGAGGAGGCCCCATTGGCCTTGCGTTTGCTTTCCATGATGATTATAATCGATAGGGTCGCCTAAACTCGCGCATAAAATCGCCATACACGGTACGTGCTCCAAGAAATTCGTCGAGGCACAATTGAAGATCGCAAACTGCAGGCTCGAGGTCGTTGCGACGGCGCTGGTGTGGATTTTGACGCGTGCTGGCTAGTCCAATAATCGCGTCAAGCAGGGTAGTTCCTTAGAACAGGGCAGTTGACAAGGCCCAGAATTAAATAATGCACGGTTGGTAAATATATCCCAGAGACCTTGCGATATAACGCACTGCTCTAGATTATCGGGGGTCTTTGCAGCGCTTGTAAAAAGCTCCGATGCTGTCGTTTTTGAAGGTGGTGGTAGATGCTGCGGGTCTTGCCAGTATTGCCAGCTGAGGTTTCGAGGTACATGTTGGAGGTACCCGCACTCTGAACCATGTGCGTGCCTGATAGGTCAGTAAGGCAACAAGGCAGAAATATCATTTATGAGAAAACGCGAGCCAAAGCTCACGAATTGCTGAATTATTCCTCACAATAATAAATGATAGTTGAATTGTTGTGGCAGTTATTAAATATGCAAGCTTTGCCATTGTCTTTATGTTAATTGGGTTTCATGCACTCAACCGTCAGAACAACATCCATGACATCGTCTGCAAGTGATCGCCTGCGCTATGGTCGTTTGCAAGACTGCCTATATCATGATACAGTTCAAACGAAAACAGATTAATGATGGTTCAATAATAGTAATGAATATCCACATGGCATACATATTGGAACACAATCCGTCGTTTTATGTGGTACCATATGTTGTAGGATAAACCAGAAACGCTTATCCAGTCAACCGGCCGTTGCAATGCACGCCGAAAACTTATGGCCATCATGAATACCAGGTTGTTACGAGGGGCACAGAGCTAAGAGCTGGACCCAAATGGCGGTCGTGGGGCAGCTGCTAAGCTCATCAAGCTCCTATTCTTCAACCCCACATTGACCTCATTGTTTAGATAGGAAGCTCAATGACTGCTGCAACTTTCACTTCATCACCATAAAGATTCACAGTAACCTGACCAAAAAGATGGCTGATACACCGAGTGACCCGCCCCCGGACTACGAAAAGTCTACCGCCAGTCAAGGCAATGCCCCAAGACCAGTACGCAAAGGGCCTTTACCGCTAGATCTCCCTATCCTTCAGCACCTCAACTCAAAGCGAGTAATTCTTGCATCTGCATCTCCTCGCAGGAAGGCATTGCTACAGCAGGTTCGTACAATCATTTCACCGGTCTCATTATATGTTCTCACATCGTTTAGTTTGGCCTCACAAACCTTGAGATCCTACCATCTACCAAGCCTGAGAATCTTGACAAAGTCGCGTTGGGTCCATTCGAATATGTAGCTGCGACAGCTCATCAGAAGTGCATGGATGTCTACACCACTGCTTTGGAAGTGCACCTAAAGTCTATCCCTGACCCTGATCTCGTTATCGCTGCGGATACAGTTATCGTTACCAAAGATGGTCGCATTCTTGAGAAGCCTCGAAGTGAAGCCGATCATATTCGCATGTTGAAGCACCTTCGTGACCAGCGAATGCACAAGGTACTGACAGCGGTCACGGTCCTTGCTCCCCGGGAGGACGCGAGGGCCCCTGGTTATGAGATCGATAGCTACACAGAAGAGACCAAAGTGTACTTCCTGAGTGAGAGTGAGGGTCTTCCTGATGATGTGATTGAGGCCTACGTCAAGACTCGTGAAGGCGCGGATAAGGCGGGTGGTTATGCTGTCCAAGGTATTGGCGGTATGCTGCTTGTTGAGAAGATTGAAGGAAGTGTAGACAACGTTGTGGGGCTCCCCGTCAGACAATGTCTAGCTATGGCCGAGAAAGTCATATTTAAACAGCAACAGGACGACTATGATGAGGAGGAAGAAAGTGAATAAGTAAGAATATAAATTCGGTGATGGGAAGTTCTAGATGCGAAAATTCCATGCAATTCGAGCTCGCAGGCAATGCCACTACCCATTGATTAATTACGACATGGCTGCGATTCTTGTTCACATGTAACAATGGCTTAGAGATACGAAGATACAGCAAAAGTTCAATCATATACCGAAAGATGCACGACGCTACAGTATCCATTGTAAACTTGTTCTCACGGGACACAGATATATATTATATAAGGTACTTATATTTGGCACGGTACTGGGCTGTTAGGGAGGATTTAGACTCATGTCAGAGCCATTGAAACAGCACATAGAGTGGAGGTAGGTTGTTGTCAGTATCCAATAGATATTGGAGAATGTTGCCGTCCATATACAATTAAATATAGGGAACAACTTCTATTTGAATTATAGAATAAAAGATGAATTCACCTTGAGTACAGCGTTGCAGCTGTTAACAGATGTCCATCGTCATTAGTTCAGTGGCTGATGTGACTTGTACACCTGACCTGTTGAGATTCGACTTCGCTGGAAGAGGTCGCTATTCATTCCAGCATTGAAGAAGGATTGGCCTTGGGCTTGAAGTTAAAAGAGGAAGGCAAATATGCCAGAGCCCGAGATGCATCTCTTCTTCCAGCTCTGTGAGTTGTTCCTTCCTCAGTGCGGCTTGAGCAGTACCTGAAGTTGACTAGTAAAAGGCGCCTTCTATTTCTGGCAGTTCTGATCTGCGAGTGAGGCAGGTACCTGCGATAAACATTGGTCCCTGTCTTCTTGCTGATGCGGGATGATGCCATTTTTGAGTTAGTTGCCCAGGTCAGGGTCCCTCCTTCCTTTAGTCTGTCGTGCCTTTCACATGATAAAGTCGGGGACTACTTTACCCTTGCATACCTACCTATTGTTTGGAATCTACATCAACATCAACACAAACACAGTCATCACTTCTTTACTCTATACAGAACACTATTCTTCCGACATCCATAAACTCGCAGACATGTCTTCTCCCAATAACAACAAGTCACCGTCAGCTGGCAACCTCGACGGCGCTGGAGACGAGAGACCCCGGCTCACTGAAGAGGAAAAGAAGCAGAATCACATCGCATCTGGTATGTTGTTTCTTACACGCACACCCTATCTATTGCATGACTCTTTCGTTTTGCATGTCTCCCTCTAAGGCCCCTGGCTTATTATTATCATTATTATGGAAAAGAACAAAAGCGCCGTCAAGCGATTCGCGAAGGCTTTGATCGCTTGACAGAGCTCGTGCCCGGCTTGGAAGGACAGGGGAGATCAGAGGGCCTTGTGCTCAAGCGCACAGTGGACTACATGCATGAGCAGATTGCAGAGCGGCAAAGGCTGATTGCCCGTATAGAAGCCGCCGGTGGCCAGGTTGATGAGCAACATACACGGTAGGTGATTGTGTGATCAGGTTTAGTTCGACTGGTCCAGCCCGCTGACAATGTATATAGGGATTTGTATCAGCAGCTTCAGCGACTATCGACTTTGCAGAACCAGCAAAACCAGCAAGCCCAATAGAGTTGGCAAAACCTGCAAAACATGCGGCAAAATATGCCGCAAACCCAGCTGCAAAACCAACAAAACCAACAGAATGGGCAAAATCGGCAAAACATGATGCAGAACCTGCTAAAGAAGTTGCTAAATGACCTGCAAAACCTAGAGCGAGCCCGCCAAAAGCAATAGGATTGGCATGGACAGCGAGACCAGCCAAATCAGCAGCAAACCCACCAAAACCAGAAGAATTGGCGAACCCAGGTAGAACAGCGATACCTAAACAGTGCACAAGCCCGACTAGACGAATACATACTCAGCCGATCAAGCCTGAAAAATCAGTACAACACCGACAATTCCTAGAAAATCAAGGGTCAGGGAATTAATCTGTTAGCTTGAGTTCTTGACGCATGGTGAGCTTTGCTTCGGATCGTGCTTGAACTTGGAGTCGACCGTGTTTCAAACTACATTAATACAGCATTTCAATCAGCGTTCTGAAGTTGCGTTCCACTTACAGTATAGCGGAAGGGAAACATTGGTGAGGGTAATGACCATGCCTTAATAAATAACTTTTACACTTGTTACTACATTATAAAGATACGTGATAGATGTTAGGCGAATGTTTCTACCATGGTTCTTAGCCGGTCTCGCAAATCTTCCGGCGATAATCTCTCTTTGCCTAGCGCAACCTGCTGGTTCTTCACGTCGTCTTCTCCGACAACTAGAATCTGGCTATAACCGTTACCTCGAGCCTCCTTGATCTTAGCCCCCAGAGGTCGAGCAGTTGTATCCACGTCCACTGCCAACCCAGTCGGTCGAAAAGCATGCTCCGGGCCAGGCAACACACCATTCTCTAGCTGTTCATAGAGCTGCTTGTTTTTTCCAAGGAGAACATCACGTACATTTTCGGCCCAATCCACGACAGGGGCGGAGGTGTTGACTGTGAGGATAATGGCCTGACGAGGATTTAACCAGAAAGGCCACTTTCCATCATATTTCTCGATCAAGAGTGCCATGAGGCGTTCTACAGAGCCTAGGACAGCGCGGTGGACCATAACAGGTCGGACGGGTCCGTACTCAGCGAGAAGGGTAGGATCCTCGGTTGTCTCGCCTCTGGCCTCATACTCCGGAGCAGGTGCTTGATATTCGAGTTCGAATCGCTTGGGAAGCTGGAAATCAAGCTGGATAGTAGCTGTCTGGTGTTCCTTTCCATCGGAGTCCGTGAGAACAATATCAATCTTTGGGCCATAGAAAGCGCCGTCTCCTTCCTTGACACCCCATTCCATGCCTGATGCGTCCAGTGCTCGCTTTAAAGCATTCTCGGCCTGATCCCACTCTTCCTCGGTGCCGATGTAGTGGTCTTTGGGCCGAGTGGAAAGCGCCAGACGGTAGCTCGCGCCGAAGCGAAGAACTGTGTAAACGACCTTGACAAAATCCAGTGTCTTCTTGATTTCTTCTTCCACCTGGATAGGACGGCAAAAGATATGTCCATCATCCTGGTGGAAACGTCGGACACGAGTAAGTCCACTCAATGAGCCTGATACTTCGTTACGGTGTAACGGGCTGAAGTCGGCATACCGCACGGGAAGATCCCGATAACTATGTCGTTTTGAAGCGAATATGAGGCAATGTCCGGGACAATTCATAGGTTTCAAGCCATAGTCTCCCTCCTCTTCCTCTTCTGGCTTCAGGTTTTCTTGGTGACTCCCACAGCATCCATCATGCTGCGGCGGTGGTGGTTCTGTGTTCCCTCTCACAGCGTACATATCGTCCGCATAGTTTTCCAAGTGGCCTGACTTGGCCCATAGTGATTTTTTGTAAATGGTTGGCGTGATGACCTCCTCGAAACCATATCTCACGTATTGCTTTCGCAGAAAGTCGACAAGCCTGTTGAAGATTCGTGCACCATTCGGCAGGAATATGGGAGAGCCAGGGCTGTAGATCGAGTTGATGAAGAGTTCTTGTTGGGCGCCGAGTTTGCGATGATCGGGCGGTTCTCGCTTTTCGATCTTTTGAGAGTAGAATCGACTACGCGAAAGGCATTGCGGACATGTCCATGGTCTTCTAAGGGTAGTATTAAGGGCCAACCTGGCGGTTCTTGAGCGTATCATGGCTCCTTCGAGACGCAATGGCGCCAGACAATGATTGACGTTCAATATTTGTTGCGGAAATATGACGATCTAAAATTCGAACCCACCTGAGATCGTCTGAAAGACGCATGGCAGCTCGTTACTGCTTAAAGCTTAGCGGACAGCCCGGGCCGCTATTCTTAGCGGTCAGTTATCGCCTATCGGCAGCCCAGGCAGAAGGCTGGGTTTCCAATGGACGTAGTGGTTGACCGCTGAAGTCGGGTCGCGTCCGAGTGTTTGTTTTGCAGACAGAGTATAATCATCATATACCGAAATAGTCTCCATCGATAGCCCTACTCGCTTATAATCTGGATCTATTAAATCTCATGCTCTTTGTATGTTTCCCTGTTATGCAGCACTCATTGACATCTAATGTGGCATGAGCCTTTCTTTGTGCGACTTTGACCCCTCCTTCCTTACGCTAACAGCCTAAGTGAACCCCGCCATTAAACAAACAGAGCAACTGGGTTGAGCATCCATCCATCGGATCTTGGCTAGGCCAAAATTCACGAATCATCTTCATACCGTAACTTAGATTTCGCTCTCCGCAAACGAAAACACCATACTATTCGAGTAGCCATTTATCCTCCAAACCTCGTGCGTTTGGCTCCTTCGACCGTTCTCGCGGCTCTTGCGGACATAAGCCGCCGCTAGCTCACATCATGAGCTTCGCCATCGAAGTCCCGGGTGATGCGAATCCGCTATCCTTGCAATCACTTTACCAGACGCTACAGTCTGCCACTTCACACGAATATGCGCAGCGTCAAGCGGCAGGCAACCAACTAACATCATGGGAGCTTCAGCCTGGCTACTACTCTTCCTTGCAGGTCGGTCTATCAGCAATTCCCAGGCTTTATACACGAATGCTGACCAACAATTAGGCCATTTATCTTGACAAGTCATTGGCGTACGAAGTCCGATTCCTTGCAATTATCCAACTTAAGAATGGCATCGATCGATATTGGCGGCTATACAACCAGGTCAAAAACAGCATCAAGTCGGAAGAGAAAAGCTTGATACGTTCGCGGTTGTTCCAAGGGTCCATCGAAGAGGAGCACTCAAATCTTGCTCTACACAATGCCTTGGTGGTAGCCAAAATCGTGAGGATCGATTATCCTGGGGAGTGGCCGGATGCTATGGGAAATATTATCGAACTCCTACGTTCGACACGAAACGGCGATCAAAGGCACCTACATGGTATCCTCGAGATTCTACTTCGCGTAGTCAAGGAACTGGGCACCGCACGAATGAGGAGGAACCAAACCGCTCTACAGTCTGTGACCCCAGAAATCGTTCACGTTCTGTCAGAGGTCTACTCAGAAAAGTCGCAGGCATGGATGGGCTTTCTTACTGGTGGCCCAGGAAACCAAGAAGAAGTTAACTTGGCCATGTTCAACAGCCTGCTTTCTCTTAGAGTACTGCGCCGACTTGTCATTATGGGCTACGAACAGCCCCATAGCGATAGCACAGTTGAGCAGTTCTGGACCTTGTCGCAAAACCAGTTCGGGCAGCTTCTCGGCTTCGTCAGCCATGACTCTACGGTTCCCACGAATTACCAAGATATTGTGGGCAAGCATTTGCTCCAATTTACCAAGCTACACATCGACATGGCTGAGCAGCATGCCGCCAGTTTTGTGTTCCTTCCCAACTCCATTCCCTTGGTACAGTCATACTGGGAACTGGTCGCCAAATTTGCGGAGGTTTTTGACAAGTCGGGTGGTATCCGACAAGGCCCTTCAGAGACTGGGTCTGCAAAGTCCAAGGTCGAAGGCCCCGTGCTAGAAAGGTTGGCTCTCAAAGGACTTCTGCTCCTTAGATCATGCGTTCGAATAGCCTTCCAATCAGTCCAAACATTTAGATGGAGAAGTCAGGAAACTAAGGCCGACCAAGAAAGGGCGAAGAATCTTGTCAAATCCGAACTTCTAAAGCCCGATCTTGTTATCCAAATCGTTAACTCCATCATTACCCATCTTTTTGTCTTCCGCAAGTCGGATCTTGAAGGCTGGGAGGAGGATCCAGAAGAGTGGGAACAGCAGGAACAGAGCGAAGGCAATGCTTATGAATGGGAAGTACGGCCATGCGCTGAAAAGCTGTTCCTCGATCTTCTCACAAACTACAAGGACTTACTAGTCCCACCACTGCTGTCATACTTCCAAACAGCGCAAGACCCCCAGGCTGACATCGCCACCAAAGAAGCTGTATATACTGCAATGGGCCTTGCGGCTGCTCACGTCCATCATGTCTTTGACTTTGATGCTGTTCTGGCTTCCACAATTGTCAATGATGCTCGTCTACAGGGCGGCCTCTGCAAGGTGTTGCGCAGGCGAATCGCCATTCTTGTGAGTCAATGGGCGCCTGTCAAACTAGATGACTCTAGTCGGCCGATAGTCTACCAAATTTACCGTCATTTCCTCAACCCTGATGACGAGACCAATGATGTAGTGGTCAGAATCACTGCGGCTCGTCAATTGCGCTGGATCGCCGATGAGCTTGACTTCAATGTCGATGCCTTCTTGCCTTATACATCCGATGTTCTGTCCCAGCTCATCGACCTTGTTCAAAATGTCGAAGTTGACGAAACCAAGCTGGCGATCTTGGAGTCTATTCGAATTCTGGTCCAACGTATGGAAGATCAAGTGTCACAGTTTGGAGACCAACTCATGTCTGCTCTTCCGAGAGTCTGGGAGAATTCAGGCGCTGAAGAATACATGATTAAGCAGGCAGTCACCTCAATCTTCGCGGCTCTCGTTATGAGCATGGGCCCTGACTCTCAGAGGTATCAACATTTTATGTTACCGCTGCTCTCTGAGGCAGCTCGCCGGGGGTCGGACCTGCATCTCCATCTCATCGATGAATCTTTGGAACTATGGAACAACATTCTTATGCAGAGTCACGCTCCGCTGGCTCCTGAATTGGTCAACCTCGCTGAGCTTGCGCTTCCCCTCCTGGAGTATGATAGTGAAACGGCTTCTTTGGCTTTGCAAGCTGTCGAGTCTTATATCCTCCTCGCTCCCGCATCTGTCCTGGAGGATAGGCTGCGTCGCCCAACCTTGAACGCTCTGGCTAATATCCTAGATTCTAAGAGTAGGGAGCAAGTGCGTCTTGGTACGAGCTGCATCGAGAACCTCATTCGCGCTGCAGTCGAACTTGGTGGCTCTACTGGTGTATCGGTCATTCTCCAGGACATGGTCGAAATCGGTTTCATGAACAAAATACTTGGGAACCTTCGCGACGCTTGGGAATCGCATCAGACTACTGGCCCTAATAGGAAGGTCAGCAAGCTGAGCACAATCACCGAGACAGACTACTTCGCAATCTTGGCACGCCTTGCACTTTCGGAGCCTACTCTCTTTACCCAGATGCTGACCAATATGGGTTCTCTGGATCAAGTCTGGTCATGGCTATCAGAGGAGTGGTTTACGCATATGTCTGGCATAGATCATATCGAGCGACAGAAGCTTTACCTTTTGGGTTTGACAAGACTTCTAGAACTGCCTTCGCCTGTGCAAGAACTGGTGCTGAGCAAGCTTCAACAATACTTCGACATGTGGATCAATGTGATTTCCGAGCTGCAGGACGGCGTTGTCAACGGCACTGATACCCTTATCTGGGGTCCGCTGGAGCCAACCGAATATGATACCCCTAAGACGATCGCTGAGTCCAATATGTCCGCCAAGGACCCCATACACACTGTCCACGCTTTCGACTTTGTCAAGTTACGTCTTCAGGATCTGGTGAACAGAGTTGGAGGAGAACAAGCTTTCCAGGAGCAGTGGGCGGCCAATGTTGACAAAGATATTCTGGACAAATTCCAACAGATGGCGTCTGGAGTTCAGCAGCAACAAGAGTAGAAAATGAGCTTGACTCTACGACGCCTGGTTGGAATGGCCTTGTAAGAATGGAAGCGATAATCCGCAATAGCTTTATAGCAGAGTTAGATAGATCATTGATACCGAATTGGAATTAGACAACTGGAGGTTTTCTTCGGAAATTGACTTCGTTTGCTCAGAAACTGGCCAAGTGATATAGTGATATCTAGAAACTATTCGTGCATGTCTCTCCAGAAATGCCCCCTCCATCTATAGCTTGCTCTGTCCCTCCTCGGGTATCTTGATAACAACCTTTCCCCAGGTACCCCTACCACCAAGGGCCTTTAACGCAGCTCCAGTTCTCTCCAGACCAACAAACTCCTCGTCCGTGTACTCTGTACCCTTGAGCTTTCCCTCTTTCACAAGCCCCATGATGCCTTCCCAGACCTTGGGAATCATCTCCTTCTCATGGATGGAATAAGCGCCCCAGTGCAGTCCCACAATAGAGATGTTCTTCAGAAGAACCTTGTTCATCGCCACCTTTTCGATCTTGCCAGCAGCGAAGCCGATGACGAGAATGCGTCCGTTCCATGCTGTGCACTTGGTCGAGAGGTCGACTAGACCGACAGGATCGTACACGATGTCGACGCCACGGGAGTTTGGTGTCAATTTCTTGACCTGCGTGGGCCATGAAGCGTCGTTGTAAGAAATCACATGGTCGGCGCCATAGGACTTGGCAACGTCGAGCTTGTGCTGTGTCGAAGCTGTCGCAATGACAGTTGCGCCAAAGGCCTTGGCCACTGTTACGTATTAGCTTAAGTATACCCAATGTTGCGAACACTCATACCTTGAACAGCAGCGAGACCAACACCACCAGCCGCAGCATGGATAAGGACGTAATCGCCCTTCTTAATGTTCGCTCTCACAACTAGAGCACCATAACTTGTCGGCGCAGTGACAAACAGACCAGCAGCCTCCTTGAAAGACCAGCCATCGGGTACAGGCAGGAGAGTGTTCTCGGCAGCACAGATCTTGGTCGCAAAAGCACCCTGCGATGCGCCAAAGACACGCGATCCTACAGGAAACTTGGGGTTAGAGCCATTGCTAGGTGTGGCGACGACTGTGCCAGCGAATTCGGCGCCAGCAACCCAGGGAAATGCTGTATGGAATTAGTATCTGATAAGCTTATTTGTGCTGAATGACGTACGAGGTTGGTTCTGGTATTTTCCTTGGATCTGTAGAATGTCGAAAAAGTTGGCTGCTGCGGCGTGTACTTGAATGAGATACTGATCCGCTGAGGGTTTGGGATCGGGAAGGTCAGTGACCTGAAGTTGATCAGGGCCCTTATCAAATGTTAGTTAATGGTCAATTGGACGCTAGATAACAAGTTTACCTTGAGATATTCAGTGATTTGGATTCCGCGCATGATGAAGGTATTGAATATATGGTGATGCAATGAAATTCAGTCGCTAAAGTGATTGGGCAGCTCCAGGTACTAAAAGTGTTGTGATGAAAAATTACAGATGATGAAAAGAGGTTATAGGGAGGTTACAAAGACAAGATTTATTTAATAGCTGGCGTCGGGTACCTTGTTGCGGCAGCATGTTCCAGAGTCTGGGGTTACGCGGGGAAGACATCCATGAGCCGAGGCATCTTCCCCTGCGATCGGCCCCATCGTCACACCCCAGCTTCACTCAACTTTAGCACTACTTTCACTCAATACAATTATACCTTTATTGGTATTGAACACGCTGAAAATGATATTCTGTTTTGTCCTAACAACATAACCGAACCATGCTTCCGTAGGATATATCTATCCTAGTGCCAAACTGTATTAATCAAGTTGCTTGACTTATTCTCGTCACTCGTAATGCCACGCCTCGCTGAGTAGAGTGAATAAATCGTCTACTTAGAAGACCCAGAGTTAATTACCTGCAGTCTGTACTTCGACTATCCAGACAGAAGATGCTCGATAGCACCCTGGACGCTTCCACCACTTCGTCTCAAGGCGGCAACGTTTCGATCAAAGTCGAAAAATCCCATGTCGTTCAGTTGACGCAGTTGCTCAGCGTATCGCTCCTCCGGGGGTCTGTTATCAGCAGGCGCCGGGGGGCTCGCGCCCATTCCACCGCTACCAAACATTTGCATCATCTGCTGCATCATCTCCGGGTTCATACCGAAGGGGTTGTTGGCCTGGGCGCCTCCAGCGCCCCCCGCACCCGCACCGGGGAAGAGCGCTGCAAATGGGTTCGGGGGAGCCTGGCCAGTGGTCGAGCTCTGCTGTTCACCACCTTGGGCGGGTGTTGTTCCAGAAGTTTGCGCACCAGCCGCATTGTCAGTAGCGCCTTGGCTAGGAGTGTTGCCTGATCCTGTCTGTCCTTGCGGTTGAGCAGGGCTTCCATACATTTGGTTCAGAGCTTGAAGCTGCTGCATCATCTGTGAAAGATCAGGGGGGTTGCCTCCGCCTTGACCTCCCATCAAGCCTCCAAGTCCAAACAATGGGTTTTGTTGGCCAGAAGGTGTTTGGCCAGCATTGCCCTGGGCATCGCCGCTCGCTGCTCCTTGAGGTGTCGTGTCGGTAGCGCCAGGGGCAGGAAATCCACCAGCTCCTCCGCCCTGCATGTTTCGTTGCATGCGCATGGCTTGTGACATCATTTGAGGATCGGTCATCATCTGTCTCATCATTGGGGAGCTGATGATCTCGCGAGCGTTGGGTACATTTCGCAGCATAGGGTTCGATTCGATAAGCATGTTGATGAAATCAGGGTTGCTGAGGGCTTCGTTCATAGAGGATTGAACATTGGGATCGGACATGAGTCGCTGAATGCGTGCCTCATCCATAGGAGCACCCATCTGAAGGTATCTGTCAGCAAGTAGCCTCAGCATGGAAGGGGAAACACACGTACACCACCATCGGGTCCGAACATATCAAGTCCCGGAAGACCGTTTCCAAAACCGGCGTATCGTGCGCCTGTGAGACCAGCAAATGGCTGGTTCGCGGTACCTGCAGCCATGTTGGCCGGGGCAGGAGTAGCTGTGGAGGCACTGGCGGTGGGAGTTTGGTTAGGTTGTTGATTGCTGGCAGCGCTCTTGACCATGTGAATTGTGTTGTTAGTCTTAATCTTATATGTACTCAAGGCATCGTCGTTCTTCATGACCCGTCCGGAGTAAATAAGACGTTGGCGCTCAGGGGGGAGGTTCTCCATGTCCTCGGCGGCGAGCTTAGTTTTGAGATCGAGGACAGTCGCGGTGTCGCTCATGGTGATGGTGTGGGAGCCCTCGCCAGACTTCACCTTGAAGGTGATCTGGGTTTCGGTGCTCGATTCAGGATTGTCGGCCATGGTAGCGGTTGTGTTGTGCAAGACTGAAGATATGGCGTGTCGCGGCGCAACGAGACGAGACGAGGGGATTGAGAAGTGATAGCGGGGGGTTAGGCGGATGGAGCAAGAGCGGGGAGAGCTCTTGGATGATAGAGGACTAGACTATCGCAAGTGTTATGCTCAGCGTTATTCTGATAGCGGATATCGAAAAGATTATTAAGTTGTTAAGAAAGATGATCTTAACAAGTTTTCAGGAGGCGAAGTTGGAAGCAGGTGAACCCAAAGAAGCCCAGAGAAGAGAGGCAGGTCTAGTGTAGGATGGAACGCGGCGCAGGGAACCTAGGGAAGCCCGGCTCGGGTTGTACTGCGGTTGCCCAGCCCGTCAGGGTGTCAGAATGATTGGTCGTTGAGAGCCTAAGAGACAGAATTATGTGGTTATTTTAGGCGGATACAGGTGTGCACCTAGACTGAGTTATTTTGGCGTCTTAAGTGTTAATTATGTTACCCACCTGCCTGCTCCAGCTGTCATTAGTGACGTGGGGCAACTTTTTGGCTGAGGGTCTAGAGGGTGTCAGTACCAGGGTGCAATGACGCGCAGTGGAGAAGGGAATGTCAAGTCGATCAAGCAAGAATTGGAGAAGATCGAAAAGAGAAAGTGTTTTGTTGATGGAAATATTTTTGCTTTTTATGAATACCTATTAGTGACAGATCTTTCTCGGTATTGGAGTTGTTCCTCTTATTAGGTACCTATGAAAGGACATCTATCTCTCGTCTATTGACTTCATGACCAACGTCTATCTGGTTCCATCACCATCCACCATCTTCTGTAGCCAGATTACTCCTTGATCTAACCAAGTATGCATCATCTCGGAAGATAAATAAAATTGCTTCCTTTTTAACCGACGATGAGGACGTCATACAACTATTCTTCAATATTTACGTGCGGCATTTCATTGACTTTAGGCTGCAAATAAACGGGTGATTCAGGTACGATTGACTATTCAAGGTGGATGCATGGGTGGTTGTAAGCATGAAACGATCGAATAGACAAACCACTATCACGAATTAGGAGAATATTGCTTCATAACGGAGATTCAGTGAACAGTACCTATCTGAGTACATATGCCCAGTGTTTGTGCAACCACAACTGCATCGTCAAGTTCATCCAAAGTGATACTGCCTTTCATGATTTAGGGTAGCCAACTAGCGCTGTTGTGATGCTCAGTAAAGTAACATGGAACCTCACCTCAACTCATCACCTGCAATTATCACATTTGTTTCTGAAAACCATCGGACTCATCGTCAAAATGAACCAGATGAAACCCATGCCTGGATGATAATCTTACCTATCTCGTTTGACCTAACAACGAACACCTCGCTGATTTGACACACTGAGCTCAAGCCCATCATGATCCAAGGAATATTCTATGCCAGGTTCTTCCCTCAAGAAGGTAGTGAAACCTGTAATTCACATATATGAGCGTCCCTAATCATCTTATTAGGTCCCAAGATTGTCGCTCAGTCTCCTGCGGGCTGCATCACACCCGTAGAAGGCTCGACCAAACCTCCTCTCATCGACTTTGACGTGCTTCACGAGTACATCATTCCCAGACAGGCCTTCTGCAATCGCTACCTCAGCATCAACACGCCTGATGGAAAATACACCGTTCTAGGACATCCAGTGGTCATTCCTCACACAAAATACTCACGTAATGAATTCATCTTCAACTTCGGCCTCGTTCTCGACGCCGACGTGGACCATGTGCCGTATGAGCGCGTCGTCCGTGGTCTAGCTTCTACTTTCTCTGAGATGGAGAAGCAGAATGAGTATCTGAGCCAGAACGCGGAGACTAAAGGAGCTGGACGAAGGCCTATTGACAGTCTGTTGGAGATTGTCAAGGAGGATCTGGATAATTATGGAGAGTGCATGATTCCTGTTGGTAAGTTACCATGCGCTGTTGTGTAGACCTTATACTGACTATATACAGATGAGGCCAACACCATCAACATGAAGCTATTCCCTCACCATATTGACCCTCCAAGAGTTCGTGGCTGGCATGTCCCCGTACCAAAAGCCAAATTCGCCGACATTATTGACCCTACATGGGACCTCACTCTTCAAAAGGTCATATCTCATATCGATGGCGTCTCTGACGTTCGACGCATCGCCCACGCAGCTTCCGTCTCACTTGACCTAGCCAAAACCGCTCTCCGCCACCTTCTCTACTACGATACCATCCTTCTCCTTGACATGTTCTTCTTCAGTGCATGCTACGCACCCCGTCCTGGTATTCATGACTTCATTCGAAACGTTGACGGCATGGTAGATGAGTGTGCTGCGTATGTATCTCATGGCCGTGGCCTCGTAAGCAACTATCATCTCATCAAACTCATGTCCACGTTTACTCCTGGCAAATCCGTCATGGAATGGCTCAAAGGACACCAAGACGCAGGCTTCGAGGTTTTACGTTTTGTCGATGTCCGCAGGTTCGTCCAGTTTGGTGTCATTAAAGGCTGTATCTACAGAGTCCACAAATTCGTCGTCTCCAAGCAATACCTAGCTGCTTTGGCGTCTGGTCAGAGTCGGCCAATGCCAGGAGGAGATCCGCTGCAGAAGTATACAGATGGCTGTCACCATTTCGACCAGATCATCACAGAACAAAATTTGACGGACAGTGATATCATGGAGAAGCTGAAGAAGTTACCGGTTCCTAAGGGCGATCTAGCAGTCTTCTACAGATAAACAGAGTCAGGCGTGTCATACCCATCATGAGTTATATACATTTTACATCGTTTCTATGGTATCATGCGGATTACAATATAGTACAGTTTTATCTTACACGGCAAAGCTATGCCGATCTTTTGGAGCCTCTTTATTTGTCCTTGTTCCCACCTCTGGAGTTGTTTCGTTCGCGGATTTCTTGCTTGTCAGGGAGTTCAATGTTGGGGTTGTTGGCAACTCTGAGTCTGTCCCTTTGCCTTTCCGCCATTCTGGTAAGCTCCATGTCCGACAACTCCTGGCCGTCCTCTGCAACCTGTTTCTTGAGCTCCTCCTTTAGTCTGCGCATTTGGCCGGTGTAAGGCTGGCCAGGATAGATTTGACCACTCCTCTTAAACTCCTCATCATCGATTAGCTCGACAATGCGTACATTGTGCTTGCCCTTCCGCATGATGAGCATGCGCTCGTCAATAAGGAACTTCTTTGTCTCCTCGGGGAACCAAGCCTTCATAGGCGTCCAGGACAGGTTTCCAGGGACAAGGCCTCTCTTCTGACCAGGCTGAGCAGCGATATAAGCACCTTGCGCCGAGAGGAGGCGTTGGCCATCACTGCTGCTGGAAGCCAGACCGCATGCGTGAAGAATTTTGGCAGGCGAGGAATCCATAATGGAGCGGGGCAGTTGAATGTCGCTTCTCGGAGCAGTGTTGGGGGTAATAATACCGGATTCCTCCGTAGGCTCACCAACAATGCCGCGTGGCTTTGTGCCGAAGCGGAATTCATGCTGCTTGGCCTCCTGGACAGCCTTTTGTCCACCGTGGATGAGCGAGACGAACTCGAAAGCAAGAGCGTGTTGCGCTTTGCGCTCCGCGGGGTTGGCTCGGTGCTCTTCCATAAGCTTGGAAATCTTCTCCAAAGGCATGAAGGTGAATAGCTTGAGAAGCTTTTCGACCTCATCGTCTGAACGTCGGACAAAGTAACCATACAGATCGAAGGCTGTCGTCTTGAACTCATCAAGCCAAACAGCATTTCCTGCGCTCTTTCCGAATTTGGCACCAGAAGAGTCAGTCAGTAGAGGGACAGTGAATCCAACTGGCTCGTGGTCCCAGGTTGAAGGCATCTTCAGGTGAGGAGCCTCTTCGGTTTCGCGAATGGTCTTGAGAGCATCGATACCGGCGGTGATGTTGCCATACTGGTCAGAACCTCCGATCTGCATCTGAATACCGAGCTTGTTATACATATGCCAAAAGTCCCATCCCTGAAGGAGAGGGTACATAAATTCACCCAGTGACATTCCGTCACCCTCAGTCATCTTGCGCTTAACACTATAATACCGGGTTAGGTCTCGGAACAGCTGTTTCAAAGAATTGAGAAACTCACGTGTCTCTAGCCAACATAGGTCCAATTCTCGTATGTCTGGCTATCCTCTTGGCGAAGTCGTAGAGAGTGAGGTTTCCCAGCCACATGTTGTTGTTCAATAGCCGATGGGTGGCAGCCCAGTCCTTTTCGTAGCCGTACTTCTCCCTTAATACTTGTACATTTTGCCATATCTTGGTCAACTGGACGTGTATCTTGGTGATGTTCTTCGAAATATCTGCGTTGGAAAGAATCGCTCGGCTTTCAAGTCGGTCGGTAGGGTCACCAATGCGGGCAGTCGAGCCACCGATCAAGGTAACAGCAGGATGACCATGGAACCACAACCAGAACATGGGCATCATCGGTAGCAAGTGACCGACATGCATTGAGTCGGCGGTAGGATCAATACCGACATAGGATCCTATTCTCCTCACTCGCATAATCTCCTTGATCTTCTCGGGTGTACTGTAGTATAAGTTAGATATAGTGCTTTGAGCATCATGCCTAGTGTCGCATACCCTGCCACATCCTTGATATATCCTCTCTCTTCAAGAATGTCCCATGCGTGTGGGATCTCTCCGTTCTTGATCTTTTCGCCCTTCTCTTTCCATCTTGCTTCGGCCTCCGCAACTTTTTTGAGGTATGATGTCGCAATGAATCGAACCTGGGATCGTTGCCCACTAAGACATGTCGAATATATAGCAGGTCGTGTGGAGGGGAGCTTCGAGATGAGGGCGCGACTCGCCATGACTGAGGTTCAGAGCGAAGCGCTCAGTTCTTGATAAAATATTAAGAGCAGAAGTAAAAGACTGTTGACATGTGAAAATTCCAATCGTATTCAAACTCTACCCACGCTTGGAGAGCTTGAAGCTGCTAGTACCAAAAAAATCCCCAAGCGACGTCGGACGAGATCCATGTTCAAAAAAGTGTTAACCAATCATAAGTGATCGTGTCTAATTGACGTTTATTGGACCTTAGCGACCTCAAAGTATCCACACCACAGGGAAACCTTCGGGACGCAGCCAACCAATCACAAAAGATGTAATTCGAGATCCTCGGCAATGAGGCTGCTTCAGTTCCGGGTCGGTTTGAATTGAAGGATCTCATACATCATCAACTCTACTCCCGAGCCTCTCGAAGCAGCCACCAATTGAGTGCCGCGACAACACCACAAGAATTCAAAAAAGACTTCAAAATGGCCTCAATTGCGCGTTCCTCTCTGCTTAGGCAGACCGCTATGGCCTCTCGATTGGCCACTGCTGCTGCCCCCGCGACCCGAAGCGCTTTCATGCCTAGCATCCGAACTCAGGTTAAGGGTGTTGCTGCTTTCCACAACACTACTCGACGATCTGCTATCCTCCCTCCCGGACCTCGTATGTTATATCATTGTTCAAAGGTTAATGATTCTTGCTGACTGGAACCTGCAGAGCGCATTGAGGGTGGTGGTACGAAACGACTTTCCCAGAAGCTTGATCGCAACTCGACTGGCTTCACATGATAGACATCTCGATAGCTAACACTTTAACCTACAGTCAACGACCCTGCGCCCATCCCCGAGCCCAACTCCGCCCACGGTTCCTACCACTGGACCTTCGAGCGTCTCCTCGCCGCCGGCCTCGTCCCCTTGACCGTCGCTCCCTTCGCTGCTGGTTCTCTCAACCCTACTCTCGACGCCATCCTCTGCAGTGTCCTCCTCCTCCACTCCCACATGGGCTTCCAGCAGGTCGTCATCGACTACATTCCCTCAAGGACCTACCCTGGTCTCCGCAAGACCTTCAACTGGCTCCTCAACATCGCTACCGTCCTTGTCGGCGTGGGACTGTACGAGTTCGAGACCAACGACGTTGGTATCACCGAGGCTGTTCGACGAGTCTGGAAGGCGTAAGTTGGTAGATGGGTTGATTGATGTATGTGTATGAAGGAAGCATATTATTGGTAGTATTACTTGTCGCGCAGGGTTGTGACCGCGGACACCTGTATAGAAAAATTTCCCTTGAGTTATTGAAGATTACGTCAATTTTATATAAGACGATTCTCTTTTTCACCCACCAGGAACTACGCGATTGTTGTCTTGAATCTGCTTCATAGCGCTCCAGGGACGCTACTGACATTCACATCATAAACTAATATGACTATCAAAAATTAGAAGAATCGGAGTGCGCCAAGGCAATTGTTTTACTATTTCAATTTAACGATATGTTTGGTTCTAATTCCAGTGTTAACTCCATCATTACAGACCAATTTCAGTTCGCATGATCAAATAGTTAGTGATGTGATCTCAGATCCTCCAGCTCGATCCATCTCAGGTGTAGGAGGCGGCAAGTTCTCAGACTTTGTGCAGATCCAGCAACTGGCATACATGTTGACTCGATCAATGCAAGCTCCGTCGATGCGAGCGCCGTGTCGCTTGGGAGTGAAGCCGTGGCTTTCAAACTCCTTGATATACCAAGGAGTCAAAGCAGAAGAACGAAGGAGGACACGGCCACCCATTGCCAACGCCCGGTTCAGCTTTGTAATCTGAGCAGCAGCGGCACGAGATCCGGTATCAAACCAGTCCATGCTGTCCATGACAACAGCAACAGTCAAAGTGCCAGGAGTAATGCGCGCGATAACTTCCTCGAGCTCATCGGTGTGGATGCGAAGGCCGTCAAGAGCGTTGGGACGAGAGAGCTTTGCATGGGCACGGGGACTGAGATAGTCAGGATGACACTTGGGTGAGAATTTGCCATCCATGCAGACATAGTAGTAAGGGTTGTCAGCAGCGATGTGAGTCTCCTCAGCAACAGGATCGAGAGTGTTGACCATATAGTGCCAGATGGCGTGGGAGCGAGTATTCTTAGCAGTGGGCTTGGGGCCCTTGACCAAGTCCGAGTCAGCATGATCAGCCTCAATCATGGCCAACTGGTTCTTGGGAACACCAAGTGCAGCCCAGAGGAAGCTCTCCTGAGACACAACCAAGTTGCAAACAAGCTTAGATAGAAGTGCAGGGCGAATCTTGTGGCGCCAAATTTCTCGCTGTTCGTTAAGAGTCTTGGCTTCAAGTAGCTGCTTCACAGCCTTCTGCAGACCAAAGAGTCTAGCGATCCAGCGGAAAACACGAATGGCGTGACGCGAACCACCAGTGTCGTAGAGACCATGGCCACTGCTGTTCTGAAAGACGTGGACGTTCTTGAGCCAATATTGGAATGCACGACCAGAGAGATGAGGAGAGAGTTTTGTGATAAGGAGCTCACGGAACTGAGGATGCTTGCCATCACCGAAGATCTTCCAGAAATCCTCATAGGGGAGGGCAGTATATGAAGCTGCCTTGAGTTCAAGCAGATGGTTTTGTGTGGGGTTCAGATCAACGGCATGGACACGAGCGGGGCTCTGAAGGAGGTACGAGAGGATGTTATCGCCAGCGGAAGTAATAGCAAGGACCTTATCATCGGCACCCAGCTTCAAGAGACGCTCGTCGACACGGGTGTCTTCCCATGTGAAAGCATAGATATACTCGTCCTTGAACTGAGTATGCTTGGGAAGCTGCTCATCGTAGTAGATGCGCCAGTGGTGGTTCTGGTAGAAGAACGATGGCAGTGGTAGGTTCGAGGAAAGATTTGAAACAGCAGTGAGGAATGCCTTCGAACGAATTTCGGGGGCTGATCTCTCGATGGCACGAGTCAAGGCATCTCCATGGTTAGCAGGATACAGGTAGGGAGACTCAGTGACCAAAGCATCAATGCGCTCAACAATCTCATGGGGGAGACTGGATGACGAGAAAGGCTTCTTGTGGCATCCAAGCCAGATGTAGTAAGGAATGGCTCCCAATCCCTTGTTACGGGTGTTGACGTTGAGGACAGTGCCAAACTTGTACTCGAGGTAGTCTCGACGACTAGGCTCGAGGCCAACTCGGTCGAGATCGAACCAGGATCGCCAGAAGCTTCGCGACAAGAAGTTGACATGACGATCCACAAGCCCGCCAGTGTAGTTTCGGAAGGCAAAGTCGACCTTGTTCTGTACATAGAAGTCTACAACACCCATGATACCTTGAGGTGACAGGAGAGAAGTGACAGAGTCGATAACGGAGTAGTAATCAGGCTGGTATACAATTAGCACTTGATCAAGGGACTAACCCGGTAAGCTTACGATCATGGACAGACTGTATGACATGGTGATCAAGTCTGCTCCGCCAAAGTCGGGACGTGGCTTATCAAAGTAGCTCAAAGCTGGAGAACGGGGAGGAACTGGCTTCGAAGGCATTCCAGATTCATAATCTTCAAGACGAAACTTGCGAGCATCCTCGCAAACAACCTTGACATTCTTCCAGCCAAGGCGTTCAAATCGCTTCCGCGCCACCTCGCAGAGAGACGGGGAGAAGTCAACGATGTATACGCTAGAGAAGAAGGTAGGGACATCGACGAATGCGCCCATGGCCTCAATGTTGAAGCCAGTACCGCCGCCAATCTAAGCAATGGATGTCAGCTATTGTTGAAACATTCTGGTGTTCAATTACAACTCACGTCTATCCAAATTCGCTTAGTCTTGTTGCCATCTTTAGAGGCAGTTTCCTTTAGCTTTGCCTGCATCTGTGCGGCGACAAGAGCCAACATATCCTCGCGACCACGGAGGAGGACCTTTCGAGTAGCATCATAAGCACCGGCTTGCTTCTTGTAGAAGCTCTCAAGGGCATCTTGCTGGTTGCCCTTGGAGTCACCCTGGTGGGGTTTGAGGAAAGAAGAATAAAAGAAGAGGAAGAAGGACCTGATTAAGCCGGGGGCCTCGTCCTGACTCTTGCTGGAGAAGAGTGAGCTAAGGCCAACGATACTCAGCGCTGTCGTGATGATACAAGCGATAAGAGACTGGGCGTTGGCCAAAGATAACATGTTACCACCCTAGTAATCCGGTTAACTGGGAAAACTGATGAGGAGAGAAGGGAGAGCGTACATGAGAAGCCATGGTACTCTCTCATTGTATGCCGAGAGAACAAGTGTTGAAAGAAGGGAGCTATGTAAGCTGTGTTGAAACCAGTTCACACGATCAAGTTGAAGATGACAGGAAATCAGAAAACAAGAACGAGACAAGCCAGGGATATATACGTCGGCACACTCGAGCAAACACGGAAACAGATCTGGAACTCAATTCGGCAACGATGGTCTCGGCAGAAAGGCCATGACGCCTCATGCACATGTCTTCGACGAGAATTGACTTGCTCTTGACTGCAGGACCCTGTTGATCTACTAAACCCCACTAGATAGTCATGATAATCCCGCCATCAGTGTTCATTCTAGGCATGAGCCTAGAGGTGGGTAATGGGGGTGGGAGCCAATAAGTGAAGCACATGTTCGTGGTTGATAGAGTCCCAGGGGTCTTGCAAGGCTGCGGCGGCGGTAGACATGTGCCATCCTTCGTTCGCTATGAAGAGTTGGTACTCCCTATAGCGTGTGAGTGGGGTATAAGTTGGTATTGGTTTCAACTCTTTAGAGACGACGATCTCTGGCTTGTGAAGTCGAAGATGATGAGACCCCTTGAATATGGATGGTCATGACACGAAGGAGAGTCGTCGACTGTCCCAATATTTCAATGAATTGGCTCTTGATCTGAAAGAAATATACCCATGATATCTCCCAATTGAGATATAAATGTCAGCATTCTGCAATTCTTTGTTTGCTTAGATGAACCATGCTTGGAGTTTTCGTATTAGTCGGTCGTTCCAAGTTGCAAGTCCAGGAACCAATCAGAGAAGAGCAGCCCACCACATGTAGAATTCAACACCAGTGTAAGGATACCTACAACAGCCTCTACGATTGTAGTGAAAGTGGCATAAACAGTAGAAACGTTCTTCGTGGCAATAAAGAAAGGACCAATTGAGTTACACGGGAGTTATCGGTTGTTCCAACCCTTCTGATGTCTGCGTAGGGAATTGCTGTCGTCGAATAACAATAGATAGAGAACAAGCGCTCCGACGAGCCGGAATAACACGCTCCTGCTTATGAAAACAGTCCGAAACTTACCATAGTATAACAAAAAATACTTGATAAGCTCAAACCTCAGCGACTCGAAGGCATCTTACGGGATGTTTAAACGTAAGTCCAGGTTGGCGCAGATGTGTAGTGCCAGAATTGCTTAAGCAGAATTGATACTGGTTATGTGAAGAGCATTATCAAAACAAGTCTGGCTACCGACGTATTCCATCATTCGCATTGTCGCGCTCTTGATATAAACCACTGGTGGCAGCGTCAGATTGATGTTTGTTTATCCTTTCGCCGTGGCCTGGTCGAGGTGTCTTGTTCCTTGACCCCGGTAATTACATTGATGCGAGTTTATCACTGTAGTCAACATTCAATGTTTTAAAATTACAAAGACTCTATAACAATGCTGATTGATGTGAATGCAAACGGAAGTAACATAATCCTTTCATCCGTACCTGCTGTAAGCTCTGAAACCTCTGAACCACTCACATCCTTCCCTTCCCCTCCACAGCCCACAGCTGAAGCGAGAACCTAAAGTGGACATCAAGGGGTAACGCAAGCAGGTACGTACCGACCACCACCTGCCCTGTGACGCACCTCAGCATCGCGCGTTTAGAGCCGAGCCGTGTCGTTCTCTTATTCAGCTCGTCGCATTTCATCAAACGCCATCTCCTTAAGCTCCGATACTATCTCATCAACCCATTTAATCAACATCCTAATCAGATTACGCTGGTCGCACCACCAAATATTCGCCATCATGCCGCCTGGGTCGAGTCAGAAGGGGACGGGCAAGAAGAACTCGGCAATACAGAAGCAGAGCCGCAACACTACGCCGGCTCCAGTCGCGACAGCTAGCCTACCTCCACAAGATTTTTACGATCCAGACTATCTAAACACGAGAGTTATCCTTTTCCGCAATCTTACATATGACGATATCGTCGACCAATCTGCCTCCAATGCGACCATTCCAGATTCTAAGAGCCTCGACGGCATGATCGAACGATTAAAGAGCCTATCAAATATTATGGAGAAGCGCTCGACGTTTTATGACCGCGGCATGAGACATTTGGCAGATGAGCGTAAGAAGCGACCATCTGAAGATTATGGGAGCCGCGCCGAGGGTGAACAAGAAGGAAAAAGACCAAAGCATAAAAGAAAGAAGCCCGATTCACTGGCACCGCAGGAGACTAATGTTGGTATGTTGATTTACTATGCGCCTAAAGCATGCGCCGGCGAAAGTCGGTTGTCGGTGCAGGCAGCTGCCTACCACTTTAAGCTTGTGAGTAAACGAAACTAATTTTCAGCAGAACGTTCGTCGCCGCTGCGAGATTCTAAAAACCGCAAACACGACCGCGACCCAAGTTCTCCCTTGTCTCCTACACGTGCTGGCTCACCTGGCGATGGTGACAAGAAGCCAAAAACGGAAGAGAAGAAAGAAGACGAAGACGAATCCTCCAGTTCTGACGACGAAGGCGCGCCACCCCGGCGCGAACAACCTCAAGCCATGACATTCGGCGAAGACCCCTCGACTTTTCCCGATCCAACGATCTACGAAATTAGACCAACTTATCCTGGGATGCCCGATGAGGAGCGCAAAGAGATTTACTCAGTTTCGACCTACCCCCCTTCAGATCTTGCGGACCTTATTGCTGGCGATCCACCAGACAAGGACTTCAGCAATGCCAAGCCCAACAGTCAGATCAACTTCAGTACATTTTCGTCGTATGTCGAACCATTTTTTCGGCCATTTTCCGAGGAAGACTTGGCTTTCCTACGTGAACGAGGAGATCGCGTGACCCCTTTCGTTATGCCCAAACGTGGCAAGCGACACTATACAGAAATCTGGGCGGAGGAGGACGGCGCCATGTCGATCGATACACCACAACAAGGACGCGACAAGCTACCACCAAACCAACCACGAGGAAGCATTGACAATATGGACGACGATGTTGGAGAAACCGACAAGCTATCTGTCGGCCCTTTCTTGGCTCGCTTGATGCAGACACTGAGGCCTGAGGCCCGGGCGCAGTCTGTCGATGACAAACCCACAACAAATGGAATCACCAATGGAGACGTTAGCATGAATGGTGATGCCGATGGTGACGATAAGCCTGCCAGTACCGACGACAAAGCAAGCCAACAACCCGCAGCCTTCATGCCAGAATCATCGACAGAGGCGTGGAAGAAGGCTTCGCACCCCAAGTTGGAATACTCTCAAGTTGACGAACGTATAAAGCAAGAACTCCGGCATATTGGGTTTCTACCTTTGGAAGGATTGGAAGCAGAGTTCGACGGGCACTACGATGACGAGGTTGCAGCAAGATTACGCCTTTTGCAAAACAAGCTCAAAGACCAAATGTTAATCAACAGCGCACGCAAAGCTCGCATGACAGATCTCGTACGAGAACGAATGGCATATCAGGAATACCAAACAATCTTGGAGGATCTCGACTCTCAAGTACAGGCCGCATATCTCAAGCGGACTAGAACGATGGGCAAAAGCAAGAAGACAAAACGCCCTGGAGGTGCAGGTGGCGGCAGCCACTTTGTGGGAGGCGCTGCGGGCACCGCTCGACCTGGCATTGGTGATCTTACAAAGACACTCATGGAAAGGCGAAAACGATGGATCGACACTATCGGGTCTGTGTTTGACGATGAAAGTCTGCGTAAGGTTCCAAGAATGGAAGACCCTGAAAGTTCCATCTTCAAGCCTACGGATATGGCGGAACTTATGAACAAGGAAAAGGAACAGTGGGATGAGGAGGTGGAAGAGGAATAGCAGTCCTATAGCCATGCCAATCTCTTCTGGTAGATGTTGATCCGAGGAAAGGCGTTTGAAGGTACAAATCGGAGTTGAGGTTTGATCAATTGTGTTGGAAGATACCACCAATTACTATTTACTTAAAGAAATGGATACAGCATAAAGACTACGAGCTGAAGCTGAAGTGGCTGAGTTACAACTGTATATTAATAAGAGGGTGATGGAATACTCGCGACCTATGCTTGAGTGCGGGAAATAACAGAAACCGACATGCCTATCTAAACTACGAACCTTGAAGTGAGAGAATTACTCCGACTTCTTGACCTAGAGCCAAGCGTCTTGGTATTCTATACTTGTTGAAGAGTATCTTGTGTCCAATTGGTTGCTCTACAAATACAAACCAATTAAGATAGATCCTTTGAAGCGTTATCGAATATGTATAACAGTGTACACAACCGATAAGTTCGGAGCCAATGGCAGTTTGAATCGGAAGTATTCGCTGATGTAAATCCCTGTCAAGGACGGGCGCAAGTATGTGACCAATCGATCGACCTCTACTTATCAATAAGACGGGAACCCCAAGAAAGTGCCGTTATCTTTAAGCTACAGTGGGGGAAATAAAGAGTGAAGGGCATGTCATGTTACGCCCGAATAAGTCATGGTGGAAAGTAAGGCCTACCAGGCCCAGGTCCAGGCCTGATACGGCTATTCCGTGCCGAGAAAAAGGTGCCATGCCATACTACTACTACCTATTCTTCACTCTTCCCCTTCTTTATCTTGATCCTTTAAACCTGTTTCCATAATAGTTTATTACAGTACCATCGCAAACATGCATCTGGTACCTAAAGAGGTTCGTTATATCCGCTAAGCCTAGACCCAGTTTGTCGAGTCATGTCGTTGGTTGGAGACATGGCCGTAGCAGGGTTGTTGCACACTGAGACTGAGTATCAGCACTCTAACACGCTTTATAGATCGACAAGCTAGTCATCTCACAGTTGGGACTGCTTGCTCAGAGAAGATTGGCGAGAGGCGTCAAGTTGAACCATTCCGAGGCTGTGGTGAGTAATATCGAGTCTTGATGAGATATTTTACTCAATCGTGAGATTGTGACTAACACGACGAATTGTAGGCTCTCATCGCTAATAACCTCCATGAACTTATCAGAGATGGAAACCATACTGTCTCTGACTTGATGGCGCTGGGTGCGACGATGCTGGGACGTCGTCATGTTATGCCCTCAGTCTGCACAACCCTTCATGAGATCCAAGTCGAGGGCACCTTTCCCTCTGGAACATACCTCGTCACAGTCCATAATCCAATCAGCTCAGACGATGGAGACTTGAGGAGAGCTCTATACGGAAGCTTTTTGCCCGTACCAGATAATAGTGCCTTTCCTATGGCGGCCACAGAGGAGTACGAGCTCGACAGGCAGCCTGGTGCAGTGATACCTGTCAAGACAAAGAAGATCACTCTCAGTGAAGGAAGAAAGAGGATCCGTCTCCAAGTGACAAGCACAGGAGATAGACCTATTCAGGTTGGATCTCATTACCACTTCATTGAGACAAACCCACAACTTGAGTTTGATCGTATTCGCTCATACGGCTACCGTCTTGATATTCCAGCCGGAACGTCAGTGCGATTCGAACCTGGAGATACCAAGACCGTTACTCTGGTTGAGATCGGTGGTAACCGTATAATCCGTGGTGGTAACAACCTCGCATCGGGTGTCGTTGATCTCTCACGTGCAGACGAAATCCTTGCCCGGCTACAAGAAGCTGGGTATGCTTACAAGCCAGAGCCTGCAGGAGACATGGCCTTTATAGACGCCTTCCAGATGGACCACGCCTCGTACGCGACCATGTTTGGCCCTACGACAGGCGATATCGTTCGTCTTGGAAGCACAGACCTTTGGATCAAGGTTGAAAACGATATGACCGTTTACGGCGATGAGTGTAAATTCGGTGGTGGAAAGACTCTGCGTGAGGGAATGGGTCAAGCGACTGGACGATCAGACGCCGAGACTCTTGACCTAGTAGTAACAAATGCCCTCATCGTGGACTGGACAGGTATCTACAAGGCAGATATTGGTGTCAAAGAAGGTATGATCGTGGCAATCGGCAAAGCAGGTAATCCAGATGTCATGGATGGCGTGACAGAAGGAATGGTGGTCGGCAGCTGCACCGACGTCGTTGCAGGCGAGGGAAAGATTGTTACCGCTGGTGCAATCGACACGCATATTCACTTTATCTGTCCACAGCAAGTACCAGAAGCACTTGCATCCGGTGTTACAACCATGCTTGGTGGTGGTACAGGCCCAAGGTTGGTTCACTCTCCCCTCGTACAACATTATCTCGGAGACTTATCATGATAACAGTGCTGGCACAAACGCAACGACTTGTACGCCCGGAGCTCACTACATGCGACAGATGCTGCAAGCATGTGATCAACTTCCCATCAACGTCGGAATCACAGGCAAGGGCAATGATAGCTCCCCAGAGGGTCTGCGCGATCAGGTAAATGCTGGCGCGTGTGGTCTTAAGCTGCATGAAGATTGGGGCTGTACACCAGCAGCTATCGATGCCTGTCTGAGTGTTTGTGATGAGCTTGATGTTCAGTGTCTTATCCACACAGACACGCTCAACGAATCTGGCTTTGTCGAATCTACCATTGCTGCTTTCAAGGGCCGTACCATCCATACCTACCATACTGAAGGTGCAGGAGGTGGTCATGCACCAGATATTATCTCTGTGGTCGAGCATCAGAATGTCCTCCCATCGTCCACCAACCCCACAAGACCATTTACACGCAACACTCTAGACGAGCATCTAGACATGTTAATGGTCTGCCATCACTTATCCAAGAATATTCCCGAAGATGTAGCTTTCGCCGAGAGTCGTATCCGTGCCGAGACCATCGCGGCGGAAGATGTACTGCACGATAAAGGCGCCATCAGCATGATGAGTTCCGACTCGCAAGCAATGGGACGCTGTGGAGAGGTCATTCTGAGAACGTGGAACACGGCGCACAAGAACAAGGTCCAGAGGGGTTGGTTGCCAGAAGACGAAGGCACAGGAGCCGACAATGCGCGAGTAAAGCGCTATGTGAGCAAATATACTATTAACCCAGCCATTGCGCAAGGCTTTGGTCATATTATTGGAAGCATCGAGGTTGGCAAGTTTGCGGATCTTGTCTTGTGGGATCCTGCGTGGTTTGGCACGAAGCCTAGCTATGTCCTTAAGGGCGGACATATCGCATATGCTCAGATGGTAATAATCTCTCTGAATGTTCTTGTTAACAAGTTACTAACATTGTATAGGGTGACCCCAACGCCTCTATTCCAACAGTTCAGCCTATTATTGCTCGACCCATGTTCTCACAACACTGCGCCTCGACAAGCATTCTGTTCGTCTCATCCGCATCTATCGAAACGGGTGCTATAGCCTCTTACGGCCTACGCAGCCGTGTCGAGGCAGTCCGCGGATGCCGTGATATCGGCAAGAGTGATATGAGACATAACGATATTAAACCTCGGATGCATGTTGATCCAGAAAGTTATACTGTTGAAGCTGATGGGGAGGTTTGTGAGGCAGCGCCTGCAGAGACCCTGCCACTTACACAACAGTTCTATGTGTATTAATTGGGGAAACAAGAAGCGGAGATTGAAACAAATACCAGGGTGTGCCAAGATGCCGATATTGGCTAGCTATAAATACTATGTTATATTATTTCTCATGGGTGCATGGCACATAGTGGCCCTACCATATGTATATGCGTGCTACTATAGGTATTTATACCAGGGCATACTCCGGGCCGCGTCTGAATTTCAGTTCTGATACTTGGCATGCCGAAGACAATACTTGAAACAGGACGATCACACATTTAAGACGGTGCAGAATTTGCCATATCAAGGAAATGCCGGCGAACTCATTGCCACCGGCAAAGTAGTTTGGTTGAATCATTATCATAGCATTCAAGATTTCGCTACCTAGACTAGTGGACTTGAGAGCTTATATGCAGAATTTACTGTATTTGATGGTATCCTGGATATTAAAAAGAAAGTAATCAAAACGATCGCAAGCTTAGAAGTGTTCCTTCCAGAATCGGAACTCGACGTCGGGAACTGTTGCTGCTTTGCATGCAACCTTAATGTCACGAGCTGGAGATTATGTTAGCATGGACTTGATTGAGAATAGATAGTTATGGAACTTACCAGCAGCTGAAGGACCACAGAAATAAACACCAACTGTTGTGCGGATATGTGACTCTAGACCGTTGAGGTATGTGCGGTCCAAGATACCGTTTCGCATGGTCGTAAACAAACGAGGGAAGTCAGGGCGACCAAAGTTGGTTCGTGATTGTAGTTCGGTCAAGGGATCCATCTGAGAACCGACACTGTTGAGGACGATGTTCTGAGCGGTGTCGATATCCAGCTTCTGAGTAAGGTAGGTGTGAATCTTGAGGAACTCGACTCCTGTGCTACCGGGCATGCGTGCTGCTTCGTTGGACTGCTCCTCGAGAGACGATAGCAGAGTCTGGAACCACTCGAATGAACCAGTATCCTTGCAAACCCAGATGAACTCAACACGTCGAAGTCGGCGAGGAGGGTTGGGAGAGTTGCGAAGATGCCAAATGTTCTTGAGAATAGCGGCCCAAGGAGTGACACCAATACCAGTACCGATAAGCACAGCAATTTCGTTCTCGAAAACATCCTCGGCGGGAGCTCCGTAAGGTCCATCGATTCGTAGGGCGGGCATCTGGTCACCGTTCTGAAGAGCAACTTCGTACATTCCCATGGGATCGACATCATCGTAAAGCTTGGCCTGAGCAGCACCGGCACCAAGGGCATCACCAAGCTCTCGGGTGAAGTCACCAACCTGTCGAACGTGAACCGACACATAAGGGTCGAAGGGGCATGAAGTGATGGTAAAAGGGTGCCACTGGTACTTGGACAGAGAAGGCACCTGGAGGAAGAGCCACTGACCAGCCTTGTACTTGAAAGAAGGCTTGTTGAACTGGATCTCTACGACATCGTAGGGGTGACGGACGACACGAGTGATCTTTGTCTGTCGACGAGCGCGGACTTCACGCCAGAGACGCTCGAGAAGGTAAAAACCACCAGTCCAGAGCTCCCATCGCCATCCGAGGTAACCAATGCAGTGCTCCCAGAACTCGTCTCCAGCGAATGGTGAGATACCTTCCGCAGTATCACGCACGAAACATCCGACTGTGTGGGTGTAGAGAGCGAGGAAGAAGGGGATGAAGAGATGGTGAGTGTACCAGAACGTCTCAAATGATTGCTGGCGGATACGAGCATGGGCGGTTGTGAACATGAGCAGCATGCACAGCAACATGATATGGCCAGTGATACCACCGGGTTGTTGATAATGGATCTGAAGGGCGGAAACGGGTCGAATCTGGGTGAGTTCGACGTTGTAGAAGTTGACGTAGTGAGCACCTGTGTGAAGGCAGGTGAAGAGAAGCATGGAGTAGGCGAGTTGACGATGCATCCACAGGTTCTCGTCGAGTGGGAGGAAGCGAATCTTGGGTCGAATCCAACGCATGATAGTTCGGCATACGGGGAGAAGGATAAGCATGCAGTCGACACTGAGAACTAGACCGGCACCTCGCGAGATCCATACTGAGAATTTGAGTGTGTTAAGACCTGCAAGTCTGGCATCGGCAGCTTGCTTCCACCTGATGATGGGTTAGTTGAGTCTTGATCCATGAGAGGTTAACAACTTACCATCCGTAGGCGAAGATACCCCAATGAAACGTCCAGAAAAGAAAGTGGAAGAGCAGCTTGCCAGGCGCAAACTGCTTCTTTATTAATTCAACGAACCCCAGTTGCGCACCCATCTTTGCGGTTTTATGTTGTATAAGTAAATTAAATGAGAGTCGAAGTCAGGTCGGCCGGCGACAGGACTGCTGTAGATGAACCTCTCGGGAAAGAGTAGGGAAAGACACAAAAAAAAAAACGAGTTGATCAATTGATGTAACCAACCCTTATAAGAAGTAAAAAAGAACACTGATCCAGCAGCAGAAAAGGAAGCGAAAGTCGTGGCTGAGGAGCCAGTGGTGTTGAGGACGGCTTGAGATGACAAGAGAGCGACCCGAGCAAAAGAAGGTTGAGAAAAGTTCGGATGAGATCGCGAGAGAGATTGGGTTCATAAACGAACAGACGTTGTCAATGAAAAGAGGAAAGATCCGTAATCCGAAGGTTCTGATGCAGGTGCGACTCAACAGCCTTGTCCAAAGAGGTATAATGCGTATTGGCAGGAGGTATCGAGTTGCCAGATCGAGTACGGAAGAGGTGGATGCCGAGATATCGTGAATACACCAGCGGAAGTTGAAACGTTACAGAAGAGGGGGGGCAAAGAATAATCAATAACGGGTTGCTTGCTATGAGACAGTTACTCCTTGATGCGGATACTCCAAGTGTTTCTGTTTCGCGGGGCGGTTAATACTAGTTGACCCAGGTATGAGAATGAGACCAGGGGTTGTTTCTCAATGCAACTTGAATGGTGATATAGCTGTATCGGGACAAGGAGTTGATTGTCGCAAAAGTCTTGAGAAATAGGTATTGAAAAGAGGCAAAAGAACCTGGGGGTCCATGTGGTTTTACTTCCATGTCTTTTACTGTACTGTACTGCATAACTCATCCCATTAGAGACCCGACAGGATAGACCAAAATGGTTGCATATTCCTGGGCGCCTATTAGAGGCCTGGGCATTACTGCTCTACAGCTTGTGAGTGGTTGAATAAATTTGGAACGCTGCAAGTTAAAGCCACCAACGCCCCGTTGGGCCAGTCACCGACTGGAGGACCCTGAAGAGGCGCCCTGTAAAGTGTCCTAAAGGTCTCCGAGCTATTGTCCCGGGCGCTTAAAACCCCAAGATGCAACCAACGACGGGCCTTGCCCAACCTCTTTTACTGCACTGTGACGGCGCTAGTTTCCACTATCTTATTCTTGGCCCTGGCATGATTTCATTGTTTCCAATCCCACGATTCACTTCCTTTCTGGAGACAAAAGACAACCGAATACTCGGGAATCAGCAGATAAATAAGCGACTCCAAGGATGATACCAACCAACAACTCAAGTACATATGCAGGTCATGGACCGGCTGCACCTCGTTACGGTGATATAAACCTTTAAAATCGAATGACTGTCATTCGACAACCTCTCTTGACATTTATGCCCTCTCCTCCCGTTTTCTCGGCCGGAGTTTCGAATCCAAAGCCAAGAACTTTGCTAACGTCGCAGGAAGCTTAGTCGGTCCACACTAAAAAGCAGACCGCCTGCAGTCACACTCACATTACACAAAGCTTAGCCGTTATCCCATCTTGATTTTTTATTTGTTCAAGAGCGAGTGAGGGATGAATAATCTTGCGCAGATCTGTTTGTCCAACGTTTTCTATCATCCCTAGGTGCGACAGTACAGTGTCACCTGAAGCTAGCTTCGGCATCACTTGTTTGCGTCGGACTACAGTCTGAGACTGTGTTTGTATTCCGTAAGAGCATATGCTTGGGTAGATCTCTTGCCAGCTTCTATGTCATCGTTAGAGAACCGGTAGTCTTTATGACAAGTCTTGATTTTCAAGTCAGGGGGTTTCTTGTATTCGATCATTTCTGGCTAGGTCGCGTGACCCAAGTAAGCCTCTTGTTTCATCGTGGCCGATCCAACACTGGAACCCATCGTCAGCATCGAACCAACAGTTCTCTTACCTTGACCTTGTCCTCGGTGCTCTCTGTAGGTTAGCCTGGTTAGCAATCGGACCCGTGCCGGAGCAGTGGGGCCGAACAGTCAAGAACGAAGCCCGGATAATCAAGCCTCACATGAAAGTCTGCAAGAGATTGTGTCGCTTCGGTAATAAGCCATGTCTAACTACTTGAACATTAGCGCAAACCCGAATTAACAGCCGCAAGTACGAGTATCTAACCTAAACGAACGACAAAGGCTGGATCGGTCAGTATGAATTCATCGCTGCAGATAACGGACCATTATATCCGTCAGCTGTCGTGTACAGTATGGTTCGACTAGACTTAAAACCTGCTTTTAGGACAGGATTGAAATCTGTAGCATCAACCTAATGAGACCCAGAGTTACTTACCATTGCCTGTTGGTACTGTATATCCAAAGCGACAAGCTTTTCCCATCAAACAATGACAAATTTCCTAGGTTGACGATCTCGATACCCCACCATTTGCCAGGGACACTGACTGCGTACGTAGTGTGGCTCCCCGCAAGTTGACGCGTTTGCGTATGCCAAGAAAGCCCAACTTCTGTGCGCAAGTCTGTGTGATGTGATGTGATGAGATGAAGTGATTGCAAGAAAGACAAGACGAGACGGTCAGTTCTAATACAGGTACAGAACCCAATTGACAATTGAGACGAGACTAATTTGGAAGGAAAAGCCTGAGAGCCGAAACATTCGGGTATAAACAGGCTACAATCAGTATAAACACGCTAACTCAGCTAACGCCTCTTAGGCTGGCGCTGTGGCACAGTTAGCTTCCAGAATGGTGTTGTATCTGAGGTTTATCACCGTCAAGCTTATGCCAAGTATGAAGTTTTTTTCTACCAAGCATTGACTCGCTAAGCTCGAGAATACCAAAGAATACTTGCTTGTACGCGATGGAGATCTATTTATTTCTATAACATCGTAACGCCAAGAAGGAAACACCGGCATGGAAGGTCCAATCACTATCCTATGACGTAGTAGCTCACCACTTTCCCTCCCACCTACCCTGTCTAACTGTCTTCATGCCATGACATCTCTACCTGCCTTACATAGTATCTGTACTATCGTCTTGTTCTTGGCCAATTCTTCTTCTTCCTCGTGCCAATTTAGCTTCACTTGTAACTCTAAAAGTTCAACAATTGCCAATCTCTTGTCTTCACACCATTAATCTGTCGCTACTGTTTCGATTTCCCTAAAGCTTTCTGTGAGAGCGACCCGCCACAATGTCTGGAAGAGATGACGCGGAGGAGCATCGTCGCTTCACAACCCCATACAGCGCCAGACATCCCATTCCTACCATCTCCAAATATCGAGAAGAGAGAACTGCCCGCCAAGATGCAGCTGAAGGCAGACCTGATTCTCCACCTTCACCAAAAGCTGGAGATTACGGCGGCAACAAAGATGACTACATTCAACAGCAAAGGTCAAGAGAAGATGGCGGGGCCAATCTAGAATCCGTCAAATCCAATGGAGGAAATGACGACAAGAGGAGCGATAATCAGCAAGAACAAGAACAAGAAGAGATGCAGGACACTTCACAAGTTGGCCAGGCATCAGATCCCAAGCAAAGACGGAAGGAGCTCAAAAAGAGCAAGCGAGAGAGGGCACAGCGAGAAGTCACTGACCCTGTTACCCATCTTCCTGTCACAATTCACGATTTTACCGACGACGCACTCGAAGAAGTAGGCGTCAATGACCCTACGTTTGGTACGACAGACAGGACAGCGACTGGTGCAGACAACAAGACCAAATCTGACGAACAACTTGGCCGCGAGCAGCAAGAGATCCAACAGAGCCATGATGCTATGGGTGACTTGTTTCCCCCACCGGATTTTGATGCCCTCCGTCTAGAACTCGCAGCCATCAACAAAACCGGCGTCACTTTTGGACTTGCCGGTGTTGCGTTAATTCTTGGCGGTGCAATTACTTTCGAACGACTGGTACGACATGGAGTATTGCAGAGCTCCAAAGCTAATTCATTCCTCGTAGGTGGCTCTCTTTGGTTGGCGATAGCCGCGGCCAGTACTGGAGCCATCTGGTTCCTTGTGGTATCAGTTAGGGAATGGATTTCCAACAAGGTTAACAACATCTTTCATGACGAAGTCTGGGATGCTCACCGAAGAGGTGTTGTCCAAGCATCCAAGCAGAATGATACCGAGACAACTGTTTGGCTCAACTCCTTGATTGGCTCTGTCTGGCCTCTTATCAACCCCGACCTTTTTGCCAGTCTTGCAGATACTTTGGAGGACGTCATGCAGGCCTCGCTCCCCAAATTCGTTCGCATGGTCAGTGTCGATGATATCGGGCAAGGAAGCGAGTCTATTCGCATCCTTGGTGTCCGATGGCTCCCTACCGGAGCCGCAGCCAGAGCCGTGGACGAAGATGGGCAGCTTATGACTCGAGAGCAAAGTGAAGAGGACACACAGGAGAAGGACGGTGAATCCAGCGACACTGGTGCTGCTATTCAAGACGGTATGGAGGCCGAGGAAGGCGATTTTGTCAATCTTGAAATCGCATTCGCATACCGCACACGCTCATCCTCCAAGTCCCTCAAGGAGAGAACCAAGGACATGCACCTGTACCTTGCCTTTTATCTTCCAGGAAATATCAAGGTCCCGGTTTGGGTCGACCTACAAGGGATTATCGGCACCATGCGTATGCGACTTCAACTGACTCCTGACCCTCCTTTCTTTGCCTTGTGCACTCTTACGTTTCTTGGTCAGCCCAAGGTAAACGTGAGTTGTGTGCCTCTGAGCAAGCACGCTATCAACATCATGGACGTTCCTTTCATCAGCAACTTTGTTCAGTCCTCTGTCGACGCCGCTATGGCTGAGTATGTTGCACCTAAGAGTCTGACACTTGACCTCAAAGACATGCTTGCTGGTGACGACTTTAAGAAGGATACCAACGCAGTGGGCGTGCTAGTGATCAACATCAAACGCGGCTACGACTTCAGAATGGGCGACTCTGGTATTCCACTTATCAAGGAGGGAAGCTCCGACGGCTATGTTTCGGTTGGCTGGGCTAAGTTCGGCAAGGTGATGTGGACGACGCGAGTCCTGGAGAACGAAATGGAGCCTTGTTGGGATGAGACTTGCTTTTTACTGGTGACACCACAGGAACTCGACGTAGACGAGAGACTGCGCGTACAGCTGTGGGACTCGGACAGGTTTACCGCAGACGACGACCTCGGCCGAATCGAACTACCAATCAAAGAATTGATGAAGGATGATCGATCTAACGGACAGATGTGGCATCGCTCGGATGGTTTCAGGGCTTTGAAGTCGGGTGATGACATGCCTGGGAAACTGGATTGGAGTGTTGGTTATTACTCCAAGACCCGGATTCAACAATGCCAGTTCGAGAAGCAGACACATAACCCCGAAATCCGCAACATGCAACAACTGAAGGAGACTGTCAAGGAATCGAGCGAGCGCAAGCTTCGCGAGACCATGTACAAGGAGGGCAACAAGAAGGAGCGTGACGCCAGCGAGCTTGAGCAGCAAATGGCACAGGAACTCAAGGCCGAGCAAGACGCCATGATCATTTCGGCACCCCCTCCTGATGACTACCCGAGTGGTATACTGAGCGTCCAGATCCACAACATCACAGGCCTTGAACTGGAGCGACTCAACAAGCGTAAAGCTGCAACCGATGCCGAGGCGACCGACGAAGAGGAGACTGGCGAAGGCTTGCCAAGCGCATACTGCACCGTCATCCTCAATCACCGGAAGATTTTCAAGACAAGGACAAAGCCTCAAAACGCCAAACCGTTCTACAATGCTGGCTGCGAAAGATTCATTCGCGATTGGCGAGATGCGGAGGTTTTTATCACGGCTCGCGATGCCCGTCTTAAAGAGGACGATCCTTTACTGGGAATTGTCCATCTGCCTCTTGCGGAGGTCTTCCGCGAACGTTCTCAGGTCATGAGCTTCTGGCCCTTGACTGGTGGTGTTGGTTTTGGACGTATTCGTATCTCCCTTGTATGGCGCAGCGTTCAACTCCAAGCACCAAGGAATCTTCTGGGCTGGCAATATGGCACTGTTGAAGTGCAACCTTCCGCCACAGTTGTTGACTGCCCTAAGGATCTTCGATCGTCAAAGCTCAAGTTCCGAACCCATATTAGCAGTGCAAAGATGCACACAGAGGACGACGATGGACAGGATCAGGGAACAGTTACTTGGAAGTCAAAGCGAGGCAAATCGCTTGCTTTGGCCGTCTCCTCAAGATATAGCAGCTGCATGTCCATTGCTTTCCGAGACAAGGGCTTCTTCGGGGATGATACCGCCGCCTTTGCTGTTCTATGGTTAAAGGACATTGTCGACGAAGAGGAGACAGAGTTGGAACTACCAATCTGGAAAGGAGATTTCCAGCGGGCTACGTCTTGTTGCTTGGAAGAGTGCGGTGAGAAGCTGGGTACGATCAAGCTGAAGCTTACGTTTTGGGCTGGTCTGGTATGTTCCCTTTGGAAACCCTATCTAAGCAAAAGCCGAACTATTGCTAACACGTAAACAGGGAAGTGCCCATTCTCGATGGGCGAGCAAGGACCATCACCTTCGAGATGTTGTGGAAGTCATCGAAATGGCCCACGATAATCTCGAAGTTGGCGATCAGGAAAAGAAAGCTGGCATTGTGGATTCTGAAGACGAAGAGAAGCATGGCCGTGTTCGCTCAGGCTCCATAGGCAGTAACTCTGATTCTAGTTCAAGCTCTTCGGATACAGAGGACGAAGAGGGGGAACAAAACAGCGTTCCGGATGGTAGCAGCGACCAGAAACAAGGACCTATCGACAAGGTACGGGACTACCGTCGTCGAGACAGGCGGCTACATCGCCAGCATCGGGGTCTTATGCAGTGGAAGGTAAGCTCTCCAACCCCCCCTCCCTTTTATGATCCCACGTGTTTCCCATGTTTCTATTTTACGCCCTCCCGCTTTTAGGAGGGTCAACATCAACACCATCGAAGCAGAAGAGCGGAGCTGACAGATGAACTTAGGCCCCTCGCACAGCTAAGTGGATCAAGGGCAAGCTCGGGCGCGTTGGAGACAAAGCTTCTAGCGTCTTTGAACACCACACCAATAAGCCCGGAATCGAGACCGAGGTCTAATGTAAGCCACCTTTTGGGAAGTTGATCAGTCAATATGTTCCTTGTCGGGCATCAATTGACTGCATGCGTTGGTTACAACGCGCATATTTCACGACCTTTGACGACAAAATTAGCATCAAGGGAATTGCTTATACACAACAATTCATAGCGAGCGGTGTGATTGGGTTATCAGGGCGCAGGTTGCCCATTATAGCAGATCTTTTAATATTTCAAATAGTTGAATTAAAACAAATCAAAAGAAAGGTATCTTCCATCGGTTCCGTCATTCGTCATTCCTACTGCGTCGTTACTAAAATGATCCCTTCCTTATCTTTTTGAAAACATAAAATCCCCCCAGCCTATGTAATTGGAGGCATGTTTCTGCTCCATGCCGAAGAAGAAGAAGAAGAAAAGAAGTGCTCCCGCTCCCGTTTTTGCCAGAGTGATGGACACCGTCTATAAGTCAAACGCGCAACAAGGGAATAGAAACCTCAACGCATGGTTCCCCCGTTATGCTCTCTGCCAAGTTCTCCTGCGCACTCGAATGTGAGCGGCAACCCGTTTCAACGCCATATCCACCGTGTATTGATTAATGCATGCACGCTTTTTTGTCGCAAATGCTGTAGCCGAAAGAAGAGCTGGGTAAAAAAAAGATGATTCCACGTGAGATCTGATCTGGTAAATGTGGAGTCTACTCCCCCCCAGCAGGGGGAGCATAGATCGACGATCATATAATAAAGTGCTTTTATAGTGTCGGTTCGGTTGGACCGATCGGTCGGCGGCTCCGTACTACCACTAATGGTTCCATTCACTTATCGACGGGTTGTCGACTGATTCTCGCTTCTTAGCTTGTTAACGTTCTCCTCCGTCAACGAATCCCCTGTTTGTAGTTCGTGATATGAATTCCTGCGGTAGCTCGATGATCCACCTGCCGCATCGATAAGTTTTGTTTCTTGTAGTCTGTTAGACCACTCTGCCTCCCCTTCTTGACGCCGAACTTGAAGGGATAATTCTGTGGAGTCGAAGGGCGATGGCTCGTTTTGATATCCGTTCGTCGTCAACGGTCGAGGTGTAATAGGACTGCCGTTGAATTCCTCAGCCGGACGTGGCATATCGTCGTCGTCAATGCCAACGTTAGGAATGTCGGCATTGTCACAATGCTCACTCATTTCTGAGCAGTCTGAGGCTGTTGGATCCGGCGCTGTCGGTACCCGGCGGCGAGCATGGCACCATCTTAGAAGCATCTTTTCGAGAATGACACCCCGGACCGGCTTGGCTAAATAGTCATCCATGCCGGCCTTAGTACACTTTTCGCGATCTCCTTGGATTGCTGATGCTGTCATGGCCACAATTGGCACGTCTTGAACCAGAGGTTTGTAAGGCATGTGATGTCGCAAAAGGTGAGTACACTTGTAGCCGTCAATAATGGGCATCTGCACATCCATAAGGATGATATCCGGCTTTTGGTTGATGCCTTTTTGAACGCCGCCAAGGTATTCAAGAGCTTCCTTGCCGTTCCAAGCAGCTGTCACCTGGAATCCAAGTCTCCCGATTGTTTTGGTAGCAATCTTCTGGTTGATGGGACTATTGCCGGTTAGCCAGGTTGTCTCATACGGATATGTTGGCGACTTACTTGTCCTCGACTACCAAAACATGGATTTTGGCCCGCTCTGCGGATGGGAGTTCTTGGTCGGAGCTTGAATTTGATGCTATGCCAAAACGAGCTCGGCGTGATCCTGAAGTGCTTGCCTGGATTCCTTCAGATACTGGAGGAGTGCCAACAATCTGGTCATACTCCGAACTATTGCAAGACAGGCTCAACTCCGACTGAAGCCGGTCGGGGATGGCACCTGCATTAGCCAGGCCCGCCTCAGCCGGACCGCTTGGCTTGTTGAATGGAACCCAAAACGTCGCCCGAGTTCCAATACCGACCTTCGATTCCAATGTTATACGGCCATGCATGAGATCTAACAGATTCTTGCAAATAGTCAAGCCTAATCCAGTACCGCCAAATCTCCGGGCAGTTGAAGCATCACCCTGGCTGAAAGGCTGGAACAACTTCTTCCGGACGTCGTCCTGAATACCGATGCCCGAGTCCTCCACAGTGAATTTCACTTCGATAGATTCTGATGTCTCCTTCTCCGCGACGACTGAGAATCGGACATATCCTTGGTTCGTGAATTTTATGCTGTTGGTGAGAAGATTGGTGAGAATCTGTCGTACGCGACCGGGATCTCCGATAACAACCAAATCGTTTTCAATGCCATCGCCAATGTCTGATTGGAAATCGAGGTTTTTGCGCTCGACAGCAAACTGTAGCATTCTGCCCACTTCCTTGACGATGTGTGACAGGGAAAACTGCACCTCCTCGATGTCTAGTCGCCCAGACTCCACCTTTGAGAAGTCCAAAATGTCGTTGATAACGGTAAGAAGAGATGTCGCTGAGCTCTGTATGTTCTCGACATATTCTTGCTGTTCCTGATCCAACTCCATTCCCATCAGCAGCTCGGCCATTCCTAGTACTCCCGTGATAGGCGTTCGAATTTCGTGGGACATATTGGCGAGGAACTGGCTCTTTAGCCTATTGGCCTCCTTGGCAGCCGCTTCGTTCGCCATCGCCTTTCGCTTCTCTTTGGACTGCTTCTCCAATGCCTGTTCGCGAATCTTCAATTCTGTCACATCCATAATAACGCCAATAACCCCTTCGACGTAGGTGGTGCTCGGGGCGTCTCCTTCTTGAGACTTCTTGCCGAAAATGGGAAGGAAGCGAGTTCGGTACCAACGGTCGTCTTCATGAGATTAGCAAGATGTTTCAAGGTTTAACTAGGCACCCAGTCCTTACCTATGCCGTGTTCTTTAAGGTCTTCAGTAGCTTTTCCATCCAGGAGAAGCTCGATGGGCTCAAGGAATTTGGGGCGTTCCCCGTCCGCGAGTTGTGCAGTCAAGCGGTTGAACACGGTATACATGTTCTCTCCTACAAACCATCTTGTTCCGTCATGGTTCTCCTCATGGGTATTGTTCCAGATCAAGGCGCCTTCAAGCATTGTGACTCTTCGGTTGGGGTCTACGGTGAAGATTGTCACATGAGAGTGAGCAATTACACTAAGGAGCTGTTGTCGGGTGCGCTTCATGGCCATCTTGGTTTGAATGCTTTCGTGAACATCGGTGCAAGTACCTGTCGGGCATTGTGAGCTATATCTCGAAGTAAGTAGTGGCGGAACACTTACCGAACCACTTCTCAACCTTGCCGGTCTCTTTGTTTCGTTGAGGCATCGCCCGGCCAAGATACCAGCGCCATTCACCATCTCTGCTCTGGCATCGATATTCTGTCACATAGCTATCGCCTGTTTCAAGCGAGTGTTGCCATCGCTTGTTGGCTTCAACCAGATCGTCCGGATGAAAAGCGTTTACCCATGATTTACCAAGGCTGTTCTCGGGTGTTAGGCCAGTGTACAAGTAGAACCGAGTGTTCCAAAAGTCCACAAGGCCATCCGGTGTCGCTGTCCAAACTAATTGGGGCATAGTATCGCAAATAAGCTTAAATCTTTCTTCGTCTCGCTCCTTGATCTGCGTGATTTCTTCTGTCATGACAGTAACATCACGCCCTGTCACGACACCAGCAAGGAACTCTCCAGTTGAATCGTCACGAATTGCCTCGCCAAGCACATCGTAAACTCTCCTGCTTCTGTTTTCATCATACATGCCGACTCGGAGCCCGGTAAAAGGCTTCTCTGTCTTTAGTAGCCTGCATATGGGCATTTCGTCAACCTCAAGGCGCTCTGAAAAGTCCTCGGTATAGATATGCCAGTATCGCATGAGTTCAAAACCATTGAGGGATGTGTCCAGTGGTGCCTCCTTCTCAAAAAGCTTTCGAGCAGCCGTATTTGGGAATGTGACACTACCATCCTTCCACATGGCAAGAATGGGCATTTGGGTATTGTTCAGAAGGGCATCTTTCATTAATAACATCTTTTGAAGTAGTGATGGTGTGCTCGAATGAGTCGCAGCCGAAGGGGGGCCCATCGGTGGGAAAGGGCTGGAGGACATAGTGACGATTCCTGGACTGTGAAAAGACGGCGAGTTGGAGTCTCGACTTGACGCAACTGACGATGGATTTGAGTGGGTGATAGATTTGCGCTCGGCAGCCTCAAGTATACTCGGTTTCGCGATGGCTCTTTTGTTGTTGTTGAGAAGAGTTGATGGTGGAGATTCTGTGCTGGTAAAAGTAAGTGTAAAGAAGATCTGGTGATCTTCCAGCTCCCATATAGTAATGATCATTTTGGCATAGATCTGAGAATCGGAGTCTTTGGGGTCAAAGAGTTTATCAAGCGTCGGTTTGTTAACGCCTTTACGTGTAATCACGACCTCAACTATCGAATCCTGCGGCTTGCGAGAGGGTGGGCTCGGGCGCCTTTCGGGGATGGGCATCGTGCTCGCGGTGGGTGTGGCATCGCCCCCGGATTGGGAAGGCCGTCGTGAATCCTTTGCTGCAGTTCGCACGCCCATTTCTTCCACTTGAGAATCGAGGAATGCCTCCCATGTTGCCCACACAGGTTGTCCGTCTTGGAGAATATCAACACCAACTTGAGATAGTGTCTGGCCCCGGAGGTTTTCGATGGTAGAGAGAGTATCGTCATCTTCTGAAGTGTCTGTGATAAGTCCCAGCATTCGACCCATTGCCTCGTTCGCTAAGACAACCGTTTTGAGGTTATTAAGAACCATGGTTGGTACGGGTAGATATTGCATTGCTGAGAATGCGAGCTGGCCAGGAGACATGCTCGGCATCGTCAAGCGGAAAGGACTCTGTGTGGGTGAGCGTGATGCATCACCAAAGTCTCTGAGGAAACGGCCTCCGGTGAATGGTCGCGGAGTTGCATCTTGACTTTTGATATCGTTCACTAGATCGAAGGTAGCTCTCGGTCGCGCATGGTCAAAAGCGGTAGGAACAGGAGCTTGAATATGATTACGATGAGGTTCGGAGCGAGTCAACGGGAATCCGGCATCGTGAGCAGTCCCTGCGGGCCTAATAGCTCGGGTTTGGCTGCTGTCACGAGGTTGTGCGGGAGGGCTCATGTCGGTGCTGCGTTACAAGGCATGGAGAGAGAACGCCTTTTCGCGTGACTTGCTTCGTGAACAAAACGTAATGCTCACAGGTCGCAGCGAGCGTATGAGCAGAGGATGTATTGAAAGTTGCAAGTTGCGGTTGCAATGGCCGCGGACAAAACAATGGCTAGGGCGCCGCCGGTCTCGACCTCGCCAGGACGAGTCAAAAAGCAAGTGTCAGTGGAGTTGATATACTAGGAATCGACAAGTGACCGTCGACGAAGAATTGGCATGGCGCAGAGGGGAAAAAGTGCCGTAAAGGTCAAGCAATGCGTAGCCCAGGATCTAGCTTGTCTGGGTACGGCGTCGACGGAGACGGGATTAGACTTTGAAGGGCGTGTTGAGACGGTTTAGTCGGCTTGTCAGGAACAAGAGAAGAGCTGTGGTTGGGCGAGAGGTGAAATGGTCGCAGATCAAGTTGATACACCAGGTCTCTGTGTTATGAGTTGGATCAGGATCAGGAGATTGGTTGAAGAAGACAGGCGTCCTGAACAAGTTATGTCGATCGTACTGTAGAGCTGGGCAAGCAAGAGATGATAGCTTTCACAGAATGAGCTTAGCTGAGATGGGAGGAGAGACGCGATGGACAGTTCGGCAAGTTGGATCAGATCAGATGCTTGCTTGCTAATGCAATGCAGCCACAGATATCCGAAAGACAGAACAAAGGACTGAGAGAAGAGAAAAATGGTAAGTTTTGGTTTTGTGCAACAGCATTTGAAAGGAATAGGCATTGATTTTCACTACAGTCAGAAGTCGACGCCCGAGGCGGCAAGGACAAGCAAGGACCCTGAATTGACACACCTTCCTGACGGGATGCTCGCTCTGGGCTCTGGGGTGCCTGGGTACACAGACACACACGCACGATACTGTAGGTCTTAGGCAAGAGGTACCCGAGCCTACACTACAAACTACAGCAATTCACAAGTCTACCTACGGTCCAGCGGGCGGGGTCCCATCCAATCCATATCCCATCGAGAGGAGTTAGGGAGTCTGCAGTACAGTAAAAGAGAGGGTCCAACACCCTACCCTGACCTCCACTGTCGGACCCCTTCCAGCGCCTCGCAGAAGGTCTTCCTCTGCTCCTCTACTGCACGGGGTGGGTGCCGGGGGCAGGGCGAGTGGGGAGTGGAGGTTCTTTCCACTTTAAAGTGCTGGTGGGTGGGGCGGTTGAAGTCGGTTGTTCACCAGTGTGAGCGCCGCGGCCTCGTCCAGGGTCGGGATCGCCTCCACAGCCGGACCCACCCTACCTTGTTGATGAAATGCCGATCGAGGCATGATTACAGACAGTATTGGACGACTGTACCTTACCTCACCTAACCCGAGTAGCATGGCATAGCATCGGCTCCAGTTTCAAGCCCTGATTCCTGCGGTGAACAGACACGACAACTACACAACACGAGCAGTTTACGACGTATTGCTACAGAGCCCCAGCACCGATGACCCTAAACTTAATCGAATCCTACCTCTGCTTCTAGGCAAGACACCTGGCCGCAGAAACCAACATCTACGAGAGCCCAGAACCAGAATCGCAGGCTAACTCCTTAGCTCTGGCGCCTCCAAGCTCACCAGCATCCGAGGTGGCTCCAGTCCAGTCTAACTCGGTACGTATGTCGCACCTCGAACTTGCTCACTGGCCCAATTGGCACACGGCAGACACACGGTACAGTTCTGCTGCTGCACAGCACAGGTAAACACCAGCCTTACGTGGAAATGAGCACAAACCAAGCCCGGACAAAACGCTTCCTTGCTCAAAGCCGAAGGTGGTCGGACGAGGCTCGAGGCTCTAGACGCTTGCATTCAAAATTAGGCCAGTCAACAATTTGTGCCCAGTTCGATACAGCACAAGAGAACAAGTAAGCACAAATAGGGCGGTCTGGCTGGCCTTGTCTAACTCACAACAAGGGCCATCCCATGGGAACGGATAACCTCGATCCCCGCAACCAGGGCATACCAGTTAAACGACCCGTAAACGAAGGAATCCTTACGTGATCGGAATTTATTAACCCGTCTCATCCGTTCGACGTTGGAACCGAAGCGCGAGAGTTACCGTTGCGTTGCGGTTACATCTTCATCGTTGTCCTCCTGTTTAGGCTTCACTTTATCGAATGGGATTTTGCACGGAAACCCAAAATCCATCATGGGGTTTATAACATTGACCATTACAGCGTAGTGCATAATATGGATGGGATACCCTATCATTCTACCAGTCGCCGCCAACCTTTTGGTTTCCCAACGAACCCGCCTATCATAGGATGAGCCGCCTGTCATCTGCTCGGAATTCGTCGGCGCCGTGCAACTAAAGGCAACTTACAGCTCCAACAACCGATACCCAACCAAGCGTGTCTTTTCAAGATTGTTGTTTTTGCACCATAAGAGATTGGACATTTTTGGTTTAATATGGTATCACCGCCTCATCATGGTGTCTCTGTCAGTGCGTCGGGATCGTGTGATGCTGGCAAGGATCCGTAGAGAACCTAAGCTTTGTTACAGTATGTATAACACTATCTGGTTTGATGTGGTTGCAATTAGAGTCGCATCCCCATCTGGCCCTGTAACCTACCAAGAGTGCAACGTACCCACCCGTTGATGCACGACACAGGAGATCGTGCGAGCCGACGAATAAGGCGAGCGGGCTTTCAGGCACGAAGACACTTTTGAGTTATAAACGGTTGAATAAAGCAAAACACAATCTGGGATATAAAAGCAAATCTTTCCGGATACAATATGGGGTTCGCACGTTATGCTACCTTAAAGTAATTAGCTCGTCCTAGCTACTGTCCAGTATCTGCTTGATGTTCAGTAACACGACCAATCAGCACACTGTGACCGCAACTGAAAGTCTTACTGTGCCCGTACCCATCGCCGAAGAAGCGAAGCTGACAGCTCAGTGCTTGATCGTGTTACAGTGAAATGCACAATTTCCTCCGAAGAAGGCATTTGAACTAATTAGCTGCATACTTCCGTCTATTTGTGGTAATTCAACGTGGTCTAGAATTGATTCCAGAGACATCTAGACCTTATAGCCAGGTCCTAATTCAATTTGAAAAAAGTACCTGTGCGATTCTATGCACGTTTCAAATACGCATCGTCGATTTCTACTACCTAGCCTCTTAAGTGTCAGGTAGTCTAACGCTATGGAATTGTTTAAACCAAGTCAAAATCCTCTCAGGCCTCAGCGTACAGTTCTGACTCATTAACAGATCCATCATCATGCAATTCACCAAGTTTACCGCTAGAACTTGCATCGGCTCCCAAGTTAGGTCGGCCTTCAGCAGCCGCTTCAAGCGTACAGTAGTAAACAGTTCTTCAGTTGTTTCATTCGATTCTTTCAAGTCTTCCAACCCACCGGTTTCTGCTAGGGTCCAGTTGGTAACAAGCCCCCCCGATGGCGTCCAAGCCCGCCTTGCAGATCATCTCCAATTCCAATCGGCGCTTTTCCGGATCCTGCAAAGTCTTCTTTAACGTCATATTTTTATGAGAATCTCAAGACACGATCTTGGTTGACCCCTGCATCTTGGCCCTTCGTCTCGGAAAAAAGTCCACTTGATGATTGGAAGCCAAGACGCACGAGTTTCCATTCAGCGAGCGTCAATGAAGTCATTGTTGATCGACAGAGCAAGAAACAAGAACCAGGGGTCCGTGGCATTGATTCGTCCTCAAAGTTTCCCATCCTCTAAGTGACCAAGGAAAATGCGATTCTCTGGTTAACTATCGTGAATTGTCCTTCATTTTCCCGCATGTTGAGCATGTCCACCATTGCTTTTGCATCTCCGTCCCACAATAGCTGCACTCCCAGGTTTGAGGTCCTGATGATGCACTTCCTTGGACTGCACTTGGTGGTTTCGATTTTCGTGATGTCGTAGCAGCAGAGGGTCGCCGATCTCGTGGCGGACTCTGGGTCAAGTCAATAACAGCAGGTTGTCTTTCGGATACCGGCGATCTGGATCGGCGGTTATCTTTAACCGGTTGTGTCCCTGGCCTTGCGGACCGCTCCATCCCACAAGCATCGCAAGAGAGATAATTGGCAGGATTGCGCAGAGTACAAGTGTCGCATGTCCAACTTGGAGGCTCTCTAGACCTCTCTGAACTACGGCTTGGTCCCCCATTTGGGATTACTGTTCCACCACCGTTTCCAGTAGGATTGTCTGCTGTGGGAGGGATATAAGAGTTCCCGTACTCGACCGATTTGTCTTGCTGCACCAGTTCCCACAGCGCTTGAGCAATGGCTGCATCGTTAGCCTCATCTTCTTCGGCCTGTGTGCGAAAACCATTCTTTGTAGCAGTATCAGAGATATTCCGAATCTGAGTTTCACTCAGGTTGTCTGTACCACAGCCCTTGAGAATTCTGCTTCTCCGCTCAGCAGCATCCGCAATGACTTTTCGAATGTCTTCGCCTGGGCGCGGGGCCGATCCTCCCAAACGCTTCCCTGACCCAGTCCCGGGATGGGATCGACGTTTTTCTGCAGCTTCTCTGGCCAGTCTACGGGCTTCATGCGGTGGCATCCTCGAGCCCCCAAGGCGTCGTCCATCGGAAAGGAAGCCTTCGCCGGTATAGCCCTTGAGGACAAGCCGTTCATGCTCATCTCGGAGTTGATCCCAGAGAGCGTGAAACTTGGCATCGTGAGGACCATGAACAATGTGAGATAACTCGTGGAGCATAGTATCTACAATGTTTTCAAGGGGCATGAACAGGGTACGATCTCCTGCATACCGCAAGCGAAGACATATCTTGGCTCCTCGATTTATATTGAGACCTGTCAGCTGCGTTTAACATGACAGTCAACCCCAGAGCTCACAGTAAAACCTACCGAGAAGATTCTGTTGATCAGGATAGAACTCTGCCAACTGTCGAACTTTCCAATTACGAGCTCGCATTATAGGTTTCACAATAGAAGCCACCTTTTTCAATATCTGCAATGCATCGTCTGCTCTGGGAAACTTTGGCAGGTGGCTATACGACAAGACAAGGGCATCGTGTTCAGCCATCGTGTTGTAAGTGACTTGCAGGTAAGACGTGGGTTTCGGTGTGTAAGTGCGTTACAGGAGTGGATAAGATGTCAAGGGTCTAACGATGACGTCGTTATCTAGAGGTTCACGATGCGAACTTGGTGGTGTTTAGGAAACCCATCGCTTTTAGAGTCGGCCATCAGTCCACGTCAAGGGCAGGTGCCTTGGGCTTTGTTGCCCCTTGATCCGGGGCAGGTGCATGTGGTTCTGAATGGTAAGGCAACTGCGGAACGCTGACGCAGAGAACCTGGAATCTTCGATTGGCGAAAATGACTAATCACTGCGGCTACCCTACAGTGGTCAGGCACTCCCAAGTTGTATGTTTGTCTATTCACAACGGCTCAATATCAATACAATATGGATTTGCCTTGTCATTATGGATTTAAGCTACCAATTAGGCTATATGGCGGCAAAGAAATTTGTTGTTGCTACGCGGGCTTATGAGCTATAGCCCTCAATCTGACATAGTGTATTGTTTCTCCACCACCAGGGTTACGACACACTTCACGAAGCACATCAACACATTCCTTTGCTGCCTCTTCTCGTTCCTTTTCATCAGTGACGGCATCCAGCAATTGACTTGCCATCAGCCTGGTCCAACCCTCAACGCCCCCCTTGTCGGCTGGAGTTGGCCGCCACTCGCGCTCTGCTCGCTCAACCTTGAAACCCGCTGCTTCAAGGGCACTCGTGATCCATGTTTCATCAGGGAAGAACCAGGGGTCTGCTGCGAGAGCTTTCTCCATACCCACTCGTCGAGCTATGGAGCTTAGGATTGCAGCGCGCATCTCCGAAACGTTGCCAAAGCCACCCATCTCGAAGACGAAGGTGCCGCCAGGAGCCAGTGAAGCATATACCCCGTCGAAGAACTGGGCGCGAGTCTCTTCGGGACGTAGAATCCAGTGCATAGCTGCATTGGAAAAGACTTTGGTGAAGCTGCCTTTCTGAAGCTCTGGTTTTGAGATAAGTTGCGTAGCGTCCAGAACTAAGAAGTCAACAAGTCAGCTGTGAACAATGACGCGATGGTCTTGGAGACCTTACCTTCGAATGTGGAATTCTGATTATCCTTGCACAGTTCTTGGGAAGCCTTGATCATTGATGCCGAGCTATCGATACCATGCATTGAGCCGTTCCCCTGCGAAAGGATCTTGGCAAATTCGGCATTCAATATGCCATCTGTATAGACAATCAGCTCAACTGCCGCAAAGTTGGATGTGGGCTAGAGTACATACCACCACAGCCGATGTCGAGGAGAATATCATCCTTCTGCAAGTCTAACCACGAAATAACTTTTGTCGCAAGCTTGGGAACAAAAGAAGCCGAGTGTTGGTATGCCTAAAATCCGTGTAAGTGCCTAGCGAGGTATCAAAAAGTAGAGATTGAGACAAACGTTGGCAGACCATCTATCTTTTTGATCTGTCATGATTGTGGTTGATTGATTGATTGTTGGCTGGATTAATCTATCAGATTAAGTCTGAAATTCAATGACGGAATTGCGGTCTCTTTATACCTGACATTTCGTATCGGTCATGTTGGTGAGGAGAAGCTTCAAGCTGGGTGCATCGCCGACATCGGCCTTAACGGTAACGTCCTACCATAGGCATGCATCAATTATATGAACTAACGAGGACAGAATAACCAATTGGATCAAATGCTTATGTACAAAGGGAATAACTCAAGACAATTGTTCCCTTTGTTATACTTGTTTTCATGTCCGGTTGTTCGCCGAGTTGATATGTGATAACCTCCAATCGTCTCATACACCGACAACCTACGAGAAAGAGATAAGACCTGGGCACGTAGGTTAACAGAATAATTGTCCTCTTAGGATTAGGGACCCGAAATAGAATAGCCTACGTGCTTCTCTAGGCTCGTATGAGGTAACTGAATTATTCGTCTTTATGCTCTTGGCGGCCAGTTCTTCTAACACCCTGACGCCGGGATATCAAATTTTGAGTCTTGGTGAGATCTTGCTGCTATCCTTGGTATTGCTACTAGCCACAGATTGTACTTAATCACTGTGGTCATGACAATGGCTCTAAGACTGCCATCCATCCGAGCCCCAGTCTGAGTCGCCGAGGAAATGTCCCTTATATATGGTTGTCCCATATTCAGGTAACGTAGAAACAATATGACTTCCTCTCACGTGTACTGCAACTCTATAACCAGGAGTTGTAGCGTTAGCTACATAGTCGCAAATCCCTATAGCGATTTGAACCCCAAACCACATCAACAATCCTGCCATAGCGACACATTCGAGACTTTGCTTTTCTCAGCCAGATTCTAGCAGCCCAGACCACATGCGCCCGAGCTATCCTCTAAGGAAACTGAGACTTCATACGGCTATACTGCACTATCAAGGGTACCAAGAGGGTAAAGTGAACAATTGGGTGAAGAAAGCCTCATGACGGCAACGCACATGGGAATTGTTCAGCTAGCAAGGATGTACCAATAATTGCAATCTCAAATAAAACAATCCGTTCCATTTGGTCTTAGTTCATATGTGATATATGCACCTTTATCTACAAAAATAAAATCAGGCTGTGGTCTGGTGTTGCCCATTGGGCTGTTTTCTCTGAAGTCTGCCTTAGTCAAAAAGCCATAGAATGCAGGGTGATCCTTCGAATATTTGGTCCTTGTGCTCTATGCTTTCATTCTTAAGAGGGTGAAGGCCCAAGGTGAGTGCTAGTCCTTTTGTTTCTACAAGCTAGAATTTCTCTTCAACGAAAGCAACCTCTGGTGTTCCAAATTCGCGATATTCTTGGTACATCACCATGATGGCCGAAAGTGTACAAACTCGTCCCGGAAATCCTTCGAGACTTGAACAGGCTTTCCCAATGGTCACTGAATTGGCATCTCTAGACGAACGAGATGTTATTCATGGCAGACAGGTCTATCAAGACTGTGGTTTCTTCCAATATAACGATAACACTTCAGGTAGGGTTCCTTTCTTTCCCCTTCTTCTCTTACCACCAAGACCCCTTGCTCGTCCAAGAACACAGATAAACTAACTGATAGTATTTTAGAATGGCAAACATGGCTGTGTGTTGATACGTCGTCATCAACGACTACAACCTGCAAAACCATCAATGAGAATTTCGGATGCTTTGTATGGATGCCGACAACTTGCTATGCTTCAACTGAAAGTGCAAGATGCAACAATCTGGACAAAAAGCAGTTATGCTGGTTCGTAACTCATCCTTATTAACCTTCTCCTTTGACTTACTCGAAATTAGTACGGATCCAACCTTCTCGGAATGCATGATAGCTCAGAAGACTGTGGGCACTCAGAAGCTCACGGCGTATGTCTGCGCAAATAACCCAATGGAGGTTTCTATATATGAATCAACGTACTTTCCAACGTCGACGTCAGAAGAAGAAACATCAAGCACGGGCACGGAATCAAGTGGCACGCCAGAGACGAGCATCAGTCGCCAGATCATAGACGTTGATTCGACCATAGCATCAACCACTGGCGAACAGACCTCTAATTCGAACGATTCTTCATCAGACAACGAGTCCAGGTCCTCCAGTACGCCTATCGGACCTATCGTGGGAGGCGTCATCGGAGGCCTAGCGCTCATTGCACTTGTCGGTCTTGGTATCTGGCTCATTCGTCGCAAGAAACAGCATCCTGGTGCTGTTCCTTCTCAAGGAGGTTATCATCCTCAGTCTCAGTCGTTGCCCCATTATGATTATGTCAATCCTGCATATGCCGCCCCTCAGTATAATCAACCGCCTATGTCCTCAACACAAGCAAATGAGTCCCAGCGTTTCAGCAACTTGCCCTATGCAGCGAGCCCTCAAGCTTCGGAACTTCCATCGCCCCCGGCTCGTCCGAAAACACCTGAGTTTTGATTTCTTGAAGTGATGAGAAACTTGACTGGTCGGACTCGAGGGTATGTACACGGAGTTTGGGGTTTCTGGCTGACATACGATGGCTTTTCTCATAATTATTATGTTGTGTTTGACTTAATGAGTATTTAGCTGATAAATGTTTGGCTTGAAATATCTTTGAACAGAAATTGAAAATGCCTGTTTGCCTGTCACAATCCACCGTCCTGATGTTCAGCTCAGCCTGAACATTCACATACATCACTAGGTACGAGTTCAAGTATGTATTCGATTCACAAATGCCTTGTTCAGTGAGATGTAGGCACTGTTAAAATTCATCCCTTGACTATAAAGTCCTACTAGTCTGTGCATCTAATCATTCCCCGGTCTCTTCCTAGTCAAGAGTCTTCGACATTCGCAAAGTAGCTATATTTGCGAATCGTTCAGCATCTGGTATCCTAAGAAAGAAGCCTATTTTGCCGCTTAATCACTACCAAAATGTGTCAAGAGATCGTCGGTGTCTGCTGCTATTGCGGCGACCATATCAAATCCTACTTCCTTCTTTGCCATTCTTGGCACGTAATCGCAGCACAGTTGATGGCTGTAGGCGAACCAGCCCCTCGAGCAGAGCATTGCGAATTTCGCGTAGCGAAGGCATTCCAGCCTTGGCTCAGAGGCTGTACCAACAACGACGTCTGTCCTTCGTGGTTCGGGAATATGTTCCCAGGTTTTAGTGACTCTTGGAGTGAAGAGACCTATCAATTCGAGGAGCTAACTGTTGCTGAGGACAAGTACGATGAATGGAAGAAAGACTTTGCTCGGAAGTACTTCGTGAAAAGACCTATCCAGATTCTACAGGAACCTGAGGGATTCTTTGAATCAGATACCGAATCTGTTCTTTCATCGTCTGCTGCTACTTCGTCTATCGACGACGGCGAGATTGCTAATGAGACTCTCCAGTCCGAAGTTGACGAGGATACTCATACCCAGACTGACGAAGCCAACAAACGAAATTTCGCCGCAGTCGATTCAGCTTCTGAGATCTCGGAAATTGATCCACTAGACCTATTCTACGGTAACGTGGTCGATTATGTTCCTAACAAAGACACCAGGAGCAACACCGTAGAAGCAGCGAAGACATCGAGAGCCAAGAGCAGCCGAGAAGAGTACCAAGACCTAGCCCCTGTATGGACTTCGTTCCATCCTTTCATGGACATGGGACGTGATAGAGAGTTCAACGACTAAGATACGAAAGTGCAGGGTCGTCAAGAATTAGGAAGAAGAATGAGTTGCCTGGGTTGATGAACATCCCCAGAGGAAATCCAACCAGTGTAGCTATTGGTATTTTGATATAGATTGTATAGTGTTCTGGCAGTAGACCTGTCTCGAGGTAAGACTAGCAGTGCAACAATTGATACCCCTGATTTTCCCTTTGACTTACACGGGCACGTATTAATGGTGACCCAATGCTCCGAGAACGAACAACCCAACTGACTTGCATGCATAGATGGCTTACTTAACCGCTCTCGTGAACACGGATCTCAGCATAGATTTACCATTGACGATATTAGTTCGATGCTTTCATGATAGATTAGAATAAGTGTCTGTACATCATCACTTGTCCATGCAGTGTACATCAGCCAGTGAAATATCTTGACAATAAACGGTATAGATTACGACACGACTGTCTATCAAACAGAACGCCTTTCCCAATAACAGATTCAGTATACTCTACAACCCATTTAATCCGACTTTTTCGCCCTCTTGCTGCCCTTCTTCTTCTTCTCCCCGAATGCCTCCTCGTACACCTCAGCCGCCGTCTGCTGGCCGGCCTTTCGCTTCTGCTTGGACGACTTCACGCTGACGACAGGGTTTGACTTGCCCTCCTTGGCGGCACTCTTGACTTGCTTCTCGGCATCTTCCCACGCGGGAGCATCGCCCTCAATCTCGTATCTGGTCATGGTTAGGTGTTGTACTTCATTGACTTTAGGAGTGTAACTTACTGGTCGAGGGGCAAAGAGTCAATAAGCTCTCTTTGCTTCTTCTTGAGCTCCCTCAGGGCCTCGTCGCCACCCTCCTCGAGCTCATCGTCGAGAGTAGTAGCCAGAGGAACGAAACGCTCGTCGATAATCTCGTCATCATGAGCACCATCAGCATCCTCGCGTGACACGCCCAGACGCTCGGCCTTAGGAAGCTCGGCATCGACAGCATTCGAGATAACTTCAGCGAAGTATACAGCCATCTTGCGGATAATCTTGATAAACATGGCAAGGATCGATTGCACGGGCTTGCCAAGTTCGTTGGCAATGACTTCAATGTCCTTGCGCTGCAAACCGATAGCGAGCAGAATCGCCTGGTAAGCTGGTGTCAGGGTAACCTTACCCTTGAGACGTCCTGTGAAGTAGAGAAGGGCGATCGTTGGAACCAGATCAAGGATAACGTGGTAGTCGAGCATGTTCTTAGAGTACGAGTCCAGTCGTTTCAAATCGAAAGGAGTCATGTAAACATCAAGATCGGACCTGACCAGTGGTTGAATTTCAACTGTGTCCAGCTGTGCACCGGTATTCGCAGACTCGCGAATGCTCAGGGCTGTAGCGGGGGAGAATCCGCGGAACTGATACGAGAGTAGCGACAAGAAACGCTTGTGGAAGTCTCGGGAGAAAGCACCGAGCCAGCTTCGGTCACCACTGTTCTCGAGAGGTCGCAGCATAACGCATGTGTGCTCGCCAGTCAGATCGTTGGCTGTCTGTCGCAAGTAGACGGGGGAGAAAGATGCTCTCTTCCAGAACTTGTGAAGAGGGCTGGTCAAACCGTAACTCACACCCACGTAATCAAGCTGGTCAGGCTTCCTCTCTGAGAGCTTAGAGAACAGCGGAGGCATCTTGTTGATGTCTCGCACCTTGATATCGTCGTCGAGGAGGTTGGCGTTGGCCAGCTCGGCATCGGTAACTCGGGTCATTGTCTCTTCCATAACTTGATCCTCGTCCTCTGACAGGTTGGCAAAGCGACCCTCATAGTAATCGACGAGCAGCTCAAGGGCCTTGGTTCCGTATCCCATGGAGACATACTCAGGGTTTGTGGCGATTCGGACAACTCGAGCACCAGAAAGAGAAGCGAAGTCCTCATCCTGGAACTGCTGGCTGACCAACCAGGGAATAAGATCACCACTGGGTCGCTGTCCTCGGCTCAAACTGTTAAGAACGCTCTGTCTGCTGATCTTTCCTTCAAGCGAAACCTGGATAACACACAGAGGTTCGGGCAATCTTGCGCTATCCTCAGAAACGGGAGGAACAAGAACGAACAACTCGTGCGCAGGCGCATCACTCATAAGCTGAAGATCATCGGGCGAGTTCTTGTAGTGACTGGCAACGTACAGCGCCACCATTTGCTGCAAGAACTTCTCAGAAACAGGGTGGAAGGAGAACAAAGTATCTCGGTTAACGTTCAGAAGTTGGCACTGGGTAGGGTCGGGGCATCCGTTAATGTTGGACTTTGACTTGGGCAGAGTCGCATCAAGGCAAAGCACAGTGTTAAGCCACTTCTCGACAGAATCTCCCTGAGCATATCGGATAGGTTCAGACAGGGTGATCTCACGAAGCTTGCGTCCAGACTGGAACTCCTCAGTCTTCGATGTCTTGCCCGTTGATCGGTCTGTAATCTCCATGCCTTCACCTGCGGTGGAAGCTGTGCGTGACTGATCTCTCAGCTGCTTGATGAGCTTGAGAGAAAGAGAGCGACCTGTACCCTCGTAACCGTTGATGGTGGATGCCATGAAGACCAGGTAAGGGCCCATCAGCTTCTTAACAAGAGGCAGAGGAATGGCTGCAGCCTCATCAATAACTACCAGCTCAGCCTGTCCGAGAACATGAGCGTCCTGGGGTCGGATATACTGGATGGTCTGTCGGTGTTGTCGGTGAATGTTTACTCGGACGATAGCCTTGTTGAAGTCGGGGTTGGTGCTCTGGATAATAGAGTAATCGGCGTGATCAGCGTAACCAAGCTCATCAAATCCCTTGAAGACGAACTCGAAAAGAGTCTTCAAGTTTTCGGGGGAAGGTGAAGTAATGAAAATGTTGCTGTATCCGTATGCAACAGCAGCTGCGACAGCAACACCCAGTGCTGCAGACTTTCCACGACCACGAGCAGCAGTAAGAGTAACTGTGCTTCGCAGAGTCTTCTCCGCGATAGCGTCTGTGAATGTAACGAGAGCCTTGGCCTGGTCGACAGTCTTGGCGAGAGAAATGAGAGGCCCAACGGGTTGTCGGCCCTCGTTCTGCTCCTTCATAGCTTCGAGCTCAACTTGGGATTCCGTCTTGGCGTTATCGAGGTCAGGAGGAGGCAACTTCTTGACACCCTTGCCACCGGAAATGGGAAGCACGTTCATCTCATCGTCGATAACCAAACATGAGTCGCAGCTACCCAGAGACAAAATGAATCGCTCGTTGAAACGAGCCACCACATCGTCGTGAGCCTCGGTTCTGTATCGTGAGTGGACGTCCATGGACAAGCTGTAGAGCTGCTTCAGACTGTTCATGCCCTTCAACAGCAAGACAACCAATCCACCACCTTCGACGGTCTCGATCGTTCGCGCGAGGATGTTGGGTGTGATGGCCTCGAAGTCCTGAAGAATACACATGCCGAAGGTCTGACCGAGAATCTTGTCGGTTTCCTTGTAGTAGGTATATCGGATGTTGTGTAGCGACACAAACAGCTCGAAGGGGTCCTCGGTGTTGGCTTCTCGGATTCCTCGCTTGATCTCCTTCTTGATCTTTTGCTCGCGCTTCTTTCGGTGACTGAGAACCTTCCGTTAGCTGCGTCGCAACGAGCGATAGGATGTAAAGAACTGCTTACCTGGTAAAGCCCAACAGCTTGTTCTTGTAAGCCCACAACACAGACTTGTTCTGCTTGATATCGAACTGGGACATGATGTAGTGCAGGCGCACGATCACATCTTTGGATCTGTCTCCGACGACGACGAAGAAGCTTCTCTTCTTCTCTTGCAACCCATTTTGAATGAGCGCAGGAATGCGCGAGTCCCTATGATATTGTTAGCTTGATGAAGCAAGCTTGAGAAGCCAAAAGAGGTACATACACCGCTTTGCGCTGCATTATTTCAGATTTTTCTACGACCAATTGCTCTGAAAACACCTGGGCGCAAATGCGATCTCGTCTTCAAGTGGGACCTGGCTCAAAAAATCCAAAATTTTGGCGGTTGATGAATTTCTGCCGGGCGGTCAAGCTTCGGTGAGACACAGAGAAGTGGGGCACTGACGGACTTAGCATCCGACCTCACCGAGGACTCTTGAAGTCCGAATAAGGTGGCGCTCGGTGTACGGATAGGTGGTCTTCGATTTCGTATCCTTGTTGACTGCGGATTTTCTAGGATACAATAACAGCCCGGGTCTACTTGTCAAACCCTGTCACATGGAGCTGAATATATAGTCATGATTAGCTTGTTGAGATAGGTAGGTAGTCATTGAAAGGCGTCTTCGAGTGTGGCGTCGTTAAAACTAAAACTTAGATATAAAAAATGATTGAGCCACTGATAGGCATTAAACGTTAAATGCATCATGTTCACGACTCAACTCACAAGAGTGCTGTTACTCTTCCAAAGTTAGACGGACTTCCAAGAAAGCACCAGTCTCTCAGACAAGAATCACATATATGGGCGGTAATAAGCGAGGATCAATGAGTGAATTGTACAGCTAATGATACATGATCCGTTGGTCTGGGCTGATGTCACGAAGAAGAACATCTCAACTGATTTAGAACGATGATTGTTATGCGCGAGTCTATATGTAAATATGAAAAGCCTCGAATCGCAATGCCACATCCATCCAAACTTGTAGAGAAATCATCACCTTCATGCCCAGACACCACGAATGAAAAATGTCCGAATGCCCCATATGCGAGATAGTGAGAAGATCAGAAACAGGACTCGAACGGTTTGGGGGAATATGTACACATGTCTAAGTTCGATCCAACTTGCGGCGCAGGACTCGCGTCCTCTTCATCAACTTCTTGTACTTCTTCTTCTTCATCTTGAGCTTTCTTTGTCGCTTCACACTGATGGCATGCATATCACGGCGACCCTGGGCCTCGTCAAACTTGAGTTGACGGAGGGCCAGGCGCTCAAGAAAGCTTCGCGGTTGATCCTGCATGATTCGGGGGCTGTGGGCCATGATACGGATCTGACCATCGGGGTCGGTAGACTCCTCAATGGTAAAGAGGGCCTTGTAGACGCGGTGTTGGGGGACATCCTCCACGGCCTCGGCTTCGGCAATAGCACTTTCTGACTCGCCAGCAGCCTGGACTTGAGGCAGAGGAGGGGGTCGGAAAGGGAGGAATTCGCCGGACATAGCATCGATCTGGAGGTACATGCTGGACTCTGTACCGTCGGGGTTCTTGATATCCACCTTATGCATAACTTCCTGTCCCTCTTGGCCACCAATAGTCATCTGAGCCATGGGGCCCTCCAGTTGCTCGATAGTGTTGGAGAGAGTCGCATCGGTGTCGGCCATCTTGTTGTTCCTGGTTCGTGCGGCGAAGATGGAGGCAAAGTGCTCATCGGACACGGCTCGGGGCATGGTTTGAGTAACAGAGATAGGTCTGTGTAGCGAGAAGAAACTTGATAGACCAAGGGCTGAGCCTGTTAGCAATCGTTCTAGATATACCATTAGAGCATCCTGGATTCCTACCTTCTTGTGACATGTGATGCGTGTTGGGAACGCTGGGTAGCTTCTTCATAGAGGCCGCTCGATCGGATGCATCCTTGCTGCTCTTGCGCTTTCGCTTCTCGCTGCCAGACTTGGGCGTTGTGGTGGCGGGAACCGACTGACCGGCGGAGATCTCGTTGGAACCATTATCGGATTTGGAGGGTTTCGAGGAGGAGTATCGGCGCTGCTGATTTTGAATCAAGATAGGAGTGCTCTTTATAGTGGTTGGGGCGATGGAAGACACGAGGCCGGTCTGAGGGGTAGAGGAGACGGCCGAGGTGACGATACGGCGCACCGATGAAGGCAACATGATGAGTTACCAGGTGCGGAGGAACCGCAGAGTCTGGGAAGTGAGGAGAGGGGCGGTTTTAGAGGTCAGGACGAGTTCCTGATGTTGTTCAGTTGTATCTTCAAACCCGGATTTGGCCGCCAGGTAAAAGGCTGCGCTGCGATGGAACAGGGTTTCAGACGCTAACTATTTGTGGCCTAAGGCAGCGATAACGGCCACTCTGAACTAGTGACATAAAAGACATCAGACCATGAGCATGATGTTCTATTTCCATATGTGATTCTGAATCTGGTCTGTCTTTATTTACGACTGTTCAAACCTGACTTATTATTTAACCATTATAAAGCCTTGTTTTTTTCTGAATTGTATTCACAATGCTCTGCAATTAATTCCATTACCTTGAGACTCTTGATGATCGACCTGTACTATTTCTGTCTGCCCACGCCCAGCATTCTAAACACGGACCGTACCCCAACCACTGCAGCTGGTTTCATCACGGGGCTTTCTCCGCACTTACAGCAGGGCAGTGAGAACCTGGAAGTGACTCAAAATGGCGGGAAACGCAAGCCTTCGGCGGTTATCATGGGTCACTGCCCCGGGCACCGATCTCGACTGATAACCGATCCAGGACAGCCCGGACATCGATTGCCGCTGTATCATGACTCTTGGCAGTACATCGCGTGCTCAAAGATAAGCCGCATGAGACCCATCAAGTATCCATTAGAGTGAGAAGTCATGTGCTTTTGATGGCTTATTATACATAGGTATAGCATCTATCGAAACGCGGTCAAACCCTTTGAATAGACCGCATGGCTTGATTCCTTCTGCGCCGTTTATACCCCAAACCCTGTGAAAACAAATCCAGTCAACTCATGTGAAAGCAGAGCATCAGCCTGATACGTGCAAAAAGACAATGCGTCTATGTCTATAGAAGGACGAGTGGCTTAGCGATTCTTTGAGCAACAGGCTGTTCTTTATTGGGAGTTGACCCAGCTCAAGTATGAGTTCCAGCCAATCGCGATGATGTTGGCAAAGAAAAGACGATACTGCAAGGGAATGAGCGAGAAGTTGATGACCTGGACAGCAGGCCAGAGCATCCAGTTTGCCTTCAAAGCAGGCCACCATGTCTTGTCGATGCGCTCCTTCGCACTCTTGCCTTCCATGGTGGCCATGCTACCAAGAAAGACACCGATCATGACAGGCGCAAAGCCAAGCTGGTCGCAAGCGACACGGGTGAGGACTTCGGCCTTCTTGTTCGGCACGTTGACCCTTCGAGCAAGGAAGGCAAACCAAGTAGTAGCGACAGGGCCGAAAACAACTGTCAAGAGTCAGTATCTGTCGAGTAGCTGAGTAGGGAACCAAGGGGACACTTACAGCCACCGTAGAGAGCCATACGGCCTGTTCGAACCATGTCATGCTTCTGAACACCCTTCTTCTCGACGAGCTGCTGAGCTGTAACATCACCTGTAGCAAAGAGGAATGCAGTGGTTACACTCTGAGTAAGCAGTGGGCGCGCAGCCAACCTGGCGTTGTACCTGGATATAGATCAGCACGGACGCTATCATGATGTATGCTTGAATGTGGAATTGGCTTGAAAAGACCTACCAACGAATGAATGAAGCCATTATGATGAAGTGGTTTTTGGGGAGACCTCTTTCGGGAGTAGTCGAAGTTTAATAATCTTTTCGAGAGAAGATTGACAGAGGTCGAGAGAATCCGTTTCTCGCAAGCCACAACGTTAGATGGGCAAGATGCGCCTATAGGAAGACGAGCGACTCGACTTGTCAAGGGCGACCAGTTGTAGACGCCTAGGATTCAGAGGACTAAAATGCGAAAAAGCACTCTTCAAGGAGATCGTCTTCTAAAGAGGGCAGAGAGAACCTTGACGTTTAAGCACTCAGGCAGGTAAAGAGGACTGAAGCTGCAGATGCAAAGGGCATGACGTAGCAGAGGCGCTTTGATAGAGGTTGACTGTCACTGTTGCACGTCTTTCGCATTTAGCCTCAAGCTGACCTGACCTGGGGCTCCAGACTTTTTGTGTCCCACTGCGGGAGCTGGCGATCTTCTAGGGGCACGTCCCGATAAGAGTGGGAGCACGGTTACATGCACACCGATAACTGATTGTGGAAATGATGTCTCGAAATCCGTTGACCTTTGCAGCAACACCACTAAAGACGCAGGTAGGTACTGAAACAATTAGCTTCTGGAAAGCTACTGCGGAACTTCTAGTTTAAGTTACTCTCTACAGATACATCATGGATAGCCCTTGAAAGGATAAATAGCTTCAAATAGAAAAACAGGCCATGGATGCGTTGTCACCAACTGGAGTCGCAATGGAAGGGCTTATACTACCTAACGTTGGTAGAAGGTAGTGTGAGATAACCATCTGGTCGTTGCAGTTGTTGAATATAGCTGCTTCTTACGCGACAACAAATTTCTACTCAATTCTGGTCTTGACAAACCAAACCTAGTGACATTTCCTTTACTCAATCAGCGACCTGGCAGACAATTCCGTTCCAAATACTGGCCTGACTCTTCTGCAGCTGGAAATAGGCCGTTAGATATCATAGACAAAGTCACTAGATTCTTAAAGTATAGAATCAACAGGATTGCTTTAACAATTGCTTCAATGAGTTTGCTTTATTCATGCTATCATTGCCGCATCTTTGTGCGCTTCAAAACAACATAGGCATCGCATCGTACACAATCCAGTGGATCTCACTCTTCCCAGCCGTATCATTGAGAACCCAGATTTTACCATCCCAAGGTAACAAGAACCCATGTGAAATATGGGTAAGCAATATAGACAACTCCTCTAAACTCCTGCAAACCACCCTATGTATGTATATAGCAGTCTCCTTAGGTATCGTGCATCTTGCCAGCAGTGATTCTGTGGCAGGAGCTTAACGGAGAGCTGCTGAAAGCCAAGATAAACCAATGCCAAGTGAGAAAGAGAAATCAGACGAAGGGTAATTAAGAGCTCTTAGTCTTCTTGCGACCCGACTTCTTAGGCTCCTCTTGAGGCTCGGCGGCGGCTGCTGCCTTGGTGGACCTTCTACGCTTCTTGTCAGGGCTAGCAGGGGCGGGCTTCTCTTCAGCAGCAGCGGGAGTAGCGACCTTGCGCTTGCGACCACCGGCAGCCTTCTTGGGGGTCTTGGCAGGGGTCTCGGCCTCTTCAGGCTCTTCAGCAGCAGGGGCAGCAGCTACAGCCTGGAGCTGCTCAGCAAGGGCGTCCTGATCGTTGGCAGGCGCTTCAGTTTGAGTGACATCCTTGAGCTCAGGCATGGGGATCTGGAAATCCTCAGCATACTTGAGTGCCTCCTCATCAGTCATGCCCTTGGCAAGAGGGTTGCCATTCTTGTAAGAATGAACACGGGCGTTGTAGAGACGAAGGTTGTACTGGTAGGCATTGTTCCAGCCCTGCTTCTCATGGGGTCCCATGTGTGCCCATCGTCGCTGGCCCTCCTCCTGGACGGCGCCCTTAGGTGCTTCAGTGCCTAGGTCGTTGGCAATGATGGAACGAGCGTGCTGCATGTACAGGAAGTAAGGAGTCAAGGGACGCTTGGGAGCGTTAGGGTCAATGGTTCGCTTCTTGCGTTCCTTCTTCTCCTCAACAGGAGGTGCCAGCTCAGCAGGCTGGATGCTAATAAGCTGCTGAGCAGCTTGCTCAAAGTTGGCGAGAAGGTTGTCTTGGGAGCCCTCAGCAGTAGGCTCGCCAAGGAGAAGGTTGGTCTGGCGAACATAGTCGGCAGTGAAAGAGCGCAAGAGCTCAAGAATGGTAGTCAAGCGACCAACAGCCTAGACAAGGTTAGAATTTGTTCTCAAATATCTTAGACACAACTTGTAGTGCGGCATAGGGAAGTTGGGTGTAAGTGAGTCGGTGGGGAGCTACAGTGGGTACAAAGGCATTGTGGGGTAAAGCTACTGTGAACTTGTAAAGACTCGACTTGCGACAAGCTTTCTGACAACGCGCCTTCGACTAGTCTAAGCCCGAGGGCCGAGTTGACAGGACTTGAGCGCGTTGTTGTTCAAGTAAAGTGGGTGGTAGAATCGCAGAAAACCAGATGAAAGATGAAGACTTACCGAATCGCGAACGCGAAGGAAGCTGTCGTTATCAACGACGCGCTGAGGCATCACGGCCTGAGGGGGGGCTGCGACAGCAGCGGGCATGGGAACAGCCATAGCTTGAGGGACGGCAGCGATAGGCTGGGGGTGTTGAGGGTATTGCTGGATGTGCTGAGGAGGCATAGGGACGGGAGCAGGTTGCTGCTTCTCGACAGGTTGCTTCTTAGGGCGAGCCATTTTGATTTGTGTGAAGGTATTTGAAGTTGGGTAGTGATGCGATAAATCTGCTGGTATAGACTTCACCCGAAGCTATACAGAGACGATGTGTGGCGGGCAGACAGACGATTTAAAAAAAAAAAAACGCGATTAGTCTGTAGTGGACGCGACGCAGTGCGAAGTGTCAAGCGGGCAGATTCAGGCGACTTTGGCGCGTTGATGGGAATAAGGATGCAGCGATTTACTGAGAAGTGCTGGAAGACGAGAGTGCTGAGAGTACTGAAGAACGGGGGGAAAGTCAGAACGGGCGCGGGGTGGGCGGTGCGCTGAATATGTAGGGGCCAGGTGCCACGCGCAATCAGTAACTGCTCGCTAAGGCGGGGGCGTCAGAAAAATAGGTAGCGCCTAAGAAAAAAAGAAATCACTTCAAAAATTAAATAAGGAAAAAAAGGGAAGAGCTGCAGCAGGCGCGTGTTTTTAGTGGTCGAGCGCCGATTGATTGGCTGTAACACACCCGCTCGAGTGGCCCCCCGAGTCGCCCGCCTAGGCCACCAGAACACAATTAAAAAATTTCACCACTCAGGCGGGGGCTTGAAAATGGGGCCTGAGGAAAGCTGCACAGGAAGCCCGCCCGTCCAGTTCCAGGTAAGTTTCCTCTCAGTCTCTCAGTCTCTCAGTCTCTCAGTCCTTACAGCAGCACCTTCTGTGACCCTTTGTCCCGCGGCAACCGACCTGGCCGCTCCTACGGAACCCACCGAACTCTTGGGCTTAGCGGGCTGTCGCAGGCAAAGTAACCTCCAAGACTCACACAATGAATGTCCCGTAGATATTCCAGATGCCAGGCTCTACCAGCCCAAACCTCCAGCTTCCTTCCATTTTCTATAGGCAGGTAGCCCGTAGACGGCAACTACCTCCCAGTGCACTTTCCCTGAAATAAGGCACCTGCTGCACAAACAGAACAGCCCGTGCAGTACCAAAATTGATACTCAGTGAAGAGGCAAGAGCAACCACAATGCAATCCACGCCTGACTCTTATAAGTCGGGAATCTATTCGCGTCTGTCACTCAAACCTTGACACTCACAAATCCCAAACACAACACACCCAAGCGAAGACGCGCAAACATAAAGGGCCAAACGAACCTTCGAGCGAGGATCGCTGACTGGTCAATCACCCATTCCCAGCGAGGGAACAAGTCTTCCGCCCGCTCAGTCGTGCAGCCTCTTGGGTGCTACTGCTGCAAGTGCGGAATTCTCAACGTTAAATGTATCGCGTCTGTACTCGTCTAATATTTTTCATCTTTGGGCATCGCGATTGAGGATTACTTCGCTATCTCCTCTACTCTATACGTATGCTCATTGTGACGGTAACAATGTTGGTTGTACATGCATCACAAATTCGTTGCCAAAATGGACTTACAGCGCCTTCGAGGCCCCTCGCGATCACAATCGCCAAAGCTATGATATTCCAGTGATACCAGCGAAATACTCATTCAGCGATCGTCCTAGCGCTTTACATGACGCCTCTCAGGGCATACCGGAACGATGTGTCACTGTCACACCCTGAGGAGTGTGCTGCCCTCCACTCACCGCCTCAAACCCCAATCCGCGAGCGCCTTCACCTGCTGAGGTTGCTGGAAACTGATCAGGCGGGGTCATTCCAGCACCTTCACCCTTGACCTATTAGCCTGTACATTTCAGCACGATGAGCCAGGGGGCCACACATGGAATGACGACCACTACTGGCGCTCAAGGTTCGAGGCTCTTTTCAGGCACTTGGCGTCCCCCCAGCGTGCCGCTGTGCGACGAAAACTCCGCAACTCTCCAGCAGAGCCGAACCCTGATGATGCCTGTTCGAGCTACGAGCAACCTCCTGTCCAGTTCAGTTATTCAGGTTGTTGGTGCGAGAGACTGCTTTATTCTACGATAGGATCCAGCATGTGGCGCATCTGCCCCTGCGCTCGTTTCCATTTCACGCTTTATCAGACATTAATTGAGTGCTGTGATATTAATTCGATTAGCATCCACTAGCATCCACGGGCACCCAGTTTCAGCGCATCTGAGCAGCCTATGGTCAGCAACGCCCAACTCAGGCCCTTTGCCTTTCTTCTCGTAATGGTGACCTTTGGAGTACAGCACAGTTGTTGAAGGCCCAAAACCACTACTGAAAGCATTCCTTAATAGCTGTTGCAGCATCACAAGAAACTGGCATGTTCAGCACGGCTACCTATATCATGAACCATTTCTGACCTGGCAGCAACTTCTTAAGGAAGAACTCGTCAATTCGTGTAATCAGTGGCCCGTAGCCGAGTGGGTGACCTTTGCCAGAGTATGAGTACGTCAAGAACATGGATTCCATGAGCGAGACAAGTATAAGCGTAGTGTCTTCGTTCTCCAAAAACCAGAATAGACACACTCGCCGGCTCAAGCATTATGAGAGCACCTTGATGACCTTCTGTCTGTTATCTGACGCCGCGTAGCTTCTCGTCGAGAACCTTGACACCACCGGTTAGATATTCTCGGGTGTTATAAAGAGGCAAACGCGTCTTTATATCTCAATGATGTGTTTCTGCAATCATTCAGTCCCAAGCTGGCGTGACTGTCTATCCGTCAGCCACGTCTCGGATAGCATCGTGCTATAATTGTGTTATCCCGCTATGCTACCCAGTATGTCTCTCTACCACCTATGGAACTCGAGCTGGACCGTTTTTAACGCGCCGCATCTAGGTACCTTATACGCGACGACCGTCCAGATATTCTTCGCAGACTTGTCGTTTCAGACTTGATATGAACTGCGTAGCAATATCTCCGTCCAAAATGTCGCTGCTATACCTATCCTTCATTGTACTTGGAGACTTTGAAGTTGTCTCTTGTCGCATCGCTCTGTCAAAGTCAGACGCGATGGAGGGGTAGCGCAACCCCTCAGTACAGTAGCAAGAAAAACCGACAGGAGGATACATCTGCGCCTGGATCACTACCTCGAGGCCGATAGTGGGATCCCAGCTACAACTGGGCGATAACATTCAGGGACACACGAGATATGTTTTCAGAGCCTTTGAGGTGCTGATTCCTGCTCGTAAGCTTTGCACTAGCTAATGTTTGTTCAGTGACCAACTTCATTATTCCGGCAACCACGCGTTTCTCGTTAAGCTTCATTCGACGTCAGCCAATAGCCCCATCAACTCGCGTTACAGACCCTTGTTATTGCCATCATGGAGGGGTGAGGTACTTGTTTCTGCACCAACAACACACCAAAAGAACGTGTACTGGACCCCTGTCGCAGCTTGCAAAAGCTCCCCCCAGCTCCCTTTGCCCCTCGATGGATCATTCTCTAACGTTGCGGGCCCTGAAAGCTTGCGCATGAAATTATGAAATCATGCTTGGCACGAATGCAAAGCAGACCAGGCAGACCATTGCTCGACTGCCGGTTGATCGCCCGGGAAAACTGGATTTCGTTAGGAACTTTTACAGTAGCTGCTACTGTAATGGATCTCAAGATTGAGTCAGGTCAGCTTAGGAGGCAGCCGGACCCCCTTCTGCGCTGTTAGCTTAGCGCTGTAAGAGGTGAGGTGGCTTGGTCTGTCTTGTTTGAGGTACAGTAGCAGTTGGTATCCTGAAGATGGTCTGGACTGGACAAATGATGTGAGCTCCAGTGTTTCGGCTGGTTTCCTTAGATCGGGCCATCTGTTTGTCACTGGAGGACAGACCATGGCCGGGAGCTGAAGCTGCGTCACTAGCTGAGCTCCAATCGACCCGACGGCTGCCCCTCAGTTGGTGAGGTCCCCTCCACCTTCACCATCCTCCACCGACTCCCTGTTTTCTTCTTCTTCTCCTACTTCAATATCCTATTCCCCTGGAATTCTTCTTCTTCCTTTCTGCAAACCAATCGAACATACTGTGCGCCTTTCTGCTAGCTCAGAAGGGGTTCTTTCCTTTGCAGTCTTTGTAACACAACACCAACCTGCTATCTGGGACACTCCCAGCAGTGAACCATCACAATGTTCACCCTCAGATCTCACAGCCTCCTGGTGGGGCTTGTTATCCTCGCTGCTTTGGCCTCACCGGCTATTGCTTTTGGAGCTGGTAACATTGCCTCAATCTCCAAGGTTGAAGGCCAAAACTGTAAGTAATTCGCATGCACGGAGCAAGAGGCATCAACGACTGACTTCACTTGCAGGGCGTCACGGCGACATCACAGATGCACTCCTGATCCTCTCACAGGCTCAGGCCCTCAACGGCAAGAAGTTCAACAAAATCAACGTCTCTCGTGTCTACTTCGGAAACTGGCTTCGAGACTACTCCCAAGCTATCGATGTCGGTACTGTCAAGTCTGTTTCTGCTGAGGCCATTCGCCTTCTGCTCTGCGTTCTCGGCTTCATGACCTTCGGCTACGGCTCTGGCGAGTTCGAAGTCACTGCCGAACGACTGGGCTGCTACCGTCCCGAGGACCACATCGACAACCCCAAGGATTACGCCGAGAACGTTGATGCTCGTCAGTATGATGAGCGCCTTCGAGGCCCAATCGACGAAGAACGAGAGCTGTCTGTCGATCCCGAGACAGGCATGAAGAACTACATTGCAAATGAGCGTGCCCGTTGCATGACTTCCGCCAGGCACATCAAGAAACTCTTTAGTGGCACCATCGAGCTTGCTCGTCGATACAAGGACTCTCGACGAAAGGCGGACAAGTACGAGGCTCTTCGCCTTATGGGAACTGGATTGCATTGTCTGGAGGGTAAGTAGAACAGGCTGCTTCTTGACTACTCATGAAGCCCGAACTGTGTAATCAAAGGCTAACATGACTGCAATTAGATTTCTTTGCCCACAGCAACTACTGCGAGCTTGCCCTCATTGAGCTGGGTGAGCGCGATACTTTCGCCCATGTCGGCCGCGATACCGAGATGGAGATCGAGGGTGCTCGTGGACCAGTCTACCCCGTTGTCACAGGTACTTTCGGTGGTGTTGATTTCCTGCACTCCGTCACTGGTGAAGGTTAGTAATATGACTTTATGGATAGGAAAGGAGCAACGCTAACCATTTCAGTTTCCGACAAGTTGACCCAGAACGAGATTGAGGAGCTTGAGGGCACTCTCCAGCAAGGTGCCAAAACCGACACCAGCATGCTTCGCGATCTGTTGGATAAGATCCCTGATGGCATCTTTGGTGATAAGCACCAGAGTGACCGAGTTGACGAACTCCAGAACAACGCTGCTGCTGCTCAGATGGAGAACACAAGCGTCTCTCCTCGCGACCCCGAGGAGTTCACTCAATACATCCAGAATGTCTTTAAGCAAGTCATGCCCGCAATTGAGTTCCACGACGACATCATGAAGAGCATTTCGGGCGCTATGGAGAGAATCCCCGTGTTGCCTAAGATCATCGAGCAGCTGGAGGAGCAGCTCTCTGTCTTCATCTTCTCCATCATTGCTCCTTTCATCGTTCCTCTCATTCAACAGATCCGCAATGAGCTCAAGACCGGTTCTGAAGAGATCATTGCGAGCAGTGAGCGTGAGCAGCACATCGTTTTCAACGATGATCGATCTACCGACCCCACTCACTCCATGCTCTCCAAGGATCACTTCTCTAACGTAAGTTCAGCCTGATAGCCTGATATATGTGCACGACAAACTAACTCAACGGCAGATTCTCAACGAGATTGCCGGCCGAAATGCTGCCTCTATGGTCCAATGGGTCGTTCCTCAGCTCATGGATGCCATCGATGACGAGAGCACCGATGTGGATAGACTCCTCGACGACATTGTCAACGGTGTTCTGCACCATCCCGCTCAGCGAGACCTTGGAAGCCGTAAGGCTCAGGAAGGTCGTCATCGTTTCTTCCAAGGCGTCGAGGAGTGGTGGCAACAGATGGGTGACGGCCAGCGTGAGGATTATCGTCGCAAGCTGACCCGCGAGGGTGTCCAAAACGGCGAGAACCACAAGGAGGGTGTCCACGATACTGGTCACGGCCACGGATGTGCTGGCAAGCTTAAGATGCGCAAGCTGTACGGCGGCGGTCCTGAGACTCTCGAGGACAAGATTGCTGGTGCTGCGGCTGACGCCATCTTCAAGGGTGCCACTGGTGCCATCTCTGGACTGGTTGAGCAGAACACTGGCTATAAGATGCCCTCTTCTTCCCATAAGGAGGAGAAGGAAGAGGGTGGTCTTAGTGGCTTCCTCAACCAAGCAAGCTCACTTCTTGGCGGCGCTTTCAACGATGACGACACTAAGCGACAAACCAGCAGCCGCCGTGAAGACGATGGCTCGTACACTAGGACTGAAACCGAGTATGGTCATCAGGGCAACCGTTACGGTCAGGCCGAGTACTCTCAGACTCAGCGTCCTGACGGTAGCCAACATGAGGAGTACCGTCGTTATGAGCAGCGGGACTCTTCAGATGGTCGTCACACTGGTGGCTACGGCTACGAGGAGCGAACCGAGACTCATCAATCCTACTCTGGAGGCTATGAGCAGCGCACTGAGCGACAGGAGTACTATGGCTCTAACGAGGAGAGCCACAGTCGCCGTCGTGATGATGACGATGGTGGCTATGGCGGTCGTCGTCAAGAGGAAAGCAGCTACGGCAGCAGTGGCTATGGACGTCAAGAAGAAAGCAGATATGGTGGTAGCAGCGGATACGGACGCCGAGAAGAGAGTGGTTACGGTGGCAGCAGTGGCTACGGTCGACAGGAGGAGAGCAGCTACGGTGGTGGCTACGGCGGCCGTCAAGAGGAGAGCAGCTATGGCCGCCAGGAACAAAGCAGCTATGGTGGTGGCTATGGTGGTAGCGGCGGCGGCTACGGTCGTCAAGAAGAGAGCAGTTACGGCCGTCAAGAGCAGAGCGGCTACGGCGGTGGTAGTGGCCACGATCGTCGAGAAGAGGGTGGTTATGGCGGTGATAGCTACGGCCGCCGTGACGATAATGGTTACGGCGGAGGCTCTGCTGATGACTATGTCCGACAGAGCTCAGGAGGCTATAACCGTGAGCGCCGCGGCAGCCGTGACAATGATGAGTATGGTGGTGGTAACGGCTACGGTGGTGACCGACGCTGGTAAGAACTGGGATCACTCTGTTTGGAGAACTTTGAGCCCAAAGGCCTTGATTCACTAGGTACCTACACAGGGTTGAGTCTTAATTGAAGAAAAAGCAATGACAGTTACGATTATTTGAGCCCGTCAAAGAACACATGTGAATCTTGAGAAGTCCATATTGCAGTCATCGTAACAAGATATGCCAGCTAGACAAGTGGTTTCAACTGGGTACTGGTGACCGGCGTTGCTCGCTTTGAGGACATGTCTGACTTCTTCCTGGATCTACACCGCTCACTATGCTGTTCATGCCAATCAATCCTACTGATGGTGATTGTTGTCGATCTTTGGCCTATGGATGAGGCCCAACATCATACACACAGTACTAAGCTCCTTTACAGTGCCGAATGGGTATCAGAAAACGACGTTCTCTGAGCTTATGATACTTAACAGAAAAACAAGAGCTTGTCTGATAGTTAGTCTAAGCTAGCATAAAGCAACCAAGTGTTTCGTCTCTTATGCTCTCCGCAATCAATCTTTCTGATACACTGATGTTCTGTGTACATCTCCAGGATATGTTCAAAAGAAGTTGATTGCGCGAGCATCCCCCCTCCCTGCCCTCCACCTCAGACCGAAATAGGCAGTGAGTGTAAGGCATAACGTCAGGCTCATCCATCCTCAACGCGATTCGCAGATGTACCACGTGTAACTCAGATGACGCTTTGGTTCGCTTAAAAGACAAAGATTTTCGTTTAAACATCCTACTGCGTTGGTGAGAAAATGAATGGTCTTACATTCAGATCTACCTTATCTCTGAGTGAGCTGATTGTGATGATGCTAGTATCTCTCCTAGTAGAATAGCGTGCCTCAGGCTTCGTGGATCTGGATAGCTTTATCCGTACCCGCTTTCTGATTACGTCAAGTGGCGTAGCACGATAAGACAAGGATTCTTTTACCTTGAACTGCAGGGCCAGGGGGTGCGAAGGATAGAAATCTGGCTATGGTTGGTTAGATTGAGAAGAAAGCCAGTGGAGCAGTTCAAGGCAGCCGAATTGTAAGAGATCCATACTGATACTCCCGCGGGTGGTTCAAAGACCTTGTCGTACTGTAGCAACACAGATTCAAAGCAGGTACGGCAGATGAATTAGGTACGATTAGAGTATCAGACAATTCAACCTCAAGTCCTCAACCTTGGAACTGTTCTGCAGCATCTTGGCATCCGAAACTCACTAAGGCATAGAATCTTGCCGGTTTGCCGAGATAGCTCCCTTTCCACTTTGCCAGCCCCAGGACCCTCGAATCAGTGATAGTCAGTCAACTTGCCTGTCTTGGTGTTTTCAATCAAAAGTCCTTCTCGTACAGTGCACATTATACCCTGCTAAACTACTGAGACACGGAATATGTACGGCACAGTAAAGTTAATGAATAGAGGTGACAGGCTGGCGTTGAACCAGTGGATTAGCACGTTTGCCCTACCCGTCGTGCCAGAAGGATGGGCAGAGGACGGGTGACGGGTGAGCTTTTGCCTTTGGCCAGTCAGCGAAGGCCAGAGACATGCCCCGTATGCCCCTGTCTCCGCAGGTCAAGAGGGTAAAAAAACGCAAGGGTTCTACGGCACGGTTGAAACAACCGACACCATGTGCTGTAACATTTGACACATTCTTTTTTATTATCATCGACAGAGAGACAAACTGCATACTGAATCATGAACTTGCAACGGGTTACAGTATTATGTCAAGGAAATGTCCCTCGTCATCGATGGCGCTACACTAAGGTGGAGAGGTCAAAACGTGTCGAGTGCAACAAGCTTTGATCGAGAAGCTTGGCTGGGCCCGATAGAAGGTTAGATCCGAGAGGTACAGTATCACTATCCTGCTGTTCATCATCGACAACTACAATCGACTCCAATTGAGAACGATCTAACAATGGTCTAATCGGCGGGGATAACCTTCTACAGATACCGTGCCATCGTAATGCTTATCTGGGCCCTCTATTTCAACAGTCTAAATACCCTATCTTACACTCTCATCCATCGCTGGAAGAACCACGGTTAAGTAACGGTGCAAACCCGTCCCCTTTCAGTCTGCACGCACCAAAACGTCCGGGTGACAAAGTACGTATCCCTAACCCTGACGGTGAGATATAAAAGGACTTCTTTTGCGGGCCATTTGTCCTAATATGTACAAGTCTTGACCAACAAGCTTTTGGTTTGTGGGGAAGTGGACGGGCCAATCTTAACTGCCCTGCAAAAAGGAAAGGCATTGCTAATGCAAACCGCCTGAGAAATACTTACTGCACTGTACAGTGAGCACTTTTGTTTCTCACACTCGAACTATTCGTGGGATCGACATCTATTATACGACAGCTTCTCTTTTGTGTTTATGGTCGAAGAGAGAACACGAGATTTAAGAATGTGCAGTATATTTGAGAGTCGCTGGAATGTAAGGCTTCAGTTTACTCACCTGAACCTGGTCTGCTCCGATGTTATTTCCGACTCGGGCTCCGTGCTTGTGTTTAGTGACAAATCATGAGCTCGATAGCGTGTGTCTTCAATAAAGTCAATCCGAATTGCTCAAAAATTCTACATACCAGAGATGCGTGTCCCTCAACTCTTGAGTTACAAGATGTTCGGTTCGACCAGATATTACCGACTTGGCATTTCAACCTGCCGCCATGGCTTCAAGTCTCGACCTTTTGCTGCTGTGCGTTCCTGCAACTTTAAAACAAAGCTAGCTGTGCCTGTAGCACTATCGTATAGTGGTCGGTATGCATCCGCATCGTGGCCCCCGATACTCTTAGCGCCTTTGGTGTAGGCAAGTGGAAGTCTCGAATCGTAGCTTGAGTGTGCCTGGAGCATCTTGTCCAGACCTTTCGAACCCGTGTCCGAGTATATTCGGTATCATCATCACTTTTTCTTCCTTTTCATGGTATGCAAGGATTTTGGGATGAGCGTGTTTGTTTGTTGGTGTTCGTTCATATTTCGTCAATAGACAGTCCCTGCATCAAAGTGATATCCATATTATGCTCACTCCCATTCATTGTTCACACCTCTAAGCCGAAACGCGCCACCAACCAAGAGTACCCAAACTGTCTCCTAATTCGCCGATTCTACGCTTGACCCCAGTATAACGCTGAACGTGGAATCCATCGAATCCAGGTTCCCAGTTCAGTTCAGTTTAGCCCCCCCGGCCCCTCCCCTCTCTGCTCATTTTCGGGGCGTTTAAAAAAAACTTGACTCCTCCGAGTAAAAGAGCCGAAATAATCTCGTCAGACTGTCAGCATTGAGAAAACGGCCATTGCTCATTTGTTTTTTTGGACCACAAAGGCGGGAAGTCTTGATTTCTGATACCCCCTGGGCAGTAATCAATTCGTCACCCCCCAAAAACGCTCACTCGCACTCGCGCTTTCTCCCTTTGGATTCGTATTGCCTCTCCTGCATTCTCCTGTCTCCACCAGCCGCCTGTTCCATCTCATCGCTCATCCACACACGCTATTGTGAGGTGCTACTACTGCTAGGTACCTGCTACCTGCTACTACTGGGCTGCTCCTGCTCCCTCTTTCCTGCACCTGCACCTGCACCAGCACCAGCACTTCTTGCTTTCTGCTTCTCTTCCCCAGCGGAAACGGCAGCCCCAATTCAGCATCCGGGCCATTTCCACACTCCGTCCTGGTTTCCAAGTCCACCTTACTCTCGCTTGATTCTCTCTTTCTCCCCCAGGAAACAACAACTCGCTCGCTCCTGCTTTTTCACTCATTCGTATTATTTCCAACCTCATTCTCGGTTTTAAATTCAATCCGACGTCAAACCGATTCTCATCTTCTCAGCCTCATTCCCGTAGGATCGCGTCCGCCCTCCTCTCACCCTGGCCTTCACTTGATTTTTTTGCGCCTCCGGTGCACGCCATATCATGCCTACGATTCCATGATTGAATATGTTGTAGAAGCATGTGTAAGTTCCATATTTATTCTTTTTGTCGATTCAACTTGACTTCTCTATTTCCTTTTCAGCGTCAACTCATTCGTTCGCTCTATGTCTTTCTGCTTCTATTGCTCATCCGTTCCTGCGGGTTCGAGGCCAAGAGCCTCGCATCATACCCCAGTCTTGGCATTCACGAACTGACATCGAATTCATCTAGCGCTCACCGAGATACGAAATGTCGTGTATGTATTTTACTTGATCTTCTATCATCTCCAGCCGTTACGCCGTCGTTCACCATCGTGGCCATTGTCGTCATCACCGTAGCTGGCGTGACACTCACGACTACGCCGCTCTCACCTCCCCACTATTACAACCTCAGCGAACAACGACGTCGTCTACTAAAAACTCCCGACCAGACGGCACCGCTTTGCATTTTTTGCTATCACCCATGAGCATTGCTGACCAGCCTCGCTAGCCTCCTGTTTAGTAACCCAGTATGGAGCGGCGCAAGCACGGTTCCGTCTACAATCATTCGGAACCTTACGGCTCTCTCAGTACGTCCACGTCACTGGGACTTCGCGAATCGATCGCGCGGAGGTACCTCTATCGTCAATGTGGCTTTGGCTTACCGAATGAAAACAGTCCGACATAGCATATAAGGAGCGCATTCCCACTAACATCACAACCCTAACTACCACCAATGCCGATGCAAAAGACGGTATTATCAACGGCCTTCTATACGTACCCGACCTTGACAACGATCGTCAGTGCGACCGGCAGCAGTACCAATTCATCCCTCGAAATGTCACCCGCCGAAACAACCTTCCACCACAAAATTACAACCTTATTGCCCTCGCTCCCTGGTTCAGCATCGACTGTACCTTAGCTTACCTCGCTTCTGCGCGTGTCGACCCCATTCGCGCTTTTATCTTTTATAAACCTAACAATTCTTCGAACCAGCCTCAAGATGCCGACTCACCTGTTTGGAATCTTGAGGACGGAGGGCAATGGATGACCCTCAACAAGTATCCTATCTATGCCATTTCGGGCCAAGAAGGTCAGAATATGATGAACCAACTGAGTCTTTATTCTGGCAGTGTGGATAATGTTCCTTACGGCGACAACATCAGCACAATTTACGGCCCAAACCCGAGAGATTATGTCCGTATCTGGACCGAACTATCCGTGGAGGATGAATCCGACATCCCCCCACTATGGGCATTCTTTCTCATCGTTATTGGTGCTCTATTAGCTATTTTCGCTTTCGTATCGATAACCATGCACCTGGTACAAAGACGACGCCGAATATCGCTTCGAAAACGAGTCGAGTCCGGCGAAGTTGATCTAGAAGCCATGGGTATCAAACAATTGACAGTACCCACTTCCCATATCAATAGTTTCCCGCTATTCACTTATAACGCCGATCCCGAATCGATAGCACCGCCCCCGACGCCTTCGTCCACACGCCGCCATCGAAGCACTCGAGGATTCGACCAACAAAGCGTTCGATCTGGCGTGAGTGTCAGAAGCAAGCGATCCGGTATCGGAACAACTGGCGATAATGCTGCCACCAACTTCCAACCCAGTTGTCATATTTGCCTTACCAATTTCGAGCACCGAGTAACGATCATTCGAGAGCTATCATGCGGTCATATTTTCCATCCGGAGTGTATTGACGAGTTCCTGTTGAAGAATAGTTCTCTCTGCCCAATGTGCAAACATTCTATGTTGCCTAGGGGCTACAGTCCTAGAATCACCAATGGCATGGTCCGTCGAGAGCGCGCTCTTAGTAAACTACGCCAAAGAGTTGATCTTGAAGACCTTTCTGAGGAAGCCGACAACACCAAGATGAAGGATTGGGGCAAGCGAATCTTCAGAACCTCGACATCGCCCTCAAGACCTTCCTCTGCGCCTTTGGTTTCCTTGAAACTTCCCACGTTTATGCGACGACCTGCCGAGCCTGCTACAACGGGACAGCAGGAAGGAGTAGAGACAGCACCGACGCCCTCCACCACCCCCGCAGCACAGCCTGGAGAACCAGATACAAACACCCAACCGCCTGCACCAGCCAAGACCCAACGAACAAGACGACCCAAACCCAAGCGTTTGAATATGCTCCCGACCCAGCCAGAGAATGCAGAATTGAGTACAGAGCCAACGCCGCGACGTGGAAGTCCTTCTTCGTTTGCACGACAGCGTATGCGCGAAATTGCAGCCAAGAATGCACCCTTTGACGACCCCGACTCTCAAAGGGCAGTGTGTAAGTCAAATTTAATATAACGTAACATTCACAGACTGACATAATCAACAGGGCTGCGAGCACTCTCAAAAGTTTTCCCTGGCTATTTTTAACCCATTTCGGAGTATTTTCAAAGTTTGGAGGCATCTCATGTTGCATTTACTGGACAAGCATGGCTTTTTGGCGTTTTGTGTCATGAATAGGTTTTAAGGATATGGACTGATACCATGGACGGCAATTGTTTTTCACGATTATTACTGGGATTTATCGGTGCATTGGGTAGGCATTAATGAGGCGTTGGCTCGGTTTACGAGAACTGTATATACAACCAGTGTCAAATTTAGCTGTTGAACAGCGGGCCAACGGTGGTCACCGTTGGCTCTTATGGCGCATTACAACGGGAAAAGATATATAACATGATATCAGGCAATGTTATAAGACGATGGCTAGATGCCCGTGTGGGGAATCAACAAATCATTGATCGAGTAATATACCAGGTGAAACTAAACGAAAAGGATACAAAAGCCTGTGTATTCTGAACCCGAAATCATTTCCTCTGACAGCCAACTGATACCCATCTCGGGTGAACCTTGTGTTCTGCCCATTCTTTGTAACCACCATAGTCTAAGTTAAGTACGCCTCCAACACCCTACAAGAAATGAGAGTATCAGTCTCCCTGTTTCATACAAACTTGAACATATGTTATCCAATCTTGTCCACATCACTTTCCTTGCCCCTCAAGTAGCGGCTCGTTGCGCACTCCTCCTCTGGCTAATGCATCTCGTACACGATCATTTTCAGCAGCACGAATCCTGCTTCTTGCGTCTTCGAGGCGCTCAACTCCCCGATCGATAGTCTCAATATGCACACTCAGAGGGACAGGAGTGCTTCCACCAATGCTGTTGCGTAAAACTTCGGGCTCGGCCACTCGATCGCGAAGGTCTCCAAGACCGGCTTGGATGCTCTCTAGCTCAAGAATAAGTGCGTTGACCTGCGCAACTGCTGAAGAACGCTGCGTATCGACCTGGCGTAGGAGAGCGAGTTGGCGTGAAAGGCTGTTTAGTTGGTTCGAGTTGGCGCCGACAATCGTCCAGATGTTCCAGAGGATGTTTTCGCGGCGAGATGCTGTATCAGCAGATGAGCGTGAGCTGATGTCGTAGATAAGCATTAGGTGGTCCTCCGCTTTCGTGAGTAAACGTAGAACGGCTTGCGCTTCGAGTATCAAAGTCGATATACGGTCTGAAACCAGAGCCGTGTGCTCAATGTACTTGTCAAGAAGAACGCGCTCGTTGAAGATGTGTTCGGTAGTTGGCTGGAAAGGATGGAAGAGCCAAGATGCCCAGCCGAGGATCGGAGATGGCGAAGATAGCGCAGTCGCATCATCTGCTTCGGGGCCCAAGGTATCGAGATAGCGAGACGTCCAGCGATTGATGCTTATGACGGCGTCAACGGCCGAACCAACATGAGTATTGAATTTCTGCAAGTCAGCAGCTGTTTGTCGCGCTGTATCCACATAGCCATCAAACTCAAAGAGAAGCTCATCGCGGGCCTGGAGATCGCTGTGTCGCACAAGGCTGCGAAGGTCCCGGATAGCCGTTTCCGACCGTTTCATTTCAAAAGGTAAAGATACGCCATCAGAGCTTTTTTCGAGGACCTGCTCGAACTTGGATTGCACGTTCATGAGATCGTCGAACTCGACAGGTGATCCATCGCTACCGGGTGGCACAATAGAATCTGGAGATGGACAAAACGGAAGGTTGAGAATCGATGCGCCTGGGATACGGCAGATCGGTGAAAGAGATGCGGCGATGGAGCGAGTTGCCATATTCTGCGCAATAATAAGGCCGCCAAAGCAGAGGTAGATCGACAACAGAATCGCAAAAGGTTTCTGCGCATAGCTAAACGCAAGTCCAACGACGTTGAGGAACCAACCGAGGGTATTGTAAATCGCTGAGGGAATGCTCTGTGCGAGTTGCCCGCCAACTGTCGGTGGCGCTGCATGGCGATATTGACGGCGGTAGTAATCATCTTCAGCGTCGGATCTCATGCGCCCCATTCCCTTCTGTCGCGAATAGTTTGGTACTTGTGGGTTCCCCCTCCTTCTTACGCCCTCATCGCCGCCATATCCTATCCCCAAGCCTCTTACCGTCTGCTCACTCCTAGCACTTCCCTCATATGAGGCATCTAAACGAGGCATGTGGAACTCTGGATCAGGCGTTCTAAAGACCCGTTCTCCGCTTGCGCTTACACTTGCGCGAGAAAGACTTGGCCGAAACGGTTCTCGGAGGATGATTTGCTCGTCGTCCGGGTCAGCGCCGAAGTCGCGAATGCTGTCTTGCGAAGCAAAGCCGATGGTGTCTTGGGAGAAGGGCTGAGAAGGAAAGTTTCCAGAAGACGTAGGTGGTGGTGATTCTTCACCAAGCGATGGAAGAATACTCGTATCAAAACTGTCGTTCTCTCCTTCGACAAAGCGCCACGAGTCTTCAGGTCGAAGCTCACGCTTGCGCGTAGTAACCATTGTTATCCACCGCCAACACTCGAGTACAGTCGAGTCGTACAAGAGCGCGCGTCACTGTAACGTCGCCCCAGGTCAGATGTTATCTGATTGCAACGCCTGGTCGCATTAGATAGGTATGAGGGTAGGTGGAATCGTCGTAATTTATGTCGAGGTTCTAGCGACTATATGCGCCAGCGTTATGAAACGTGAATCTCTGACGGGTGTCGTGAAGGCAGCAAGAGCTAGGACTTATAAACAATGAGTCATGTAGGCCAAAAAAGTAGATTCACGCCAAAAAGTGATTGTGCACGATTCGTGAACAGGCGTCAAAAAGAGGTCAATGTATCCGTACGGTAAGTTTGATGAATGATGCAAGAGAGAGTTTGGCGGCGTCAGACATAAAGGTGAGAGGCAAGGTGAGGTCACTAGGTACCGACCGAGACCGAGTCTTGGTGGGGAAGAGGCAAAAGACCCTTGCTAAAGCTGCCTTAATTAGTGTCGGCCAATAGTGGGGCAATAGATAGAGAGAAACTGACCAAGACAGATCCCGTGGTCGGGTTTTAGTCTAGGGTATCAACGGTCATGATTTTAGACAGATGTCAATTAACCCAATTGGAGGCTGGCTCTTGTGCGTTATTAACTAAAGTTGGGCCTTAATCATAGGTGTCTAGAGATTTATAGGTTAGGTTGTGATAAGTGAAGCCTGTAAGCACAATCAATGTTTTCTTGATGGCCGGGGTGAAGGGTAGACACAGCACATCATATTCATACCAATTAGAATGGTTACATCAGTAGAAAGTATTCGACAAGACCGCAAAAACTAACTGACAAAAGACCCAAGACTTCGTCAAGGATCATGTCATATCCCAAACTCCTACTTTTTAATCATACCATTACGAACCAAGTTCTATCCTCCCCTCTAATCAAGAAACCCCTCTATGTTCTCGTCTTACCTCCATTGTGCCTCAGTCTTTACATGGGGAGACAACGTTCCTGATCTACCATCGCTGCCCTCTGCTTCGATACTGTAACTCTGGAAAGATTCTCCTGAAGTTGTGGCCACCACAGATGATGCCGACCCATCACTGAAGCCCTGGGGTAACATCCCTGGCCAAGGCATACCTGACTGCGCAGCATACTCTGGCCAAGGTACCATATATCCCGCTGTGTTCGACATGTACCAGAGAGGTTCGTACGTATGTGATAATGAGTGTGTGCCAGGAACGGTTGCCATGGCTGGGAACTGCGCTGCGTGCGAGGCTCCGTGCGTAGCACTCATTAGCATATCCTCCAGAGTCTTTAAGAGCGTCTTTGATCTGGACCAGAACTTGCCAGACTCTTTAAGGTTGTCCAACAAAAAATCAGCCCTTGATCTGTGATCGGGACTGGCGGCAAGAGGGTCCAGTACCATCTTCAGGTAGGGCATACAGGACGGAGAAAACTTCTCTGGCTGGATGTGGACGAAGAGTGATATCAAGCGCAACGACGGTTGAAGAGTGTGCGGCAGTAAGACGTTTGGTTCTGGGGCCACGCTACCATGTGAGTGACCTCCATATTCCGAGTGCCTACTACGAGCGATCTCTGGAGCTTCGGTGTTGGAGTGAATCTGGAGACTTCGCATATAGGTTAGTTGGGATTGAATAGAGTTTAGGATTCAACAGTCTTACCCGTACGAAAGAGCCAACTGTAACGTTTTTTGTAAGTGACCGAGCCAATCTTGGGTTAGGAGAAACACTTACAGCATGATATATTATCATATCGACCATCCCATCATCGTCCACACGGTCTATCCTCGAATCTTTGAGACTTAACCTCCATGAAGTAATACGTTGGTTCGTCTCTTCAAGTGCATCCAAGTTTAACTCAAAGCCCTTGAGAAGCGATGCCACATAATGGTCGTGAATTTCCATGAGACCGACGAGATAGGCCCAAGAGGAGTGTTGGTGAGGTGGGTTCTGAACGGGGAATTTCTACACGAGTTAGTCTACGATACGCATCGTCGTTACTTGATACTCACGCCGTCCTGGCACTCCAGGTACTCCCGCTCTCCACAAGGCAGCTCTGGACACCCATTCGATTTTGTTAGGTATAGAAGTTGACGACCTGAGGCATCTCTCATGTCTAGTAACATCTCGTGAATGTATAACCCCCAGTACGTTCGACGACACGATTCAGCAATGATGCTATCATGTTCATCGGCATAGCTTTTGTGCTGAAGTCCAAGCTGTAGTGCATATTCGCGAGCCTGGCCGAATAGATAGCGATAAATACTGTTTTCCTCGCCGAACGAAGCAACGGATAAGGATAGAAGTGCTTGCACAGACCAACGTGTTAAAGGAAGAGGGCCCTGGAACATCCCGTAAGCTCGTTCCCACAACGGCGTGCTATCTGTGCTGGAGTATAGAGAGCCAATGTAGTCGACTGTTGCTTCAAGAAATCGCATTTCAATCGGTTCTTCTTGTAAAAGCTGTTCGTAAGTCGGTTTTGGTGGTAGCCACGAATGTGCGACATGGAAATTGGCATAGTACAGATCCAAGAGACGCATCTGGCTGCGAAGGGGGTTATCGATACTCGGAGGATTAGGCGAAGGTGTACTCTCCGTTCTGGTGTCTTGGTCTGTCACCGAAGCCTCATCCTTGATCATGTTGCGTTTCTTCGGATCGCGAATTCCTCGCCGTGACTTGGCATACTGACATACTTTCCCATCGTTTTTGCAGCGTGTACAGGAGGGCATGTACCCATCACACCTAGAGTGCTTGGTACGGCATTGGATGCAAGCGATAGAAGCACGATGCTGAGCACTTGAACGCTCGGGTCGGTTTCGCTTCTGGCCTGAGTCGAGTTCAGCCTTGACTGAAATGTCGTCTTGTGGTGAACCTGCCATTGTCTGACCGACAGATAGACCGAGTGTTTCGAGGGAATAACGAGGAGGAAACTCGAGGTCCGGGAATACCTCTATTTGTTGGCAGATGCCTACAGAAGAGACAGTTGTGCGGGTCAGATTCAATAGAGGGTGTCGTGTGGTACCGAATTGGGACTGTTTGTCTGGAACCAACAATCGGCACGGGTCTGTGTCAAGCATCAACGCCATAGAGTTGATGTATATAGATGAAGGGGTAAGTTAAATATAGGAGCACGACTGGTGTTAACAAGAGTTTAACACGAATAGGCGTCGGCCAACAATAGGAGCGTTTGTGCATAAGGACTGATCGTCAGGACCAAACAAAAGCAAATGCCCAATCGTACCATGGCTGCAAGAATGGAACATGAGTTAGATGTGAATCTCAAACAATGCTGCAATGTTAACCTGTCACCTTGTGGTGTTGGCTGGTCGGTATGTGGCGTGGATCTGGCTCCCGGTCAAGGACTAGACAGTGGACGATCTAACAAAAACGTCTGGCTACATATTCATGTTAGGTTGCCATTGGAGGATATTAACATAACCTCTGTAAAGTGGCAGATGATCCTTGGAAAGTAGCATAGGGCTGTTGGCCCTGTCTTATGCCTCCTTGCTGTTCGCGAGGACCATTATGAGTATGAGTTGTTCACCACTAATTTGATGAAGTCTTGGTATCTCTGTGGTCTAGACACTGAGTAGATGGCGCTCAAGACCGAGATAACTTCATCCTGACCAAGCTCCTGATTGAATCTGTATTGCTTGATACTGTGTAGAGATGTTGCGTATGTGTAGCCCTAGTACTGAGCCCCATCGAAGCAACCATCCGGAGCGGGCCTTGCAAACGCTCCCGCCTACTTTAATCAGTAGACAGGGCTGAGCAACAGATTAGAGTTACTACAAACAGCCATCTTGTCTCAATAGGGGCCAGCTCGACCTCTGATTGTTTGCAAAGGGCTCCACAGAGAAGATTGTGCCTGGCTGCCGGTTGTGCAGTACGTAGGTATGAACAAACGGCTCTGATGCGTGAGAGCGTTGTAGGAAGCGGGCGGGTGCAAACATAAGACATTCCGGTGCTTTTTATTGCTTTTTTTTTCTCGAATGAGCGAGAAAGAGAGAGACATGGGCGCGACGCAGTAATGTAGGTAAAGTAACGTAACTCTTCCGGCGGTTGGTAGCTACACTTCCGGCTCCCAGGGTTTCGGGTTTCGGGACATAGATACGCGCATCCAACTGGCTGTATGCAAGCCATCGGAGATGGCAAAGAGGCCCCTGCTCGATATTCCAATACGTACTGACTGTACTGTACTGAACGATCTGGGTTTTGCCAAGGGTTGATAGGTGAGATAGTTGGTAAGGGTGGCTCGTTTCCCCAGAGCCTGGTTGTTGGTTCGTTGACGATACACGACGCTTTGAGAAAGGAGGTTTTCTTAGCTCATCGCTAGACTGATGATAGTTCCAGAAGCAATAGAAGCTTCCTTGTTGAAGGCGTTTTCAGTGGCAGTTGAGCCGCACTTGCCGTCCTTGGGTTTGTCTGTGTGACTTACACCGTTACCTGCTTGCCCAGCGGCTCCTGCCACTATCGAGACCCAAGTAGTCGAATGCTTATTGGCCGAGGGCTGAAGCGGGTCCGGGGTAATCGGAGGAAAGAGTGAAGGAGACGGGAGGGATTTTGGGGGCAGGAGTGATCCAAGCACAAGACAAGACAAGCTAAGACTAATAAGCGATAACTCACATGAAGTAACCAAGACAAGACCAAGAACACAGGTTCAAAGGGAAAATCCTTGGATTATTATGCATGTGCCATGTACCTAGGTAGGTAACTGAAAGGGGTCGAGGCACGGTAAAGTAACCGATCAGGCACTGTAACACCTCGGCTTCTGTTGGACGACCTCCCCCGGGATGGGACCCCGACCTTGTCGTCATGGGTCCGCCTAACCCCAGATACGATACGATGCGCCGAGGTACGGCGCGCTTCCTTTTTGCTTAAACATACAACGAAGCTCACACCAACAACCGCCCAAGCCCAACTACCAACCGACCGATCGAGCCCCCATCGGTTAGACATACAGTATCTTACCCTCAAGCGGTCCCTCACATGCACAAAGTCAAATGACCGACTCGAGCTTCGCACAAGCCCAGCGCCGCGTCGCTGCGCGTCGACAAACCCGTGAGGCCGAAGCCGCTGCTCGCATCGCTGCACAGCGACAATCATCTCGACCCAGAGCCAACCTCGAGCGCTTACCATACCCCTTAAATCGCATCGGATCTGCTTGGGATGCCGTGTCCACAAGGGAGGGCACGCGCCCTGCATTTCGAGTAGGACAAGTCGACGCCGAATTGCTTGATGTAGAGCTGTTGGACATCCTGAAAGACCAGGTTTCTGAAGGCCTAAAGTATTTTGGTGGAGGACATCTGCACGATGACTGGTCAGCTGAAATTATGTTGGCACTAAGAGCTGTCCTTTTTAAGCTCACTGTCTGGGATCATGATGCGACATACGGTGCGGCTCTTCAGAACCTCAAATATACCGACGCCAGGAATGACGGACTTATCTTGAAAGCGCCCTCAAAGGCGCAAAAGTCTGCTTACGGCCTGATCACAGTCTTTGGAAATTACGCCTGGAGGAGATGGGAGGATTGGCTTATGGAACACGATGATGGCTACGACGAGCCGAGCCCTCGAGTGAAGCGACTCTCGAAATTGACCTCTGCAGTGTCGACTGTCCACTCAGCAGCGGCTTGTGTCTCATTTCTTGTTTTCCTACTGCACGGACGGTATCGAACGCTTCTCGACAGAGTTCTAAGGATGAGACTTGCGCCACCCACAAGCCAAGTAAGCCGAGAGGTTTCATTCGAATACCTCAACCGTCAGCTTGTTTGGCATGCTTTCACCGAGTTTTTGCTTTTTGTGCTGCCTCTGATCGGCATCCAGAAATGGCGACGCTGGCTCACCAGGACCTGGCGGAAGACCAAAGACATTATCAGGACTGGACCGCAGGAAGAGGGCAAGGCGAATGGTGAATATGCATTCCTTCCCGAGCGGACATGCGCGATTTGTTACCAGGACCAAAATAACGCAACTTCGGAAAACGAAGTCATGGCGGCGGCAGCATCCAGTGGTGTTATCGGTTCAGCACAGACAGATATCACGAACCCATATGAGACAATTCCTTGTGGGTGTGTATACTGTTTTGTATGCTTGGCTACCCGGTTGGAGAGGGAAGAAGGCGAGGGCTGGACCTGTCTGCGATGCGGTGAGCATGTTAAAGAATGCAAGCCCTGGAGTGGTGGGTTGGTAGAGCCGTCTGCGAAGCATGCTTCAGCAAAGACAGTGGCTTTCTCAGACGATATCACTGGAGGCGTACTTGTAGATGAACAAGATGACCAGGATGAGCAAGACGGGGAATCATTAGTAGAGAGCCTGAGCACGACATCGGAGCAAGGCTAGGATAGCGGCTGACTCAAGCGTCGCTGAGCCTTTATGGCGTTTGAGTATTTATATCTTGTAATAATACATGAGAATGTAGCTACGCCATTCTTTTTATACCCTTCAGAGCCAGACTGCTTGTTCGAATATACCGCAATGGTTAAATCCAAGTGCACTAGATCCCTCTCTCTTTACAATGATACATAATTTGTTCCTGGATGCTAGATGGCCGTTCTGGTAATCGCCCGGACCCTTGGATGAGCCGAAATCTTTGATGCACGACAATGACAGATCTGATAAGATCAAAAGTCTCACAAAGAGGATGCAGTTAGTGGGCATCAAGTTGCTTGCATTAGAAGGACCCTGCAATTGTCTGCCAGATGTATCCACTGAAGCCCACTCAAAGAGGGTAGCGCGCGTCATGCCAGGAAATAGGAACTCGGACCCCTGCACGGATTGTCAGGCGTGAGTCGCACCTACCTAGCCCGACACTTAGACAAAACATTACATTTCCCACTCAACGATACCGACTTTTGAATCCAAGGGCTTTTCTTTCTTTCTTTTTGTGCGTTGTCGAAATCGCGGTTTTCCAGTGCTCGATAGATACAACCGCGAACTTGATACAGAAACACGATAATACCTAGATAACCTCGAATACTCTCGATGTAGCCAGACATCACGACTCGATCACACCGACTTCCTTCCTCCATCCCATGCCCAGCTTCTTTCAGTTCACGCAGGGCACCGAGTCGCATGTCCGTCCCAACGACTCGGCCCCTCTTCTAGGCCGTTTCCGCGCTGTTCCTCCTCGCCCTGGTGCCGTCGCCCGTCGGCGCAGTCAGCTTGGCCTCTTATCGAATACCGCTGAGAATCGAGGGAGCGTGCATATTCTTGGATACGGTGCCTTTGATGCGCATGCCGACGGGGACACAGATGATAGCGACTACGAGTTTGAAGATGATCGGACTATTTGGCAACGTGCATGGCAACGATGGGTGTTGGATATTTGGGTCAATCCAAGACAGTCGGCGGTGAAGAGGGTGGTTGATAAGTGGTGGATTCGATATGCATTTCTGGTGTTGATGCCAGCCTTGTTGGTATGTTGCGCTGACATGAACAAATTGAGTTCAACTGACCCCTTGTCAGGCTGTTGCATGGTGCGCTATTCCATTTCCCCAATACAAAATTCCCAACGAGGACTTTGACGACGGAGACGAAGACAGTCTACCGGACGGACGTAAGGTACCTGGCCACGGAGCTGCGCGAGTCCAAGTCAACTTCTGGTTCTTTCTCTTCGTCTACTACAGCTTCTACAACCTCACCGCTCTCATCTGGATCACCAAGGTCTTCAACCTTTACAGCCTCAATTGGTGGCCACAATCCCTCGGCTTCCCACTTACAATGTCACTCATCGCTATCTTATCCATCGCTGTGCCGATTCCGATATACTATAACGAGGAGCTTCGCGATATTCTTCTTCACAACACAGCTTGGATCTCTTGGACATTCATTATCATGGCTTTACCCGTTACGATAGCCTTCATCATTCTCACCACAAACGAACGACATATCGGGCTCCGTCATTCCCTATCAGAGACCCAACGAATTTTCACCACGTCTTGGTGGACTGGAGAACCGGACACGATCAACGGTAGGGACCGTAGACGTCGAAATGTTACTGCAGATTTGTTTGAGGCCGATGTGACTCAAGTTGAACCCGAGCCGCGACCGCAAGGCGTTAGGATGCGCAGACGATGGCTACCAGCAAGCTTTGTTCGCTTTTTGTGGTTCTGCGTTGCTCTCTTTATTGGCCTCATGGCTTATGTGATCGGAGAGGCGTATGCTGAGATCTATCTTCGGACCTTACCACACAACACCTTGGAAACAGCGGTATACGTGTACGGCTGGGTTGCTACGGTGCATCTTCTAGACGCCTTGAGCGGTTGGGTTCTTGGCATCCGAGAGGGCGAACGTGTTGGAAGCTATCCTTTAAGTTGGATCTTCAAACTGTGAGTTTTAGACCTTCGGCTTGTCAGATTTGCAATTGCTAACATATTGGATAAGATACTTCATGCTGACTTATCAGATGTACGTTCGCGCACTATACGCCCGACTTCGTTCACCGAAACAGTTCATCACTCTTCAGATCATGTCGTCAACAGGCCTTGTTGTTATTACGCCTATCATGATGACCTCGTTTATGCACAAGACCCTGACTTTGCTGGGACTCAACGGACAGAGCTTCGGGTCTTATCAGAAGCTTCAAGTTCGCAACATCTTCATTCGGTTTCTTGCCGAAAACGTGTCCATGGTTGCATTCCTTGGAAGCATTCTGGTTTTGCATTTCGGTGCCAACAAGGATGTATACCCTTATTTCGCTTTCGACACCGAGGGCGATGAAGAGTACAATTTTGGCCTCACCTTCTACGCCTCGTCCGTGACGTGGGCATGTGAGCTGGTGGCTAGTCTAGTTGTGCGGGGTCTCATCCGACTCTGTTTCCAAATTGACGTTGGCCTGGAAGGGAAACTCGACTTGGCCGTTTGGCCGGAGCTGATGCCAACGTGCGTGGCAGTTATGCTGCATGTGTTGCAAAACATGTTATTTTCCATTATCAGACTGTCATTCCATTGAGTGGCGAAAGATACATCCTGGCTCCCGTTATCAACCCGGGGTACTCGTTCGTGCCCACTAACACGGAGTGAGGGTCGGAACGGCCCGAGAAAAGTTGCCGAGAGGTGCAGCTGTCGAGATAGTGCGCCCAATGATGCGTACTGTATCTGCGAGACCTACACAAGGTTGTGCTTTTTACGAGATTGCTTTTTGCCACTCTGGCTTTATCAATTGTCATTTCTGGTTTTGATTGTCTTAGGAGAAGAGCGGCTTGTTAATATGCATGCATGCATGGTTTGTCTTAGACCGAGGAGGAGTGCTCGTGGCACATGTAGATAGATACCCGTTAGAACGTTTTCCAAGAGTTCTTATTTTGTTTTCAGTTTAGCATTAGATACCACGACTGTCTACGAGCATAACGATTGTTAGTTTTAATAATTACTTTGAGTTGCAGCATTTAAATCTACTATCATAGAATGTAACCAGTCGGCTGATCATTACGAATTTAACGTCACATGTTGTAATGGGTTTGATGAATTAAGATGAACGTCTTGCAGATGTTTTCCTGGTTGTAAGCACTTTAGCTGTACTGACCTTATCACATATTGGAAGTGATAGAACAAGTCACTCATGACTGCCTCCGAGTCAGAACCTAGAGTGCCTAGTCCTCTGAACACAGAGAGCAAATTATCATTAGTCCCATGTCGAAATATAGGCAGCCATTCAAAAAGCCCTGTGGCATCGGTCGATCCTCAGATATTTGTTTGCCGAAGACGAGTTGCGCCTATACCATTAGTCTAGTCTCTGCACGAAAGTCATACTGGTACGACTAGACCCATATATCGAATCATGGCGACATTGCCTCTGGAGAAAGATGGAGACGGCCTGTATCGAAGCCTCGCGCCGAGCGGCCCGCAAAGACGAACACGCAGCTGCGGCTAATGCAAGTCTCAGCCAGTCTCGTTTCGCGGAACATGTACCACAAACGGCGGTGAACAATTGAACCTTATCAACAACCGGTCTATTAACAAAACCAAGAGCTGGATGACGCGGCAGTGTATGAGCAGCCGGTCAGCGGTTTCTGGAGGGGAGAGTATGCAAAACATTGGATCAAGAGCTGGGGAAACATGGGGCACAGCATATATAAGGCGCCACAATCATGGGGGTTGCCTGCCACTTACACGACAGAATATGCCGGAATGGTTAGGGGACATGATACAGAAGCCAAAGAATTCGATACAGAAGCGGCACGGCTGCAGATGCACGACGCAAACGCAGCAAAGTCCTGCATAGAATACAAGAAAGGATCCTAGGATCAGGGCTGAAGGAACAGATCGCAGCAGGTGTACGGGCTATTGAGGTTTGCGCGTAGGTGGTATTGGTGGAAGTGCCATGATCAGACATGCAATAGTGACCTGCAGAGAGCTGAAGTGAACATCTCAATTGTCCTTTGCTCCAATGATTGATGTGGATACACCATTATACGCACGAATCTAAAAGTACCTGGCTTGTATATCGTGTACGTTGTGTTTCCCATCCGCATCTTCATCTGCACAGATCCGAATTGGCTGCAGAGGTGGTCTCGGTGAGGTCCCCCAATATCATAAATGAAAATGCTATATTAAGTGACAAATAGTAAATAATGAGCCGGAATGCCAACTAAGCTGATAGGACATGACACATTGTAAGCTGTGGTGAAGGCACGGATATGTTATCTTGATAGACACTGTGCAACATTGATATTGTATGAGTTAGGTCACTTGGTTCGACATAAGGTAGCCATCAGTAGCCCCCGTTGCTGTTACATAGTTCACCTTCATGCAAGCATGGACTCAGGCAAGATAAGTCACCAAAAGATCATGGGCTGAATAGACTGGTTGTTGAATACCACGACATAGGCCGCTGCTGGGAAACAGCACAACAGAAGAGGCATCCCACCTAAACATCGTAGCTGTGCTGCCTGAGTTGTCAATCGGCAGATTCAAGCGATAAGCCAAGCATCCTGTGTGCACCACTATAGAATGGTGGTTGCTCGCTGGGCTGCATGTTGCACAGGTCAATCAGGCCCGGGGTCGGGCAACGGCAACGCAGTGGAACAATGATACTTCAGCAAAGAGTGGAGAGTTAAAGCAGACCATGGCCGCATAAATCCGAAAGCAAGTAAAGTAGTATCTAATGTAACAGATGCTGAAGTAAGAAGATGGATGTTTCTGAAGCACGAGTCAAACAATTGTTGGCCGAGGTTAGACTCCATTTATAATGAGACGTAGCATGAGAGAACCATAAGTGTTTTCATGAAAGATGGGCCTTTCACCCAGCAATTAGATGATAGGGAAAAGAGAGAAAGTGCTGGGCAAGCAAGTAAGAGCAGATTGCTGAGTCGGGCCATTATGGAAGGTACGTCGAATCAAAACCTTCTGGATGCTTGCTGTTAAGTAGCACCTGCTTTGTGCAGGACTTATACTGAAGCAATGGTATGAGTGCCTCTTTCCTGAACAAACACATGCTAGAACGGAAATAAACCCCTCGCATTAGGGAGCGAGTTTACGAGCCAGAAAAAGAAGGAAAAGAGGCTGGGGAACGAAGGAAGGAACCGAATAAGGACATTCTAGCCGCTTCTTTCCTTTCTTCTTGGGAGTTGCCTAAAAAGGCAGGTTACTGAACAACCTCGGCCTCTAATTACGACCTCATGATTAAGTTTCTATCTCTCTTTGGCTTGAAATTTATATCCCAAAACCATACGAAGCTTCTTCTCTGGATTAAGCTGGACAACAACATTATATATCGCTTGAGAAGCTAGCTGCGATGGACGATGCCTAACAATAGTAGATACATAACATGTCAGCTGTAAAGTGGAGAGGATCGCTAGATTGGATAAAGAAGTTTATTAGGCGCCAAGCACCTGCCGGGAACCTAATCGAGAAAAGCAAACTGAATTATATTAAGTACTAACGCTCGTATCTCAGAACATGGCTGGTAGATGCTCTTCTGAGTTCTGTAGACATCTACCTAGGTAGTATCTTTGTATCTTCAAACGCTGTTGCCTGCTTCTCAAGCCTTATCCGGCTTTGTGCGTTATCTAATTCCGAGATCTTGTCTATCTTGGTCCCTTCTGTAGTCGGAAAGACTCCTAGCGTCTTACCAATGGGAGTTTGGGTGGTAGCAGGCCCGATACTGGGGTAAAGCAATTAATTGGGTATTAGTGTTAGGGTGTTCAGGGATGGAGGGATCGATAAAAGCCAACGGATCGACGCAGCCGAATGGGTTCGGATAAGGCATCGGAGTCTATGGAACGTTTGAATGTCCTTTGCAGCTGTTGCAATCACTGATCTTGACACAGAATAGAGAATAGAACACACTTGATCCTGTGCGATAGGTATCATGTTGCTTGTGCAAGGATCAATACGGACCAACCGTCATCTAACGGGGTCCATCGTGTGGCGGTTAAGTACGTTCGGGCTGGGACTGGGGCTGGGGCTGGTCCTGGTCCCGCGATCTAGAAAATGCATGTACTTAAATGGTACGAGCGTGAATCCTGGACCAGACATGTATGCACAGAGTAGCACCGGGCGACTGGCCGTGTTTCTCGACTTGTTTGGCTTACGTTTTTCTGAAACTTTTATGGCGAGAGGACGCGCGGTAAGAGCAATATATTGTGGTACTGTACCTGGTTGAGGTTGTTACGAGCCTGGATAATACATGTGGTCCACTGCTGCAAATAGTCCGATTCGTGTTCAACCTCTATGAGGAGGAGGGTATAACAGAGCGCAATTCTCCAATGAGAGAATTCAACAGAGGGTAAAGTTGACGGTTAGCATCCGATATTGTATTCGTACACTCCGATACAGTAATCATGCATGCATGCATCCCGCGGAGCATGCATTGATTGTGGTGGAAAGAAGGCGTTTGACATGTCGAATTATCACGCAACTGGCTTTCAAGACAAGAGTGTTTCATGATGGTACAGCGAGCTGAGAACATGGACCATTTGACTAGCTACTGGTAAAGCAGGGTTCATAGTCAGAGGTATGCCTGTATGAAATGCATTCTCTATTTGGATATGCCTACTTTTTTACACATGAGCCGGATGATTGGTGTTCATTGAGTCATGCAAAGACTAATACAATGAATCGTTGATATCACCTCACCGGGCCCGCTTGACCGCCGGCTTTGCTTATTTTTCTATGATGAGATTGTGTCTTTGTTAGACTGATATTGGTCATGATGTATTTGTTAGTTTTTACTGTTCAGGTGAGATCCCTTCTTTCACAGACTGCCACAATGAACAACCGACACCACAGACGGGAGATAGCAGCATGTGGACGTTGGTGACATGCGCGAATCATGATACCTCCGCAGTACTTTGAAGTCTACTTTAGGCACTGGTGGCCCGGGGGTTTAATGGTGCGTGCTGGGCATTGATTACCAGCGGGCCATACGGGCCTCTGGTCCCCGACTCAGCGGCCGAATTTTGATGGAATCCATGACTGCTAGGTAACGTTAGGAATTTTCTGTATCGAGGTTAAAAAAAAAAAGTTAACAAAATTTTCCCCTCCCCCACCTTGGACTGCACCCCTACAATCGAAGCCCTGTCGGGTTTCCCCTCCCCCTCGCTCCCAATCACTCAAATCAATCGTGCTTGCCTTGCCATACCATGCCATTCCCCCACCAAGCCCTGAGTGCCTGCCTCGTTTCGCACGCCCAAATGAGCAAGAAGTGAGCACTATTGCTCGACTGGGGTTGCACCCCTCCTGCCTCATCACAGTGAATCCGTCTTGCGACTGCACCTCGTACAATTGTAGCTACCGTAGTTCCTTCTCAGCCGGATCAAACCCAAGGTTGCCTTGTACCTGCCCATCATTATTCTGCCGTCAGGTACCAAAAATCAGCCAAGTATCTCACGCAGACGGAGCACGTACCTTCTTTGTACCTTCCCGCCTGCCACTTTCTCTCACTAAAACTATTGTGACTGCTTCTTCCGAAACGGCTTGACCACCGACCACCGACTACTTACCAGGAAAAAAAAAAAATCACTCCTTGTGCCTGGTAACTGCCTCCGCTCACCCTTCCTTCCTTCCTTCCCCGACCTGTACCTTATCCCTCGTCTCTTTTCTCCTTCCTCCCCTACCTAACTTACTTCTTTTTGCCGACCCTCCCACCCTTCTTCTACCCTGCCTCTCCCATCTCTTCCTTCTTCTTCTCTTCTTCCCTCCACAATGAGCTCTCAAGACCCCCTCAACTCTACCAACTCGTCAACGACAAACAACACTCAAGATGCCTCGGGACGACAGCCCTCCTCCGCCGCCGCCGGTTCCTCCGAACTCTCCGGTGCAAAGATAAGCCTCCGCAAGTCGCTGCGCAGCTTCCCCGACTTCCCTATCCCGGGAATTAACTTCGTCGACATTATGCCTCTCTTCGCCGACCCCGTCGCCCATGCCACCCTTGTTGATGCCCTCGAGCTCCAGATTGCCGAGGCTTTCCCTACCAAGCCCGACGTTATCGTTGGCCTCGACGCCCGTGGTTTCCTTTTCGGCCCTGGTCTTGCGCTCCGCCTCGGCGTTCCTTTCGCTGCTGTTCGCAAGCAGGGCAAGCTTCCCGGACCTTGCGTTACTGCCGAGTACATCAAGGAGTACGGCAAGGATCTTTTCCAGATGCAGGAGGACGCTGTTCGTGAGGGCCAGAAGGTCCTCATTGTGGACGATATCATTGCCACTGGTAAGTAGCTCTGTTCGCATGGAGCTTGTGTTGAACCGAGACTGACATGTTTTACTAGGCGGTTCTGCAAAGGCCGCAGCTGAGCTCGTCCAACAGCTTAAGGGTGAGGTTATGGGATACCTCTTCATTCTTGAAATCCCTGGTCTCAACGGGCGTGATAAGCTCGGTGCTCCTCCCACCAAGATTCTCCTTGAGGACGCTTAAGCGGGTTGATGCCGAGATTCCTCTTCCCTTTTCCCGCTTCCAGCGATAAAGCGATAGGTATTGGACCATAGATCGACGTCAGTCAAATCTTTGCGAGGCATGTGGTAAAGCGCATGTATGGAAACTATATTAGACTTGCGAAGTTCTCTTTTTGTCCTGTTTGTTTTCAACTCAAGTTATGGGTATGGTGGTGGTGGATAAGTTTTACAGCATTTCACTTATTTATTGAGTGAGGTTCATACTGGTTGGCGTTTTGTGGATGGATTTTTCACGATTCAACAACAGCAAAAGTCTTTCAATTTTACGCATATAGAATGGGGGGTCTAGGATACTTTGATATACCTATATAAAGAAAGATCTCAAACTACTAAGTAATGACACAATGATGGTGTTATTTGCATTTAGGAACGTTATTTGCATTTAAGAACAACTTGGTTACTATACTTCTAAATAGGTAGTAGAACTGGTCTTGATCATAATGTCCTGATAATATACTCCAGAGGAAGTCCAACTCTTTTATTTTGTCCACAGAAATGCGCTGCTCATGCAAAATTGATTCTAAGACACCACTAGTAAAACTCCGAGACATGCATCACGCTCTCCAGGTGTTATAAGACAATGGCGTTCTCTATCAGCATCCCCTGACTCTCTGCCAGGTACTTGCGCCGCATTCCCACACCTTTGGCCTCGCCAAAACGCGCATAGTCACCTTTGCCACCACGCATGAGAACCATCGGCACACCGTTGAGCCGCTCCATACCTCTGGGTGTCTTTTGTGCTACAGTTAAAAGGGGACGTATGAGGTCCTCGACACCTTCCTCGTCCTCATCCTCGTCAATGACAATGACAAGCTGCAACGCGTGTGGGGACGGTGAAAAGTTGGGGATACGCTCAAGCTTCTCACTGAAAGAGCAGCCGCCACGTCGAAGGACTATGATTTGGTGTTGTCGGGACGATGCCTCGGGCAGTGGAGCATCGCATGCTTGACCACCGAGGAAGACAGTGCGCCAAGGGAAGTTGGCAGCAGGTCTGCGAGAGTTGTAGCTTGGCGAGCCAGCCATTGGTGTGTCGACAATCGGCGGCATCGGGAATGCGCCTGGGCCGGTCGCCGTATAGGCCGACCACCGGAGCGTAGTGGGGCCGGGGTCGGTCCCTTCCGACTCCGGGAGGTCCGTATAAGCCGGTTCGAAGACGGAGCTCACGGCACGGAGCAATGACTTGAAAAGGGACTCTGACGGCAGTGCTGCATGGTTTTCGAGAATTTCACCAGATGCATTTACACCTGGAGCAGGTGCGGGTGCACTGGTATTCAATTTCTCGGGGGCGTCGAGAAGAAGGTCGATCTCAACCATATCTTTCCGTCGGAGGCAAGTGAAAGCCTCATCCTTGTAGTTTCTCACATGCTCTGCATGGAAAAACACATTCTCGTGTCTGCCGAGCTCTCGACCTGCCGCATGCGTAATTCTCCAAAATCCATCTTCTTTTCTGCTGCCTTGTCGCTCCAATTGCAGCCGCATATTGTCAAGATTGCGCACTGTTGGTCCATTGTGACTGTACCACACGAGTGAAGTACCGAAGCGAGAAACGAGAGAACTGGCTGTGTCACCTGGTGGGAACTCTATCCAAGCCAGCACGCGCTCAGGGGGTGCCGTGCATACACCATCTTGTGGCAGCATAGTTGGGGGCAACGTCCAGGGGAACATTGTGTAATTGGTTGTGGCTCGATATTTCGTTACAAGACCCTTTTTCTTATCAAAAACTTCCACCGGCTCGAGCGGCCCGTGTACGTCGGGGGTGTTGTGAAGATCGACGAATAGTGCGACACTGAACAAATCAGGACGAGCAGCTGTAGCAGAACCAGCAAGCCCTGGGACTGTAGGGACAGGACACGTGCGAGTAAAACTCTCATCCTCAGTATTATTACTGGCTGCTTGCTGTTTTGCCAAAGAACGCCACAGAGCAGGCTTCGAACGACTCCGTTTGGGAATGATAAGGGGATGGCCCTCTGTTGAAAAGACAAATGCAGCATCGACCTTGTTGAGCGGATGGTCGGGGTCGAAGAGCAGATACATATACTTTGTCGTTTCACCAAGGAAGAAACTCTCCATGCGATCAGATAGTTCACCTGTCCTGACGTCCTGAATGCCGGCCCAACCACAGGATGTTCGACATCGGCGCTCGATGTCTCTCAGCACCATTTCGCCAACGTGCAAGTACCACGGATCCTGCGTGGCACGGTATATGTAGTATGTTGACTCTATAAACTCAGGACGACCTGGCCACCAGCCGAGCCCCTGGTCAACGTTATTTTCACGAACTGACCATCTCTCGGGCAGGGCAGAGTATCGTGTCCAGAGCGCAGTATAAACAAGATTCGCTTCTATAGCTTCGTCGACCTCACCCGCCATAGCCAACAAACCCGGGTAGAAGGCTCCCAAACTGTCAATCCACATGGTGTAAGGTTGACCTGTGGTTCGATGGATATTGGAATAGTAGGGATAATGACTTCTGTCGGTATACAGATAACGTTTGACTGAAGCATGCGCTTGATGCCATGCATCTAAAAATGCTTCAGAGGTCTGCAATTCGGTGGGAAGAGGGGGATGTATGGTATTGGGATCAAGCCACTTGGTACTGGTCTGCCGATTGGTTGAGGTCTTGTTCGGCGTGCCGTGTCCTGACAGCAAGATGTGGCTCTTCAAAGCATATTCGAAGAAGCTGTCCATCCCTGCGCCGATTCCAGCATGTGGACCAATCCATTGTCCGCCTTCCGCATCCAACCCGTTGCCTACGAGGCCAATCTCACTCCTTCTGCCCCAAACCGCCCAGAAAGCCCGCTTAGCTGCTTGCTCAAACCGATCATCCCCTGACAGTCGACTCAAAACAGTAAACTCTAGAGTGAGACTTCCAGCTCCGGCACTGCACGTCTCTGTGATTTCTGCCGAGGATTCTTCTGGTTTGTCGCCGCCCATTTGACGAAACAGGGGAGACCTGGTGTAGAAAGGGATGCCGTGTCGGAGGTTGACTCGCGGGTATGGTATACCTGTATCTGTATAGAAAGCTGGAAGAAGCCGTTGTCCGAGATCGAGGGCCAGTCTTAGAAGCTGGCCATCGTACTTAAAACCATTCGGCCAAGCGATAGGTGCCAGTTCGAGAGGATCATCGGCTTCGGCCCTCCAAGCAGGCTCCACGGTATATCCAGCAATAGGCAGCTCACCTATGGCAAAGAGGTGCGCACTAAGAAGACCTCCTAATCCACGGATGACGGTTTCAAAGACCTGGACTTTGCTATCGAGATCAAATCCCATCGCCCGTTTGCCTTGCCCTGAAATACCTGGGCGACCGTCGCCATAGTATCGTACGAAATCCGCTATGCCGTCTTGGAAGTCACTCAGAGCATTTGGTCCTGTTCCCGAGCCATCTTCGGGTCCGCTTGCGAGTATCGCGAGTGTTGATAAACTATCGATGAGTGTCAGGGAGTAGTTCCCTAAGGCGTCGTTCAGTCCGATATGGGCGGGATTTTCTCGGTCTCGTGTAAGGGGTTGGCATGTCAGAGGTCGAAGCTATTGAGAAACCAATCAGTATTATGCAACCGACATTCCGATGTCCGACATACCTCATCCTCAGGAAAGGCATGCTCCATGTAGTTGTCGAAGCCATGATAAAACATATCCACGGTTTCTCGACGCAACCGCCCAAGGTGGTCTTGCCGCATTGCTTGAGCCGTCGTCCATGATAGCACAGCCCATGTCAGCAATTTGAAAAGAACCAGTAACATCCTGTCTCTTCGCTCATGAAGCCCAAGACTCGAAGGTGCTAGCCAAGGGGAAATGGCGCTCGATAACTGCAGGGCTCATCGGGGAGCGTAAAAACAAGCAGACAAGGCGGATAAACACCCGAGAATAGTTTTATGGAACGCCTTAAGTATGGCGCGCGACGGGCGCTCGGCGTCGCGATGTGAAGGTTGAGAAGGCAAAGCCGTTGTAAAGTCAAGATGATAGTTGTGTCTTGTCATCATACAGCCACCTGTGGCTGATGTCTGTGACCCCTGACCTTTAGGCTGGGGCGGCCAATAGGCAAGACCATATTATAGCGCTCTACTGCTACGTTCATTATGAACGACTTGTTATAATGTGACTTTCGAGTCATAAACGAGTGTCATTATTGACCATCTACGTGGGTGACTGTAGTAAAGTGGTAGTGGTGAGAAGCTGCCTGGTAATCGAGGTAATCACTAACACAGCCAGTTTCGGTTGGTTCCTTCCCTTCATCGGCAATCTGCACGTTTTCTTCGATGCCTGGCCATAGGTCACTTGATCATATTCTTTCTCCATCTCCTCCATGTACAACCAATCTTCTCCCTCGGTATCTATTACACCGAAACCGAACCCTTTCCAGAGTTGCTCATCTCAGGGCTACGAGTACAAGTTTGATTAATTATGTTCATACGCCGCGAAGCCCAAAAAAGAAGTGCCAAGATCGAAGGTCACGATGAGAATACCTCATGCGCCAGTGCGTCACTACCCTAGCCGCTAGGTAAGGCGGAAGCGGGCCCATCAATAAAACGCCACTCTTCATGATCTCGAACTAGTTAACCATGTTACAGTTTGGTCCAGTCGGCCGCTGAGCCTGTTGGATTAATCGTTGTATCGACCCCGGCTAGATCAGATGTCAACGGACGTAGGAACAATAACCCATAGCCTATGGATGCCTCGAGGTTGGAATAATCAGATCAGCCCCCACTCGGAATCCATTGACGATCCTCCGCTCGAATGAACCCGTTCATTAATACTGTCAACGCAAGGCAACTGGGCGCTGGTCGACAATTGGCAGGTCCTAGCGTGCAGGTGTGTCACCTTCTTGTTCTGAATGAGGACTGTTGCCAGCATCCAGGTCGGAGTCTGATAGGTTCTTCCCTTAGAGCCATCGTTCTCGGTTGCGATACACAGCATAACTCTCTGTGTTTCTCATAGCCCCACGACGCTGTACTGGTCGAATATCGACGATCTACAATAGCCCTGGATAACTGCAAGGAACCTTTTTGTTTCAAAGAATCCAATCATGGTGCTTTCCTGTCGACGATGTGCTTCGAAGGTAACCGTGCGAGGAGACTATTTCTTGCGAAATCGTTAGCGCTGGACTACAATAGCTACGATTATTGCCTAGGTAAGCCACTCGCGTGGTTTCGCTGTTGTTTGTCCTCTGCCACGTCTTCTTACACGATTAACCTTTTGGGGTAGGGTTTTGAACTATGCAAAATTCGGTCGTTGGCAATTCATACACTGACTTGCTCGAGCAATCTACATACTTGTGCGGATGGTTATAACATGTCCATGACAACAGGGCGCAACTCCATGTTTGATGTCGGCTCTGAAGCCTTCTTCAGAGCAATCTGCGGCACACATGTCATAGGAAGTGTCACACTTCATTCACGTTGCTTTCAGGGCATATTTTGGTTCAGGCACGGTGTTTTCTCGCGAAAGGGACCGGGACCGCACGCATGAGTAGTCGTTTGAGTTTGCCCATGAACCGTCGCCCATCTCCCAAGCAATTCCTCGCTTTGCCTACTCTTCGCCTAAAGAATGATGCAGTCGAGATCTCTTGTATCTTTGATGCACCTATGTGGGTGTCGTCAGAAGCGCTAGGTTCACGGAAATATTTAGCCTGAAAAAGGCCTCACATCACTGACAAGCCTCGCATTGCCGAACTGTCAAACGGCGTGATCTGCATCGGGGGCTAGAAGCCTGAATCCCTGACGGCTAGGGCATCCACGACTCCACGGACGGGCCATTGGACTCCACTAGTTTAGGCTCAGGGCAACCCCGTCAAGCTTGTCTCGACACCCTCCCGGCTCTCACTGGCGACTTGAGTCCCTATCCTTGTCAACCTGACCCAGCCGCATGCAAGTTGCAGTGAAAATCAAATTTACTTGAAGCGCAATTTTCCAAACTGTCGGGACCGCAAACAAGGACAAGTTTGGTCAATACGAGTTGGGTGTTATCTCTGTCCCCCTTTCGAATTCTTTCCAGGTCTTTCGTGGTCCCCCTTGTTCTTGAGGCAATGGCACACACAACCTAGGTCATTCCACTCACTGTTGCTGTCGCCAGCCATGGGCACTGACTTTGCGAAGTCGTTTTTGGTGTCATTTGACCTTCCACATTTCGGATATCGCTGCTGTCTCAAGCTACAAAGTCCGAAACCCAAAATCAACAGCCCGTTTGATGGGATACAATGAAGATTGGCATGATCATCACATACTTACGATATGTAGATCAAAGGAAATATAGACACGGGAAATTCTTTATGGGCCGTCATAGGGACATCGCGAAGCACGAGCCACTCTTGATTTACACAGCAAAAAAATCTCAAAGTTCTCCGGAGCTCTATCTAAAACTGTTCCTTGGGGTATATAAACGGCCTCTTATATGATGCGCAATGTCCAAAATGATGAGGGAAAAGCAAAGGAATACAAAGAAGGAGGGGCTCTTCGTTGGGAAGATGAAGCAGTCTATAACGTTACCCAAATCGTGGACCAGGCTGAAGTGTCAAAAGCTTTCGGCTTTATGATCCCCTGCGTCCTTCATACATTGGCTGTGATGTTGGACTCATTCTCATCATATGTGGTATGCGGTCGTTTCTTTGGGGCATCGCTCCAGGTTCCATCTTCATTTGGTGATCCCACATCTGCGCCTCCATATGATCTCCTGGGGCATCCTCTTCCATCTTCATAGTTGGAAGACCATGAACCTGGTTGATAACTTCATCTTCGTGTGTTGTGTGTGAACCAACACTCATCATCTCATCGTTGATTGACATTTCGTTTTCCATGCCGTGGCCAACGCGCTTTCTGACTGATGCAGGCTTGCGCCGTCGACGGATATTGGCGTCACCGTAAGACTCCATGTAGAGCCCTTCTTCAAGTTTTAGATCATTGGTAACTTTGATCTCGATATCGCTGGCGTTTAGGCGCATGTTCCGAGAGCCTCCCATTTCGAGGAAGGTGTCGAGAACTTGCTGATATCGATTCTTCTCGACTCTCAACCAAGCTTCGCGAAGTAAATTCTCCTGAGTATCGTTAGTATGATGTCTAGCATCCTTTGGGCCGGTGTGACTTACATCCTTTGGTATCCAGTCGTAGTACTTGGCTCGACCTCTCTTGAACTTCATCTGCAACATCTCCTTTCCAGGGCACTTTTGGAATCGCTCCTTGAAGTCGCCCTGGATGCTCTCCCACATGTCCTGGCCCTTTTGGTTGCGATGCTGCCAACGGGATTCGAATATGCAGCGCTCCTCGTCGGGGCATGTGCTCTTGAGGGCTGGCGGTACCTCCTGACCGAAGCAATTCTTGTGCTCGCTAACAGGGTCTTCGGAAGCAGCGTTTCGGGATGCTCCTGTTCGCTTAGAGTGGCGCTTCTTCACCCGGCCAGTGTTTTGGAAAGCAGATCTTCGACGAGGTGATGCTGTCATGGAGCGTGGGACGCCAGAAGGAAGGTTGTGCAGGCTAGATTCTTCAGGGCTTGGGCGTCGACCGTACTGAATCCGGTGCGGTTCACCCAGAAGTGGTGTACCAGGTATCTCGCGCTGATGCATACCCATTGGAACTTGGTGGTGATCTCTAACCATCATATGCTCCTGGTGCTGCTCGACTGGATGATGGGGCATGACATAGTAGGGTTGTGGCAAGGGCTGTTGTTCTGGTGGCCCATTTGACACGCCGAAAGCTCCCATATAGGGCTCGGGTGGTCCTGGTGTTCGTCTTCCGTCATGGACATAATTGGTGTGGAGGAATTCTCCAGAGACTTGAGCCGCTTGGGAAGTCATGGGTGAGCTGGCTTGTGGTGACTGGTTGTTAACGTCGAAATGTCCTGCCCACTGATGATTGTACATGTCTGAGCTTCCTGGAGGGGAAGGCTGCTGGTTAGGTGTACTTGGGGGAGGAGGGTATTGTGATCCAATCTTGGACACTCCGTGTAATGGAGGAGAGTCCACGACTGATATAGGAGTCAAGAGATTCGGGTCGTACTGGTTTGGGAGGGTGTTGAAAGAGGAAGGAATCTGCGCAAGCATGAGTTTTGCCCTTATCGACGGATATTGTAGAGCGCAACAAGAAGTTTGTCCGTTGGATGCAGAAGATGAATAACTTACAGATGCGTATGATGATAGGTCGTGGTAGTTAGGAGCTGTAGTTGTAGAAATTGAGTCGTGCAAGGTGGGAGCTCCCGAAAGACCAGCCGGCTGGGGTAGACCTGGGGCAATATACTGCTGCTCAACCATGATCATGTGGGTATTAGTGTCTGAGGGATCGGACAATTGCAGTCCAAGTTTGTTGGTTTATAGGCGGGGCTGTATGGCGGGATGTTTGCAAAGTGGTAGATGATCGTTGATGCTATGGCTAGCAAATTCAAGATTCAGTCCGAGACAGGTGCATTTATGAGAAGTAACCAAGATGCTTCAAGAAAGCATCAAGACCTGGCGAGGCAGATAGGAAGAGTGGAAGTAAAGTAGGATTCAGCCTTTTCTGGCCGCGGCCGCTTTTTGAAGACCTGGGTGTCCAGAGATCGAGGCCAAGGTCAAGGGCAAGGGCAGGAGGAAGAAGTTGAGGGAGACAGAGCCTTGTGGGGTCACAGACGGCCCGGCCTTTTTGTATAAATGGTGTTTGGAGATGAAGACTAGTGGAGTGCAGATCGTTGGAGTGTAGGTAGTTCTCCAGAGAGTATGTAGAGCAGCAGCAGCAGTAGTAGCAGCGACGAAGTACTAGGACATTTGGAGAGCCGTTCCTCTACAAGTTTAGGGACTCATGGACCAAGTGCCAGGGGCTACTGAGGGAGGGCTGGGGGGTGTTGAGCATGCACTGAGCAGAGGAGGACTTCAGATACGAAGTATGGGTACAGGCTGGCGTTGCCTACAAAGTGGAGGGTTTACCTAGGTCCATGATGGCTTGCCATCCTCTTCCATACCAGGATACGACACCTAAACTGTCGTGCATATGAATAGGCGCCGAGGGGTCTAAAGCTAAGCTGTGCAAGCTGGGCTGGGCTGGGCTGGAAATAGAGAGGAAAGGCTTTAGGGCAGTGGACGTGCATAGCATGCCAGTGGATATGACGCTGGGGCCGAGGGGAAGTTGATGAATTGACTATCGCGGCATGAGGCTTCAAAGGGGGGCGTGTGGAAGGGAGTACTGTGCTGTAGAGGAAGAAATGTAAGTGGAAGTGGCGTTGACGTGGGCATGGATAATGGGCGTGGGTGTGGACATGGGGTGGGCAGGGGTTTCTCCATCCATCCATCCGTCCATTGATTCATTCTTCCATCCTTGTTGACTGTCTATGGGTGTGAGAGAGAGAAGAAAGATGGGATGGGGAAAAAAAGACAAGAGAATGGAGTCGTATCTTCTCGACAAGGAAAACAACACCGAACTCTTTCGGATGTTTCTTCCAATTCACCACGGACCGTTACTTTGCAATCCCTTCCCTGCCCTTCCCTTCTGCGAGTCTACGTTGCATTACTTGTGCGTCTTCCAAGCGCGCTCTGAACCCAAATCTCTTCCTAGACATGGTCTCGAGCAGTCCTCGAATCCGACAGTCTGGATAGCATATGTAATGGAAATGGTCTGGTTATCGGCCTAATCACCGACGGTGGCAAGAAGGAGATGAAGACCAAGTCCTGGAGGAAATTGCGAGCACGTTCGCCTTTCTCTCTCGGGGCTGTCCGGGAAAAAGTTCTGTCAAATGTCTTGGATGAGAGACAATGGGGGACCAGATCAAACTCAACACGGAGACATATCGACTATAAAACAATATAGCAAAAGGTACGGATATACATGACCGCTATTATAAGAGAGGAAACGAAAAGCCAAACATGACTAAAGAAAAGAAGCTAGATTGGAGGCTAAGAGACAAGCTGAAGCTACACACAAGCACTGACCATTAAACCTAGATACAGTCAGTACTTACTTTTTCAGCCAGACAAGAAGGCGGATCCGGGTCTAAACCTAGGCCCTGCTTGACAAGAGAAGAGACGTTTACATGACATGGGGGCCAATGACCAGGAACCAAGAGAGAAACAGAAGGAGAAAGTGAACAAACCTGGGTAGACTACTCCGTACGGATACAGTAGTACAATAAATGCAACAAGGTGGGGAACAGAGAGTGGTGACCAAGGACCCTTTGTGTCGCCTTGAAGTGAGTGAGGGAAGAGAGGATGAACCAGAAATGTGGGAATTGTCAGTGATTGCCTGCCTGTTTGTTCTGCCTGCCCCCATATTGAACCTCAGGCATCTCCACGAGGGTAGTTCTTCTCCATCTCTTACTACTACATTACTCAAGATTATCGCGTCTGAGGTCATGAAGCAATAAACGTGCCAGGGCTGTCAGCAGGAACGCGGGACCTTGACAATCCTCTGCGGGCCGTTTGGCGTACTATGTACATCGATCTCAAAGATCGGCAGCTTGAAAAGAAAGGGTGCACCAGTGACGTTTCTTGCCGTACTGTACTGGGATCTTACTTAGTGGAGGACGGTAGAAGAGGGCAGAGAAGAGGGTTGGAAAGACGCCATTGATCTAAAGTATGGGCAGGGGTCTATTTGGGGGCAGTAGAGAATTGTGCTGCAAGTAGAGTAGCAGTTTGGGGCTGGGCTGGGTCAAGGCCAACACAGCACAGCACTCTTTACACAGCCAAACAACCTCTTTACTAGCAGGAAATGTCTTGAATGAACTCCATAATATGAAAGAGTCAGTGACAAAGTGTGATGATGCCCACTTGTGAGTCCGGCAAAGTGACAATAGAAGCGAAAGCGGAATAAAACAAGAGACGGAAACGGAGATGGAGGATGAAAAGGCCCAAAAAAGAAGACATGACAAGAGAGCAGAGTAACCTATTCCTGCAACAGCCTAGACTAAACTACAGTAACAGAGCCAGGCGAGTTGACTCCACTGGTCTTGTCTTGGCATCTATCGGCAGATTGCCTCGTCATGTGCTGCGCGGAAGAGGAGGAGGATGGAGCGGAGCATAGCGTAGCACACTTCGGAAATGCTGAAGATTCCGTCAATCAATCATCGATCAATTCAACCATGGATCATATGCATTATCACTGCGGTTATCCATTTGCTGCGGTTGGCAAAATACTGGAAAAATGAAAACGCTATCACCAACAGACAATTGATCGATCCGATACACGCGCTGTTCACAAACGTGATAGGACCGCGTGTAGCGCGCAGCCGTTGAAGTTGGAGCTGGACACTCGTCGTAAAATGGATTGGATTGTGGATGGACGGTGTTAGCCTTGACAGGTTTACTTCATTAGGTCGTTTCTGGGGGGGTAAGGGCCCCTGGGGTGCTAAATTAACGACCGTCCGCCTCTCTGCCGCCGCACTCGGATCAGAAGGGGTTTAATAGGTGCAGTCAAGGTTTCCCCTGGTCCGCGGATGCGACCCGAGCCCGAACAAGAAGCCGGGCTAAATGACGTTCAGAATTAATCAAGATAAGAAGTATTTTGCCCAGTATACATGCATACGGTATTTAGTTCATTTTGAAAGGAAAAGAAAATGAAACAACATCATATGATTATGATGTCTAATGCCAGGCTCGACTTGTCTCGACTCTACTCGATTCAATTTTGGCTGGCTGGGCACGGTCATTGTCTCACTGTTTGTAGGGGGAAAGCAAGCAGAAACCGAAAAGACATGAGTAATTGCGTAGCTGATACCAAGTTTACACGTCCACTTGCATAGCAATATGCAACCCATAACATAAACATAACATAACAGACCAGAGAACATGGCCATGGCATGCGCCTGGCGCTTGAGAAAAATGACAGGGGTATCGGAGTTAGATGCTGCCCCACCATGGCTTAGAATTGCGGCCCCGCAGCCATCCACTCAGCACTTTGTGCCGCAAGCTAGTGACTACACTAAAAAGCTTAGCTTACCAAACTGCCGGGACGCGCTAGCAGGGACTTAAACCCTGTAAGGTGACTCGTCTTCCCGAAAGGGGATAGACCGAGCAGGGGAGATCCTGCTCCTGGAGTGGGCCGGATTAGTCTTTCTCAATGCTTTCATTGGTTCTCTCAAAGATCAGCCCTTGCTTCTCCCACATTGTGAAACTGAACCAATGGGCGAAAGCTCCGGCTGCGAACACTTTGCTTAATGAGGTATAGTCGTCACGCGCGCGTTTACCATGTCGTTAACTGTCATTGGACAGCGGTTGGACTACAAGCGAACGTCCTGCCAACTCACACAACTCAGGCTGGGCCTTTCCTTCCTTGCCGGCCGTGTCTGCCCTTGCTACCTTGCTCTTGCTCTTGCTCTGCTCTTGTCACTTGTCACACCCCCCCATGACGGGACGCTACTCTTAATTTCTACCTCACATCATCAATATCAATCTTTTGCTCAACCACCGCCGGGCTTTGTCGTGCCGATAACCCATTGCCCTTCCCTTCTGGCAATGTCAATACCACTCACCGATCTTTTCTTCAGAGACAAGAGCATGTGAGCGGCATGCGGGCCATGCCATAGCCGCAGTTGCTTTGTGCCAACCCAACTCAACCCACGATATGAGTTGGCTCGCGCAATATCACAAGCCAAGTGCCGGGTGTTGTGTTGGTCGTATCGAGCCCCTGGGCGCCATTTCCTCGCCTGTCTTTTCGCTACGGCGCTATACTATAGGTCGTCTGATATAATTCACACCTTCGGCTGGTCCCAACGCCACCTCCGTCGCACGCCGCTGCCGCCAGATCTGGGGTTTGGTTGAGGGTTCCTGCAGATCCGTCCTCGGATCTAACGTCGCCGGTCATAGAGATAACACACAGCCTTGTCGTGTCATGTCCATATCTATCTATCCACATGGATATGGACACTTTCCGGCTAAATTGCTTGAATTTCTAAATTGTGAATCGCTTTTCACATGCTCCTGAGCAGTGAAGATGGATGGATCCCTACTTCGCCTTGCTCAACGGTTTCATAATATCTGACCTTGTAGGCTTAGATATGGCAGAGGTGAAGCCATTGACCCTTGAACCCCGAGTCTCACTAGAGATCTGTGTTCAGTTCAAATCGATGGCTGCTGCTATTGCTATCGGCCCTCTGGAAATCAAGGACGACCCTGTTTTCAAAAACCCCGCCCGGGCAGCATGCGTGGCACTGATGCTCTTGATTTTGTTTCCGGTTTCGCACTTCTCCATCTAATTTACCCAACTGCCGGGACACTTTACATGGCAAGGCTTTGGCCTGAAAAGGAAAGTTTTGCGGGAGATTGCTCGATTCGATGGCTTTTTCGACTTCAACTGACTCGTCCACGCCCACTCTAAGCGCTCTTGTCGCGTCAGTGTCGACGATCATCCCTTCCAACTTATCTCATGTCAACACTACCGAAACATGTTTGTCACGGTACTTTCAGTGGATTGCCGCGATTATTCCGCCAGGTGTGTGAGCTTAGCCGCGGTTTTGGCGTCTCTGATTTCAACCCAAGACTTCGTATATGTCGGTCCCAGGGTTGCATTTCTGTCCGACCCGCTCCCCCTTCTTCCAGTCATATTTCAAAGCACACGCATGCTCATGCAGAGTGAGCGGTATTACCAGATTGTCGGGACTGAACTAGACTGAGTGATTTGTCGGCCATGTTTGCTGCTGGTACATTCGAAACAGAACAGGCAGGTGATGGCAAGGCTCAGCGGCGTCGACGGTTCGGTACTCTGCACATCCGTCTGTCTACAATAGCGGGCCCCCCGCTGTGACATGGCTCCTACCGGGATATACCTTGCCATCGGCCGAATCTGCGACCACTGCACAAGTCAAGCCTCGAAAGACGTTTACAATTAGTTGCTAGGCTGATTCGCTTCAACAATGTCTTCCGGATCATGCACGCACAGGCCCAGGGCGACGCCCCCAAACTCTTGCTGCACTGCTTTGCTTGGCAGTCCATCTCATCATCTATCGGTCGATCATCGTTCAAGGAACTTTTTTCCATGTCAGAAGCCAATCTCGTGGGGCGTCGGACATTCTTTCCTGTACCCTGACCCCAGCTGCGATGTTACGACAGACCCAATGCCTTTATCTCTTTGCATCATGATTGAGTATTAGAGTCTGGCAGTCAGTGCAAACATGCGGCGCAAACATACGGCAGGCGCGATGACAAGCACAAGACACCTTCAGGTCTGCTTGTGCCACTACATCGAGCCGCACATCTCACGCATGATTTGTTCAGCAGGGGTCAAAACAGAAAGCATTCACCATCAACTGCACTGCATGCTGAAGTACGCCCGCAATGAGCATGGACGTTTTGTCCTATTTGGGTTTCAATAGAGGAGCATCTCTGTGAACAGCCTATTGTGGCTACATATTGTTTCGATCATAGATCCAGTTCTGGGACGCCCGTCCCCCGCTTGCTCGACTTGGTATCAATGATACGATTCTTGTTACCCCAGAGTCGACCAGGTCTACTGCTACTATTCATCGGCGTCGCCGTTGCGTGGATAGCTCGAGCTAATTTGACGTTTACTTGTGGGAGGGGGGCGCCATAACGTGTGCGGCTAGCGGATGCTCCGCACCAGGATAACAACTTGCCACCAAGTGGTGATAGCTTCCAATAGCTTATCAAGCTTGTTTAGCTCCCTCTTCAGGGTTCTGTAGAACGGTTTCTGGACCCTTCATGATAATGAGTTCTAAACCTGTTCTTCATCTCAGGTCGTGACGGTGAAAAGAGCAAGGGTCGAGAACCTGCCCCGGTCACAACATGACGACAATATTCGATATGAAAGCCTTGTACAACTCAGAAGCAAGACAGACCAGCCATCTCATCGATCTAATTGACCGATTCTTGATGGTTTGAGGTGACACGGACTCGTTCTGGCTTGAAGATAGCCTATTGATAGCATTCTTACCTGCAAGCCATCAGCGATAGCATGGTTGGCACCACTCGAAGGACGTCTCAGCCCTTTTTTTATGTTTACTGCAAACATCCCGTATGTAATTGCGGTCACCGTGTTTCTCTGGAGACTCTGAAATTCAAGGAGCGTCGAGAATATCCAACAGAGACTCTTGAGACATGAAACGCGAACTGTGAAGCAGGGTGACCCCAACAAGATCTCAAACGAGTTTCCACCCGGCAATTGAATCCTCCTTATGCAGATTGTTTATGAGAATTGTCTTTCTTTCTTGTGGCAAACTCCCAGGTTCACTGGGTAGAGAGCTGTGCTCGTGATACAGATAAGCAATGCCACTTGGGGGCGAAACCTTCCTCACAATATGGACATCAAATAGCTCTGGTCAAACCACTTCTCTTCAGAATGGTGCTTTCGAATTTTGAGGAATGGGAGGCATCTTCAACCTGCTAGCACGATATTCTGAAGAAATGGGAGGGCCAGAAAGCCACGTTCGGATTTGGCTGGGCATAGGCAAGGAATGCAAAAGACACAGCAAAAGGGTCTACGTACTGTGAAGGGACCCTTTAATCTGGGCAAATTACCCCCGGCATTTATTTACAAGCGCCGTCCAACGGCTTTCTAGGTCTTTGCGTTCTTTAGTGAAGTGGACTGGGGCTAAATACAGGCTACATGGCTCTGCTCTGGCCATGATTTCTGCCACAATAATGTACAGTGCAGGCTGTAGGGCTTATGATCCTGGCGCAGATCTTTGGCCAGTCCAGTTTCATGAGCGGCCGATGAAGGATCCGGGGGGCGTGTTTTGTTGGTTGCGTTGTCTTGTCTTGTCTCAACTGAACGAGAACGACAACCGAAGGGCCGAAAATGGGTTGGCTTTGATCAAGGGGCCGTCCCAGCCTTAAAAGAGTAATCAAAAGTCATTCCCCGATTCGATTATGAGTCATGTTGTTGAATACCCCTGACTGTTTTCTTGTAAGTTTCCGGCGTTCATCGACTTGGCACAACCTTGCAATCAGATGGAGATTCTGAGATTGGAAGGATATACAGACTCGGTATGACATTGTTGGTTTTCAGACAAGACGTTGGCTAAAGTCATTGCTGTGCTGTGTGCATAGCCTGACGAGAATGCCTCGCCAGTCAAGGTTTGGAAACAAACCGTTTATCGTTGGAAGTTAGTTGTCGACAACAAACTGTCGTTTGACGGCGCTTAATCTAGGCTTCTGGTTTGTCTTCAACCGCGATATCAGATCCCCAGGGCGTCTCATGTGGCCATGGGTCGCCATAATGGGCCAAGGGCATCGCCGGGCCTGAAATGCGGCCATGCTCTTACTTGACGACATATGACATGCTATCAGGTCCACCACAAGGCATTATCCCAAAATTCTTCATCGAGAATTTGACTGCTGAGGCTTTCTACACTTTACGAAAAAGACACGTTGTTTGCAACGAGGCGGTTTCGGTAGGGTCTTTTGCATCGTTGAACAGGAATGTGACTGTTTTAGACACGATATCCACCTGATCTGCAGGGCCTCTCTGATTCATAAAACTAACTTTGAACTGCTATTCATTGTATAGACGAGCTCTTATTGGTGCTAAATCATTGACACCTAGAACGGCTCCTTTGCATTCTTGAGATCAACATAGCGGATCCGATTGAAAACGACAAGGGCAGCATCATTTCCGTCACGAAAGGAATTCGGAAATACAGATGTAAAACGGCTGTGGCGCAGATCGTTCTATTGTTCCTTGCACTAGGAGGATAAATCGAGTCACGACCGTGATCCATCACCCAGAACCAACACCAACAACGGACTCTTCAACGCCCCGAATATCCCGAAATTTTAGCGACGAGACCAGGGAATTGAGAGTCACTAGGTCAATATTGGCGATAAATGCGACTGTTGAGCGTGAACCAACTCCAATAACCAGGATTCTGGGTCCATGAGTTGCATACCTATTCGGCGATTGCCTGCCCAGGTCATGTCCAGGTCGCGTAACCGTGAAATGAAAGCGAGTCGAGCCGAGGGTTGGTCCAAGTCCCCCAAGGCTAATTAGATCTACAGTTTTCTTGAAACATGCTTTTGCTGGACTGTGCTTCGCTGTCAAGAATACTACGCAGTTTCACTCTTTGCCCCATAAGGGTCCCCATAAGTTGATAGGCGAATGGTGCCGCCGAGGATGGATGAGAAAACAATTCTCTCCTCCCTGTCAGTTGTCAGTGTCAATGTCACTATACTTTGCGTAGCCTCGGTACGTGGACCTTGAAGTAGATTCGGCCTGTCTATCGGCTCACGGATCAAGCCCCCGCGTCTCCGTTGCCCTGCATCATCCTTGTCTCTTGGTATTGCGGATTGTCATGGGGGGATTTTCGCTCGCTTAACCTTTTCCTCTCTCTTTGCTTCGTCTCGGAGCTTTTGTGCCTTCTTATGTCGGCAGATACCCCCAAGCTTCATCCATCTCGAGATCCCTCATGGTGTCTGCCTGGGGGCATTTGTGGGAACAGAACAAAAGAGGAAACTGGAAAATCTCATGAGGTAGAACTGTGCCCCCAAAAGGACAGACGTGTGGTGCGAGGAAGCAGAATTAATGAATTGTATTGTGTTCTCTATAACACTGTCACATCGCTTATACCACCCAGCGTCTTTCTCCCCTTTTTCATATACCATCTGCAGCTTAGAGGACTATGCTTAGTCCATGGCAGATCTCGATTCCATTAGATGTAAGAGAACGTAAAACAAGAGTGATGAAAGAACCGTGAAGAATGGTGAAGCGCCAATCACTGATCGGGCTTCGAGATTCACCATGTGAAAAAGTACGAAATTGACACGAAGAGAAAACAAGAAAGAAGGAAGAGCTTAGCTTTGCCAGTGCCAGTGCCAACTCGGTGTCAGCCAAGAATAGCAGACTCGCTCCCTTCAGTGAATGATGAAAGACGCTCTACTCCCACAAGACATGGTCTTGCTGTGCCCAGGATGCTCCTTTACAAGGTCAACTCACAGCATATCAAGAAACAAATTTTAAAAATGCAGTTCGCTCTTCTCAGTGATTCCACTGTTCTGGCGCATGCTAGACACCTTCCAGGGCTGGCGCGAAGGAATAGTTAAAGTCAAGAAGGCCGTCCAACATCCAGTTCTGAGGATCGAAGAAGTCAAAGTTCGTTGTGTCTCCGTAGCTGACACCCGTCATCATGCTATGAGCCGAGGAAACAGGTGGAACTGTAGCTCCAGGAGTTAAAGCGCCGTTTGAGGCATGGTTGCCGTTAGGGTTGGTGTTGAGAAGGCTTGAGGGCGGTAGAGTGTGCGAGGATACGAGGGTGCTGTCCATGTGTGTCGACGAAGCTGATGACTCATTAGCCGAATCTGGATTTGTCGGTTGTTTGGCTGCTGTTGTCTGTATTAGCATTCTTGCAATATTTGTACGAGACAAATCAAGACATGCTCTACTCAAGGGGCATCACCAAAACAAAGGGGAGAAAGGGTGTCAACCTACCATCTATAGTACCTCGTCCCATTGCCTGGAAGTCTTCTCTCCACCTCCAGACCGAATCGAACACTAAACTCATGCTGTGGCGGCATCGGACCTTGAGCTGCAGGCTATCGTCCATCTGTATAGGTAAGTCGTCATTGCTGTTGAAGTGGTGTTGGTTGTTGTCGAGCCGAGCGCCGTTCCACATCTGCACCATGAGTTCAGCCAACCGCCATTGTAAATCGTTATGTACAACACTGGTAGCCCTGATGGCTCGAATAGTCTGATGGAAAAGCGTTCGACCGCGCTGGAAGTCGATTGTTTTTGCGAAGAAAGATCTCATGAGCTTCAGAAGGGCAAATCCTGCGGCAACCATCATCTGGCCAATGTAGTTGCTGCAATGTAGGAGCAGGTTCCCACCAAGGTTGCCCCCCGGGCTCGTGACTTTGTCAGCTTGAAGCACCTCGTCAAGGAAAGTCGTAGTGGCGCGCCATAAGCCCATCAAATCGTCCATGTAGCCCGGTGTCTTGCTAGAATCGAAGAATCCTGCCAAACGCATGTGAAGACATGCCGCCCTGAGATGCAGATTTACAATGTGTCCCAGCTCTCGCGACAAGACAGAAGCGTGTAGCTCTGCATAGTCACGACGATAAACACGCATCAGCATTGCTCGATGCTCGTCGCCCGCAACTCCACGAGGGTCACTGGCGTTACTGTACATCTCTTTCGACACCTTGTCACAGAACCTTTCAATCTGTAATCGGGCCTCGAGTTCTCGAGAAAGCTGGAAAGCGCTCTCCTCTCCTAGCTTTGAAGCAAGAGTCCAGTCGTAGAGGGTTGATGCTGGCTGTCCGTATCCGGTTCCAACGGACTGCGCAACAATGTTGCAAACCGCCCATGTGGTTACACGATCACTGAGCTGTTCCTTGTTCAACTCAACTGACACTCTAGAAAAGTCTTGAATGTTATTGGGGCGATGGAGACCTATTCCGGTAGCCGTCTTCATCATGACTCCACACAGAATGTGCGTAGGGTCGGACGAAGTGGTACTCGTAGGCAGTGGCCAGGTACACAGCAGACACATGGCTTTGACCACGTAGTAATTGCTCGGGACCTCTCCAATCGTTGACCACAGAAACCGTGTTAGGGGCCCTGAGAGATTGTTGAGAAGTGCCGGCACATTAGTTGGACTATACCGTCGAGCGGCAACCGAGACAATGGACCAGAAAAGGAGTGGATGCTGTTGATAATACAAGTCGGGGGCCTGGTCGGGGTTGAGGAATGGCAAGAAAGGATGGTAGAATTGGAAGAACTGGTGGAATAGGCTGTTCACATTGTCTTCGGTCAGCTGAACGTTTTCCAGTTCATGCGAATACCGAGGCATGTTGTAGTTGCCGCCGCGCTTGAGATGCAGAAGAGATGAGACAGCCTCATCGGAGCCCATTAAAGAAGGATTTCGGGTGTGGGTGTGAGTGTAAGTCGGATTGCTCATCGCAGCGGGAGAGTCCATATCGTCGTCGCCCTCGGGTGTGAAGCCTTGCGACTTTGCGCTGGCAAGATTGCGACGCAGGCGATCAATCTCCTTCTCCATCTCGGCATGCTTGGATCTCTTGCCAACTCGCTTGAAATTCGACTCGATCTTGCATTCTAGCTTTAGGCGGTTACATCTGGAACAGCTTTGGAACGGATCTTGCACAACATCGCATCGCAACTGTTTGAAGTCTTCGTTTAGCACAATGCATTGTAACTTTTTGGAGGGGTCTGACTCACCTTTTGCTGACGGCACTCATTGCACGCTCGTTTCACACCGGGCTGGCGCTTCTTCTCTTGTTCAGCGTCGTGGTCGTGGTCATCAATGTCACTGCCTGGGCTACTGCCAATGCCGGCCATGCTACTTCTCTTACGCTTAATACCATTGCTGTTAGCATGGCCATGACCATGACGAGAGCTGACAGGGCTGGTAGGACTCATGGAGGCAGCCCCACCGGCCATCATGGACGAACCGTCCATAAGGACGAGGTCCCTCGGTCCCAAGGAGTCGGCGAGACGATGTGATTATGCGCCGGGGCCAAGACGGACACGGGCGCAAAGTGAACAACACCGAAAAGCAAGTAGCCGGAGGTTGTTGACCGGCCGGTGTCGGTGTTGGTGTTGATATCGATTTCCGGGTCGCGGCGCTGAGTGGGCGCGTCGTGTGTTGGCAAAGACAATGCGCGCGAAGCAAAGGCCGACTACGGAGGAGAGGGGTTTGGTTGTTTGGGAGAAGATTGCTTTTTTACCTTATTCCAGGTGCGAAAAAAGGCGACTCTTCAGAGTGGCCAAATAATACGGGCCAATTATAAGTGTTTTTCTCAACTTTTTGTTCTCGCTACGGGAGGCCCAGGTCCAGGCAAAGTACAGCTGCGGTACTCTTTGGCCAGTCTTGCCTCAAACGGCGACTTTTGAGCGACCTGAGCTGATGGGAAGCGGGGCAAAGGAGAAAAATCACCGTCCAGAGGTGGAGCTCAAACAGCCATCGACATTCTGATTGGTGGTTGATCTTGTCATTCACGTGATGTCCTATCCTCCATACCGAGGCCACCAGAGAAGGAAGGTACGACCAAACCCATGAAACAAGTATATGAAGAGTATGTGCTAGATGATATAAACAAGAAGCAGTGTTCAATTGAATTGGAATAAGTGTACTAGGTCCAAAGACTATATTCGCAGCTATAACGATCAATTCCTCGATTGACTAGATACCTAAGTATCGTCAAGTCCTACCTAAATCAGTCTTGGCTTGACATAGAAGTACTCTTATGTAGTTCCAGCCTCTTGGTACCATGTCTTTGTACTGTACAACACTTGGAAGGCCATTTCAACGTCTTGAAGAAAACGATAATCTGAAGAAGTGCCAGTTATCAAAACTGATTATCAATGCCTAGTTCTTGGCCACATGAGGCTCAATAGATAAGGTAGTAAGCATGTGTGGCTCCGATCTAAGACAAGCTCTAAGCTGCCCCGCTGTTCCTATCAAATGCACCTTCCTGCCATCTCGAACCAACTCATTAACCTTCTCCAACCAACCGGCAAACATCTTACAACTTTGAAAAAGAAAGTTCTTGTTGGAACGTTCAATCTGTCTCTTAGAAGCACGAGTGCAACTAGGGCCATGCCTGAGTCAGAAAAGAATCGTTCGGCGATTAAACGCCAACTCAAGCCTGCTCCTCAACGTCCTGGGCAGTATGTTCATTCTCCACGGCTCAATTCAGAGGTCCACTTCGCACTTCCAGGATCAATACCAGACATCGGTGAGATTTTAGGAACAAGTTGATGTCGAGTTCTTTCTGACTGAATTCCTAGAGACTCTTAACATCCGTACCGCCGATGTAGCGCAGCCTTTCCTGGACCCGACATCAATGCAAAAACCTTAAAGGCATTTGAAGCTCGATATGCCACACATCACTCAACTGATACAGCATTGAATCCTCCTTGTCATCCAGACGTTGCATGTTTGCAAGCTTGAACCCTACATCTATCTCTGGGTCCCGATTTGTCACATACCCCGGGCTGGTGGACACTAGCAATCGCCATTTTCCCCATGCGAAACAGCACAGGTCTATCATGGCACAGACTCCTCACGGATCGTTGTCGACTATCCGCAGTTGTTGCTGGACCCTGATTCAACGTCCATTAGACTGTGACCCCAATTCTAACTAAAAGTTGGGGATATTCTAGCTTCTAGTTAGATCCTGCGCTAGTCAAGCTTCGGACTTGGCTACCTAGTCTATCCATTTAAGTGCAAGTTTCTGTCAAATGGCAGTCTTCAATCCCAACCCGGTGAAACTGCCGAAGAGCATCACCATTACCAATCCCCTCATCCATGCCGCGGGTCGCCCACATTCGCGATGCGGGGCCCAAGAATCCATACCCTGTGTGTTCCATGTGGAGGGAGAGGCGATTCAAATAAACAAAGTACCTCAGATAGGTATAGCAAGCTGCATTGAGACTTGACGGATAGTTCCCGGTGGTTATCTTATCGGTGGCTATTTAAACTACTCTGTTGTCCGTCTGTCGTCTCTTATTCAAGAATCGACTACAACTTCATATAATCATACCACCCACCTTTGTATCATCTTCATCATGTCGACCAAACTGCATACTGTTCCTTTCCTTATCAATGGCAGCGACCAAGTCAGCGAAAGAGCCGTCGATGTCGTTTCCCCCCGAAGCGGCGAGGTTGTCCACCGTTACAGCAGCGCTGACGTCAAAGATGCCAATGCCGCAGTAGATGCTGCTGCTGAGGCTTTCAAGTCGTGGCGCAAGACGAGGCCCTCAGAGCGTCGTGATCTGCTCCTCAAGGCTGCTGAGATTATGGAGAGACGGCAGGATGAGCTACGCGAGTACGCCATGTCAGAGTGCGGCAGTGATGCTGCCTGGGCCAACTTTGATATCAACACTGGTATTAGTCACATCAAGGAGGTTGCTGGTCGTGTAGGAACACTCGAGGGTGCCATCCCTACTGTTTCGGATCCCAACACAACCGCTCTTGTCCTGAGAGAGCCATATGGTGTAGTTGTTGCCATTGCCCCTTGGTATGTTGTTTCCCTCTGCCCCATATCGTAGCCTTTATTTATACATTCTTCAGGAATGCTCCTTATATCCTAGGCACAAGATCTGTTCTCTTCCCTATTGCAGCTGGAAACACAGTAGTTTTCAAGGCTAGCGAGGTTTCTCCCCGAACACTCTGGGCAATTGCGGACATTTTCCGTGAGGCAGGCTTCCCCGACGGTGTTCTCAACGTTATCTTCCACGAGCGAGCCACCGCCGCAGCAGTCACCACGGCCCTGATCGAGCATCCTCAAGTTAAGAAGATTAACTTCACTGGCAGCACACCAGTTGGCCGAATCATTGGCAAACTTGCTGGTGAGAATCTGAAGCCTGTTATTCTCGAGCTGGGTGGCAAAGCTCCCGCAATTGTCTGGGAGGATGCGGATCTTGACCTTGCTGCCCTGCAATGCACACTTGGATCATTCATGAACTCCGGCCAAGTTTGCATGGCCACTGAGAGAATTCTGGTACACAAGAACGTTAAGGACGAGTTCGAGAAGAAGCTTTCAGCCACTATTGAGCAGATCTTCTCCTCCAAGGCCGATGCCCCTATCCTTGTTGCATCAGCACCTGTCGAAAAGAACAAGGCTTTGATCAAGGATGCCATTTCCAAGGGTGCTTCTCTTGTCCACGGAAACGTCGATGCCGAAGAGACAAGCAAGACTCGCATGCGACCAATTGTCATTAAAGATGTCACCACTGAAATGGACATCTACCAGACAGAGTCATTTGGCCCTACTGTCTCTCTCATTTCTATCGAGACTGAGGAGGAGGCCATCAAGATCGCCAACGACACAGAATACGGTCTGAGCTCCGCTGTTTTCACCACCGACCTTCAGCGTGGCCTTCGCATTGCTCGTGAGATTGAGTCAGGTGCGGTTCACATTAACAACATGAGCATTCACGATGAGAGTGGCCTGCCTCATGGAGGAGCCAAGTCTAGCGGATACGGACGCTTTGGTGCGTCTGCTGGTCTCGAGGAGTGGACTCGAACGAAGAACATTACATTCAAGAACTAGATAAAATGATACCAGGATAGCGCAAGTTTATGAATAAATTACTCGTTACGATGGCAGACGGTCACACAAGCTCACAAAGTATTTATTGGCGTAAAGCCATGCTCTATTTTCTAACATCTGTAAATGTTCATCGAAATCATCGCTGCTTGGTATTGGAGAGTTGTTCTTGTATGGTGGAATGTGTTGACAATCACTCAACTCAACTCAACGCAACACAACACAACATCATAGTTACACAACAGAAGATCTCTCAAGTAAGCCGAGCCGGTCTAATTAGATCCATTGTAACGTTATAATCAATTCACTGCATCTGAAGCCCTAAAGACAGAATGTCGTCGGACGGTTGATGGTGCAGGGTAGGTGATATGTCACCTTACATAATCACCCAATCGCGATAAGTGGAAATTTTCCCATGGTTCAACCAAGGATTTGGGAACGCCGTCATAACGTAGCTTTCTAACCACTACAATCACTACCTCTCTAGTCCAAACCACAACAACACCGCCAAAATGAACTTCCTCGGAATGGGTCGACCTCAGCCTACCTCGGAGCAAAAGATTGCTGCCGTGGAGAGCGAGATGCGCATGATGGCTGATACCTACAACCGGTAAGTAGCTCTCATGAAGAGATGAAGAAGAAAAGGCATTGGTACTAATGCATGCATTGTCTAGTCTCCAGCAGTCTTGCCAGAAGAAGTGCGTTCCTACCGACTACCGCGAGGGCGAGCTCAACAAGGGCGAGTCCGTCTGCCTCGACCGTTGCACAGCCAAGTTCCTCGATACATCGATGAAGGTTAGCGAGATTATGCAGCAGCAGGGCCAGGCTCTCGGTGGTGGCATGCCACAGTAAACGCAATGACTGTCCTTGACGATAAGCGACACAAATCGCTAAGATATCGAATTGGAGGGGTGACCAGAGAGGCTTTGTACGACTATTACGGAGAGACATCTAGTGATGGATAACTAGATGATTGGGTTTGGTTCGGATGTCTGGCGCTTAGATCATGAATTGATGACGAGCGGATACGACAGAAGTGTCACTGTATAATACTCTTGGATGTGTGTCTGAACCAGAATAACGCCTCGACTATGAAACAACTAGAATATGTTTCTTCTATGAGATCCCGAACAAATGAACATCTTTCCAGTGTGAGCAATGCTTTATATATAGCATGATATCAATGTCCCAAACGCCGTGCTAATAAACCGCATTCGAGAATGTACGCTCCGAGATAAACCTCCTGGGCTTCATGCCAATTTAATGATTAAGAGGGGGACCGTGTAATATCAGGCCCAGTTCCGATCCCGGTGATTGTTCTAAACAACCAGTGAAACCAACCTTCAGTCTCGAGATGCACCTTGAGATCTTGGGCCCGTTTCTCCATATCCTCAACCTGCCTTTCAAAGGTGACGATGCCATCTTCAACATCGACGACCTTCTGCAGCAGTGCATTGATCTCGTAGTCAAGACGAGCGACGAGGACCTCGACATCTTTGAGGCCCTCCATTAGGTGAGATCGTTCCTCGGCTAGAAGCTCATGAGAGCTAATGCGCATGCGCTGACACGCCTCATTGAGCTGGTAATAAAGGGCATGAAGCTCCTCCTTATCCTTGGCAAAACGGTCATCAAGAAGTTCGACCGCCTTGATCTTCTCAGCGACCCATGGCTCGATACCATGCTTCATCTCCTCCATGCGCTGATGAAAGTGGTGAGCCAAATAGTTAAATGCTTCGACGGTGGCAAAGTCGTCCATAGCGTCGGTAACATCAATCAACGGCTCCCATTCCAATACAGCCTCCTCCGCATCACTGAACGACATTCGTCGCGGCCAGCGATTCTCATTGAGCGTACGCTTAGTTGGGCAACGTAATAAATGGATACTGTGCCTACGTGAAAGGCCCTTCTTGAAATGGTTGTCCTTGAGTTCTGCCTCCAAAACTGGCCCTTGGAGGTCGCTCTCGTCTACGAGAGACCCAACAGCCGAAGGCGCCTTCGATAGGACATCCTTCCGCACCTCGACACCCATATCAGAAAGTTCACCTTCCATCTTGTGAGGGTCGATAGGAGCTGAAGCTGGCTTGATGTCGATTGTTGAAGTGGATGCAAAGTGTGAGAGCTGGGGGAAAGTCGACCCCCCTTCCGCATCTGCTCGTTTCATAGCAGCAAGATACTCTTGTGGTTTGTTATTCCATGTAAACGCCCTGCCTATTCCTTGCGTAGGCGCGGGTGGCTGTGTCGTCCCTGGAGGAGCGAGCCCTGAACTAGAGGTTCTAGGGTCAGATCCTATAAAGTCATCTTTGGTCGAAATTGAAGGCCGATTAGTATGACCACGCAGGCCTCCCCCAACAGCATCTTTGATGCGCCCGAAGCCAGACCTGGCATCGCTCATCTTTCCAGCAACACTCTTGAACACATTCTTCTTTGAAGCCTCTTTATCGCCTGAGCCATCACCGATACTAACGGTAGACTCAGGTGGACGAGTCGCATAAACATCAGAGCTATCTTCGAGTCGCTTGGAGTCCAGTTCGATCTCTGCAGGAGCAGAATAGACTCGTTTAGAGTTTGGATTTGACTCGTCCTCTTTCCAAGGCACCGCCTTGTTCAGTTCAGGACTATGATTAGGCATCTCTGCGAGAGTTCTTCGAGGCTTGCCGTGCCAAAGCCATTTGGCTCGCTCACCATATGCAAGGTTTGCGAATGTACCAATGTCAAGGGTCTCAATATCGGCCAGTCCTCCTTTGTCTTTGCCAGATACAATGCCCATGACGAGCTCACCCCTTTTGCCTCCTACTTCTGTAAGAGTGGATTTGACAGCCCTCTGCACACCCCAGCTTTCGCCAGAAGCAGCCTTGGCAGATACAGCATACAATTTAAGAAGGGTTTGGCGGTCCAACCTTCTTGTCTTCTCGAGTTTCTGCGACTTTTGGAAATGACCGATACCACGCTTAGTATTTTCAAGGTCAAATGCATCTTTCGATACAGGTGCACCGTACCAGTGAAGTCGATTTCGGACACCCAAGAACATTCCCAGCAGAGCAGCCACTGTACTAGGACCTAATATACCATCTGTAGGCTCAAAGTTGTAGTGCTCAGCACCAACCTCGATCCACCAGTTGTTGATGGCCATTTCTGTCTTGTCGCAAAGCAAACCATCAATGAATTCATGACCTAACTTGTCAAACATGTATAATGTAACTTGACACAGTTTGACGAGTTCAAGAACAGCCTGGGTAACAGGTACCCGGTCACTCGTTTTGTAAAGTTGCAAAAACTTGAGTTGCGTTGCTTCAGTAGGATCTGAAAGAGTCATGCCGGATCGTCCAGAGCACCCCAAGCGTTTCAAATCCTCATTGACGATGAAAGAGGAGCGATATTTCTTGATATCACCCTCAGGCACCATAATTACGGTGAGAGCTGAAGGGAAATTGCTCAGGTTGGTCACCATGAGTTCTCCCAGCTCAGTCTCTTTGGGTCGCGCATGAGAATCTTGTAGTTGATCGAAATAGAATTTTAATCTCGAAGGCCAAAGGTTCTCGTCCACCGGCACAGAGAGTACACTGACAACGACTGAGTGTTTCTCATCTCCAGTATAAGTAACGATCGATAGGGTCGGTGGCTTTCGAGAGCACGCCCATTGCTCGACTAGATAGCACTCGTATCCGCGTAGAACACCTCGACGCTCAAGGACGATAACATTGCTACTTCCTTCAAGTAATCTATTACCACGGCATTAGCGATGGAAATCCTTCATAGGCCTGGCTCGATTGGAATTTACTTCAAGGCGTTGGGGTCCGCAAAGACAATGTTTTTGCGCTTCGGTGATGGCGCAGCCTGTGAATCTATAGCCTCGCTGTATGCGGGAACATCGATCGAGGGGATTCCATTGGGGGGGCTTTCTCGTGCAGTGCTGGGGTTCGAGTTGGTTGTTGTACGGGCGATGGGCCCTTTGGCGGTGGCGCCTGTTAAATATTCGTCTTCGACTCGTAGTCGTGGATCAGGAAATCTGAAAGCCATGGTGTCGTCATCGGCCCCTGTGATGTTTAGAAGCAGTCTCGTGCTTCATCCTCACCCGTGGTGAGTGAGGAGCAAGAGGTTGTCTTCTAAAGGCGGTGTCGCAATGATCGTGGGAGGCCTTTTCGGTGTTGTGTCTAGGTATAGCAGGTACAGTACAGGGACTTCATGTGATGCAATAGCTTCCAGGCCCAGGTTAGCTTTCTGTACCTTACTTAAAGTATCTTGCAGCTACCTTATGCGGGGCAACTAATTCAATCAGGCCCACGTGCACCCCTGGGGGGGACCGGGGTCAGTCGGCACAACTCGTATTAGTACGTACGTGTGTCTGGTATAAGCTCGAGACGAAGGTAATGAAGTAATTGTGATCGTTGCGAAATGTGAATAATTTGTAAAGTGCAATCTGTCGAGCAGTTACTGAATCACTGTAATTAAACTAAACAACGTCCGTCCCCTTTCCTTAGTAGCGTCCTAACGACCTCGGTAGCTGCCTTATCGATAACTCTATCGATAACGACCTTCCATACATGCGTTATCCCGGCTTAGTATCATGCAAGTCCAGCCATTCCCACCCATCATCGTCCAGCTCCATACCTTCAACGACATCGGACGTTAGTTTCAGATAGCTCTTTACTTCACCACCAACAAATCTTATCCACCAGACTCTACCGGCGTTCTTGCCTTTGCCTCAACTTCATGCTTCGCTAAAGGCATCTACAACTTAATCCCACGATTGATCCGAACCCCCGCATAAACCACCGCCATGGCGACCGATAACGATCGTGGCTCGCCCTTTGCACCGCTCATGGCTGAGCTGGCGCGCATGAGGAACAAGAATCTCAAGTCAGCAATCGATGATGTAGATAGTGTCATAGATCTTCTCGTCAATGCTCGAGATCAGATCGCTCAAGGTATGCCGCTTCCTCAACTAAAGAGAACGACCATCTAACCTCTGTATAGAGCCAGATAGAACCAGCATGGTCATGACGACACTTCAAAATCCGGTCAAAGCCCGCTTCGAACGTATAACTACAGATCTGAAGGAGGTGACAAAGGCACAGAAGGGCTATGGAAAGGCTCTTGACAAAGTTAGTGGCTGCACTTTATCATTACCTTGTTCAGGATAGCATCTGACCTCTTTAGGCTCTTCCTCACCGAGAACTTCCCATGGAAACCGACGCTATGGCCGACCATCCGGGTCTGATTAACAGAGCTATAGCCATGCATCTCCTTAGAGAAGGACAGTTCTCCGTTGCGTCGACGTTTCTCAAGGAGGCTACTGACTATCCTCCCCATCGCGAAGCCCTCTCGGTCCCACGTACGGACGAAGACGGTGACAATGACATGGACGATGATGACGACGAGCTGGAAGATGATATGGGTGGCCTGCATTCAGAGCACCTCCAGTCCAAGTTCTCTGAGATGTATAACATCTTATCAGAGCTCAAGAACCACAACCTGATACCCGCCATTAATTGGGCCAACACAAATAGCGACAAACTCGAAGCAAAAGGAAGCACCCTGGAGTTTGAGCTCACCAAGCTTCAGTACGTATGGCTATTCAAGGGACCATCTGTAAATGGTCTGCCCGATGACCCTGCGACCAACGGTCTGTGCGGTGCTGTTAATTACGGTCGTCAGCAATTCACCCGCTTCCAAAGCCGCCATCTGTCAGAGATCCAACAGCTTTGCTGCGCGATGGTGTACGCATCTAATCTTGCTGGATCACCATACAAGCACATATTCGAGACCGACTCAGCCTTTGAAGATGTCGCCATGTCATTTACACGAGAGTTCTGCTCCCTTCTCGGCCTATCAGCCGAATCGCCTCTTTATGTTGCTGTCACCGCTGGCTCAATCGCCCTGCCACGTCTGATCAAGTACACAACATACATGAAGGAGAAGAAGACAGAATGGACGACTGAGAATGAGCTGGCTTTTGAGACGCCACTACCAGAGTCCATGATTTACCACCCAATCTTTGTTTGCCCTGTGAGCAAAGAACAGACGACGCAAGAGAACCCACCTATGATGCTGGCCTGCGGCCACGTAATCTGTATGGAGTCGTTGCACAACATTGTGAAGGCAGCGCGATATAAATGCCCGTACTGCCCGACAGAGGGCCAACTTAAGGATGCTACTAAAATCAGACTGTAGGGGACTGCCAGGTGAATAACAGAATAATTATCGTCTAAGACTTAGGGTGCTGAAATGAAGTGGTCTGAATGTTTGTCTAAGCTCGCACAAGATGGCCAGATTATTCCATCCCTTATGCTCTCGGCGGTCAATTCTTCTGACACCCTAACGACTGCGATTAAATTGCCTGATAGCCCACGATTTGAAAGCCCACCATAGTTTGACATACCACGGCCTGGAAGCCCACTGCTTAGAGTAGTATGATCCGACGGCTACTGGGGGTTGACGCACACAGTGAGAGATTACGTTTGGACTTTGATTCGAGATTATAAATGGACAGCGGGCGCTTGGTATTTCTTGTTTCGTTCGTTGTATTTGTTATCATACAGGCGTAGTCCGCCTGCTTCATAGATATGTCGATCATTATCCAAGTGAAGTTATGAAACACTCAGCGTTGTAGATGCACTATTGTCTCGAGTCATGCTTCACACAAAGTTGAAACCTGTATTAAGCTGGAATCCTCTCGGTTTCACATCTCCGTCATATGTTTTCATCCATGGTTGAAACTCAAAGTTCATAACTTCACTAAGCTGTATAGACGTCAACGCCTGTCTGGACATAGTTATTGAAGGTTTCACTATTTTTATTCCTATCGTGGATTATCTGATCGTGGAACTGCACGATCCAGCCGATCAAGGGACAAAATAAGGGTAATAACAAAAGAACTAGATATCGGCTCCTGGATCTTATTCCATGTGTGGGAGCATAAACGCCTAAAAATGGTCGGGTCTAACATAGGAAATAAAAAAACAACCAAATCAAAGAGAAAATAAAAAGTCCAAGCAAGTTTCCGACACCAAGGGACATCATCTCGTCGCCTTCTGTTCACGCCGCACCGTTTGGTCACCGTCCATTCCGAGCCTGCCCTATGTGACTGGTGCCATTGAAAAGGGGAAATTTTGTGTATCCTTTCGTAAATTCGTGTCTTTGTACAGCGATGCTTCCAATGTGTGAAGAATCGCGACTTGCTGGTGGATCGCTTAATCGATGGTCATGCGGCTAGGAATTTGAGGCTTGACGTCTTGCATGTTAATTGAGTTGACGTCGGGCTTCTCCTCAACCTTGCGCTTGCGAGACAAAGACTGGAGATGAGGCTTGAGTCCCTTGCCGAAGTTGAGCATGCACACAACGGCGTTGATGATGGTGAGGAGAATAAGAAGAATGGTGATAACGGCGAATGCGGTCAATGATCGGCGAACGGCTTCGTAGTTTTGCTTGTGTCCAGGCTGGTAGATTCGGACCAGCTTGAAGATGAAGTAGCTGAGACCTCCGAGGTAGAGGATGATGACTCCGATCATGCCAGCCTTGTTTTCACGGCGAGTGAAGAAAGCGGCGGCAAGCAGGATCAGGATAGTAATAGGGATGGTGACGATGGTCAGCGCGAATTCGGGATCATCCTTGTCAGCGACAACGACAACGAACTGAACGATGAAGCCGAGGAAGAAGAAGAAATCGAACTTGAGGAGAGCGATGTAAATCTAGGATTGAGTTAGAAAAGAATAAATGCGAAGTCGAGAATGAAACGTACCTGATAATGAAGAAATCGCTTCTTCATGCGGTAGTCGGCACCAATGTTCTTGAGGATGTCCCAAGCATACTCCTGGTAGATCTTCCAAGAAAGGAAACCCATGATAAGAGTAGCGAGGGCAATGATGGCAGGAATAGCCACGAGATAAGGCTTAACATCATGCCAGAGTTGTTCAGCAGGCATCTCGGGTCGGAGAGCGTTCTTAGCGCCGAGAATATCAAAGGCCTCCTTAATCTGATCGACTTGAATGGTGGTGTAAACCATGAGGGCGAGGTTGGAGAAGCAGACACCAATGATCTGAATGGTGTTCTTCTGTCGCAGAGCATCCCAGACGACAACGAGGGTGTAAAGGAAACCGAAAATGAACAGCGTCAGGAAAGTAGGGATAGTCTTGTATTGGGACTGGACTTCAGGATCTGGGTTGTGGTCACCAAGATTGACCTGGAATTTGCCAAAGACGTAACTAAAATTAGGAGTTAGCAGCATGAACGCATGATAGAAGCATCGGGGTGGCGTACGCTTCAAAGCAAATGTTGAGAATAGCTTGCAGTAGAGAAACTGCCATGAAGCAAGCTGGCCAACGGCTCTTCATAAAATCGATCTTGCCGTTCTTCATGCTTTGAGGGGGAACTGAAGGCGTAAGTCCTTCCCGATAAGCGAAACCTTGGTTGTATGTAGGTTCAACGGCGGCCTGAAATGCGGGCGGTTGAGGGATAGGCTGCGGAGTTGGGCTTGGAGATGGATCGAAGCTGTTGTCGCCGTATGAGTTGCTGTGCGAGTGGCCGTAACCGAAGCCTTGGTCCATTCCCAGGAGAGATTTACGAGAATCCAATCGGGTAGTCATGACAGACATGAGGAGACCCCAACCTGGAGTCACGGAGAAAAGGTCGAAGAAGAAACAAAAGCGCTCGTCGATATCGTTCGACGGACGATGGTTGTTGGACACAAGAAAAGGAAGTCAAATGCGATGGGCGACGCGATGGGATTCGGTCGGGGGCCGGTCGTATGTCTAAATTACAGTGCAGCAGCTTACGCGGATGCTGCCACGGGCAAGTGCTGTCGATAGATAAAAACGTATTCGATGATTCGATGAGATGAGAAAAGGAGTCGCGAATTGATAGAAATGGAAGAGATAGAAGCGAGAGGCGACGACGCGATTGCGAGCGTTTTAGTTGAAAACGGTCAGACCGGGGGTTGGTTGATTAAAGATGCGAATTGATGGATGTTGAGAAGAGAGAAAATGAGATGGAACAAAATGAGAGAGAATGAGAGCCCAAGCGTTAAAGAAAGAAAATGGATGTCAGCTTAAACCAGAATGAGGGTGGGCAGGCAAGTCAAGTGCAGCGCAGATTTGGTTGCTGAAACAGTCCAGACAGGGGTGAGCCAAGAGGGAAGAGGAAGTGGAAAGCCCAGAGAGAGCCTAGAGCCTGCCCGTCTAGAGGTAGCCTCCACCTGCCCAGGTCTGGGGCGGGCAGTTCATGATCAAGGGTGGCTGCCCGAGCACCAAGACTCCAGGGGTTCACAGTAGCCCCAGGCGTTTTTTCTTTCGCTTTCCCTCCTGGGCAGGTCTTTCAAGGTGGAGTATGTGGCTCTAGCCTTTCATCCAAAGACGTCCTCAATTGGGGACAGAGGGTTTTTTTCTTGATTCTATCTGTCTTGATCTGTCTCAAGTTGTTTCTCTATCCGTATAGTTCCGTCTTTTGCAACAGAGAACGACGATGAATACCGATTCCGGCGTGATGACGCAGCCGGCCAAGGCCAAGAGAAACACGAGGGATAGAGATAAAGAGAAGCAGTTCAAGCCAAGGCTACACTACAGGTGCTGTACAGTACTGTAGGAACAGTTCCAATTCCAGTTTAAAGTTACACGGGCTGACTGCGCTGCACAGTTGGCGGGTGGGGAGAACCATCAAGACGGGACGCAGCATCCCGCCTCTAACAGCTAACGTTGCCTTAGTTCGGGGACATTGACATTAACAACGTTGTGGACTCCATGGAAAGCTACAGGCTAACGTTAGGTCAGTAGGTATCTACTGTGTGGATGAACCCAACCTACCTACCGATCAGCCTTGGGAGGGTTCAATCATACCCACACCCATTGAGAACTGCCGGGTTTAAGGCTATGCTACAGATTTTCAATCTTCTGTTCGTCGGAGGCCTTCACTGTCAATTCAGTAATACAGCATAAAATAACTCCGTCATCTCCAGACTTCCGTCGGTATGACACAAAGTTGTAGGGAGGGTTGGGGGTAAGGGAATGTATGCCCTGCACCAGTAATAACTCTAGCAGAGATGAAGGCCTGCGGCAGTGCAATCATGCAGAAGAGTCCCCATTGTTAGTGCAACAGCCCTGCCATCCGTTGAAATGCCACCAAAACTGTCAGCCCATGCGTAACAGTTAATACGCGGTACCATGCGATTGGGTGGGAATGTCCGTCGGACTCAGCCCAGCTCCGTATCGTACAGCCACTTTAACCTTGCATTGAACTTTGAGAGGAGAGGTATCCTGTATCGCGTCACATTCAATCATGAACAAAAGCTTATAAGCAGCTCTGTTTGCCTGCATGATATGATATGATGTGACATGGCAAGTCATGGGGTTTTTCAATGAGGCAGACTATGTCAGAATAGGTAGATCAAGACGAATTGCCTCTTGATTAATGATTGTCTTTCCACAAGACTCTTTGCCTTTCTTTGCTATGCAGATGCAGATGCATTTCAGCCTTCAGCCCCATCACACTTCATCAAAAACCTGGAATTACTCCTGCATCTCGCTCTACAGAGTATAGCACAACTCAACCCAACTCAACCTAATCTGACGATGATCAACTCACGGTTCACTGCATATCTATTTATTGTTCAACTGCTGACTGTACGGGAAACCGGAAACTAAACTGCCACCCCAGGATAGTATGTACAGTATCTCGTGTCCCTGGCATAGGACGTTGCAGTGGTTAATCTCCTCCATCACTCCACACTGTCATTAACAATTCCATAAATAAAACCGCGCGGCCAATAGACAATGCACAAGACTTCTAATACTGTACGGCATGTCCCATTTTCGTAGCAATCAGCGAATTTCTCCCGTATTCCCCTACTCTGATGAGTTAAATGCATGTCAGCAAAACAAAACCCACTTTGTTTTATTATTGTAGTCGTCGTCATCACCAAAGTACAGTACTCATTGTACTCGATAACAGCAAATCAACCGATCTAAATAAGGCTTTTTCACCGCGATTCTCGCATAATCCCCATTAACTTAAACTAAGTTGGCCAAGCTTTTCTGATGGTGTGCACCCATGTTTCAATCCAGTCGGCAGCTGTGTATTATAGGGCTAGCAGAGCCTCTCTCTTCTACTTGCAACCGTTTGAGGCCTCTACCTGGAACAAGCTTGAAGAAATGCGGCTGTGCCGGTGTTTGGAATGACATAGAGTTACTCAATTCCAATTGATCAGAGTCATTTTCTATCGCATAACTGAACGGCCTTAAACCTCAAATTCTCTGATTGGTGCAAGTCAAGCCATTCCGTCCAGACGGTGAACACGGTAAATTAATACTCAATCAAGCCAGGGTCTCACGAAGATCCCGCATCTCGACTAAATATAGCACAATTATATGCAGAAAATAGCATAACAGATGCCGATCTTATTTATTGAGTTTTTATACTCCCCGACTCCTGTTAACTAATTAATTAATACTCGAGATCAGTTCCCAATATCAAGGGCTACTATCCGTACGCTCGTCCAATGACTGAACTCCAATTACCATACATGGTAGTTCCTTCAAGCCTCATCAAAGGAAATCAAGATCCCATGAACCCCATCCATATCCTAGTACAGCTTCCTCGTTTACACCAGTGCCTGGCTCTACTCCGTTCAACCACAACGTGTTAGTTGACGACTGTTGCTGCGTTGCAGAGTCGATCGGCGCCATCCCTTCAATGTCTTGCGTCTCTTGAGCATACGTGACCGACTGAAAACACGTCGCCTTGCCTAGGAACTGATGGAGCAGTCCCGTGAAGCTGATGATGCATGGTCTAGCTATCTCGTTTATCGCTTCCCCGGTTGCTGGGCCAAAGAACGTTGTGACCCCTTGTCCTGTTATAACGTCCACAAATTGCTGCATAATCTGGGCTGCCTCTTGTGCGGTTGTCCAGCCTCTGGGAAATGCCTCCAGGAGCGTGATGAGAATAGTGAAGTCGTCATGGGCTACGAAAGATGGTTGCCCCTGACTAGCCATGAAGCCAGACATCAACACCAACCCTATTGGCAGCAACCGACCCAATGATACTCTGTTTAGAGGCAGTTGCTTTTGTTGAAGAAGTGCAGAATTAGCCTGAAGTTGCTTGCTAGCAAATTCGAGCTGTTCTTTTCGTGTAACAGCTGGCGGTGAAGCTGAGCTGTTAAAGTGATTAGGAAAGTAGAGAAAGATAAGCAAATGATAATACTGCGCGCTCAGCCAGGTGATGCTGCTATGTATAGGCAAGTTGTCCGCCTCCATTGGTGACATAAGGCAGCCACTGCTATACCAATCTTCTATCTCAGCTCGCAGGCTCTTCAATATCGCTCCTCTATCAGAAGGTGCCAGGCGCGAGGTTTCGGTGTCTCGCTGAAGATGCACAGCTTCCAATATTCGATACTCTAATTGCCGAAGCTGAATGATATGCCGACTGGTCTGTAGATTACGAGCATATGTAGCCCTGTCTGAACTGGCAAACTCTTCTACTGTGAGGCCTGGGAGCGGAATGTTTGCATGTTCGTCCGTGAGAGCTGCTGGAAGGCCCTGAGATGAGGCCATCATACGGTCTAGGACGAATATGCTCCAATACAGCCGATGCCTGAGCTCAGTCTCCACCACTGTCCGTGGCTGCTCGTCTGGACGAGTGAGGCCAATAACCATAGCTTGCCGTGCTGCGATACCAACGATAAAGTACGCAGACGTCGCTGCCGGGTCGAAAAGAGAGTATAGTCCCAAAAGAACAAGAATCTGCACTGACTCGATGCTCTCACTGCAGAGGCACTCCTGGATGATATCTGGATAAACTACATCGAACTGTCGTGCTGTGTCGCTTGGAATTTGTCCAGCTCGCACGAGTGATGTGCATCCAATTGCCATGACCAGATACAACAATGTCATAGGCGGGTCTTGATCTGCCGGCGAAGCATCTCCCAGCGTCTCAAGATCCCGCCGCATCCTCATCTGATCGACAAAAGGATACGCCCTGTTCACATGACGAAAGAACGCATCGACAAAGCAGCTTGGTGCGATATCTAAAGGCAGAGCATGCCGGGCGATCAACCTTCGTCGTGTAACTGATCCCTCAGTTGATCCTTGGTAAGAAGAGAAGTGGCTACTGGTGGTTCGCACACTGCCCGGATCCCTTTCTTCCACGCGTATTTCAGGTAGAGCCGTCGTGGCATCTACCGGAGGAGTGTTTGGACCCGGCACTCTTGAGAGAGGAGAGGACGTAGCCTCTTGGTTTGCGAGGTTTCCTACATTGGCCCGTGGTCCTCGACCGAGTATGCTCACCAGATCAGCGCCTGTCTTGATCCCATCTATTCCACCCTGTGAACCTGGCGGCAGTATGTTCTGATCAATATACTGGCTAAGCCATTGCACCCGGGCTCGCAGTTGGTGTATCTGAGCCTCAGCATTGGCTATCGGGCTGGTATACGAGCAACGCTGACCAGCGGCGGCGCAAAGAGAGCAAACAGGAAAGGTGCGACTGCACTTCTTTTTAAAACTGCGACAGCGATCACAAGCTGGGGGCGTGGATCTTGCACCTGCAATCCGACCGGCAGATGCCTGCTGAGTAGCAGTTTGATGCCGTCCGGCTTCTTGTTGGTCAGCCGATGCTGGAGGTGAAGCGGACCGGGCCCGACCAACGTCGCGCGGAGGCGGGGATGACCTGCGGAGACGGAAGCGGTGGATCGAGGCCTTCATCTCAGGTGCCATTTTGGGTAATTGACGCTGTCTTGATTGGCATGGTTGGTGTGAGCTGACCCTAGAGGGGCATAAAGGATGTGAATGTTGTCAACGTATGAACGACTCTTGAGCTGTTCGAAATAAACGTAGATAAACGTGAAATCTCTATATTTGGTATTATTGCGAAAGTAATCGGCGAAAACTCGCCATCGTCCCATTTGACGATAAGATAGAGAGCTCTCAGTGACGGTTCAGCCAAGGAAGAGGCGCCATCGTGCCCGTTGTTGAGGAAGCTAAGGTGGACCGGATTGCGTGCTTATGCTTCAGAGGCGATGTTACCGTTGCCATGTGAGCTTTCAGCTACTGTAGCTAACGTTAAAGGCGTAGAGCCGTAATAGTGTTAGCCTGATCATCTGCAAGATGTCCCAGGATGTGGAAGACAGATAAGATAACATGGATGGAGGAACCTGAGGGTATCGTCATATCCGCACCTTCCTCCCAATGTAACCCGGAAGGCAGGAGCCATATTTCTTAAAAACGGAAGGAAGAGCTGGCAGTAGCGGGCCTGCTCCGATGCCCGGAGTCGGAGTCGCGCGGAGGCCGACCGGGATTACCGAAAGCGGCAATCACCTCAAATGGTGCAATCATTCGACCTGTTGAATGGAGCCGACCAGCGCCGAATTTACATGTAGTATTGAGGCTATTTCGCGGGATCCATCGGCAGCTTCTCTTATCAGATGTCGAATGAGATGAGAAGCTGATTATAAGAAGATTGAAGGAGCATCTGAAACCCTCGGGAAATTTGGTGTTTACCTACCCTAATGCTTCAACTTACAAGTTCTTTCTACTGAAGATACAACGATATCATTTCATGTACATAGGTACTAACAGCACTACATCACTGTTACTCAACGGCCCCATTATTTCATCACATTTATAGCAGATACACCATTCAACTTGCTTCATCACAGACTCGATTTAAAAAATGACAGTCTCAGACAAACTCGACGTTCGTCGCATTGCCATTATAGGCGCCGGTCCAAGTGGTCTTGCAGCCGCCAAGTAACTGTCCTTAGCAAATCACAGCCTACATCATAGACTAACAACTATTCAGATATCTCCTTGCAGAAAAGAAGTTCTCCAAGATCCGTGTATTCGAACAACGTGCTACACCAGGCGGTGTTTGGAATTACACCCCTCTAGCCCGAGAGCAAGGCTTCTCAGTCCCTAGAACCACGCCAAGTTATGCGCCAGATCAAGCACTTTGGCCCAACGACCATGGAGACGTCGAGTTCATGTCTCCCATCTACGACCTTCTTGAGACAAACATTCCTCATTCTCTCATGAGATACAGCGATAAGGAATTCCCGCAAGGCTCATCTTTGTTTCCTCGTCATAGCGTTGTGCTACAGTATCTCAAAGACTACGCTCAAGAGATCATTCCTCATATCTCGTTTCAAACTCAAGTTTTAAATATTGAGAAACCGACTAAGGATCGCTCGCAGCCATGGTCCGTTGAAGTACTTGATCTGAAAGCCAACAAGGTCATCAAAGATGAGTATGACGCTGTTGTGGTGGCGAGCGGACATTACAATGATCCTTTCATCCCTGATATCGCCGGCCTGGTCGAGTTTGATAAGAAGTACCCAGGTGCCATTTCGCACTCCAAGTTCTACCGACGACCCAACGACTTCAAAGACAAGGTATGTCCATTGACGTTGGTTTATGTAATGTTTACTGATAGTTGATCAGAAAGTTATTGTTGTCGGCAACTCTGCATCTGGTATTGATGTAAGCGCACAACTTGCCAGCGTCGCAAAACATCCTATCTTTGTGTCCGAAAAAGAGAAGGCAACTGTGATACCACCTGCAAAGGAGCCATGGGCAGCCGGTGTTCCGGAGATCGTCGAGTTCCTCCCCGAGCAGCGAGGCGTCCGTTTCGCCAATGGCCAGGTCGAGACTGACATTGATGCTGTGCTGTTCTGCACTGGTTTTCATTACTCGTATCCATTCCTCAAATCTCTTGATCCTCCTATCGTGGTACCCAGCGGTGGGCATGCCGCTCATCTTTGGGAACATATTCTTTACACTGCAGACCCGACTCTCTCATTCCTCAGCGTTCCTCAACGCATTGTCCCGTTCCCTATTGCAGAGGCACAGAGCGCTGTGGTTGCCCGCGTCTGGTCTGGTCGTCTAAGTCCACCAACTGAAGCTGCAATGGAGGCATGGGTAGAGGAGCAACACAAAAGCAAAGGAGAAGGCAAGGCAATTCATGTTATGTCCTTCCCTGAAGATGTAGACTACATCAATCGCCTGCATGAGATGAGCAAGACGGCAGTCAAAGCCCTTGAACTGGGTCTCGAGAATGAAGGGGAGGGCAAGATGCCGCCATATTGGGGACTGGACAAGAGGTGGGTGCGGGAGAGGGTGCCAAAGATCAAGCTGGCGAGCAGAGCTGCGGGCGAGAAAAGACACGAGTTGAGGACATTGGAAGATCTCGGTTTTGATTACGAGGAGTGGAGGAGGACTGCTGAGGAGGGGGAGAAGCTCTTCTAAGCTGACCAAAATCCTTTAGACATGTTATAAGACTTAGAATCCTTCGTATATATTATTATCAATTTATAATCAGCTAATTATACGCCATCTATTAAATGCAACCATGTTTTTACAGACGCTACGCTTGCTACTTTTAGTTATCCGTGGTCTTCTCGTTACCTGCAGTAACTCCTTCTCCCTCATTAGCTTCATCCTTTTCCTCGCCACGTCGCTTAAGCGACTTGAGACCAGTCTTGTGCTCTTGGTGTTCCTTGCTAAGGTTGACTTGCTTGATGAAAAGACTGATAGCGAGAGACAGACCAGCAAAGGCTGTGTACACAATGTACATGGTTTGCAGACTGTTCCAAAACGCTGTCTTTGCTACTCTACCGTCTTCTCCGGTCAACGAACCTACGAGTTCGACACTGCCCGCTGCGTTGGCTCCGGAGAGTCTGTTGGCGAGCTCAGGGCCAAGCTCTGACTCGAGCTTTGGATATTGCTTCTCCATCTCGTTGTTGAAGATGACACCACCTACCACGACAGAGATGGAAGTGCCCAGCTGGCGAATGAAAGAGAAACATGAGGTCGCAGAACCAATATCTCGAGGTTCGACGTTGGTCTGGAGGGCGATGAGAGGAGCTTGGAAGTTGGGACCGATACCAATACCAGCAACGATCTGGAAGACGATGATCTTGGCCCAGTTGGCGCGAGGCTCGAGGTCGATGAACAGACCAAATCCAACAACGCTGATAATCAGACCGAGCACAATGACGAGCTTGTACTTGCCCGTCTTCTTGATAAAGATACCAGCTGCAGCCGAGACGAACGAGAGAGCCAAGACATATGGGAGCAGGTAGACACCAGAAAGCAGCGACGAGGCACCGAGAACACCCTGGTAGTAAAGAGGGAGCCAGTAACTACCAGACATGAAAACGAACGCGTGAGTAAAGCCAACTCCGTAAGCAGCGCAGCTGTTCCGGGTGTTGAAGAGCCGGACAGGAAGAACAGGAATCTTGGCAACCTTCCACTCGTATACAAGGAAGATCCCAACGGTGATAATACCAAAGACGATGAGGCAGATGGTCGTGGCAGAGTCCCAGGGGAAAGAAACGCCGCCAAATTCGAGTCCCAGCAACCACATGATAGTACCACCGATGATAAGGATACTGCCCTGCCAGTCCAGCGCTAGGAGGCCCTCCTTCATCGGCGTGCGAGGATTGTGCAGCTTCAGGAAGAAGACGAGAATAACAAATGCAACGGCGCTGATGGGAAGGTTGATGTAGAAACACCATCGCCAAGTGACCTTGCTAGTGAAGACACCGCCGAGAATGGGCCCAACAGCAGAGGCCAACGCCCACACCATACCGAGGATACCAAAGTACATGCCACGGTTTCGCATGGAAAAGAGATCGCTAATAGCGATGTTGGGCAACACAATGAGACCACCTCCACCGATACCCTGGATCGCTCGTGACGCGATGAGCATGCCCATGTTGACACTCACAGCACATAGCAGAGATCCAATCCAGAAGATGATGGCCGCAGCAAGAATAACAGGCTTGCGGCCGAAGATATCAGAGATCTTGCCCCATGTCGGCACGAACGAGGCGTTGCCCAGCAAATAGGCACTTCCTATCCAGACATAACCTTGGCTTGAGTTGAATTCATTGGCGATGGTGGGAACCGCTGTGGTGATAATCGTCGTGTCCAGCGCGGCGAGGAAGAGCGCAAGGCACAGCGCACTCATGACCAAGATGTTCTCCGACTTGGTCCGTCCGGCCTCGGGATCATCGGCCCCAGGCGCACCGGGGGACGGGCTGCTGCCGGCCGGCGCAGTCTCGGCTCCATTGGGGTTCGTTTCGGTAGCTGTATGGTCGTTGGTGCCTGCATTTACTCCATCTCTTTCAACATCCAGAGTACTGTCTGAGCTAGTCCTTCGCTCTGGTGTTGGCGATGAAGCAGCCATTGTTGCCGTGCAAGTTGTAAGCCTGCGAGGCTGCGATTAGACGAGTATAAACCCCCTTCTCTCCCTTCAGCTCTTTAGAATTGGGGATTGACAGTCGTCGACGTAGTAGTTTTCAAGACCCTGGTCCGGAGGCCGGCGTCGACCGTAACGGTGATTGCTAAGCAAATATCCTCTCGTTGGGTAGGTTGTACTGCGATGCACTTTCTTCTGTGTGGTTCATACGCGTTCACTATGCAAGAGTCCGTATAGAGAATTTTCTGGCAAAGCATGCATAAGGTGAAAAAGGTGTGATGAAGTGAACAAGACCATTGTGATTCTTTCTCCGAGAACGGTCCATGACTAGGACCAGGGCCAGGGAGACTTAGTTAGCTAATGCTACAGTACAGTAATCAGATCCAATTCTTAAACCCGAGGCGCGAGACCGAAATCAGATCAAGCAATTCAACTCGGCTGAGTGGTGCCGAGAGTCGTTGACTCGACTCGTGGAGGGTGGAGAAATAGTTGCTGTAATTCCGTTGCAAAGTGAAAAATAAAGGCGTCAATGACACCCAAAACTGACTGATCTAAGGGGGTGTGGAGTCCGAATATTATTACCGGGGCATAATTCCGTATACTTTTTTACGTATTTCAGGCTCATCTTACCTGCCGAATAGAGTCAAGGTTATAATATGAGTTGATGAGCTAGGATAACTACAGTAACCAAGCTGCCAAGCTAACTACTGATTCACCGTCACTCATTAAACAACTGAAGCTTTCTAAAACAATATAGCAAAATCTAATACTTCAGGGATCTGATTATGATAGACAAGGATATCCTATGCATGACCGTTACAGCCGATCTACAGGTGATATCATCCACTTCATCATGTTGCATCGAGTTAGGAATTTTGCCATCAGGAACAAAACGAACAATGACATAGCATCCTTGCTTTGTCTAGCAGACACGTTGACTATGCATTGTTAGAATGCCGTTCTCCCTGCAGCTCAGTTTAAGCTTTCACTGTGGCATCGTCAAACATCAAAGCAGTGAAAGATAATAAACGTGTATTCTTTTGTACTCTCATAACGCCCATCCCAATGTTTGGGGATTTCAAGATCCCTTTATAATGTACATGTTCCGCTCTGCACTAAAATATCTTTGTTATACTTTCCCGCGAAATAACACTGTTCTGTCGCTCGTCACGCTTGACTCGGAAGAAACTGTCACAGAAATCGCTGCACCTCATGTGTCGCAAAAAGTCCTCGTCGTGAGTAATGACAATGAGCTGGAAGTTGCTCTGGGCCTGGCGGGCTTTAATGATCATGTGTAAACTCTCTGCCAGACTCTTGATGTTGTCGCGATCCAGGTTGGTCGTAGGCTCGTCCAGCGCAATGAGACCACAGTTAACACCAAACGATTCGGCCAGCGCCAAACGAATGATGATGGATGCGAGCACCTTTTGTCCAGCCGAACATCGACCGCGCATGTCCATCTCGGTGTCCTGCTTCACCATGCAGAGTCGGTAGTTGTAGTTGCGTTTGCCTGTGCTTGACTCATTGTCCGAACGAATAAGAATCGTATCAATATCGGTTCCTTGGTAGGTACTCTGCCATAGTTCACCTGCGATACGATTCACTTCGGCCATCTTCATCGTGTGAAACTGCATCACGGCCTTGTCAACGGCCGAGCTACACTGTGCTAGATCTTCGATAGCAGCCTTGGTCGTCTCCACACGGATATGGGATTCTCGATACTTTCTCTTGGCGTCCTTATAGTCCATTTCCCACTCCTGAAGGAGTCTTCCAAGCTCCTCATCCTTGGTTTTCATAGTTCCCATGACAGAACCCCGCTCCGCTAAGAGACGGTTGTAATGGTTCTCTTGCGAGCGAGCTTCAGCTTGAAGTCGCTCGTAGTCTTCGTCGGCGTTGCGATCCTCCAGTTCCGCGATGTCTTGACGAATAACATCGATGGTACGAAGGTTCTTGCGATAGTTGAGATTGTCCTTGATGTTCTTCTTCTTGCGGTCTCCATTGTCAATGTCCTGTTTCAGCTTGTTTGTGCGGACAGTGAGATCTGAAACCTCCTTTTCGGTACTCGCGATTGTTTTCTCGAGTGTGGCAATAGCCCTTTGGTTGGACGCAAGGTTAGAGGGACCACCGCGGTCGATGTAATCTTGGATATCGGCACCCATCATCTTCATTTCATTGACCGAGTTAGCGACATTGTCACGGGCATCAACAATAACTTGTTCCTTGGCCCGGCCACGTCGTAGAACTTCATCACGAGCGGATCTTGCCTCAGAAATGCTAGGCTCGATAGTCTCCAACTCCTCGTCAGCACGTTGAATGACCTCTCGTTGATGCGAGACTTCTTCCTTCAGGGCCTGAACCTGGTTTTGGAGGTCTTGCTTCTTGTCCAATTGGCCAGCTGCACGACTGATCTTATTTCTCAACTCGCTCTTTTCTAGTTCTAGAGAGTTGAGCTGATCCTTCAAACGTTGCCGATCCGCAGTCAACTTGGAGATGCGGGCCTTGAGAGTTCTCATCTGTTCATTTAAGCTGGCCTGGAGCTCATGGATCTCGTCGGGACTTCGGGTTGCCCCGCCCGATATTTGTTGAGACATGATGCGGTCAACCTGGTTTTCAGACTCGGCAATGTCCTTGACTGTCTGTGAGATGTTGGAAACAGTCTTGGACATGTCCTCCAGGTCTTTTTGTTTCTCCTCTTCGGTTGAAACGATAGACGCATGCTCTTCAACTTGTCTCTCCAAAGCCTCAAACTCTGTCTCTGCCGTCTTACACTCTTCGCGAAGTGCAGGCAGTTCGGCCGTCAATCGTTCGTATGTGTCATAAGAACCGCGTACCGATCGAAGCTTCTCCAGAGTTGAAACGCTCTCCTTGAGATCCTTTTCTGTGTCAACCTTGCCCTTGGGGTCAAGATGCTTGTCTATCCTCTTGCTCAACCGTTCCATGCTTGCAGCTTGATCGTCATCAAAGTGACGATCACAAAGTAAACATTTTTTCTTTGTATCCAGCAGACGCTTACATTTGGTGTAGTAGTCGACAAGTGCATCGAAGAGGCTAAGATCGTTGCGTAATTCTTCGACCTGTGATTCAGCGGCCTCGATCTCTTCCTTGTAATCCTCGACAATGGCGTTGTCGCGAACCGTGAGAAGCGCATTTACTACTTGCTTTTGGCAAGCAGCCGCTTCCTTCGATTTCTTGTCATGGGACTCTTTGGCCGTTCGCAATCGGAACTCTACTTTCTGTTGCTTTTGGCGCGTTTGCTCGCGGCGCTTCTGGGCTTCAGCGACAACTTTATGTTGATCCTTAACCAACGTCTGAAATTTAGAATCCAATGTTTCTGGCTGCCAGTCGCTACCAAGAACCTTGTCCAGTTTCGGCTTCCAAGTACTTGTCAGAGTATCAAGCTTACGCTTACGATCGCCGAGTTCTTTCTTCCTGTAGTCAAGTTGTGCTCTTTCTGATGCAAGACGAGTGCACTCGACAAGCTCCCGGCCAAGTTTATCATTCTCGTTCTCCAGTGAATGGAGCTTTTCGTTTTCATCCGTAATCAGTCGATCCCAATCCGCGTTGTCAAATGTCTTCTGCGCTGCTTGGAATCTACTCTCAAGGTCTTGCATCTGACCGTCGAGTACAGCTTTGGCACCCTCATCGACGTCAATCTGACTGGACTCGTTCTGAAGTACTGCAGTGCGCTTTTCGATGGCATTCATTCGTTGTTTGGCTGACACGCGATCTTGTGTGCGAGCAGCCTTGCGGCCCTCCAGCTCGGTAATGACACTGGTAGCCCGGTCTAGTTCGGAAGAGTTTTCCTTCTGCAAGCGCTCCAAATCCCGCTTCTTCTCACCAAGGAGTTTCTGAAGGCGATCATTAAATGATTTGACGTGGCTATCCGTCAGGTCTCCATCAAAGCCCGAAAAGCCATAAGACTGAGCGGTTTCTTGGATCATTTCCATTCTGATCTTCAACTGGCGCTCATATTTGTCTTTGTCCGACTGATGCTTGCCTTGCTCCGAAAGCTTGCTAGACAATTCTTTTCGCGACCGTCCCAATTCGGTCTGCAAATCATTGTACTGGGCCTTATTCTGGTCGGCTTCATCCTGTAGATGTTGCATACGGTCTTCGTAGTGTGCAAGATCGCTCTCCAATTTGTCGTCGTCATCAGGAAGCTCTTCAATGGTAGTCTGCAACTCTTTGACGGCCTCCTCTCTATACTCAAGTTGTTCGCGCTTTGTGTTGAGGTTTTGCACAATCGCCAGATGGCTGTTTGCCGTTTCTCGAGTGTTTCGAATCTTTTCTTGAGTTTCTTCCATTTCAGCACTGATAGACTCGCAAGTCTCACGGGCACCCTCAATTTCAGCTTGCAAGCCTTTCATTCTCTTTTCAGCACGATCACCTCGATCTTTATTCACCTTATTGTGAGCTTCGTCATTCTGCAGCTTCCCCAATTGCTCGACTTGCTTCTTTCGAAGTACTTTAAGATTATCGATGGCCTTTGTGTATTTCATAGCCTCGAAGATTTCGTCGAAACGTTTCTTCAAGGCGGCCGGTTCACTCAGTGGCCAGAGGGATTCATCTTGATGACAAAAGATCACAGCATCAAGAATTGCGGGCGAAACGCCAAGACGTTCGGGTATCATCTCGTCCAATTGAGCCTGCCGAGTCGATGTAGTTGTTCGTTCTCCATTGTTGACAACAACAAGGGAGCAGTCTAAGGTTTTCTGGGATCGAGTGGTCTTCTTGACAGTAAGCTGCAGACTTCGGGTCGCGACATGCTGACGGTCGTTGATCGATCGAAATTGTAGTTTTACTTGGGCCATAACCTCTTTCTCGCCGCAAAGCTACATCTTGTCAGTATACATGTTGCCAATTAGGAAGGCAGATGGTTGAGAATACCTTGGGGTCATGAATGAAAGCGCCGCCCTTGCTGTTGGGCGGCAGCTCTCCAGTTGTGGCATACTTCAGACATTCGATAATCGTCGTCTTACCAGAGCCGTTGTAACCAACAATGAGAGTTAGTGGGGTATTGAACTGGATAGCCTCTCGAACAGAAGGGCTGAAAGATCGGACACCCGAAATCGAGAGCTTGTCGATTCTAGACATGGTGACAGCTACCACATTAGGGATGTAGCATGTACAGCTGGTATGGTTGCGTCGACTGACTCATCTACAGACTGAGAGCTGTAGCATACAGATCACACAAACGTTAAGGTGACTGATGATCTTGGATGTATTACGCTAGTTGAGGTTTGGACCAGGCTGCAGCCGGATTCACGGGTAACGCGACAAAGGAAGGAGAGACGCGTTGAGAGATTCGGAATTTGGAGAAACCGATGCGTGAGCACGTGCTTCTTGAACTTGAATCCGAAGTTTGGCCGACGTAAGAAAAGTTGGCCGAGCACATCTTAGTGAGACGAAATGACTTGGTCACCTCGTGCTGGCAACTATCTGTAGGCTACTCTATCTTGGCACCCTAAGCCTCAAAAGACAACTCTTCTGTTACCCACCTGGGTAGCATTCACTATATCCGTATCCTCATAGCAAGACAATGCCACTCGTCGGACAGCGGATTGCCTGCCCGGACGAACGCCTGTCTGTTCACTAATCACTTTCGTTCATTTGAAATAGCCAGTTCTAGACTCTGCTATGAAACTTTGGCAATGACAGCAACAATATGCACTGTCATGATCCCAAGCTTCATCATGACAAGTGTTAGGAGTTTTCACAGTTTCATGACACCGCCTGGAAGATTACGTTTTTTCGACGTCAGAAAATTCATAACAGGTTCCAAGGACCCTGAACGGTCCCTTTTTGAATGAAAACCAGTTCAGCGCCACCCCATTTTGAAACCGTAGAGCCAGACCGTCAGACCCTAGGAAAATGCTTGGCTATGGGCCTAGGGCCAAAAGGGTTTCAAGGGTAGCATCTTGAGAGGCTAAGGGAGTGGGGGGAAGGCGCTTGCTTTGCATCTATCCGCAGACTTAGAGAGGCGAGAGGTGACTGAAAACTGAGACGGAAGTTGCGATAAAAGCATTTTGTTTGGGCGAAATACGAAGCAGATATATCTGATATGCGTTAAATGCGGTCAAAGGATCATCAAGGGGGACTGAGCCTATAGGATAGGCAGCAAATCGCGGCTAAAATCTATCGTTGGAAGGTCATGGAAGGCAGTTCTATCTCAACAAAGCGGTATCTATCTCCGTCTCTTTCCTCGAATATCACGATCTGGTATCTGTACATAGTAATGGACCCCAGAAAACGCCCCGCGATGATCCCCCTGAAAACTAAGCAAATCTGGAATCATGAAATCATAGGAGAATCGAGTTGCCGTTGCAAAGCACTTGAGCCTCGAATGAGACACTACAAGAAGAGTTGGTAAGCCACTGTGGATGTGCAATGCGCTACTGCCCGCTGGACCCTTCACACTGGAACCCTCTAAGACGATCTAAGGGTGCGCTAAGGAAGGAGATGCTTCAATGAGATCCAATGAATATGTCCGGAGGCACTCCAGAGAGCCATCAACCCGCTTTTCCCGGGGGAGAACCTCCGGACCAAGGCCCAACATTGGCTGGGCAGTTGGACAAGTGCTCATGAGGCTAGAGACAGGACAGGGAGCCCTGCCGAGAAGCTTCGGGCACAAGAGGTGACGTTTCATGCCCAAAATCCCATGTCTGAGAGAATCCAGTTTTGCAAAAGTGCCATGTTTTGGTGCTGTGGTACCCTCCATACTTGTACGTTGACTTGCTTGGCCAAGCCCAGTCCATAGATAGACTGATTTGATGGCGTATGTACTGTAGTTTACTGATTGCCCGGCTGCCCTGTCATCCGATCCCAAAGCAAGGGGAATTAATAAAATTCATTCTTGTCTCTTACTGTCAACGATCTGTACTGTTCAAAACGATCTTGACCTTTGGCTTGACTCGGAAAGCGGGCCATTTTCTATTCCAAAGTGACGCTACCAGGTGAGTAAGTAAATTGCAAGTTCTGATATTGTATCGCGTCCATCTCATCGCCTCTCATCTCATCTTATCCTGTTTTATCACATTCATCCATACCTTTCCAAAATTTGATTCCTTCACCTAACCGACCTACCTTCCTGCCCGGGGCGTCGTACGTTGGACGCCTGCTATATCCTGGGTCGGGTCCTGTCAGTCAGGTAACTTGACTCTCTTGTACCTTCCTTCTGTGCTAATCGTACAACATTTCCATGGCCTCCTTCCACTCCACGACCCCTCTTCCCTCGACTTCTTTAACGACGACGTTGTCCATTTAAATGTTTCCTAACTCTCAACAGGCGTTTCTCAGGGTTACATTTGGTTTCCTCGTTTCCTGACCACAGTCAATCAACTCTCTTATACTCTTTGTTTCTTCGTGGAGATTTGTCTGCAGGGAACGAACAACCAACGATTAGCCCGACACTTCAACCTAGTCCGCTGTAAATAAGAAATACATTTTTTCTTTTTTATTGCAGCAAAAACCAGAGTTGAGAACAAAAACTGCCTTTACGACCTCGAACGACCTTAAATTTATCCGACACCTTTTCTTTATGACGTTTTCGAATCTCCCTCATGATATTGGCGTCATCACATCGTCATCTCCAACCAATTCCACGACCGATCCCCAGCTCCAACCGCTATCGCTGTCGCATCCACTGAGCCCAGCACTGAACCGACCTCAGCCACGCCTAAGGCCACTGGAATTGCCCTTGTTGGGCCTCTGCCAATGCAATTAAGGATACTCGACAGGCCGCAACCATAACCATAACCATGTCTCACGGACCACCTCCGCCTCCTCCGCCTCATGGCGCCCCTCACCAAAACACTTTCAACAACTTCTACGGTTTCAATCTCGATATCGGTTCTCTCCCTGATATGACAGGCAGCCAGGTCAATACCCAACCCCTTCCCCCGCGATGCCGAAGCCGGGGCTATGGCCCTATAGCGCCCCTCCCCTCAGCTTAGGCCATCGCAAACTCAATCTGCGATCAATCCGGCTAACCCGATTCTGTAGATGGGCGCTGGTGGTCAGGATAACGATATCATGGCCATGCTTGACAGTAATATGCTTGGCAGTATTGACGACGTCTCCATGCTCGAAACCCCCGATGATTCCAACATGAACGGCTCCTACGGTAACGGCCAACAATCCACAGAAGAATCTGTCGCGAGAGCCGAAAATCAATTCAACACTGCGGCCAACAATGTACCTGGCGCAGGGCCCCTACCAGCCGGCGCGTTCGCACAGATGAATCTTGCCGGTGCCAGCACCCTCACTGAGTTTACGAAGCGAAGAAACTGGCCCGCCAAAGTTGTAGAAGAGCTCAGGGACTTTTTACAGATTCTTGATGCCAACGGTCGCATCAAGTATGCGTCACCGAGTATTCTACAGGTCACCGGATATAGCGTGGAGGAGATTCAAGATATTTTTCTGAAGGATCTGATTCACCCCGACGATCGAGGTGTTTTCGTCGCAGAGCTCAACGAGTCCATCGCCTCCGGCAACCCTCTGCGAATGTTTTATCGCTTCAAGAAGAAGGATGACGAATATGCGATTTTTGAGACGGTCGGCCATGCTCATATTGCAGGCGCCAAATTCGCCCCTAACCCCAATAATCAGTCACCCTTCTGCCAGGCTGTTTTTATGATGGCGCGTCCTTATCCGACCAAGAATGCCGGACTTTTGGACTCCTTCCTGGAACACAAGATCGAAAACGAACGATTGAAACGACGCATCGCCGAGCTTCGTCGCGAAGAGGAGGCTGAAAATGACGAGGCGCAGAAGCAATGGATGCAGAGTCAGGAGGGCCGGTCAGACATGACGCCTTCCGAAGGAACAGGCGTATCATCGGGAACTTTCTACCGCCCCAGTAGCGAAAGAGGGATGTCAGAGGCCGATCGTGCTGCTCTCAACAAGGCACTCACACGCGAGAATCTCGAGGGCTCTGGAGGTAATCGCCAAGACTCGCTTAAAGACAAAATGGCACGTTACGAAGGGGCCTCTCATACCGACACGATTGAGATGCTTACTGGGTTGCGATATATTGAAGGTGAACGCAGCAGGGGGATTACAACGGGTAATGCAAGCCCTACTTTAATCAAGGGTGATGCAGGTATCGCGATTCCAATGGAGCGAGATCCACGCACTGGCGATAAAAAAAAGAAGCTTAAGACTTCTGAGGAATACGTCTGTACCGATTGCGGTAAGTGACTTGATAGACACCATACAGATCAATACTGATGATACTACTAGGCACATTGGATTCTCCGGAATGGAGAAAAGGACCCCAAGGACCGAAAACCTTATGCAACGCCTGTGGATTACGATGGGCTAAGAGGGAGAAAAAGAGGACCACCAGCCATCCCCCGACAGTGGATCAATCGGTTGCTTAGATTCGAAGATCATGAATGTGCTCAAATAATCACGAGCGACGAGACGCACGATCGAACGAAACGAAACGGCACGAAAGACCAGCGTATGGCGCGACACAACAGGAATCGATTAGAAACACGGTGCCAGGGGCACAACGGAGTTTTGGCTGCTATTATAATTGCATTTCACACGGCGAAGGCGGGATACACGAGACGCTCACAGCCCGGTTATTATTTTTCCTATTTTTGAAGAGCTTGCTCATGGCTCAATTGGAGGCTTGTCACGACTGGATACTACCACACAGATACCTGGGGTGTAGGGAGCAATTGGCAAATAGTTGACGCGAGCGCCCTTGAAACGCCACGTACATGAATTGACGCATTGGCTTGACAGATGCTGACTGTGATTGCAAGGTTGAATAGCGACTGATAATTTAGCACAATGATTCAGGGCGATGCGATTATCAGTCAACAGCGATGCAGCTCAGCTGAATTTGAGGGGTCCATGGGTAGCTGAAATAAGCAATAGCTAACCTCTGCTAAGGACGACCCACTGCCCCGAATCGATTGCGTAGGTCCGCCCAAGCTCCCCATAATAACATACAGCTTGAATCATACTGGACGAGGCCTAACTGTGCAGCTGGGTCCACGTCTGACATGAGTGATGATGGCATGGAAAGTATCGAATAGGGATTCAGAGTATAGGGCGATACAATACTACCTACACAGTAACTTGGTGCATCTGCCATGGGTCACTCAATAGCTGCCTTTAATTGGTTTGGCCTGAAAACTGGTGCTTCACTTTCCTGTATTTGAGACAATAGACTCAACCCCTCAATTCCAGCCCATTCCTCTTCCATCATCGACTTGATTCTTACATTTCTCCCACTCTCACAAAACACCTAGCTCTTTCAATACAAAACTTTTCTACCGTGTTTCCACAGTAAACCGAAATCATGGATAAGCTCATCAACGCCGCCAAGGACTACCTTGATGATGACAAGGATAAGCGTCAAGGTATGTTGAAGTCTACATCGTCATGACTTGAACTCAGGAGAGCTTCGATTACCCCGCCATGTATTCATGATGCCCCTCATCCGATACCATCATCACATGGTGTTGCGTCGCTATTGAATAGCTTTATATCTTCACAATCTTTACTGCGTCTAGCAAGCTTGGAGATATGTATGCTAATCTATTCTCTACTTATTAGAGTCTCAGGGACACGGACAGCAAGGCTACAGCGGTCAACAGCAGGGCTATGGCCAACAGCAAGGTTACGGACAAGAGGGAGGTTATGGTCAACAGCAGGGCGGCCAGTATGGTCAGCAGCAGTACCCTCCTGCCGGAGGTATCCGTCAGTCACCCACACTCCCAACGACTCAATAAGCGATCCTAACAATGAAATAGAGGCTCAGGGCGGCGGCGGCTTTGGAGGCTTCATGGGCGGAGACATGGACCTTGACAACGCCAAGGAGGAAGCCCACCAGAAGGCCGGATCATCTGGCGACAAGGACCTCTTTGGTAGCATCCTAGGTGCTCTCGGACAGAAGAAGGGCAAGCTTGCCGAGGAGGACCTTGATGAAGAAGGTGAGAGATTACTGCAGACATCTCTAAAAAGATCAATATGCTAACTGCGAGCCACTACTAGATGCCATCAAGCAGCACAAGAGCACCTACGATAACGACGAGCCTCAGCAGGACAGCAAGAGTCTTGGCACAGCCGCTGCCATGCAAGCTCTCAAGATGTTCACACAGGGTCAAAGCGGTAGCAGCGCCGGCGGTAACAGCCAGACTGCATTCTTGGGTCTTGCCTTGGCCGAGGCCAGCAAGGTTAGTGTTCATCGTGTTGAATATACACGGGACGTTGGCTAATATGGATATTGTAGCTCTTTGACAACAAGGCTTCGAACGGCAAGGTAGCGGAGGGGACCAGCAAGGAGGGCGTCATCCAGCAGGCTGGTGAAGTCGCTATGAAGATGTACTTCAAGCAACAGATGGGTGGTGGTGGTGGACAGTCCGGTGGTGCTGGAGGACTCATGAGCCTTGCCTCCAAGTTCCTGGCCAAGTAAACATGGAGCTCTGGCAGAAACTATCTAGTCTTATAGCGAAGACCTAAGTGAGGTACTGGGCAACCTAGGCAATGACGAAATGAAACATAAATTCTTGAGCTTGCAGTCGCAAAAGATTGTCCTAAACTACAAGTACTAACTTGTAGCTGGGTTACAAACGCCAATATCGATACCGCTTATATGGCTGCAGGCTTGACACCAGGCGGTCAAACTGAAAACCGTGCTTATATCAGAATAATCGAGTCTCGCTAGGCTTGGCAGATGTCCAAAGGACTTAGTTATACAAGAGGTGATCGCCCTCTTTACACGAGCCATAAATAAGAGGATAGACAGGCTCATGCCTTCGTTACTACATCTGCAACATCCAACCATTCACTAGGTCTTCGTCGACCAGACTCCGTGGAATTGTGCAAATATCCCTCCACCTCGCCTGCCCATGCCAGAAGCTGCTCTTCGCTGCCCCATTCTCCTGTAGCCATCAAACCAACAGGTAGCTTGCCCTCACCTTGATCCGGATCGACATAACCAACAGGTGCTGAGAGTGAAGGAGTTCCGGTCAAGTTGGCCAAGAAGATGTAGAGCATGTTGCGGACCGTAGTGTTGGTATCGCTCATACCGTACGCCTCGTCGCCGGGAACAACGGGCCATCCGACAAGAGGTGTAGTGGGAGTGAGGATGAGAAGACCAGGATGCTTCTGGAACAAAAAGGCCAGATGCCGCATGATAAGCTCTCGAAGAGCGCTATACTTGAGAAGGTCTGCAGCAGGTGTTCTGGCTCCGACAGTCATCAAGACCTTATTCGCAGAGCTTACAAGTGAAAGCCAGTCAGCTGGGTTAGGAGTTCTTCGGCGAGCGGACTCTGCCATCTCGGTGATACACATAACACTGTGTGCAATCTGGGCCTCGGGGATATAGGGAATGGTGATATCAACCAGTTCGTAGCCGCATTTGCTCGTAAGATACTCAACTGCTCTGTCGCAGCCCTCTTGAACACGAGGATCGGCCTGCTTCCACCAGTCGCGATATATACCGATAACCTTCTTCTGATCCTTGGGCGGCGGCATAGAAAGCCCAAACCGACTTTGAACCTGACAATCGGGGTTGGGTTGTGACATGACACGATAAGCAATGGTCAGGTCTGCAACGTTTGCCGCGATGGGCCCGGTAATGCACATGCTGTTATTCATGTACACCGTCCGGTGATGTGTCGTTTTGAGACCATAGATACCATTGAAGGTCGAAGGAATCCGAATGCTGCCCCCAGCATCTGTACCAACAGAAATCGGTACGATGCCAGCTGAGACAGAAGACGCTCCACCTGAGGAAGAGCCTCCCGGGTAATATTTCTTGTTGTGCCAGTTGGTAGGCGTTCCTTGAGCCGGCTAAAAACGTCAGTGATAGGATAAGGTGCTGACATTTGTGCTTACATTGCATCCGCTAGTATCTGCCAAGGACAGTCAGTATTTCAATTTATTCAACTTCAAAGGAAAACCTGGACTTACCAGAACCAAGTTCATGCATTGCATTCTTGCCAATGACAATGGCACCCGCTTCTTGGAGCTTCTTCACCGGCCATGAGGACTCCTTCTGTTCCTTGAAAGTCTCAACCGACGGGTTGTACTTCATACCTGTGTGATTGTGAAAACCTTTAACATCAGTATCATCTTTGACACCGATAGGTACACCGTCCAGGACACTCAAGGGCTTGCCAGCAGCCCAACGCTCTGTCGAAGCTTTGGCGGCCTCTAAGACGAGATCCTCTTTGCCATGGCTTTCAGCCCAGCCATCTGCATACTTTCCACTTGGCTTAGAGATGAGGGGCAGAAGAGCCTCAGCGACCTGAAGAGGGGTCACCTTGCCAGACTTATACATCTCATGATAGTCACTTGCGGAGTAGTATCGCGCATTCGACTCTGCATACTGGGACTTGACGAGTTCTGGGCCAAGCTCAAGCATAGGCTCTGCAGGACCTAAGGGAGTGACAGTTGGCTAAGAAGAGTTAGATATCGAGGCAATTTTTGCGCATGCGAGGTGGTTCATACATGGAACCTGTAAGGTACATCGTCAAGAACAGGCATGTCTTTGATGATGCCAAAGCGTGCATTGTCCCAAAAGTACTGCTGGAGGAACCCAACCTTGGAGATGCTGAACGGTGTCAACTTTGGTACAGTTACCAATTGGGGGAGAAGCTCACATGTTGGCGCCAATTACAAGAGGAAGACCTCGAAAGACAGGATTGTTCTCGATATTCGGATTATAAGTTGCTGCTGGAGCCTCAACAGGCTTGGGATAGTCGGCAAAGTCGGATGGAGTCATGATGTGAAGATTTGATAAAGGCAGGACCAGGTGAGAGACTATCAGGTTGATTGCCAGGGCAAACACAAGGAAGGAAGCTACACGTCTCAATTATGCAGCTCTTGAGTTGATTGGTTTAAGAAGTTCACTCATTTGAGAGCCCGTCAAGATACGGAAGCTAAAAGCTACCTAAGCTGTTTTCCCCATGTAATTAATGCTAGCCTAGGTTTGACGTTGACCCACAGGCGCCTACCCGATAATACGGTTTCAAAGAGGTACTTATGGAGCTTGCCGAGGCTCGTATTAATTATCGTGTCAATCAGCAGCTTCTTTGACGGACACTCGTTTTCTCATGACGAAAGGGATAATGATAAGGTAAGCATATAATCTAACATCATCACCAAAAAATACAGTTTGTTAAACTGTTCCCATCAATGCTTCTTTCATTTAAACAGGTAGAAAGTGCAAGCTCAAAGGGAACAAGGTACCTCGACGTTGTCGAGGTCCTCTCAAAACATGCAACCATTCACGAACCCAACAAGGAACAAGCTAAGATGTGTGTACCTGCCTTATCTATCGTAGATCAGGCCAAATGATTACGCAGGTGCATATAACTGTTTACGCATAGCCCAGTAATGATACATCACGAAAGCTATCCTCCAAGGTCTACTATAGTAGGGTGATGGAAATAAGATGGTCCAAAAGATGGTTTGAACTGGATAAAGCGACCCAATTGTTTTATCTCCTTTTGGCGGTCACGGTTACGGCAGAGCCAATTAATCAAAAGACCATATCAAAGAAGGAGAAAAGCCCATGTGGTCGCCTTACGTCATCACAAACTAGAGGTAAGAGTGCTGAGTGCCCCGCGTCACAGCATCGCATCACATGGGTAACACTAACTGACACTGACACTGCCAGTGTCACTCCTCACTCGATAAGCCCACATACAGTAATCAACAAACTAATAGTACCCGTGACCATTCTATTCTATTCTCTTTGTTGATCTCTACTCATGCTGTGGAAATGCCTCTCTAAACTATTCAATCTTTACCGAAATCATCATCTCATGGTTAGCGACAGATAATCTCAAAAGCGACTATGAGAGCCGAGCTCTTACACGGCTCGACCCCTAAATCAGCCCCGCGTTAAGCTACTCCATACCCAACTATCCATATCTTCACTTGCCATCAACAACATGTCACTCTTTACCGCTCAACTTCATCCTGGCCGAGCACTGGGCTTTCTAGGTTTGTCGCTTCTATAACCGCTGGAAACACCACTAATAGTCCTGCCTATAGTCCTCGGCGCAACTCTTCACGATGTCCTTACTCGTCTCAAAGCCGAACCTCAACGCTTCCCCAAGATCGAGCTTCTGTACTCCCCCGATCGACCTGTTACCGAACCCGTCGGAGTCAGTCTGCCTGCAAATGGAGTCCGGCTAAGGTTCGATGGCCCCGAACAACGGTTGCGCCTCATCGAAGTTACCGACTTCACCAAGAACCATATTACTTTCAAGGAGAGAGATCTTGTCAAGCCGGCAGCTAACGGGTCGCCTGTGCCAGGAGACTCGACATCAGGTCCTACTTTTCGGCACATATACCATAAGCTGCTTGGGCCGACGTATGCAGGAGAGTTCATTCCTCCCTCCAGTGCCCACGACAACGGCATATACGTCTTATCATACCCTGGCGTTGCTTTCAATTTCTCACTGAACCCTTCCGAATACTCCCCCGAGAAGGATGTAGTGTCAACTTTTGCATCGGCTTCAAGTCAGGTTGCGACTTCTATGGCGGTATTTAGTGGTGATTCTTGGGCCGACGCCAGACCGACTCTCTGGACAGAACTACTGCCTAGTATCAAATCGACTACTGTGATACCTCGTGGTAAAGATGTGTACCCTGACGAGATCTCGCTTGTTCGACTACATGGCGGCGGGAAAATACAAATGTTCAGAAAATGGACTAGTAACTCCTTCATGATTACTCTCGGCGAAACGACACCCCAAGATCTTCTCATGGAGCTGGGTCCTCCAAATGCTATTTATCGCAAGAACGACCAGAAGATGGTCATCCACAAGATGCGCACAGCCAGCAATACGAAAGCTCGACCGGAAGCTGCAGACATTGGTCGACCTGAGGATCTTACCGATACAGATCAGTCGTCCATGCACGACGCATCTGATGCATCTGATGATGAAGAAGCTATCGACGATCAGATTGGACTCAACACAAATGGCGAATGCTTCTACAATTATTTCTACCTTGGTTTCGACATTTTGATATCTACCCGCGTGCCTCCTTCACAAGCTCCTCCCGGAAGCAAAACGAACGAAGCCGAGGGCCAGAATGGTATCGTATCACACTCTCCAGATCGTTTAGTGGCCACAAAGCTGGTCCTACATGGCAATATACCAGGTTCATATGAATTCAACCGCCATCGACGCTGTCGTTGGGAAATAGCATACCTAGACTCTATAGACGACGGCAGCAACTCGCCAACGGATTCGGAAACACCTTTCCCACAGATAGAAGATCGTATGAACGCAGCATGGGCGTCCGCATTCCCTCGCAACGACTCACAGCAAAGACAGCGCGGCATGGTCCTTAATCGTGGCTGGGGTGATAGTCCAGGCAGTAGCTGTGAGTTCCTGGGTGGATGGGAAGAGAGTGGTGCAAAGCGCGCCGAAGCGAATGGCGATTCTACGACAACGCTGTATGGATTTCCTGGAATGGTGTTTGAGGTTTTGAAGAATGGACATGTCAACACGGTGACGGTATTTTGATTAAGCAATGTCTTGTTTTTGGAGTTGATGGTGTTTAGTGAGTCCATGTGTAGCTCTGATTTCTTTGTATTTGATACCTCTATCTGAACTTGGAATATCAATCCTCGCTTCTTGCGTTGGTATAACAGCGCTATAAATTCGCATTCGTTGGTCGTAGGTAATGTAAGATTGTCCACAATGATCTGTGTCGTCTTTGGGTGAGAAGGTTATAAACCCGTCTTCTGTGACATGATACATCAGCTCAAGTTCTGGTATTGAGATAATTAAGTACATACCACCGTGATCTCTAGAAATCAGGAAAGGCATCAGATGCGCCCCAGCTAGGGAGTTGGCTCGGACTGGTCTGATTTTGATTCGGGTCCTGATCTGAGCTACAAAGCCGTCAGTACAAACAGGTATGCATGGTGATATAGCTTAGTCACTTACGCATTATGGTTGATACTCAGGGGCTCAACGTCCCCCTGGTCAATCATATTGCTCAACTCAGCTTTCAATGTTTTATGCCGTTCCTGAAGCATCTCCGCAAGCTTAACTCCGCTTTCCTGAATGCTCTTGTCGAGTTGGTCGACTAGGGCGTACATAGCTTGCACATCAGCCTTAAGTGCCATGATGCGGTTGAAAATGTCCTGCTCTTTGGTCACCGGTTGGGCTTTCCCCTTGCCTTTGCTGGTGGTCATGGTGCTCTGCTGGGTAGGAAAGTGAAGGCTTAGGGTTTGCGTGAGTAGGAGGGCAGGATGGTGAATATATAGAGAGTCAGATACGGCAGTGAGTCGGAAAACGGTTGTCCCTTTCATGCAGCTTGCCGCATTCACAGCTGCGTGGACCGGCCGTGAGTTGCGAAGAAGGTAATATATATATATATATATTGAATGGCAATAGCGCGCAAAAATTGGTAGGGGGGTGCATCCCTAATTTATAATGATGAGGACCAGAGATGCATTGTCTGAGTAAACACAATGGGCATGCTCTCAGCAGAACGGTGGGGGTCAGCAAACCTCCCATCTTCAATAGCAAGCAATGGAAACTTGCAGCGCAAATAACCTAGCAACAATACAAGCCAAGCTAACAATGAGACAATCACAGTCGTAACATACAGCAAGGATAGAACATCACGATAGAGGGAAAGCGGCACAATCACACTCTCAAAAGACTCGACAGTGATGCAGATTGCTGCAAACCTCGCGTAATAATTGCAAAGAATTGTTTATTGTCCAAATACACAGGCTCTAACGAACAAGGATGAACCTCCTGAATCGTCATTGAAGCCTTCTATTCCTACATCGTACAGGCAAACACCAGGTATATTCTTCCCCATACTCCTTTGTTTCTCTTTTTCACATCGTCCAAGATTGCTCTACCACTCTGCAACTTCTCCCTTCTTGGGCCTTTGCACACGAACGACCTTGTCGCAGTTAAGCAGACATAAGGGGTCGTAAGCCTTCTTGATCTGTGCCAGTCAGTTAGTTGAATGTCCGTCGCTTTTAGATAGAAGGGTGCTTACCTGTCGCATAGCGTCGACTGTGGTCTCGCCAAGCTCGTGGGAGAGGTAGTCCCGCTTGACAAGACCAACACCGTGCTCGCCCGTCACTGTACCCTCCATCTCAACAGCCTTCTTGACCATGCGGTGCACCACGGCCTCGGCCTTTGGTCGCTCGGAGTCGTTATACAAGAGGATAGTGTGGAAGTTGCCATCACCAACATGTCCCACAATAGAGGCAAACAGGCCGCTCTTTGCCATGTCCTCCTTGGTTGTCTCAATCAGATCTGGCAGCTTGCTCATAGGCACAGCCACATCACCAGTCCAGACGTGGTCGTCGGGCTTCTTGACAGCCATGGTGCTCCAAAGAGCCTCCTTTCGCGCACTCCAAAGCTCATCCTGCTCCTCCTGGCTCTTGGCGAACTCGAAGGTCTTGCTACCAGTCTTCTTGGCAAGGCCTTGTACCTGAGCAATCTGCTCCTTTACGCCAGCGGGAGTGCCAGCAAATTTGAAGAAGAGTGTTGCCGCCTCAGCCCAAGCTTTTGTTGTCATACCCGCGTCGTTGATACACTTCATCTGGTTGTCATCGAGGATCTCGACAGCTGCAACAGGAATACCCTGGCCGACAACCTTGCTCACGCAGTTTGCAGCGTGACGAATCGAAGGGAAACTGCAGACAGCGACACTGGTGGATTCGGGCTTGACTGTGACCTTAAGAGTGGCCTCAGTCACGAGACCGAGGGTGCCCTCAGAGCCGATGAAGAGTTTGGTAAGATCGTAGCCAGCGGAGCTCTTGCGAGGTCGTTGCCTGGTCTTGATAACTGTGCCGTCGGCGAGGACAACAGTCAAGCTTAGAACCCACTCGCGCATGGTACCGTAGCGGTAGGCGTTAGTACCGCTGCATCCAGTACCAATCATGCCTCCAATCATAGCACCTGGGCCTGGGTCAGGAGGGAAGAAGAGACCCTGCTGGCCAAGGTGATCATTCAGAGCCTCCCAGCCCATGGCAGGCTGGACAACAACATCGAGGTCCTCCTTGTGAAGGTTGATGATCTTGTTCATACGGCCGAAATCGATAGAAATGCCCTTGCGGGTAGGAGTGAAATGACCCTCGAGACTGGTACCACCACTGTAACCAGTAACTGGGATCCTGCGCCTGTGGCACACCTTCATGATCTCGGATACCTCCTCGGTACTCGCGGGGTAGACAACACAGAAGGGTCGGTCCTCGGGGCTGGCTTGGTGCGAGGACCAGCTGGAGGTAGCGTGGTGTTCGATATCGTTCTCGGCGGTGCTAACATTATCCTGGCCAACAATCTTAGTGAAGTCGGCCCAGGCGGCCTGCATATTCTCGAGTTTTGTGTTGTGCTTGGGCGCTGTAGTCTTGCCTAGAGGCAATGTCGATCGAGGCTCAGGCTCTCTTGGCCAGTAAGTTCCAAGCCAGTATGAGATTCCTACACCCGAGAGGAAGACTACCGTCTGTTAGCTCAAGGCTCTAGGTAGTGCAGTCATGATATGAGCTCACCAAAAGTCATCATCCAATTCCTTGTAGGATCTGTCAAGTTGCGCCACTCCTCATACTGTGCTCGCTGCTCCTTCTCACGCCTTAATCGAGCTCCAATACTGCCCATAACCTGGCCCTGGAACGACCTGCCCACTTTGGTCTCATTGCTCTGTCGGGCGGCGGGTGTGTTTGGCTTTCCAGGCTCGATCTCGGTAGCGTAGGTACGGGACAAAGCGGAAGGTAATCTCGAAGCTCTGCAGCTGGCTGTGGTAGGAGTTCGCAAGTTCTGGAGAGCAGCACGCTGGGCGCGCAATTGAAGAGAAGCCATGACAATTGGAAGCGGGCTAGCTATAGCCGGTGCGCGGGGGAGGGTCTGGAGTCAATCGCACGAGGGAACAAAGCGTCGAGGTCGGTCGGAGGCGCAAGAGGGTCAATTGGAGCTATGGGAGTCTGTCGAGAAGGGAATTGGCCTTCGACGAGGGCAGTCGATGGCGTGCTTAAGACTTGAAGCGCACGGCAATCAATGGAAATGGAAATTTGACAGGCGGAGTTGGAATCCCGCACTATAAATCCCGAGCCCCACCTCCACTGACGGCGGCACCTTTTGAGATCTGATCTCCTTCGCTTTGATAAGATCTTCAGCTGTCATTGATATGAAATGAATCTAATTGGCTCTTTGGATTGTTTTGAATTTGATGTCTCTCTATTTTGACCTCTATCCTCGGCCTTATTTCCAATGGCGCTGCGCCATGTCCGTCTTCCTTATCATCTCTCCATCCGGCCGTTGCTAGAGTTTCTTCGAGTACCTCAAAGGCAATGTCTCTTTTACCCGACAGTTGGGTCTTGGTTATTTGGTTATAACTCGATGGTGTATCAACTGAATAGGTATCTAGGTATTTTACTTTATACTTTTCAGGAGAGTGACATAAGAAGCCATTGACAGTATCGATCAAATCATATCTTGTTTATTCTAACTCTCAGTTTCTACTTCGAGGCTCTTCTACTGATAATAAACTATGAACCGAACCATAGATAGCTTATGTTGCGACTTTCATAAACACCTGGTAACGTAGAGTCTAAAACCACAGGCACCAGTAATAAGCGGTAATTGTAGTTGAGCAATAGCACTGAGTAAAGTAAACAGGCCCATTCATATAGGTCTTGATCTGAATGCGAAGATTGTGGTTTCACGTCTGAATGTTACATCTCAAAGACTCGAGTTATGTAGTAAGTCCTCGGGGTCCGACCATCGCCAAGCCCCAAACATGCATTCCCCAGATCCCATCGCGGAGACCAAGTCCGCTCTCTCGGCACCTCAACCCTTCTCCATCTCAACGCCTGTACACCATCTACATTTATCCAATCAAAAACGCACCTCTATACCGAAACTCCGTACGTCCGTTCTCACATTGCCATTCCCAATAATACTACCGTCATCTTTGTCATCTGGTCATATGTAGCCCTTTCGTACACTCCGATGTTAGACAAGTTGGACAGAGAACGTCGGTGAACCACCCTGCATATGCGCAAAATAGGCTCCCAATTCGTCGTCGCCTTGAATCTGCAGTGGTAATTCGTTACCTTTGGCGTCTTTTATGATACCCTCGATGCGAACGCACATCGCTCCAGGAAACTTGGTGACTGCCGCCTGTCGTAGCTCTTGGATGGATTGTGAAGCCATTGTTGAGATCCACAGGTTTGTGTTTGTGACATAAGTAGAAGAAGGGTGCAGTCTCAAGAAGACAGCAAAAGAAGCTGATACTGTGGGGACAGGCTGGAACATTGTACTGGGTGCTGGTGACGAAAACTGATGCTGCACATATTGCTGTTCCATATAGTTCGTTTGAGGTTGGTTGCCCATGTACATGGACGACCCATACTGGTTGTTCATAGGTACGCCGGTAGTGGTAGACGAACCTAGCATTCTATGAGGTTGAGGGAGGGTTCCCTGGGTATTCGACATGTTGGATGGTTGTGTCTGCATTTGTACAGGTCGACTCGACGCTGCAGATTGCCTTGTTGTGTATTCGATCCGTGGATTTGCTGGTTCACTTATCGGTTCATAACCAGTATCCATGTTACTGTCCATTCCTCCATCATCCAATACGGCTGGGCTTGCAGATGGACTCGACTGGGGCTCTGCCCCTTGGGGTATAGAAGAATAGGTAGATGGCGTTCCTTGTTCTTGTTGTATCTCGCGACGGTGCGCGGTCTGGTTTCTTGTGGGCGCACGCTGCGTACCTTGAGTCTCATGCTGTATGTTACCGTTCTGGACATTGCGCTGGGTCGTCTCTTTTGGCTGAGACGTCTCGCCAGCCCTGACCTTCGCCCTCTTCTCATCTCTCTTTCTCTTGATCACATCTCGAGCCACGATTTCAATCGCCCGGTCCTTTCGACGAGACTGCTCATCGTCTCCGCCGAGAGCGAGAGGGAGAATTTTCAGAAGTGCAACCTTCTCCAGCCATTGCTTCTTTAGTTCTTCCCACTGTTCTGGCGTTCCGTCAGACTTGCAAGTGAATTTCGCATCACTGAGTACAATATGCAACGCGGCACGAACAGCATGGGACTCTTCAGGGTTGAGACCTAGCTCATTCTTCGCATCAAGAAGCGTCATTTTGGTCTCTTGGTTGCGAAGACGCTTAGTTACATCAGTACAGATGATGTCCAAAGCGAGCTGTCTTCTCTCATGGTCGTCCTTTGATATCCAAAGAACCTGTTGTAGATTTTGGTTCTCGTGTATCAGGCGGTTTTTGACATAGTCCCACCTGCCCGGGCCAGCAAGGGTTTTCTTGACAATTGACTCTTCTTGGCATATTCTGGCAAAGCATTCACGCATTTGTGGGTAGGTAGTCGAGTCAAGACTCAAGGCTGCTTTCGATTCGTTCAACGTCATCTCAGAAGGAAAGCGGACAAGGTCTTCGGATTCACCAAGATGTTGACGATTTCTTCGGCTTTGCCTTTTACTGATCTTGCGTGGTTTGGGCGCGGGAGTAGCAGAAGCAGAGTCATCTTGGAAAGAGTTCAGGGAGCCTGTGGTTCCAGGTTGGCCAGATGATTCTGCTTCCGCCATCAAGTCACCTTCCTCATCATCATCGAGTGGTATGTCGTTTTCAAGGGCATCATCATTCTCAGCATCACCGGATCTTGCACGGTCACCGTTTCGAACTCTGAGAAGCCATCGGTTTCGAGAGCGCACTCTTATCAGTTCACGCGCATTGATGTCAAAGCCATCCTCTTCATTGAGGATCCGCAGCATCTCACCCTGCGGGACATTCTTCTCCCACAGATCATGGATGCGCTTCACGAGTCGATCATCTTTATGTCTGAGTCTCTGTTTCGAAGGAAACTTCCAACGACTGAACTGCACTTGGAAAGCACGTTTGCTGGAGCAGACCGTGTGAGCCGAGGGCCAGTTCGCGTTCGCTTACACCGGGAATAGTGACTAACCTAGGTGTGAATTGGTACACATTTTTCATATGCACCATGATGTCCTCGAGCGAGCGACGCTCATTGATGTACAGCTGGTAGCAAGCATTTTTGTGCTGCTCCCATTGGTAGACCATTGTCGCAGAGGCAGCACTGTTTACTGTAAGCACAGCCAACTGTAACTGTCTCTGCGTCTTTTGTCAGAAAAGCTCAACTAAATGGCTGAGGTTGTGTGGGGATCTGAAGGAGGCTTTTGCATTGCTGGTTGATTTGGGCGTCCGGAGTTTGTGTTGGCTGGTCAGCGATCGGATGAGTAATCGAGACACAGTCTTAATTCCTATAAACACCGTATTGTGAACTGTGCAAGCTGACCTCCCTCAACATCGATATTATTTACATGTGATCGTCCATATTGAATGAACATTTCGAGTCATCATCACTTAATACTGCAGTCCAATAAGCCTCACTACATATCACATATTAGCTACAGTACAGTATCTGCACAAGTCAATAAAAGCAGCTCTCAACACAGATATCCCCCGCCGTTGCAGCTCTGCATTCCTAACTGTGGCCCTCGGCTCAGTCTTGTAAGTCAAGTCGCTGGTATTCGCTGCCGATCATCACGAGGCTGCAATCGCAACGCCCAACCTATCGAACTCTAAACCAACATCGTCTTGACTTCTACTTGATTAATCTCCATCTTTCAACGCCTTTATTCCAAGTATCAACAAACGCCATGGCATCTCCTTCACTCCCCGATAGTTACGCCGCCCTTGACCTCCCAGCCCTCCAGCTCTTCCACCATCCCCCCTCCTCCAAAGAAGTCACACATGTCATAGTCATCAAGCTTCATCGTCCTGAAGCCCGCAATGCCTTCACAGACACCATGGCCGCTTCTCTTGCCCACGCGCTCAACACCCTCTCTGTTGATCCTCGCGTTCGCGCCATAGTTCTTACCTCTTCAGACCCCAAGAACCGCATGTACTGCGCAGGCATGGACTTCAACGAGGAGCACGCCCTGGGTAAAGACGCTGCAGACCATCGCGACTCGGGCGGCATCGTCACTCTGCCCATGTATCGCTGCAACAAGCCCGTTATCGTAGCCATAAACGGCTCGGCTGTCGGCGTGGGTATCACCATGACTCTGGGCGCCAACATCCGCGTTGTGAGCCGCGATGCCCAGATTGGATTTGTGTTTGGTCGCCGTGGTTTCAGCATGGAGGCTTGCAGCAGTTTCTTCCTCCCGCGCCTGATAGGGACCAGCCGCGCTCTGCATCTCACCACAACGGGCAGCGTCTACCCAGCCACGCACCGGCTTTTCGACGGGCTCTTCAGCGAGATCGTCGCCCCTGATGAGGTTTTACCTACAGCGCTCAAGATCGCCGATGAGATTGCGACTAATGTAAGCGGCGTTTCTACGCGGGTGATGAAAGACATGATCTACCGCGGCGCATCGTCGCCTGAGGAGGCGCATCTTCTTGAGAGTAAGATCTTTTGGGATTTGTTTACTGGTAAGGATGCTAAGGAAGGAATGAAGAGTTTCCTGGAGAAGAGGAAGCCAGACTTTACTGGGACTATGGATAAGAATGCGCCCCAGATCTACCCATGGTGGACGCCAGTTGATATTGCCAGACCCAAGTTGTAGACGGTGACTCTTGTTGCTAGAGACATGTCTTGTATTGTGCTCGTGTGTTTATGTCTTTGATATTTGTATTTATCACTGTAAAGCTGCTATAGTCTAACTTCTGCATATTCTACTGTATAAAATACCGTTCCACAACACCGAATCTTCATCAAAGTGAGACATTCCCACCATTGATCCATTCCAACCGCATTCTGTCTCACCCCCAGATTAACTTACCCAAATGTCTGAGTCTCAGTCTAACAATTAGTTAGTGCACTTGGACCTTCAAGAGGTCATGAGACTGAATCCATGTCTCTCTACGGATAGAGAACCCTGGCTCCTGGCCTCTTTTTTCTTCCCCACACTTGACATTGACATTGACTTTTGATCGACCCACATTTGGCCCGGGCCTAGGTTGGGTCCTACCTAGGAGATGTCGGAGTGAAGATCCCAGCTGCAAACGAACGTCATGTGCAAATGAATGTCATGTGAAAGCCAAAGGGGCGATGCTGAGCCACCATGATAAACACGTACGACGAGGTGGTGTTCTTGGCTTTTGTTAGTGATGAGAAGTATCTGTTGCAGTACAGCCTCCTTGAAGATTGGAACTTTACTGTCTATCGATTCTGGTTCATCAGACAACCAGTATCTACCGAGGCTTGCTAGAGAGTACTCGGTAGCGTTATGTAAATCTTCCACAATTCCAGAACATCTTAGCCTCCTCGCTTGATCAATTTCGCTTGACATATAGCTTAGAGTCACAAGAAAAATGAGGCGGTGTTATCTCACGATTTGTAAGGGGCAAGACAGAGTAACGTAAGAGAGGCAAATTGCCAGTCATGCTTGTTCGTGTTTTAATCCGGTTCTAGTAGAAGCGCCTAAAGCCCATCCATCCTATCCGTATTGCCTCAGACCATATCGGTCGAGCCCGGGGTATGTAGGATACCTCGGGAGTAAAACAAAGAAACAATGCAAACAAGATCCCCTCAAAATCAGAAGAACTTTCAGTTCAGTTCTTGGGCGTCACCCCGCATAAGTTTTGATTCCGTTGATGCAACCATGGCCATGCACGCCAGTATAAAGAAGAAAATGAGAAAATGAAGATAAAAGCAAGAACAAAAGTGGTAAACCCCCAACTCCATGCCTGGTAAAATGTCAAAACATAACTGTCCTGTCCTGTCCTGTCCGGTCGTCAAATGTTTGACCGTTTCCATCGCCGCGTTGCTTTCAAGGCCGTGAGCGTGTGTGCGTATACGTAAGCGGACGAGAAGTGGGTGTTAAACTGCTTCCCATATGTTCCGTAGGGTAAAAATCAAGGTATCGTGTTAAGTAGTAGCCGACGGTGGACTTGTGTTCGTCGAGTAGTGCCGAGTCTGTGTAGATTTGTCGGCGTGGGGTATATGGCCTCGGGAGGTAGGTGTTGAACAGACTCGCCCGCCTGCTACGGGTGGTAATACTGATAGGGAGTTTTGACAACAAAACTCTTTTTGTTGCCAGACAGCTTGGTCTTGAGTTTAGTCTTGATCTTGCTGGTTAACTCCTCCTATCGTCGACCAAGCTTGAGCAGGCGTGTTCTCAGCCACAGAACGAAGGCAGTCCATGCACTGTTGGTTTTTCGCTTAGCGGTGTTGTTTCGGTGCGTTGACTGGAAGTGCACATCGTCAGCTCTGGAGCCGGGTGTAGTACCCCTGTGCGCAGTGTCGTAGCTAGACGCAGCGAAATCGACCTTTTCGTTCTCGGTGGTCAAGCCTAAGCCAACACCAGTGCTAGGGCCGGTAGTCTTGCGGGAGATCGTAGGTCGAATGTCAATGCTAGTGGACACCCGATCGCACGACATGCGAGACGTTCCAAAACTGCCCTTTCGGCTGTTCTTGGTAAAGCGATGGCTCTCGGCGCGCTCCTGCTTGCGAATCTGTTCACGAGCATACTTCTCCTCCTTGGCCTTCTCCTTCTCCTCAAATTTGCGACGAGCTTCGCGAACGTTCTCCTGGCGTGTCACGGTATCAACCTCGCTGCGCGAGCGGAGACGGAAACCACTCATGTCGAGAGAGCTACGCAAAGGGGACATAGCATTTGAAGAGGTAGATGAAGCAATCATCTGTGGGGAGACCCAAGAGCCAGATGGTGGGCTGACACTCGACGCAGAGTCGATAGCCGTTGTAGAGTCTGTGTTGAGGTGCAGGTCGGAGCGGCTGCGAGTTACAATGCTGTGGGGTTTTCTTGAAGAAACACCAGAAGAAGTACGGCCGTGTGCAGTGATTCGCAAAGGCTGATTTACATCTGATAGCGAGCTAGTGCGGTTACTTGCAAGAGAGGGTCGGCGAGGGTGGTGAGCTGAGTGCTGCAGAGGATATGAACGAGCCGAAGATTGTAGGTTTACAGACTCCAAGTCGACGTCGTCTTCGTTCTCGGTGATTGTAGGTGAGTAATCGCGAGGAGCACTGGTGTTGTCAAGAGAAGCGAGAGAGTTGGCGTAGGATAGAGGAGGCGTCGAGGTTCGCGGTGTTTGTTGGAAAGGATGCACAAAGGAACCGTTTCTACCGCCACTGGCAGAAGTAGCTACAGAAGCGTGGGAATTTCCGCTAGTCGAACGAGCATGAGAATACTTGTTTGAGCGGTTTCCTCCACTGCTGAGGTCAGTGGCCGATATTGAAAAGCTGACATCGCGGGCTCTGCCGGCAGGCGTTGGCAGTGCAGAGGCACCTGCCGTGTAAGACGAGTCGTCGCCGTCGACATTATACGAGGAATAACCAAATTGGCCTTGTTCGTCCCAACCGCGATCCAAATCGAGTGAGTTCTTTTCTGAGTGCGACTGTAATTTCTTGAGGATTGGTTTTACAGCTGGTCGACTTCGTGATTTTGTTATCTTTGCGTGTCCGTGTCCGTGTCCATGTCCATAACCGTGGATCGGTATAGGACTGCTGGTTTGCGCCATTGCCATTTGGAACCAGTAAAGGTCAAGTGACAAAAAGCGATGTTAAAAGGGTTATAAAGATATAAGTAAGAGTGTTTTTGAGTAGGTAGAGGTTGGGTTTGTTGGTTTGGTCTCTTGTCTCTCTCTTGTCTCTTGTCGCCGTTGCACGGATACGGGCGCAGCGCAGGCGGGTGGGTGAGGAGTCTGTCGCACGCCCAGCGTTTCTCAGAGCATCATGAATGAGTTCTGTTACTCTTCTGTTCAAGTTGTACAGATACAGACTGGAAAGACCAAAGAGGATGCAAACAAACAAACGCTCAACTTGTTTAAAGAAACGACCAGCGTACAGGACAAACAGAGTAAACAAGAAACAAGACAAGATGGAATAACAAGAATTGGACTGGAAATGTCGCAATAGAAGAGTAAAGCCCAGACGGGGGAGGGCCTGGCTCTGGCTCTCTGTAAAGTTCTAGGTTTGGTTCTAGGCTACCAGGGGTGTCCCAGAGAACCGAGAGTAGTGGGTGGGTAAGAAAGGAGGAGTCGGCCCAGAGAAACTCAGACTGTTAAGCCAAGGATACCAAGTGAGTCCAAACAAAAAAGAGTTTCCTTTTGTTTGATGATCTGACTCGATCTGAGTTAATTTGGAATGAATGATATGACAGAGAATAGAAGTAAAAGAGAGAGGAGGGGAAATAAGAAACAGACAGGGAGGGTAAGACGGTAATATTTCTGTTCTCACTTCTCACTCTCTACTGACTGACTGAGTGTCTCGTCTTTCTCTGTGGCCGTGTAAGAGGCGGCAGATTACGACGGTGAAAGCGGCGGAGGAGGCAGTCCAGTCAAGTCAGTCTCTGTCCAGTAAGTGGAGAGAAAACAGAATGGCGGTGCGTCCGGAACGAGAGCGGGCTACTGTAGGTAAGGTACTACAATCGCTATCACTCAGCACAACATAGCCCCGGAAGACATGGAACAAGATACCGGTAGTCTGTTAGTCTTAGTCTCTGTACTGTATCCGTACCTACAGGACAGTGGAGGGACAAGGCCAAGAAAAACTGGGTTTCGGTGGCAGCGAAGCCGAGTAACCCAGCCAATGTCGGGACGTTCTAAGCCAGATTCAGCCTCATTCAGTGCATGGGCACGTGGGGTTCAGTGGGGAGAAGTTCTACTGACCAGTGACCAGAGTCTGTTGAGCTTCTGTATTCCCACTTTCTTCATCCACAGGCTGTCACCCTGAACAGGGATTGGTCAGGGCCTTTCGTCCGCGGAAGCTGCCAAGCGAAGAAGGTCGGTCTGTCAAAATGTGATCAACAGTAACCATCGAACTTTGGCTTGACGGTTTGTTGAGCCTTGAAGGACTCAGGAGGAGAGGCGGTAAGGATAAGACAACCCTGAACAAGGCGGGGAAAGATCCAGAAGTCTAAGACAGGAAGAAGAGACGAGAAAGAAGGTGAGAGTAGAACCGGAAGAGAAGGATTCAGTAACTCCGTGAATCCCCAGTCTCTACTGTATGTACAGTACAGTACAGTATGGTACTCTGCCTAGTCTGCTAGTTTGCAAACTGCAGCAAAGAATATGTAGCTAAGCGGCAGATAACACCAAAGGTGAGTGAGATTGGGGGCGTTTGCGGGGAGGGAAATCCTTGGAATATGAGATGCAACAGTCCGTATCTGTATAGTGTATCGTATCTGTCTAGATGGAGGGGGGAACAAATCATCCAATAGGAAGAGTAGGATGGGCAGAAATGGTGATGCGCCTCGATGAAGCACAGAAGTTGTGACTGTTGTGTACAGATGAGGATGAAAGAGAAGAATGAAAGAAAAAGAATTCCCTGAACAAATCTTGCTCATACCCAAGTACCATCTCACGGCCAAAATGTTTCAAAGAGGATATACTATCCGTACTGTAACCTCAATTCATGACGCTTCTGCCCAGACGAAATTGACGATTAATTACCAACTCTGTCAAGGAACTAAATGGCCAAGAACATAACCGCCCAGAATCAAGACTTATTGGCTCGCAACAACTCCGTAGCCTTGCCGGTTCTCTCATTGATGTTCACTAGGATAAATGGATAAGTTGATAGAGTCTGGGCACACGCAAGTCACTACACTCAAGTTCTGGTGAGATTCTTGCTGGTGACCTACTTGATCGGTCCTTTTCGGCTGGGAATAAGGACAGTATAATATCTATCGTATAATCTCCTTCAGCCTTGTTCATGTTTGTGTAATTATGTGCTCCCAGATCTGTCACATCGATGTCGCCCTCTTTGCATCATATATCGTTTCATCCATGTTGATCCCCCGGATATCAGTATCATCTATGAACCAGTATCCGTCATATTCATCCGGATCGTCTAGCAATGCTACTGTTTGCGGGGTGGTTGATCTCGGTTCCTGTAACATCAACGTGTTCTCGTTCCTGTACATCTCTTGACTGTTTCCAATAACCTCTTACTGTGCATACTGCAGCAATCAAAGTTCAAAACTACGCGATTAATTAGTTTAATCTATTCAACGCGTCCGTGACACTTTTGGCCTCGTTTTAATTGCCTCGTTCGCCCGTTTTTCCCGCGTTCCTTATCTTGGCCTCGACCACAAGCTGGTCCTGCTCTCGACCCCCATGTCCCTTGGCACTAGTGGTCGATCATTCACTCTAGGCCAGTCCAATTTTTGATGTCATCACTGCCTCTTTCCCTTTCATAGCCTAAAGAGAGAAAGTCTCATCATTGAAGACGAAAGCGATAACGTCTTTATCGGGGCTTAGATTAGATAGACGCGTATGGGATTTGAGGTTGATGACACAGCATAGCACTCAGCCTCGTGCATTCGACATTCAACATAGCCTTCTTGAATGAAAATCCTTCGAGGCAAATTTACTAGTGTCAAATAAACTACAATGAGGCTTTTAAACATGTGCCTCCTCATTCCTACGTATTCAGTTACCTATGCTTTGTTGAGTGAGGAGAAAGAATCCAGACTGCGCCACTAGCCATCGTCATCAGGTACGGGGACGCCATCAAACCGTCTTCTCCTGGCGATCCCTTCTCTCCCCCAGACTTTCGATAAATGCTTTGCATCTCAAAGGCCAGACCAGACCCTTGCAAGATTACATTTAATGGTTTAGTGCTTTCAGGGTCACGCGATCTTCAACTCTGACTCAACACCAAGCCTCACGATACACGATAACCCACGGATACCCTGTCCTTCTTACTGCAACTGTCTCATGGTCATAAATCTTCCCCAAAAGGGTTCTTCACTCTAACGTACGCCACTTTGTCCATAGCGTCCTCTTTTTGCCCCTCTCCTCTCCTCTCTATCAACCCCTCTTCTCCTCTTTCCCCCGCCTTGATGCTCTACAACTCTAACTCCTCTCTCGTGCTCAAGTCAGGTGGGAATAAAGACAGTCAGACTGGGCCCTGAATGACATTTAATGGATGGATCTTCCAACGGTGGCTAGTGCACAGACGTTTCGCCCACAGATCTTACTCTTCTCTTCCCCCCGCCAAGTAAAGTGTCTAGTCATGATATTCGCCTCTTCTCTGAATGGGCAATTGTTAGTCGAGACATGCAGAAATCCCGTGCAAATCTCTTCAAACGTGTAAAAGTCTCAACGTCCCCCATCTCCATCGTCTCCGTTCACCTTGTCCCTATGAGGTATGCCGGGTGGAGAAGACAAAACTCACCTCCAGACTTATCATGTCATGCCTCAAAACCCACAGCCCAGGCTCGGCATGATGACATCTGTATCCACAAGCCAGGAATTACCTTCTTGTTTTTCAAACTACACTCTTACAAGGTAAATACTATATGCACTCCTGCAGAATTACATATGTATCTTGTTTCTTATGACAATCACTGAATTGTTACTGGTGACTCCACGTACATGGATTTACTGCATCTCCAAGTTTTGTTGTCGGAGGTTTCTGGAAACAAATTGGAAACTTCTTTCGTCATAGCACTTGGAAGCTGAGGATCAACAGAAACAAAGATATCATCTCGCTGCGATTAGCATATGCAGGGTAGAAGGATCGACCATGTTCTGACTTCTATGGGTGTCTGGGTGTGTATCGAAGATCTCTATAGCCTCATCTGGGGCTCGTCAGGGCGCCAGAAGAATTGGCCGCCGAGAGCATAAGGGACGAAATAATTCGGCCATCTTATTTGAGCTTATACTGGCACTTGCTTCACTTTGCTTTGGCACCCTAAGCCTCAGAGGACGACTACTCTGCTACTCACCTGGGACTATCTTCAAACAACTCCATCGTTGAAACAGAATTGTATCTGATATAAATAACCCTGCTGTTGTATGTTGAAACACGGCATGAGCCGTCTTGGTACAGATTTTAAGCCTCTTGAAGCAATGCCGGTTTGATTGAGATGATCTCTTCGGCTCTTATTCGTCTCGTTTCAAGATCTTCATTCTGATACATCTATGATACAAGGTACCGGACTGAAGATGTTTCAATAGTCTTCAGGTTAAAGTTAATAGACCGCCACATTCCTATATAAACTGTAACATCTGTGTCTGGAGAATTCATGTTCTATAGATTCGAACGGTGGTGCGAGTCGAGTGTCTCTGTGTGTTGAAGTTACAGAAAACATATACGACACTAGGTGGTGATGACCACGGCAAGGAAGCCAGTCTGTATGTATTTCTCTTCGGTGCCGGAATATAAGTCTATCTAAGAGAGGTGATATGCGTTTCCTAGGCCTATCTGTAGTTCCTGTAAGTAAGAAGTGCTTGACGAGCAATCAGCGACAAGTATCATGACTGGTATCAAGACTTTGGCTAGTACCATTGCAACATCCTATACAGTCCGTAATCCTGAATGACTTTCTTTCACTCCCGTCAGTGTCAGAAGAATTGGCTGTCGAGAGTATAAGAGACGAAATAACATGGTTACGTTGTGCGAGCTTAGAAAACACTTAAGCTACTTTGGTCTGGCACACTAGATCTTAGAGAACAATTCTTCTGTTACCCACCTGACCCATCTCTCCTGAGACTATGTTATACTTCGCAGA